TTTTGTTTGGGACTATGATGACCTTAAGATGACAGGGTGGCTATGACTACTCTGTAGGAAAAGCTTCCTTAGGTATGATAAACCTTGGTGGTTCATTAATCCTAACCTTACGCATAGTTCCGTCCCGGAACTGTCATTGAAAGTTATTAACTGTACAATGACCTACCATTTGAGTCATATGGTATATGTCATGAACTTGATAATATAAGTATCAAAAGCTTGGATTAATTATGGAATACACCCCAGTCTTAGTGTAAGACATTCTTGAATGATACTCTACTATAAACCCTCTTATTGATCTTGGCTTTAATCATGTCAGCCGGACAAAGACAGCCGAAGCCGCTTCGTCGCATCATAACAGCCCATGATCCTAAAAGCGGCAAAGCTGTCTTCAGCAGTGCAATTAGTGAACAGGTATCATGCACTGGATTCCCTGTTCCCCCGGGCAAGCCACCAGCGACAGACTATGTTCTGGCCTACAATACAAATGTATTCCCTGTGAAAGGGCTCTCGCCCCCAAGTTCTACAAACCCGGACTCCAAAGCCGATCTCGACATTAAGCAATATCAGTCCCAGCTCTCAAGGCCATCACCTTTGCCTCCGCCCAACGGCACATCCTGCACCGTCATCGAGGTACCACCGGGCTCAGCGGTCCCGATGCACCGAACAACAACTCTCGACTATACGGTTATAATAGACGGCACTACAGAACTAGTTCTTGATTCTGGCGAGAAAAAAATATTGAAAAAGGGCGATGTAATTGTTCAGCGAGGTACCGCTCATTCCTGGCGGAATGTGACTGAAAAAAGTGACAATTCTGGCGTTCTGCGTATCTTCTTTGTGTTTCTGCCCATGGAAAAGGTGCAAGTGGAACGCGGACTCATTGATATGGACTTGACTCTGTCTTTGAAACAGACTTGAATCATGCAGCGGGGGGTGAATCTTGCTGCCAATTATTTTGTCACTGACTTTCGAAGACTTTGCAGCCTTTTCGCGGCCTGTTGGCAGTAGTCACTCTAGACTAATCACAGTGTATTTTATGGGCTCTCAATGATCATGCTTCCACCACTCTCTATACTCAATACACAAATTATCATGCCAGTGTGTCTCTTAAAGGGTACTAATTCCTCTGAATTGGGCTGGTCTCGGAATATACATTGCTTCTGCCAGGGATTCAAAAGAGTAGTTCAAGGAATGCGGTAGAGGATTGGTCACTGGTCCAGGAGTCAGTATCATCACATTGCGTCAATTACATACAATGAAATTCTTTGCTCTTGGTATATTAGCATCATATAGCAAGAGTCGTATGCCTTGGGCCCTCCCCACAGAGCTTTTGTCGGAGACGTCATTTTCATTATGAGAAAGAGAAGAGCGAGATATTGTTGGCCCCGCTCCCTCAGTCAAGGATGACTGTTTTAACAATCTTGATTTTATTCCAATGACTTGAATAGAAATATTTCCACGGCTGTGTAGTTTGACTGTTTGAGTGTATGACTTTTCGGATGTGTAAACCCCATGTGAAACATCCAGACTTGCTAGTATAATTTTAATAAAGTAAAACTCAAAGCACTGTTAGTGGGGGTGATCCTGGGGATGGAGATGCGGAAAATTTTGTCTGTATGAAAACCTTCTGCATACCCGGTTCGCGCTTATCAAATAAATCATAGACTTTCTCCATGTCCTCGAGCTTGAACCGGTGGGTGACCATATCCAAGGGGTGGATCTTGTCCTCTTGAATATACCTCAACAGCTCTTTCCAGTATTTTTGCACAGGAGCTTGTCCATTGCCATGAAGCTTGATCCCACACTCCATTAAGGCACCGATGTTGAAGTGATTACACTGCATTGCAACGTCAGTGGACTTGTTTCACTGTAGAAAAGGTACCACATACATAACCAGCATATACGCCTGTGATACCACAGTGTCCAAACCCACGGACAGACATAAGCATTTCATTGACCAGTTCGGATGTATCCGTTTCCATGCCGAGTAATCTCTGAAAGTAATGGGCCCAGCTTTTTTCATACTCACCAGCAGCGCACTCAATTGCCACATCAGGTCCATGGCCGTCGCACATTTTCTTTAGTGTCGAGGGAACTGATTCACCCCTTGGGAGGTTTGTAAAATCAATTGTCTCCAGCTTGGGCAGGATTTTTCTGATAAAGTCTAGTCGCCATTTTCCCTGGCCGCCGTCAATAAGAATAACCCGCTTAGCACCATGGAAGAAGCTGTATTCAGCCGCCATTTGTCCAACTGGGCCAGCTCCCCAGATTGCCACAGTGTTACCTTCCTTAACCCCAGTGTCAACAACGGCATTCCAAGACGTTCCCAAGACATCAGAAAGATAGAGTCCTTTTTCATCAGGAACGTCATCAGGCAGATGAAGGAGGTTCACGTCACCATAAGGGACGCGAACAAATTCCGACTGCCCACCGGCAAAGCCGCCTGTGAAGTGGGAGTATCCAAAGAAGCCTAAGACAGCGTTTAGCATAGTAACCTCACCGAGATCACCATGGTTGTTTTAGGAAACCCACCGGATGTTCGTTGTCCATACAGCTTAGTAGCACTCTCGCCTGTATTCGTCCGCTCACACATTGTGGACAACCCCTGCTTGCAGTAATAACACTGTCCACAGGCAATTTGGAATGATGACACAACGCGATCGCCCACTTTAACCTTCTGGACTCCCGGGCCCACAGTGACGACGATGCCGCAGAACTCATGGCCGAGGATATCACCTTTCTGCAGCTCTGGGATGGCCCCTGCATGTCGAAAATGGCAGCGTGTCAGCAGATCTAGTGACAGCTTATTATCTCATGCAGAGTCATGGCATACCGTGGTACAGGTGTAGATCACTCCCACAAATAGTGCTGCCTGTGACCTTAACTATGGCATCGCCTGGATCAATGATCTTCGGGGTGGCCGTCTCAACTATGACACACCATATAAGCAGGAGGCTCGAATTATTTGAGATGCTTGAGGTGCAATAAAGATCGCTTACCGACTTTAACTGTACGGTTGCCTTGCCATGTCAGGGCTTTCATTGTTTGGCTTGGGTCGCCGTATTTCTCCCCGTAGTTGCTGACATGTCCGGTGATCGAGGTGGACATTGTGTATTTCCACTGAGAACTGATTTAGTCGCTTTCCTCCTTCCTTGTGTCGCTAGTCAAGTTTGTTCAGCTGAGCTCTGTGTGAAGATCGATCGGAATGAGCGGACTGTATTAATTATCTTGTCTTAAGCGTCCCTGACACTATGTCTACATCACCGGGTTTATATCTCGGCCAAACCTGAGTTGGGATGATCGCCTTGATGTCATCCAAGTCATAAGGACTCGAAGATATACCGAGGCGCTTGGCCACAACTTGGTTCTAGACCGGTTAGGAGCGACTGAATAATTATTTGCTCATAAGAAGTTCTGTTGAACGCATCATTACACTACTATTTCTACTACGCCTGGAATGGTTGCCTGGATGCCTTTTTTGGTTGGCGGTTTTAGGCTTGACAAGTTCCTGAGCAATGGAATTTATTACACATGTCAAACAGTGGAATCGATGTCCCTATAGTAGAACTAATTTTATTTGCTTCGAATGTCGGATTATTTAACAGTTACTTTGGACACCTGTGATGTTAGAGCTAACTGAGTGTTGCGTACTCTGATGATGTAGACCATTGGCAATCCCATTTGCAGCCAATCTGTCATTGTGACAAATCTTAACCATCACAACTTGTCGCACCCAAATTCTCCGGTCATTATGTTTTATTGCATATTTAGGTGACCATAGTTTGATAATGGATGAGTCGAGTTCCTATCTGGCCAACTGAGACCTCGACCCGTTCGAGGCTGTGTGTTTTGAGACAGTGAAGAGAGACAAGTAGAGGACATCAGCAATGTCTAAAGAAGAAAGGAACTGGATATTCTGTATGATGGTAGGTAGATAGATATACGCATATATCCGCAGTAGTTTTTATGTTATCCTCGTGGAATGCGTCTTCCCACCCCAGTTAAGCTTATTTTAGCTTACTCAATAGATAATATGGTGCAGACCAGCAGAACCCAACCCAACCCACCTGGCAGTCATCTGAGGCCAATCGGTACAGCCAAACATGTCATCGTTGCACATACAACATTCCTCTACACCAAGACAATGGTACATTCGCATACTCCTGTTGCCGTTCCACTGAATATCACTCTTCAGGTCTGTCCTGGAACAACTGCAGTGTATGCCACGATGATCAGCGCAGTCAGAGCCACCAATAAAGACTTCTGGACATAGTATCACAGCTTTTACAGGTCAATGCCCGTTCTCACTGCCGGCCAAAAACCCCACCCGGCATCTACGAAGGTGCAATCGGAACCCTGGATGGGACTCTTCTGACCTCAGAGTCCACAGAGGGTTATATAGTGTAAGAACAACCAAAAGCCTCGCTGGACCTTTGAACTATCGCCAAACACGCTGTCGTCGACGGTAAAGAGCACCCTTTCTAATAGATTACCAACACTTACGTTTATCTGGGCATTCCTACATTTCTGGTCAATGTCTTTTTCCACGAGAATCGAGTCGGATGCTTCTATAGCGGAGACAAAGCAGCGCCCTCCCTCCTCTCCCCCACCCACGGGACGGATTCTCAATCCTAAAGGGACCAATGCGAATACAACATCTACAAACATTCTGCGGACAACTGGAGAGTGAATGATTCCTCCTTTTGATCGGGGTGGAATCTGGCAAGAATGGATTCATAAGGATGCGGCTGTACCTTACAGACAATATCTTGAGGGTGATGGCGTGGATGACAGCAACGTCAAGGTATTAGGTTCGTGCAAAATTCTTCGAATGGCAAAATGGGCTGAACGAGTCAGCTAACGAATACTGGGACTTCCTGCGTTCTAACGCTTCTCATGTCTGAATAGCTTGATATTCCCCATACTAGACGAATGCCATTGCAGCAAGCTAGCTTCACTCAACCTTTCATTAACAAGGCCGTATAGAGTAACATAATGCGTACTAGGGATCACTCTCTTTATTTGATGCCCCATTTCAGCATCTATCGATATTTGAGCTCGTCGAGCCTGATCCAATGATCCTCCACAAACACCATATCGTTCTGTCCTTCACCATGCTGCCTTAAGGCTCTCTGGTAGGGAGGAAGCAGGATCCATGCTTTTGACGGCAGATATTGACAGCAATACCTCGCTCCTCCCCAGTGGCAAACACGTCACACAGAGTATAATGTTGTGACAATATCGGCAAATCGAGATATTGCTGATCTCAACGGACCTGTAACATCCCCTGCAAATAATAGACTGTTCGACCAACCCCTCATCCTCGCCATTGCTGTCATTATCGTATTGAGTGAGCGAGTAACTCTGATGCCACATCGTGACTCCTTGTCCCCAGACCGGCGAAGACATCCCCAAGTCGCCGAAATGCCATTCCATCATTCAACGGATCATTGTCGCTCGAGAGCCGAATACATTGCTTGACTTGTGCGGCGTAGCAGGCCATCGCCTCGATGTTCCGACCAAAAGCTCTGTAGTATTTCCCCATGAGGAATCCAACTTCTGAATTAGCCACGATGCGGTCTGCATGAGGATTCTTCTCAGATTCCTGTGGGTCTGCGATCTCACTGAGATAGAGAGCCCTTCCCTGCACGAGTAATTCCAGCATCTCGCCGGATCTCCAGCCCTCAACCGTATCAACGCCCACTTCGATAGCCTGAGTTAAGAGTGAGTCGCCAGAAAGACGCAGTCTCCAGTACAAGGGTAATCTCTCCATCTGATCTCTTCCCACTGTAGGTATTAATGACTCCCTGCCACCCCCACGCAGCGCGTGAAGAGTCGTCTCCATAGATCTGGAGAAATACGCCCCTGTAGAGTTCCAGATTTTGCAGCCTGGGTGGTTTTAGCCTGGCGAAATGCAACCTTGGCAGCACTCGTGTATGCATTGACCATGTAGGCTGTATTGGACGTGTGGCACGCTGCCGCCGCCGAGAACCAGTGTGTAAAGGAGTCAGACAGTTCGGAGTTGGCCAACAAACATTCCGATAGGCCTGTGATGTCGGTTTCAAGACGCGGTGCACGAACTGGCAGATATAATGGCCATTCATGTCGAGGCCGGATTCCCCAGCAAACTCCTGGTAATGTACCGAATAGCAGGGAGGAAAATACCGCGAATACTGCCGGAGGCAAATGAGTCATACCACCCTTTCTCGATTGGTGGTAACGCCTCCTGCACATCGGAATCGATGAGCCAGGTCATGAAGGGGTCCCGTATGTCCTCCAGGAGAGGCACATCACCGGCAAACATGACGAGTCTCGGCATCGCCCACTGGTCGAAAAGGAGCTTGCCAGATAGATTTCAATGGTCTGTTTGTCTTCTTTGCGACATTGATGAATACCAATAGCCTTGAGGGCTGGGGTGACCGAACCGCTAGCTCGGAACAGGAGTACAGTCGCAATGTCCCTCTTGGGAAGTCTTCCGGGCAAGAGATAATTTCATAGTATCGCTTGAATAGCGTTACCTTCGCCTCATAGAAACTGACTCCAATCGGTGGACACCCATCCGCAGATATCGGACAGTTCCATTCACACCTGAAAAAGTATCCCAGCGAGGCATGCGTCAGCGTCACGTATGTTGTCTTTGGGTCGGAATTGAAACCAGGCAGATTGTTCAAGTCTTCGAACCCAGTCTCCGAGTGGTGAGTATCTGCTTGTCCCATATATATTGCTTTCCGTTGAAGTTCTGTCGTCGTCAAGCCGTCCTTCCGGTTGAGGAGAAAGAGCGAAGCATACTGCCTTCGCAGATCTTGCTCGAGCCAGATTCAGCCGTCCCCAGATTCCGAGCGCCATTTGACAACGCTTTCCATTTCGGCCAATCTGAGCTGCGACGTGGAACACGTAGCCCAGGTGAGCATTTCATTCAGGTCCTCTGCATATTGAGGGGAGTCTTTAGACTTTCTGACATGTCCTTCAGAACGTGTCGAATTGTCTGGGACAAACCGTTCGGTGCTTCATCTAGTGCTTTCCGAATGCTTCCTTCGTTCGCTGCTTGAGGAGCTCTTTGAGCATGAAATCTACCCATATAAACTAAGCTACCTTAGCAACCAGGTAATAACGGCAATTTCGACGATCACTTACCATCCGCCGAGCCCCTGTTGATAATCTCTCCACTGTTTCACCTCGAAGCCCGTTTAAGATAAACCGACTTTGAGATGCCGCTCTGTATATATCGCACAATATCCTCTGAGGTAGGACGTATTCTCCATTTTGATGGTTCCGCCGCAGTGACACCGAGTTCAAGGCCATCTCCGTGATCTGTCCATACTGACTAGTCGGTCGCGTCCAGATTTGGGGGACCTGATCGTGAGACATACTGTTAAGCTAGTCAACGTTGGGAAGATGATTACGCAGAGGAAATTTGGCCGCCATATTCTTGCCGATCCCGTGGGGTGCAAGAGTCGATATTCTACCTAAACTGGACTGGTGATAGCGTCAGGCTAGTGGCATTGCACTAGTTCTAACACCAAGGGCTGTTATTTGTGTGGAACTGGCAAGCTGCCTGCTGATATAGCGAAATCTGAAGTCCTGATCACAGCCGAAGCCTGGACGGGCTTACTCCAACAAGCTCTCGAGTGCGCAGCTTAGATTGCTTGTCATGTCCACCTGCATCTATGCCAACCAACTCTGATTTGACTAGGTTTGTACGCTTCCTGCATAGGTCCTTTGGGTTTTCGCATTCCTGTGTCCATATACCCCAGGAGAAGGGAGGTGTAGTAGTTGCCGCCCTGAACAAGGAAATGTCTTCCAGATGTGATCTATATACAGTCTAGGCGTCAGCTAGGCTCCAGCAGACGCGAGTCTGGTCATTTCTTCCGATAGAACAAACCTCTATCGGCTCTTCCCCGGCTCCCATATCCTCTCCTTTCTGCCGATCTTCATTTTGTCGACCGGCCTGGACAGCCGTTCAAAGGCCATCATGCACTCCTCTTTTCTCGCTGCCCTTCCTCTCACTGCAGTGATTCTCCCTATTAAATGGTCATTTTTACACGGATTAACAATTGCAGAATGCTCCCAAGCCTTGGATTGGTCAACTCCTAAGTACCAGTAATAGCCATGATCTCATCGGAATGTTCCGCAGTCACGTGGATGTAAATATATATTTGCCTCCCACCCTGCTACTTGCTTTCTAATCACCTCTGGTTAACTAATTTATACACACTACTTTTGTCAGTACTCATATATGAAATAAATAGTAATTAAATCTCTGTTTATTATGCCGAAGACACATGGAGATTGAGGAAGCACCTAGTAAAAAGAGTGAATCATAACAGAGCAAGTTGAATGGGATCATGCCATATCTAAAGGTTTACAGTCGTATTTCTGGAAGAGCCGAAGGATTCTGCCCGTCATCCGGATTTAGTGTTACATTGGCCAAACTCTAAAGAATTTAAGGCTTAGGCTCAAGGCAGGTAGGCAGCAGTTGAAAAAAAGGAATCATGGGCCCTGGAGGTGCAACTGACAGAATTGATAATCTTGACAAATGAAACGCGGAGTCCCCAACTTGGTCACCGGTTTCCTCCAGATTTCAGAATCATTTCAGACTCGATAGACGACGGATACCCGATATCGGTCCGGGTGGCCAATTTTTGCACGAAGAAGATCCATCCAATGACCTTTTGGACGAATGGGACCTGCTGGCCAACTCCGAAGCCAAGCTTTGTGGTGGGTCTTGGTCAATTTTCATTATGTATAGAGAATCCAAAGTATGGGGCGACGGAGAACTTCGCCTCACACCGGGGTGGATCGGCACCACAATACGGAGTAATGAAAACTTAGTTGTCGAGTCATATATCAGCAAGACGATCCGCCCTGAACTGCATTCACTGTCTTTAAAGCTTGTTGCGCCTTTTGTCTGGTCTCTCTTGCCTCCCTTGCTATTAATCGAATTGAAACACCATGGAGGCCATCAACGCGAACCCTCCCGCATACAGGAATGAGAAAGTCGAAGAGACCAAGTACACCTCGGACTATGAGGAGGAGGGCCAACTCAAGACTGGCCAGGTTGCAGATGCCTTTGGAAACGAGGAGTCTGCAGAGATCAAGTATAAGACGTTGAAGTGGTGGTATGTGTTGGGCAATCTCGCCAGTGGGCTCGGATCTTTGCTGACCATTGCTTTTTTATTTATCTAGGCAATGTGGCTTGCGTACGAGATTTCCTCGATGTGATCGTCATTTCGGCCTCTAACATTGTTTGATATAGTCATGATCTGTGAATCCGTGTCGCTCGGTGTGCTATCCCTGCCGGCTGCTGTGGCTACTCTGGGTCTTGTCCCGTAAGTGCTCCAATAGCGATGGTGGAGTTATTGCCGTTACTGACATTCTTGCAGAGCTGTCATTCTGATTGTCGGTCTTGGTCTGCTCGCAACCTACACTGGATACAACATTGGTTTATTTAGAGAGAGATACCCTAAAATCCAGAACCTTGGAGATGCCGGAGAGATCCTGATGGGCCCTATTGGCCGGGAAATCTTCGGTCTGGGTCAATTCTTATTCTTTATCTTCGTCATGGGAAGCCATATCCTGACCTTTCGGGTCATGATGAACACTATCACTGAGCATGGCACCTGCTCGATCGTCTTTAGTGTTGTTGGCACGGTTATTTCCATGGTCCTCTCGATCCCCCGTACCATGAAGGGGTTGACATGGATTTCGTTTGCATGTGAGTAGTCCATTGAGGTCACTTGGAACTAGGACGTGACTTGGTACTAATCCGGTATCTTACAGCGTTCCTCAGCATTTTTGGCGCCGTCATGATTACCATGGTCTCTGTCGGTGTGCAAGATCACCCCGGCCGCATTATCGAGGCGACAGTCGACACCACTCTCTACTCCGGATTCCAGGCTGTTTCCAACATAGTTTTTGCCTACTGCGCCCACGTTGCCTTCTTCGGCCTGATCGCCGAAATGGAAAACCCCAAAGATTTCAAGAAGTCGCTGTTCATGCTTCAATCCTTCGAGATTTGCTTGTATCTCACTGCCGCCGTGGTGATTTACTACTTTGTCGGCAAAGACGTAGCATCACCGGCTCTGATCTCTGCAGGGCCTGTGATGAAGAAGGTCGCTTTCGGCATTGCTATTCCTACGGTGCGTCTCTTTTCCTTGGCTACCGGAGCATGCATGCTAACTGATATTAGATTGTTGGAGCGGGTGTGGTCAATGGTCACGTCGGTCTCAAATACATATATTTCCGTCTTTGCCATAAGTCGGATCTGATCCACAGCCGTAGCAAACGCTCTGTCGGAATCTGGATCGGTCTCGGTCTGACTTGCTGGGTTGTCGCCTGGGTCATTGCAGAGGCCATTCCCGTGTTCAGTGACCTGAACGGGTTGATTGTAAGTCAAGTTCTATACCCGGTTCATTTTGAGACCTATGCTAACCGAGATTAGAGCGCGCTCTTCGCCAGTTGGTTCAGCTATGGGCTCAGTGGTGTCTATTGGCTTCATCTGAACTATGGGCAGTGGTTCGCCAGCCCTCGTAAGATTCTGCTCACCATCCTCAACATCTCCATTGCCCTGTTCGGTCTGGCCCTCTGTGTCTTGGGCTTATATGCATCAGGCACGGCCATCCACAATGATACCAGCAGCAGCAGCTTCAGCTGTGCCAATACGGACGCTTAGGTCTTTTTTTGTAAATAGTTAATTGTACATAGACATGTCCGTTTGACACGCAGTTGCATTAGAGCCATGATTTTTCATACTTGCTATGTTGGCCTCCTAACATCTACCTTGGAAAGTTCGTAAAATCTGTTTCGATACGACCATCATGAGGGAACATTACCAATCATTCCTGTTCTCCAGTCTGCAAGATCTGCTATTTACCAGAGTTTCACGTAGGAGCGGATCGTATTCCTGTCCGCCAACATGTTCTGCTCCAATGGAGATATCAAAGGTTGGATGATGGGTCACCGGCCAACGCCCTGCACCCAACAGGCAGCGTAATAATGGGGTAGGGTAGCCCCAGGGCTTCGTCTGCGGCCGTTCCCACAGCTGAACTCTAGTTTTAATGGAAGTTCAGCGTGATGATCTGCCCAACTGTCGTACCGTATTTCCTCTGGGTCCTTGCACACGCCGTAGGTGAATTCGAATGCTGTAATGGTCCAAACACTGCGCATACATTGAGGGGCATTGGTATACGTGTTGGCTGGCAGGACCTCGTCCGGCGAAGACAGACTGAATATTTCTCTGCGTTTTCTGTCCATGGCGAGCCCACTGTGATGCTCAACTTATACAAGACGACTCGGCTGATGGTGTCATTGGCGGCAGTGGTATAGTCAAGACGGCCACCATAGATGCAGGTTGCAGTGGCGTTCTGAGCTTGTAAGACGCACGTGTCATTGTCTGGATTGCTGACTGCATCCGGCATGACCAGAGAGAACCCAAGGAAGAGGTATTCCGCGTCCATCATCCGATTGGCGCGCGTGATATCGCAGACTCCGCGACCAAGTTTGGCCGCAATGCTGAAGATGCTATCACCCTCCAGAACCGTATAATAGAGAGTAGTGTTGGACGCCTTTCGGGGCGCCACATGAGGCACGGATAGAGCGAAGGCTGCAAAAGCCAGTGAGGACAGTACTGCCATAACGAATGGGACTCTGGGTGCCTTCTGGCTTACCGTTTCATCCATACCTGCGCCCAGGCATCGATGGCAACTTCATATCCATGGGTTAAAGGCGCATTGAGTGCTTCTCCAGAGACTATACAGCGCGATGCGGGGAGTGCTCTGTGGCGTCTTGCCAATTTCGGTAGTGAAGCCCGACATTAAACTGGATGTCTTCAAGTGTTGGCGAGCGTACTTACAATGTTTATCCGGGCTACTTACACCCTGTATAAATCCCGCAAATGAAGGAAGAGGACCTGAACTGTGTGCGCATCCATACTCCGATTTTGAATGTTGAAGTTGCTGGGGCGCAAAGGCCTTGATCACATTTGACACTGCAGTGGAGTTGTTACTGGGCTAGTAGATGGCGAGGTTTCCGTTGGAAAATTGATCGGGATAAAACCTCAGAATGGGTATGCCGAATGAATGACCGACTAGATCTCTGGTCATGTTAGAGTACCGAGCCAGCAATACCGTCCTTGACGACTCGGGGTTGGCATGGATCTCAGTATTACTTGCGTGCTAGTGATTGGAGGTATTATTGTAGATAAGCACAGATTCGTTTCGCCTTTAACTGTCTCTCGCGGGAATCTGACGGCTAGGCCTCTATATTGGAGGCTTAACCCTAAGGGCTCTCTGGAGGCTATGGAAAAAGCTAAGGCGTCATCATCACGAAAATGGTGTCAACTGATGCTATATACCTGGAACACAATAAAAAGTGACATGGATAAGAGTGATCTTCCGAGAATATCTCCGAAGTCTGTAATTTTCCTGGAGTCACGTATGAAAGTACCTATGATCCCACGGATAGATGAGTCGAAAATCAGTCCTTGTGGCTTGCCCTAGGTAACCGTTATAGCAAAGACGAGAGGTATAAAGCCATATGTAACGTCTATGATGCCCTCCAGACTGCCAGCAACAACTGCAATATACCAACCACAAGTGCACCAACATTAAAGATGATAGCCAATGTTAGCACGATCCTTCCCCTACTGCCTCTGTTGGCCATGTCAATGCCTTCGACACCGGAAATGCCCATCAACAAACGATCAGTCACCTGTCTGAAAGTCGGCGCTGTTGCTACAGCCACTTGGACCAATAGTGCCGGGCAGAGCTGTTCCTTCGTCGGGGTGGTCGGAAGCAATTATGGCACCAACAGTGCTGGAACAGGAGAGTAAGTTTAAGGTGCATTTTGCTGAGGCGTCTTAGACGCAGTCTGGCTAATCGGACAAATTTTTCAGTTATTCCTGTAATGGCCGATGTGGCGGGGGATGCACGGGCACTGCACTTGGCAATGCGTATACCCAAGACTGCTTCTCCCATGATATCTGCTCCTATTTTAACAATGCCAGCGGAGGGTCAAGGTGCGTCAGCATTGACGAACCTCGACTGCAAGACACCTATACTAATGCTATTCTAGTGATCCGAACTGCGGAACTGCTTATGATGCTGCAGTGGATGATTTTCTCCTTGGTGTTGCAGATGGATGTTCGCAGACAAATCCAGCTCTGGCAGTCTCAAAACCAAGTTTGACTCCTGTCTGTAAATAGAGCTCCCTTTTAGCCCTTTAAGGGCCTTGGTTGGACTCCGTGTCTCCAGATGTAGCCAGCCTGCTACCAAATAATTAGGAATTTCATGGGCATATGCGTCTCTCGTGCATAATATAATTGTTTCAATGGATCATCGGGATCACATTACGATTTGGACCGAACATTAGTAATATCGAGACAATTATCAATAGAAATTTTGAAAACTTCTGGCAGCCTCAGTGCCTGTGCCCTTTTCATCCCTCTGATCCGACTAACCATCACATACTGAGGAACTATGACAGGCCAAGGAGGATCACTGATTGTATACAGGCATTGCTGGAGACTTGCCGACCAAAATATCGGTACTCTTGCTAGGAAGAAACTTGGCCTCCTTTCCTGCTCGCTCAGCACCCTGAGCCTGAATCTTCACCTGGCTGAAATCAAACTTTTGCTCCGGGAGTAGATCATAGACGCCCTTTGCGTACTCCGGAGAAATGCAATACAGCTGTGCTAGGTATTTGAGTTGTATTTCGGGATACTCAACCACCTTGAGCATTCGTGCAGTGTTGGAATGAAGATGCTCCCTTGCTCGAGCATCCATGACCTTTTGGTATAGAGCACGCGGCTGGTCATACTCCGACGACTTCCCTTCGTGGTAGAAGTGAGACTTGCGGCTCACAGTGTTATCTGCCAGCTGGTAGGGCGCCTCGGCAGTATCCGGTCTGAACTTGTGTACGAAACTGTTGGGCGTGTATTGAGGATTCATCGCGTGGTTTGCATCCACTCTCAATGGACCATCGAAGTTGAGTGAAGAGTAGGACGAGGCCATGAATGGACAGTTTACTATATGTGTTAACTTGGATCCCTCGTATGAGAAGACCTTCTTACATACCAGGTACTTGATGCAAGTTGACCCCAATCCGATGATACTGTGCGTCACGATAGAAGAACATGCGAAACTGCAGCAGAGGATCCGGGCTGTCCTCAATTCCCGGCACCATGCTTCCCGGAGAGAAGGCGGCTTGTTCTACGTCTCGGTGGAAGTTCTCCGGGTTTTTGTTCAAGACCAGCTTGCCGAATTCATGCAACTGTCGATGTAACGAGTCAGTCACTATATCCCGTGGCTTAATCCAGGTGTTGCACGTACCGGGAACTGGCTCTTGGGCCACACCTTGGTGACATCGAATGGATCAAACCCCAATTTGGCAGGGTCAGCTTCCTCTGGCTTCATCATCTGGACGTGCGCCGTCCAGCTGATCTTTTCGCCCTTTTCAATGGCCCGATAGAGGTCACGCTTTGAGAAGTCTGGATCCTCACCACAAATCTGGATGGCTTCCTCGGCAGTGAACTGCTTTTGTCCGTGATCTGCGATGAAATGGTATTTGATATACACGAACTCTCCATTTTTGTTAACCCTGTCAACGTCGTCAGTATGTATTACTGTCTGAACAGGATCATTTTACCTACCATTTGAATGTGTGACATCCGTACCCATGTTGATTGCGCCACCCCACAGGTGTGCCGTGGTCGCTGAAGAACATCATGCCCGCATGGTTTCTATTGTCTGTTAGTGTCTGAGTTTCGATAATCTCCATTGCTCGCTCACCCCTCGGGAGTGTTTGCGAGCAGATCGAACAGAGAGTTGTAGTCCAGCAGGAAGTTCTGCGGATTCCGATACTGGGAGCGAATAACATCGGGGCCTTGAATGGGATCACGACAGAAGAACACGGGCTGTATCGCCACTGTTAGTCGCTGGCCTGCGCTGAAAATTGGGTAGGCATACAAAGTTTAATCCCACAATGTCATAGTTTCCCTCACCGGTGTAGAACTTGATGGCAAAGCCCCGTGGATTTCTCGCCTCGTCAGGGAACTCTCGGCCCAGAGTCACAGTCGAGAAGCGGACAAAGACTGGAGTTCTCACGCCAGCAGACCTCAGGAAATGCGCCTACAAGATTAGCAATCTGCGTTTGCTCCCGAAAGACTGAGGGGTAGCTCACTTTAGTCAGTGATGATACGTCTTTGGTGGTCTCGAAGTAACCAAAAGCTCCGCTGCCACCTTGACGTCGTTAGCTCGAGTGACGATGGATGATTCACAGTGATAACTTACAAGGGTGGACCATCCGCTCGAGTGGCTTCGAGCGATTGAAATGCTGCTGCTTTTGGAACAGAAAGGTATCGGACGCTACGGGTATGCCTCCCGCAGTCTTACTGTGGGCTGGGTCAGGAAACGGAATAGCTTCATTGTTCGTAAAGTACGGTCCATCATCCGCTCTCTTCCCTGCAGCTTGGATACCGGTCAATTTAGCTGCAGTCTTTGCCGGGCCATCGTTGGCGCCCTGGAACAATGAAGAAAGCTGCATAGGGCGAGGATCAGCTCCCGCCGCCCCGACGGCCTCGCCTATCGCCTGAAGAGGATGAGATGCCATTGCGAGTATTCAGATCGGATATATTTCTCTTAGTTCAAATCACAGCTTGTGGTGCTGGGAGAACCCGGTATACACGAACATATATACTTTTATTGATGGCCATCATAGTGACTCGGTAGCATCCGCAGCTCCACAAATAATGGGGTCAACATGACGTCCGCTCTGTCCGCATGTATAAACGAAGGAAATCATGATTCAATACTGGTTCATCCTGGAAATTACATTGATTAAACTAGAATTGAGTCAATTGAAGTGAATTGGCAGTCCTCTTTAGGAAACAGCCAAATTATGGAAGCATTACCCGCGCAATGGTCATATCATTGTTAGTGTCGCTTGTGTCAGTAAGGCAGCATTAATGCTCTGACAGAACCCCCAACCAAGACAATTCGATTCGTTCTAGATCTGGATAAACTTGCATTTCCCTGATACCATGCCTGATCGATACGAATTACTCCTCATCCCTTATAGGTAGATCCGGTTCCCATCCCAACCAATTATCAGCCAGAATCAAGAGCTCATGGGTACTACTACCTTACCTTGGAGACATGTCCAACGGCTAAAATAGCCTTGAGATATAGCTTTTAGTGAAGCAGGCTTTGGTGGACAAAACCAAACTTGAATGTCATAGGAAATAGCCGAGCTGACCATGCTGTTGCTAGCAGTCATTTTGAGTCTGTCTTATCGGACTTGTCTATGCTTTTCCGGGCTTCAAACCCAGATAAAGTCGTCGAGCCTCACGTTTTAACCTCTGTTGCTGGATTTCAATACCGAACTTGTTCTCTCTTGGCGCTTGAAGCAATGCTGAGACGGTTATTGAATGCAAGGAAATCAACTTTTGTATTAGTTGGCTAATTACATGCTAGTATAGCCCATGATGTTATTCCCATATTCTTTACCCAATGCAATGTCATCAATCATTAAAATGTCGCTGGAGGCGGGTCAGCTCGCCGCGTCCCACAATGCGTAGCCCCATTCCCAACCAGCGCAGTGTCCGAATGTCCGTAATTGAGCATCTCCAGATTCGCCAATGGCCGATCCGGAAGCGAAGATCTCAGGACCGGCCACATCCCGACCGTACCAGTGCTGCTTCCAACCAGCATTGGGCTGGTCGATGGCTGGCATCGCCCGCAGCCCTTGCAGCCTCTCATTGTTCTTATATCTTTCTACGGACCAGGGTTGAGGCGAGGGATCCCGGACGACCCGCACTGTGTCCATGAAGGAGGACTTGGAGGATATCGCGTTGCATGCCAACAATCGCCAGCGAGCTTCCCGGCTGTTCTGGGAGAGGACCTTCTGTAGGAAAGTAGGACCCAAGAGGACGAGATGATTTAAGTAGATGCTATAATCGTTTGCATCGTCTATGTGTGCCTGTCAGCGTAGGAGACATGGGTATCTCAGATGGAAAGAAGCGTACCAGAAGAACTGGGATATAGCTCCCATGGATCGGCCGGCAGTGAAGCTGGTCTCAGCGACCTCCACCGACTATCTGTGCGAGGAAACTCCTGCTGCATTTCGTCGAACATGCGCTTGTATTCGTTCCGCACGAGAACCCAAACCGATCCAAACTCCTCCACCTCCCACGGAGCCATGGAGCCGAAACAACGCCGCCACATTTCGTGGATAGTGAAGTTTTTGTACCAGGTGGAAGACGTCCGCTTGCACGTCGACATCGACGACTTGCAGAGGTCATCGGCCGGCTCTGTCCACTCTCGTGCGCCAAAGACGTTGCAATATGTTTGTAACCGGCACAGCGCTCGCAATATCCGTGCTTTTTCTGTTGGTGAGACTCGCAAAGGAGCGGCTTGCTGCCGTGGAATGGGTTCGGCCTGGCGCGAACGTCTCGCATGCGAGCAAAGGGTGTTTAACAGTGTCTGGAACGTTTGATGAAGGTGAAGAAGGTCGATACTATCGGAGGGGTTCAGCTTGCTGGGGACTGAATCGGAGATGCGCTGGCGATCGAGAACCTCGATGATCCTCTGTTTGTTGGCTGACTCCTCAGCATGGAGACCGGCGGATTGAATGGCCATAATAGGTTCTTCCAGCCCAACTGCGCCATAGTGTTCTCGTACAAGGCGATCGAGAATGCTTCTTTGGGACAAACGGTAGGTGCTCCGGTATGCTGCGGAAACTCGGATAAGATCGTGGAGGGTTTCAACATCTGGCATAGACTTCAGGATGTGAATTTTGAGCTCTGCTGGAAGAGTTTCTAACGCCATGGTTGTATAGATGTGCACGAGAGGATAAGAGTGACGCAGGATGATGCAACCTGATTGATCATGTTATGCAATTGGAGCTGTAGTTGTACCTGGGAATAGTGGAAGAAACCCGGGGGTATATAAAACAAGTCATAGCTGTTAATGTCTGGATTTCTGTGTCGAATCATACTACTCCTTCTTACCCTTCAAGCACAAAATTCTGGGGTAAAGAATTCCCGCTGATGGCTTGCTGCTATTCTTGCTTTCCCCACAAAGCACTAAAATGGGCGAATATTTGGGGCCGAGGATACCCAGAGCTCCACCGGGAATGACGGCAGCCAGGAGGCGGTCATACCGGAATTGGTGCTGATAGGCTCCCCTGCCAGCAGGGGCTTTATTTGTTAGGTAAAATATTGGCCTCGCTCATCATCTGACATTGTTAATGAGCTGTAGCTAAAGTCGTGTTCAGTTCTAGACCAGTTGCGTGCTTTGTCGAAAATTTCAGCGTCAAGAGGATTGTCCTTGGCACCAAGAAATGCCTCATCATGACTTTCCCCCTTACTGGACTTTTAGGTAATAGATTGATTCTATGGATCAGATGACGTCAAATAGCTGGGATACTTTTCATCTTCAGCCAAATGGAGATTTGAGGCAACTCTGCGCCAGAATATCTAGATCTAGACTTTACAATGCAACGATTGACTCAGATCTACAGTCAGTACAACAGAGCGTGTCCATGATACTTTCTCTGCTCGTCATTCATCTCAGATTCTACCCCGGTCCTCTTCGGAAAGCCATCGAATGACCGAGCGTACGTGGCAATCGAGTGTGCGACCAGCTTTGTACATATCAGTAATGGTTCTCGACTGTAGAGACAGAACAACTCTTACCTTGGTATTCACCTCCCAGGCAGTGAGATTGACATTGCTTACGTCGTCACAGAGCTGGTGGTAGCAGGGATCAAAGGCCTCTCCAGCGACACCTCCGAACATCTTCTGCTCTTCCTCTGTCTTGATCACCTCAGCTCCAGTAGCGATTCCGCCGCCGGGGATGCCATTCCGGATGAATGCATCATAGTCGCTTCGTCCATCAAATGGGATGTAGGTGAAGTTCAATCCGTGCGCCTCATAGAACTCGGTGTAGAGGTCCCGCAGCTGTTCCGATCCGACCGGGTTGACCGCGTTGGTGGCGTTGTAGACCTGGTAGGCAAAGTTGGGCGAGGCCAGCATGTCATAGTCCATAAACAGCCGGATCTTCAGGTTCTCAGCCTCGGACAGCACCGAGACATAGTAGTCCGATCCGAGCAGTCCTTCTTCCTCCGCGGCCCACCAGGCCAGTCGTACACAGTTGTTGACCCGGTACTGAGGCAGCAAAGAAGCGATCTCCAGCAAGGTCAAGGAGCCCGATCCATCATCGTTGATGCCAGGTCCTTCCATCACGCTGTCACTGTGTGCACCGGCCATCACGCAATTGTCGGCGTCTCCTTCTTTGGTTTGCGCAATGATATTAGTGGTGGTGATGGTCTCCACCGTGGCGTCCATGTAGGCGATTGCATCGACCTTCTGGCCGTGTCCGAGTTGTTCTAGGAAGGGCGCCGCATCACTGTCAGAAAGGCCAAAGGTAGCGACATGGTTGGGAGACGGAGAGCCCAGAGTCCCTCCGAGGCCGCCTTTTTCGTTGTTGAAGATCACCGCAGCCACGGCTCCGGCCTTTCCAGCCAAGGCGGACTTGGTACCAAAAGGACAGCTGCCTCGGCTGATAAATGCGATGGCACCCTTGACCTCTGGGGGTAGTCTGCTGCGTCACAGCCCAGGCGTGAGACAAGCACCAGCGGTCCGTACACCGGTTCGTGGTTCTTGGTGGGGGGTGTCAAGCCCATGGGGAGAGCAGACTCTGGCACGGTGTGGCCTAGCACCAACCGTGATTCCACCACATTGCCGGTAACTGCAGGGAAGGTCTGGTTAGAGATGGTGTAGTAGTCGTCGAAATCCGTCAGAGTCGCATAGATGTAGTCCAGCGTCCCCAGATGGCCTGTGGTCACGTGAGTAAAGCGCCTTGCGATACGCGACGCCAATCAAATTCAAACGAACCTTTACTGCCAATCACGCGTGTGGGATGATTATACTCGTCAGATCCGCGTTCTGCGATGCTATACAGGTGCTTGGCTCTGTTGAGTAGCTTGCCGACATCGATCTGGCTTTGCACCGCGGAGGAGCTGATCAACTCCTTCCCAGCCACCGGAATTTGGGGTTCCGAGGCACCGAAGAGAGGGAGCTGAAGACCGGCAACTTCCCCTGTGAGAGCAAGAGCAGTGGCCAAAAGGCGTATTGGTGAAGCTAGCATTCTGAACATCAGTAGTGGTGTGCAATTGTCAAGAGGAGGGTCATGCTGAAGGAGTAGGAATCATGGTGGTCATGCCTCAAGGGAATAGCCATTATGTGTGGGGCATTGCTGGCAAAGGGAGTCCAATCACTGATAAGTGTCGCTACAGCAACAGATGAGATGGCCAGATACGGAGTAGAGTAGATTGACTTATGTCCGTCACCCGTGTTATCTGTGTAAGGTGATAACTGATAAGACCGGGATAGTATCAGCAATATACAGATACTTTAGTCTACCTTAGATACCTGAGGCTCTCGATAATACCCAAGGTATCCGATAAGACATCCAGGGAATTACCGGGAATTACTTATCCTGAAGTAGTTTCAAATGAGCATCTGCTCTATTTAGTAGAAAATAAGGCTTCAATGCATACCTACCCTGTGCCTGTTCCAACATCCAACACACATACGATCCCTACGGGGGATTCTGTCTGTATGATGCTCTCCTCCAAACCTGCTATTCATGAGAACGTGTTGAAATAAAAGTAAAGTTTCAGAATCCCTAGCGATTTGTACAGCAGATCTAGGCCGAATGAAGGTCTGATTCTTCTCAAATGAATGACTATCTAGTCCCAATCCATACCCCGATATGGCGAAGAGGAAGACATTCAAATCGAATCCATAGAAAAAACGAACGGTATCGGATATTGCAAGCGTGACAGTCTTCCGTCAATTCAAATACATCCCAATTCCATAAGAGGTAAAGTAGGCCATCAGAACGGCCAAAATGCTTCTGTTAGCCATCTACGTTCGAACAGTGGGCGAGTCCACTACCTACAGACACGCATAGAGTGCCGGTCCTATAGCACGGGTGATTCTGTTTCACCAGTTAGCAAAAGCTTTCTCAGAAAAGAAGCATAACCGATTTGACTACTGATATGAAGGGAAACTTACTGAGGTGCAGGAGTACCATGTTCCCGCATCCCCTCCAAGGGATTTATCACCCCATCCATATAGCCTGCGCCACTCCATCACGGCTCTTACGATACATATGACTCCTTCGCTGTCTCCTGGCTCCATTTCCTGACTGAACCACTGTTTGCCGTATTCCAGCAGGCCGAAGATGGCCAGCTGGGTGAGTTGGAACTTGATTTTCTCAAATATATGTCATCCTCTGTATATGTAGAGGGCACGTTATTAGACAAAAGTTATTGGGCATGGCAACTTCTGGGGACAGAGGTCAATCAAAGACCGTACAAACGAAATGTCTATCGGGTATCATCATATGGCTTAACTACTACAGATGGTACGAGCGAGTGTTCTCAACCAGAACTCCCAACCTCTCCCACCAGCCTTCTACTCCCATATCCTCTCGGCCACTATACATATCGATCAGTATCATATGCCGCAACAGTCATGAATGCAACTTACTCGGTCTTCTCGTTTATCCAGGGTTCAGTCTGTCCTTCTGCCGTGTTCGGATTGCGGAATATGACATTCGATTTCTGGCGCCAGTGAGCTTCAGCCGGCCCTCATCTTTTTCGAGTGGAACTTACCATGCCAAGGGTGAGGTGTATGGCTGCAGGCGATGGTGCATACTCTTCCTCCGCCCTCCGTCCTTCAATCAACGCTTGGATATTCCTGGCGACCACGCCGGCCTGCACGGATCCTGGTCGAGCGGCCTTTTGCGCACCAGTGTCGGCAATGTCACCCACGGCAAAAATGTTCGGAAAGCGTTCATCTTGTAGTTGCAAAGTAGGCCGAACTCGAATAAACCCATTATCCAGATTGATCAACGATCCAGATCTCGAAGGGGTCAAACTAGTCAAAAGGTCATTATTAGGCCGTTGGCCCGTTGCGAGAATGACGAATTCCGTCGAAACCTTGCTGCCGTTGGTCAACTGCACATCAAATGGCTTTCCATCGGTAGGGACTCCTTCTGAAGGTACGGTCGCGCGAGCGCTGACAATAAGCCTACAGAAATTGACTCGTCAGTCGAAGTTCGGTGCTGGGTAAGTCTATCACGTGTACATACCGGACCCCTAGCTCGTCGAGTCGCTTTTTGATCAGCTCATGCAACTGCTCATGGAATAGAGGCATGACTCGTGTCCGAGACTGTACAAGAGTGACGTCTTTATCAGGATAGTACTCCTTGAGGTCCGTCGCCATCTGCACCCCAACAGCACCTCCACCGACAATCAGGATCGACTTGGCCCGCTTGATATCGGCCTGGTGGTTTCGCAAGTACTCGACGGAGGACACCTTGTCATCATTTTTCATGCCGCCGGCTGAGCGAGCCGAGTCCCAGTGGCAATTGCTAGATAATCATAGGGGATCTGCTTGGAATCCTGCCACTGGCGGTCCAATGTCACAAATCGTGGGTTTACCGAAAGTACTCTCGCTTGGACCACTGCATGTGTGGATGGACCGGAAACAGAGGAGAAGATTCCGGTGTACGGGATGAAAGCTTTATGTTCATGACCGGGTACAATGGCAAAACGTGGCTGAGATGAACAGGTTAGCGACATCGGGATACGGAGGAAGAAACCTTACAAAAGCAAAGAGATGGTGAAAATGGCTATGTGGTTCAATCAGGAGGACCTGCGGGAATTAACATGTGTATTCTGGCCGTGATGGAGTATAAAGTACCCGATGTGTTTCTGGAACAACTCGTGCGAGTTCCTGAGCAGTGGCCTTATACAACTTATCAGTATGAAATTCATTTTACGTCTTGGTGAAGGACGTACTCTTCCCACATAGGACCCTCCCACCACAATGATATTCTTCAAAGGTGCTGCCATGTCGATCTGATGTTCTTTTAAGCTTCTGTATTGGTGTCCAAAGCACAGAATGAAGAGGATGAGGATATGACCCCCAACTCCGGGATTGTGCATTTATATATCGGCATTGGAGGATCGGATACACACCCGGATCAAATAGGACAGAGGCAGGACTGATTGATAAGAATTATCAGATCATCTTTTCTGCCCGGCAGTTGTCAGTCCCTAGCATTCATATTTCCGAGCTTTGAGCTGTCCTACTCCATTAGGCATAAAGTCCGAATACGCCGAGCCGGACCGCTTAAGATTTTATCCGGCAAGCCACAGGTTAACTGCTATTGCCGTGGACGCATTCGTGATAAATTTCATAATTAAGATTGCAAGGCCATGCGAAGTGCTGCCATCATGGATGGTTTTGCTGTTTGTGGGATTTTTGTCTAAAATGCTTCTTATAAGCTCCACCCTCAGTGTGACCTATATATAAAAGTTGTCCCCTATCGATGCTAACCCTTCCCTTAGTAGGCTGACTGTCATGGTATTATATTATATAATGTCTTACTACTTTAGCATTTAGGTCGTTCCATCCGTCTTCGTCGTGTCGCAGTACCACGCGTCTAACTGCAGCCACAGCTTCAATATGACTCACTTCAAGTCATCCTGCTCTGCCCTCATCTTTTGTATAGAGTAGTTCCGTTCCCAGTATCGGCATGTTATCCCTGCATTATCTTACAAATTGTCATAAAATGTCCACGCTTCCGATATCCGAGGACAATCCATTCCAGACTTTGATTACTGAGACGAATACTGATGCGGTGAGTAATATTCAAATGTTTCTGGTAAGAGTCCCATGTTAAGCCTCTCTATCAGGCTCAGTTGCAGTCCTGCTACGAGGATCACCGAGTAAATCGAAATGCACAGCAAGCTGCGAAGATCCTGGTACCAGACTTCGCAGGCTGGAATCTCGACGAGATTTTAATGCGCCTTGACGGCCCTGCAAAGGAAGAAGGGTTTGTTGATCCGCGCAACTGCCTGGTCATTTGGGCCCGGCCCCCTTCTCCAATTCGCGATCTTGTAAAGTTCGTGCAAAGCGAACTCAGAAGCGTTGCTCCGAGTAAGTTCTTACACTTCACAACCCTTTCGCGCGTCCAGGAGGCAAGGCGCTCACCGTGTTCTGACAGCCCTCTGGTTCATGCCCTCCGAGAATCTACATACAACAGTACTGGAAATAGCCCATTCATTGACCGAAGAGCAGATTGAGAGTCTGGTAAATACTCTGCAGTCATCACAGAACATAACCAGTGCAGATATTGCAGACTATGCGTTTGCTCATCGAACACGCCTTGTGAAGCCTATGGTGGGCTTTGATTCTGCAGCCATGGCACTGACCTTTGTCCCAGCCGCTGGAGAAGCTTCAGATGCGCAACGCAGTATCGACGACGAGACCTACAGTTATCATCATCTACGTCGTGATATATTTGACATGGTTCGGGCGGCTGGTATCCCGGTTGCATCGCGGTACATTGTTCCTTCAGCCCATCTCACCATTGCTCGGTTCGTCACTCAGGACGGCTTCGTCAGACAAGGAGACGCAGTGGGAGAGGGACATGTTGACCCTTCCAAGGTCAAGGAACTGATTGATAAGATTGACGAAATTAACCAGAAGCTGCAGGACGAATATTGGCCTAGTGAGAACGGAACAATCAAGGCCGGCGGAGAGTGGCTGGTTGGCCAGGAAAAGGGCTTGGTCATTCGCAGGGGTCGTCTGTGGTATGGTGGTGGCGATGATGTACAGCTTGGAAAGGGCTATTGAGCCTGAATTAGTATGATACCTTTCTGTGGATGGTCATAAACACCATCCTGAACGGAAATGGACTGAATATACTTCTGTCTCCGTTCTATGACATAGAGGTTACTACACTCGGAGTCGAGTGTTTTATGAAAACAGATTCAATGCAGGCTGTATAAAGAGGAACAGGTCTATCATCGAGATAATAATGGAATTGTGTCCCTCTTACTATGACCTATCCGATAACTGCAAAGGCATCATTCAACACTGCTTGAATTCTCCAATCCCATACTTGCTATACTCCCGCCCAGTGTCCAGTCTCTTTGATCCTGTCCACTGCCTTCCCGAGATCTTCCATGTATTGCCTATGTAGTGTCTGTCGCAGGTGTTGCGGTATACTAGGGTATGCAATGCGCATGACACGAACAGTGGCCTGAAACTGGATCCGACTCAAGACAGTCGGTTGCAGATCGTACTCTTTGGCCAGTCGTGCTGGGAGGAAATGGATAGTCAAAAGCCGCGAGAACGGGGCCATGACTCTCATCCACATCGGGAGATGGACCGGATAGAGGAGATCGCGACTCAGTTTCCGTGCCATATCGGTGACCTCCAAGGTCTCGATGTTGTGGTTCCAGTACTCCCAGAACTCGTCAAGAGTGGCTGGCCACATCTCGGGAGGCATCCGGAGGGAAGTGCCAAATACCGCAGATTCTCGGTAAAGCGCTTCCATCTCGTCTCGGGGCAACTCCCCGAAGAAGGTTTCGTGAACGACTAGAATAGCGACGAACAGGGTAGCGGCGGTCCATTTGTGCAACTCCGGGTCATTTGCATCGTAGTCCTCTGCCTTGACTCGGGCATGATAGCGGTGGATGATGGAGAAGACAGCTGCCTTGTCCTGCTGAGTGCCAAAGACAGCCGCATTGATGAAACGGGCGGTATTCTGGAGGCGGCTGGGAATGCGAGTGGCAAAGCTGGAGTGGTTGTAGCTGCCCTTGGCCAGGGCAGGATGGGCAAACTGACAAAGGATAGCAAACTGGCCTCCGAGGAGATAGATATCTTCCGTCAGGAATGTCCTGAGGTTTGTGGGGTCCGCAATGGTGTCATAGATGGGTACAGATTCGTACGACTTCGCCGCCTCTGTGAGCTGAGCAGTTCCCTCCTGGACAAAAGCCATGACTTCGTATCAGGAAATGTGCCTGACCTGGTAATGACTCAACGACACGATGTTGCTGTGTGATATTTTATAGGGCATGAAAGAGATTGGCCGAACCGAGGAACGGAAATCAGGATACGTATAGAGAGGTACAGTGCATTTGATAATACACAGCAGATTCGATCAGCACCGCAAAAGGGCCAAGTATGCCATCCTTGAGTCTGCCAATTATATCTGGAGAAATTCCGGCTCACCTCGTCCATCATTTAGTGCTCGATCTTGTGGAGCGGGGTTGCGCATGTGAAAAGGCATGTGAAAAGGCATATGAAGGCTACGGAGGCGTGTCAGACGCAGAGGTCAGATGGTTTGAGAAAAGCAGAACAACCTCACCAGCAAATCGTAATATAGCATCGACTAAATGGAGGACGAGAGCTGTAGATTATTTGGCTCGACAAAGACTCCTGCTGCATCCGGGATGCCAGGGTTTGCGGCCTAGATGGAATGCCATTTGGCGTCTTCCAGACATTGCGCAGACTCTTTACGTCGTGACGTTAAGGACGCTCAAAATAGCGTCCATAGAGGTTCATACACCTGTGAGGGCTATTGTATAGGGGAGTGAGTCATGAGAATTTATATGATAGGGAATGACCTAGCGTTGAGACAGTGGCGCCATCTAGCAACAGACTTGATGTAGGTCCCTAAAGTAAGCTATGTATTTTACTCAGCCAGTCCGTGCTCTACAGGTGATGATGTTGGCTGCATTCACAACATTAGGAGCTATAAATATGCAAGTGGCATCCCTGAATAACACCTGTTCTGCCCATGCAGTTGACGTACTCAAAATGTGCCTCTCCATGTTTCAGCACTGAAACTTCGTGCCAGGTGCGGAACTTGCGCTGGTCTCCAAACTTCTTTGCATGCTTTATGGCTCCAGTATAGATGGCCAAGTGGGAGGGATGCGACCTGGCCCAGTGTTCGAGGTCTGCAAGGTTACGAAAGAATCCAGCCACACAGGACTCTTTAGTCTCAGGCGTCTTCTCCAGTGCACGAGCAGTGGGTGCACGATTGTAGAGATACCGTAACCCCATAGCGCCACTCTTCTGGGGATTATCCCATAGATACGCCAGTCCAGCACGCAGGGTAGGCTCTAACGTCTGCTCGTATGCTTTGGTTTCGTCTTCGGGGCAGTTGGCCCAGAATTGTCCCGAGCGGATGTGGACAAGGTTGTCCGGATTCGTGCCTACTACGTGATAATTTTGAATCTCGCGCTGTGACGTAGTCTCTGGTGCCAACTGTGTCTTTTCAGGCCCCTCGTTCTCGGCGAACTGATCTGTGGCTGAGGCTGGGATGCGATCGCGGGCAGCCCCCAATATGCAGTCAAGGTATGTTCCACGGTCGACACTCCGGGCAAGCGAGCCAGTCCCGGTAGATAGTCCAGACCTGAATAGTTGGTCTCGACACGCGACAGATGGCTAGTGAATCGCTCACACCACAAGCCAACAGACTCTCGATGAGGAGGACTTAATTGCTCATGGATATTCACAAGTCTCAAGCGTCGTATGCTGTCCTCATACTTGCTGGCTTCCTTCCAGTAACAGACCCAAACAGTGGAGCCGGGCATATCATCTCCGTCAAGAACCTGAAATTGTTCGATCGACGCAGGTGCGCTCGATGCATCCTCGACCATCCATCGCTGGATGCTCTCGACCGCCTCGTTAACGCTCTCAGTCAGTAACCCTTCATCGGTTTGGGCCCCACGCCGTTGGACCCCAATATATGCGGTGAAAACACAGTCCATATCAGCTGGGAACTGAGCCATCCACCTTGGAATGGGCGGTCGATGCCCTTTGGGCTGCCGAAGTGGAAAGACTCGTCTTGTGCAGCTCATCGCGATGTGCGGATATAAAGTTGTGCCGTGTTGTTTCTTCAAAGATGATGGCAAACACACAAGAAACAGGAGCATTCGTGTCTCAGAGAAGAAAATGACTTGCCTCGGATAGCATCGTATAACCCCGCTTTGATCGGATGTCTCTATGTCGACCTTACCACGTAAACAGTCCTCGCTTATAGTAATTGGTCATACTATAATCGCATCATTTTATGCATGCTGCTTGTATTCATCGATCTAGGATTTCTCATTTTCTAGTCTGCTCAGGTCATACATTCCCAACCACATTTGACGATCAGAGTCTAAACACGACCGTAACTAAGAAAGAAAAAGAGATGCAACTATGGATGCAGAGGGTTTCCAATTCAAGGATCGTCGTAGCTCCTTCGATAACCAGGGGACATCATCTCCTGTACACTGTAAACTCAAGAGCTAAAAATGTCACATAGGCAGCAAGGAATATTACACCGGCTATCCTCCCCAGGCCGAGGATAACCACCAAGAAAAAGCCCAAGGATGACACCCAGACAGTCATCAGATCGAACAGGACAAACGTGTCTGATCGATTCCTTGTATCACCGGCGAGTGCCACCACGCCGGCACAGAGAGTCAAGAGGAAGATATTGCTTCCTGCAGTAGTGGCCGCCATAATGTTGACATGTCCGCGAGACCCGCTGAGGACTGCAATCAGTTTCTCAGGCAAGGTGGTGGCGAACGACACAATGGTCAGACCAAAGACAGTTCCGGAGAGATGCAAGGAATCGGCGATGCTCACGGCACTGTGCGACAGAAGATATCCAGCTAGTGATAGTGCGATGAGGCCGAAGAATAGCTGGGTGACGTGGTACAGAAGGCTCCTAGTCGACCGTTCTGGGAGTTGGCCTGACTGAGACACTATCAAGGGAGTCGCTTCAGTCACAGAATCCACCACACCATCGGTCGACTCTACATCACTGTCGCTGTCCGATAGCTCAGGTGCTGTCGCAACTCCTTTGTAGATGGCATAGAGGATTGAGATAACATAGAGGGCAAACAAAGCGATCAGAAAGCCGCCGACTATTTTGTCCAGCTGGTTGAAGAACGCCAGCACCACGAACAGCGTGCTAACCGCGAGAAGCACTGCAGCATATATTTTGGCACTCCGATCAAAGTCAATTCGAGTCGGATGGAACAGTAGACCCAATGAGAGCGCGCCCAGGATGTTGGAGATGCTCGAGCCCATGAGGTTGCCCAAGGCCAGGGGTGTGCGATGTTGCAGAATGGCAGCAACCACCACGGCGAGCTAATCCAAAGTTAGTTCGCATAAGAGATCAGAAATAGAAAAGTTGACTTGCTTCTTCATACTCCGCCCCTGCCGTCAGCAGCGCAATAATTGTGTGCGAAACCCCCAAGGAACGGCCGACGGTGACGGTGTGATCAATGAACGTATCGGCGCCAAAATCAAGGACAAAGACACCGGCGATGAAAACGCCTATATTGAAGATGAGGCTGTCCCAATCCATTGCACCACAATCATCGCATCGTTTGGGCGAAGGAGTAATAGGGATGGGAAGCCGCCCGAAATAGGATGCCATTAAAGTTTTCCGTTTGGCGGGGCAAGTATCCGCGAGTGATGCTACCCCTGGTATGACCATCAACTCACCATCCTTCGTCGAATCATCGCGATCAGTTAAGGCAAAAGAAACAAAGGTTGCGTCGGCTGATCCACAGCAACTAGTAGATTCGATATCCAGAACGGCATTGGCTTGTGCATCCCGCAAGGGAAATTGCAGAATGCGGGGTTGGTCGCATCTGTGCAACACCAATAGCCTTCATACCCCCTGTCAGATCGTATCTGCAGGTGAAGCATCAGGCATGCAGCTGGGATGGTCGCCAGTGGATCCCGGATGATGGCCGCTTGTACAACTCCAGCACCTCGATGCCTCCCATATGATCCAGTCGTTTATCGACCAAGGCATGCCATCCATCTCACAAAAATCAAACCTGAGGGCGGGAATCACATATACGAGGGCCAAGACATACAGAGCATTGTCTGATGGCGCTGAAGTTGCAGCAATGCTACTACGGTGCCCTGGGCTTACTGTCAGCACTCGTATTCTGCCGTGCCCAGGGAGTCTAAATATGTGATACTGTGCTCTCTGGTTTCTGTGAACTACAAGAGAGGCCTCTATACATTGTGAATGGCCTTACTGAAGGGATTGGTGGAAGGAAGCCATACTGGGCATCTCACAACAATGACAGACATTGGCTGGCAGATACAACTTCTTAAAGACTCGGCGCGGCATACTTCGTATATGCATGGCCTCAGAGTCTGGATGCAGAGCGGAGTTGCTTCCCCAAGAAGCATAATGCCAGCCTTGAGTATCATTGTAAAGGATCAGTCACATCTACCGAATCGTAGAAGGAGGAGGGTTGGGGGGGGGGGGAGGATATCTGTATATAAAGCCTCTTGCTCCTCTGTCTGAAAAAACAAGACAAACAGCAGATCAACTCGAACTTGGATTGCCTATTCCAGCAAAGATGAAGCAATACCTTCTATTACTTGCCTTATCATGGCTCCTCAGCGCTGTCATTGCTGTTGAAAACAACCTGATTGACCTGCAGCCTCTTCCCCGACACGTTTGGGACAAGGATGCTTTGCACAAGAGAGATGATCCCGCTGGAAGTGTGGCGCTACAGGACCATGAGCAGTTCATGTGGACTTCTGGCAACGGTATTTCTTAAATCAGCTTTCTGAACAGCGGACTGACCGTTACAGAGCCAAACACCAAGGTCACTGCAGTCAGCATGGTTGTTTGGTCCCGACAGGATGAACGCATCCTGGACATGGACAAGATTTCCTTTGCCCTGGACTCGGTCAGCTGCACCGACGGGATGACCCTCAAGTTCAAAAACAAGCTCTTCTATCTTGCTGCCAAGTTCGCATGGCAGTGGGTGAATTACAACGACATGCGCAGTTTCGTAATGGTCTCCAGCTGGGAAGGATGCGGTAATGCCCGCGAGCGCGATCCTTGGGTGGTCAGCAACGCTGTCTTTGACGACAAGGCCTCGACGGCCAAGCTCGCAGCGACCAAGAGTACTTGGCAGAAGGTATCCAACACGACTGTTCTTGACTTTGGAGATATCGTCCTCGGCCAACAGGGCACCAAGGACAAGCGGTTCCTCGATGTAAGCTTGAACAAGGCCTTTACCCTGGATCTGAGCTCCTCGTTTCCCACTGAAATTGTCAACTGGACCATGAACACCCCGTTTGTGGATGCCAGTCTCGCCATCAACTGTGTCAACTGCGGCACCACAGGCACTCTCGCGTTCGCCGGCCATGTCGAAGCGAGTCTGTTCGGTGGGTTGGAGAAGTTTGAGCTCTCCGCTACACCTCGTAACATCGCCGCGAATCTGGACCTGAGCTTAGAGTTCAAAGGTGAGGTAGATTTTGATGGCCTCCCCGCTCCGGGTAAGGAGTGGACGCTGGTGGAGCTGCCATTGCCCAGTGGCTGGCGGGTTCCGGGGGTGTTGACATTCGGACCCAATGTCAAGATCAATGCAGGTTACAGTATTGAATATATTGGAGGCGAGGCATCTGTCACTACAGGAATCTCAGCCAGGGTGCCCGATAGCTCGGTAGCCAAGGTAGATTTGGCCAGCAAGAACCCGGTGACTATCTCAGGATGGATTCCAGAAATCCAAACCAAGCCTCTCGAGATCGAGGCACAAATCCACGCGAGAGCAAAACTCTACACGGAAGTTGCGGTGGCGGCGAGCATTGAAGTCTTTGGTATCCAATAGCCCCCTTCTTGGATTTGAGCATGTGCAGCTGACCCTTGTTGCAGACAATGGGCTGAACGTTGAAGTGGGCATCAAAGTTCCCGATATTACAGTGACTGCGGGCGCGGGATACAGTAAGCTTCTATCGAGCCCAGATCTCTTCGAATACTGACTCTGTCATCAGACGTAGCCGGCTTCTGCGCCAATGATCCCAACAAACCCTATGGAGTCAAGCTGGATGCTGCGCTGGGTGCCAGTCTGGGGCTGCAGGGCTATACAGAGGTGAAGGGGGAACGAGACGTGTTCCTGGACGTGACTTTGTACGAGACACCGACGCTGTACACGTTCCCCCAGCTCTGTCTGGCTGCTGGAGAAGAGTCTCCCGGAACCTGCATTCCTCAGTCAGACCCTCTGGATCCAGATGATGGGGTCGCTCCGGGCGTCCTTCGGAGAGATACAACGAGCTCAGTGGCGCTCTCCAGACGGGATGCAGATAGCGCCTTTTACCAGGGTCGGGATCCATATTACCTCGCCTGCGACGAGGGCCGCACGAAACAGATCTGGGTGCAAAAGTATCAGCGCCCCTCGCGACTGAGGAACAATGCTGCCGTCCCCATCATCCAGCCAGGAATGTCGTGCAGTAATAGCCCACAGAACCAATGCCCTGCCAGCACCTGGAATATCAAGGAGGTTCCCAAGGATGACCGGGCTGGCGTGACAAGACAAGGATGGGCCTGTAAGTGCCTTGACCTGGTGCGCATAGAGACAAACTGACGAAAGTAGCGGAACATATCTATGAGGGCAACTGGGTCCGTGACTTTATCGACTATCTGGTGAAGAATTATTATCCAGCGACGATCGAGGATCCCACAGTCCAGGACAACACTAAATGCAAGGGAGCGATGAACAGTTTTGGCATCCAACGCGACATCAGCACGCCCAATCCTACCGTCGCGTTCAACTACTCGGAGGCGTTGATGCAGAATCTGGGTACCGTCCATACGGCGTCGACGCTCATGGCGATTTTCCCCAACAGACAAAATGGCATGAAATATACTGTGAGTTTCGTGGAGGTCGACCAGGCACGCCGTAATGACTGACTCCCATCAGATGTTCGCTGGTAATGATCTCGATGCCAAGTTCAAGACGTCCGACAAGAATACCAACCAGCGAGTGTGCTCTCTCGGACGCATCGTCACCATCTGTCAGTATATGAATTATGGGGAGATTCGGACTCGCATGAAGGCAACCATCGCGGCCATAGACGGTCTTTTGTCAGTCTTCTCTCAATTACCTTCTTTGTTAGTTCCGTGTTGACCGTTTAGCAGAGACAAGATGCAGCAGGACGTCAACATCTACCTCCCAAGTCCCCTTAAGAATGAAACACTCAAGACGGCCCACGCCAAGTTCTTTGAGGAGAAGTACAGAGGGGGATTCCGCAATGCGCGGAATCGACTCCAGGACTATGCCAGCTGGCTCCAGGGTCAAGCTGGTTTCGGAGATCTCGACCAAGCCACGAAGGATGAAGTGGCCAAGCTTGCAAGCAATCCCGACGCTCATTGCAAGGAAATATGGCCATTGTAAGGATCAGTTGGCCAGGTCTATGAAGAAATATGTTGATAAGCTATATATTTGCATTCAAATCTGTCCTCTTGCGTCACTAGTTCAGTTTGATTGTATATCTGGTGAGAAGCGCCAAAAAGAAGATCACAATACGTGTGACACAACGAACACAATCACTTGTCACTTCTTCAATGAATGCCTGGATGGGTATCTCAGTGGTGACTAGCCTAGGACCCTTTCCGATTCTTTCCACCAATGTAGCGAGTCGAATCAAGGCCATTTATCGAAGAGACTCGTAGCAGAAAGTCGGAGAGCTCCGAATTGTGGGTTCTGAGGGGAATTAGACACGGACACTGCTACACTTGGAAGCATACACACGTCTGATCCCCTAATTTATCCCATTTGGCAGGTCTTTCTCCCTCCTGGTGCGGATCCTGGTCCGCGAGGAACTGGGACCGACCCCGGCTTGAAGACTCGGGAGTCTCGTCACTCTCGTGTAGCTTGCCGTTTTCAGACATGTTCCGTTAAGACAATCATATAGATGCTCATTAAAAATGTCCACAAGAAGAACGGTGCCGTGATACCTCTGGTATATGGACAGCGTTGAAAAAGGAGCATTATCGGACCGATGACTTCACCATTCATCATTTCCCCTCAGCATTGCCTCTTCGGGACGCCCCACATTTATGCCCGAAATGTGCAACTTGTGCTATGCAGCTGAGTCAGCAAGAGTGGCGCAGAACCATCGAGATCCCTGTGGATCTTTTCCCCATTGCTCCCTCTCACTGTTCTTTCCCTTCCCTCTCCGCCTCAAACAAGGCATAACCAGATCCATCAAGTTGCTGCCCAGTGTCGAGTGAAATGACTTCACTTTAGCACGTTTCATCCCCATTTCATCCACGTCAGTTCTGCACAATGAGGCTCTCTGCCTTGTCGCTCGAAATTCAGGATATTCCCTAATTCTTTCTCAATAATTTGACAGCACTATTTCATCCTCTTTCCGCTAACAATGACAGACCGTCCCCCTTCGTTGTCCCACGTCCGAGATGACCAGCGGGAGGCCGAGATTCTATCACAACATCTTCATCCCCAATTCACCGGGTCCCTTCATGAAGAATCTCCCCTTCAGGCCCGTGCTGCGGCTGAAGCATCCTCCAGTTCAAACACTCCGGAACAACATTCATCGCTAAAGCTCCTGGGTGGTGATGTCCATCGCGATCTCTACCGGCTCGAGGCCAAGGCCAAACAAGCTCTGCAAGAAAGACGGGCCGCCAGCTTTTCTTATCCCGCCCGACCTCCCGATGATGCGATAGAAGAAGGCGTGGCTGCCATGGAACCTGGCAGCTTTCGTCGGCACTTTGTACAACAGAAAAAGGGCTGGGCCAGCGATGCACTGGTCGCTCGCTCGTTCCTGGACTTTCTCGACCTGTATGGTAGTTTCGCCGGTGAGGATTTAGCGGAGACGGAGGATGAGTCTGCGATTGCAACGGAAGATCTCGAGCATGAGCCTGAACGACGACCTCTGCTGGGCCGGCGGAGAACAACTCGACCACCTCGCCCTGGGGACGCGTCTCGGGTCAAGACATTTTTCACCCTACTGAAGGCGTTTATCGGGACGGGAATTATCTTCCTGCCCAAGGCCTTTCGCAACGGTGGCATTCTCTTCTCCTCGGTCGCTCTGGTCACGGTCGCGGCGGTCACAAGTCTCTGCTTCCATCTTCTGCTGGAGTGTCGGAAAGGACATGGAGGCGGTTATGGTGATATCGGTGAGCGTATAGCAGGGCCTCGATTCCGATCGCTCATTCTGGGGTCCATCACCATTTCCCAACTTGGCTTTGTCTGCACAGGTATCATCTTCACTGCGGACAATTTTCGGGCGGTCTTGTCAGCAGTCGCTGAAAATAGCGAAAAAGTTCTGTCCACCAACATCCTCATCGCACTCCAATTAGCTGTTCTTGTGCCGCTGGCATTCATCCGAAACATCTCCAAACTGGGTCCGGCGGCGCTCCTCGCGGATATTTTCATCCTCATGGGTCTTGCGTACATTTATTACTACGATATTGCGACCATTGCGTCCCGGCATGGGTTGGCATCGTCAGTGGAACTATTCAATCCCAAGTCATTTACCTTGACCATCGGTTCCTGCATCTTCACTTTCGAAGGAATCGGCCTCATCCTCCCCATCCAATCGTCCATGAAACACCCGGAGAAATTCGACGGACTCCTCTATACTGTCATGATCATCATCACTGTGCTCTTCACCGCGGTCGGCGCTCTGTCCTACGGCGCTTTTGGTTCCGACACGAAGATCGAAGTCATTAACAATCTTCCCCAGGGAGACAAGTTTGTGAACGCTATGCAGTTCCTCTACTCGATGGCGATCTTGATCGGTGTTCCGGTACAACTGTTCCCCGCCGTTCGGATCATGGAGGGCAAACTGTTCGGTCAGGTGTCGGGCAAGCGAGACCCTTGGATCAAGTGGAAAAAGAACATCTTCCGATCGTTGATCGTGTTGGCTTGCGCTGTGATGTCGGCCGTCGGAGCTGCTGACTTGGACAAGTTTGTGTCGTTGATCGGCTCGTTTGCTTGCGTTCCTCTGGTCTACATCTATCCGGCGTACTTGCACTGGAAGGGGGTTGCAGACTCCCCCTTGGCTAAGTTTGGCGACCTTACAATGGTGGTGCTGGGGTTCGTCTTTATGATTTATACGACCTTGTCTACTGCTTCGGTATGGCTTGAAGGGCATAAGTAAGTTATGCATTGCTTAGATAGCTGGACTTGAAATCTCAAATGATACACTATTTCCGCTTGATACTTTTCCAGTCACGAGGAGTTGAACCATTGGTGACAATGGGCCTCCGAACCTACTCTGGGCTTTTTGCGTACAGTAAACATGATCCAATTGCGTTCAGCCAAACAATTAAGGCACGAGAATAGGGACCGCGAGGCATTTTTTCAACCTTGATCTGTCTCTAGTAAAGGCAGCAGTGGACTCAGTAAGTCAGTATCATCCTACCTCGGAACCCGACTTACCGAGTGCGCCAAAGGACGATCAGCTGTTATATCTCAAGGACTATTCATCCGTCGCACTCATTTAGTGTCAAAGTTTTCTTGCTAGGCATTAACAGATACCGGCATAATGGACGTCGTGCTTGATGTTCTGGATACCTTTGTCTTCGACAAGTTATATGCGCTTCTTCTACCAGCCAAATCATTTGACCTTTCGGACCAAGACTCGCTGCTTGATTACAACTGCCATATCAATCGATATGTCACCCTCACTCCAAACCAACACACTGTGCAGAGCAGCTGGTCGCGAGACAATATCTTCCGGCAGTTTCTGAGTCTTTTCATCACGATTTGGTGGGGCTTCAATGTCCCTATTCAGACCAGCGGCGATAGCACCTGCTTATTGACTTCTTAGGGGCTTCGGGCTTCTGCTCTACTTGACCACTGCCACCCTCTCCTTCGCTCTGGTCTTCGACAAACGTGCCATGCAACATCCCAAATTCCTTCGCCATCAGATACGGCTTGAAATCGGGCAGGCGCTGCGCGCAATGCCCGTGATGGCGGCCCTGACTGCTCCTCTTTTCCTGGCCGAAGTGCGAGGATACAGCAAGCTATACGACTTTCCCACCGAGAGTCCCTTCCCACTCTATACCTACCTCCAGTACCCGCTCTTTATCGCGTTTACCGATTTTGCAATCTACTGGATTCATCGAGGACTCCATCATCCGGCCATCTATAAACGCCTGCACAAGCCGCATCACAGGTGGATCATCTCCACCCCCTATGCGAGCTACGCCTTCCATCCGGTGGACGGCTGGAGCCAGGGTCTTCCATACCACCTCTATCCGTTTCTTTTTCCGCTGCAGAAGGCGGCGTATTTGGGTCTCTTTGTTTTCGTGACCATCTGGACGGTCATGATCCGTAAGTCTTCTGAGATCCTCTAATTCGTGAAAGAGTCAAATGCTTACGATTGAGATGAATGCCCAGACGATGGAGAGTACGCTCTCGATTCACCCGTGATTAATGGATCAGCCTGCCACACTATTCACCACTACTATTTCAACTACAACTACGGGCAGTTCACCACGTTTTGGGACCGTATTGGAGGCAGCTATCGCAGGCCAAATCGGGAGCTGTTCAACAGGCAAGAACGGCTCAAACAGACGGAGATCCAGCGGCAAGTCGAAGAGATGGAGAGATTGGTAAAGGAGGTCGAAGGATCTGACGATCGGTGTTATGAGCAAGCCACCAAGAAAACTTCTTGAGGTGATCGGCTGTTGTGTAGAGGAGGTCATGTAGCAAGGTTGAGTGTTTGGTGTTGTCTGTGAGATCCGCCGGACCGTCGTAATGTTAATGATGTTGGTGGAAGGCGCTCTTAAGGTGTCCACAATTTGCCATCCCTTGAATATATCTCCACCAGCGCCTTCTATCTACATACATGCCATCCAGCGGAAAAGAAAAGGACAAAACTCCCATTTAATTCAGGAAGACGGCTTTTGAAAAGTTTGCCGGGAAGTGGATCTTTGGTTGTGTTCCGGAATCGTTCCACTACAGCTGTCCACAGAAGGCGTAGGGTAATAAAAGCAACGGCGAGACTGATCAACTGACCGGCCACCAATCAACTTCTTCTTGTTTAGCAGTCGCGAAATAGCCAATATGCAGTCTTTCAGACGCGCTAACTACCATTTATCAAGACACACATCGCGGGGGCTGTCCACGGCATGTCAAGGATTGGGCCTCAAGATCAACGCCAATAGATTATGGGAAACGCTACATGAGACGTGTCAGTGGGGAGCTGCTCATCGTCATGGCGAGTACGTGAATTGTCATCTTCCGGTTGAAGGGTAGAGCTTATTCCGAATAGGAGCCCGACAGACACTGGGATGGCTCGTCTCACGCTGGATGACAACGATGCACGTGTGCGGCGATGGTTCGCCGCAGAAGTCGAAAAACTCGGATGTTCGCTGTCCATAGATCAGATGGGGAACATGTTTGCACGCCAGAAAGGCAAGTCCCAGTCATCTGCTCCCATGATCGCCATGGGAAGCCACCTTGATACCCAGCCACGGGGCGGTCGGTACGATGGCATTCTGGGGGTGATGGCGGCGCTGGAAGTGCTACGGACAATGAAGGAGAACGGATTCCAGACCAACTACGACGTTGGGGTTGTCAATTGGACGAAGTGAGACCCTGCTCCCTAGACCTCTCCTCGTACTTCTTCTAAATGACTGCAGCGAAGAAGGAGCTCGATTCCCCAAGTCAATGTGCTCCTCTGGCGTTTGGGCTGGCGCCATCCCGATCGAAAAAGCCTGGAATCTGCGTGACATACGTGATTCAAGTGTCACGCTAAAATCCGAGCTCGAGAGACACGGATTTCTCGGCCAAATGGAGTGCTCACACACTGCGTATCCCCTCGCTGCTCATTTTGAGCTGCATATCGAACAGGGCCCCATTCTACAAGAGACAGGACGTTCTATTGGCATCGTTCAGGGCGCACAGGGATACAGGTGGTTTACTTTTACAGTCAAGGGACGCGATGCACACACAGGCACGACGCCCTTGAGCGCCCGTCAGGATCCCCTACTTGCAGCCTCGCGAATGATTGCAGCGTCGAATGACATCGCTCAAAAGCACAATGCTCTTGCTTCGACTGGGATCTTCAGGATTCCTCCTAACGCATCAACTAATACGGTTGCATCCGAGGTTTCCTTCACGCTTGATATCCGACACCCGCAGGATAGCGTGGTACATGCAGTGCAAGAAGAATGTCTACTGGCCTTCTCTGCCATTGCGGCCCAGGACGGAAAAGGAGTCACCTTCGACTGGACGTTGGACACCGATTCCCCGGCTGTGAAGTTTGATCAGGGGTGCCTTGAGTCCATCCAGGCAGCGGCCAACCACCTCGTTGGTCCCGAGCAGTGGATGAACATATCCAGTGGCGCTGGCCACGATAGCGTGCATACCAGCCATCACTGTCCGACTGCCATGATTTTTGTGCCCTGCCGCGATGGCGTCAGTCACCATCCGACGGAATATTGTACCCCCGAGCACTGGTAAATGGTTGTTCTTATTCTGTCGTAGTTGGATGCTAACTCTCATAGTGCATTGGGTGCTCAAACCCTGCTTGAGGCTGTGGTTCACTACGACCGGACCAAGGCGCAAAACATTTGAATAATGAATTGAGTGAATTAAAGTCAGTTAGCAAAGAAGTGGACTTACATATTCTATAATAGACTCGCAAATATAGAGTCTGGAGCACCCTACTGAATGGTGCAGGCATATGTTGCCTATCAGAGAGCCTGGTGATTTTTATGCAACATAACCAGAAGTGTCCATATCCAAAATATTCAGAATGGCTGACAACAGGGACTGCACCAGGGAACGTTTCATCCACCCTTTTCATCTCAGTCAAGCTTTTCTTCCTTTCTGTGCCATTATTCCCCACTCCCAAGAATGTTCATAGAAGGCGCTTTTTGTCGCGAGAAGGCACAGAGACCCACTCATAAGACAGCTCAAAATTTTTAATTTACATATATGTACACAGCACTGATCATAGGTCCATGCATATCCTGCTTAATTATTGCAACAATCTTTTCCCCTGGCAAAATGTCTCGTCGCCCAATATACTTCAATCCCTTGGCGGCGGACGAGCGCTGCGATTCCTCGACCATCCAAGGCCTCAATCATTTCCATCATTCTCTCCCTGATTACTGTCCAACACCCTTGGTCTCACTCCCTGAAATTGCAGCCGAGTTAGGTGTCAAGGCGGTTTTCGTAAAGGACGAAACCAACCGCTTCGGACTGCCTTCCTTTAAGGTCTTGGGCGCATCATGGGGATGCTATCGCTCTGTGGTGTCTCATCTGGGACTATCACCGACTGCCGCTCTTGAAGGTGTGAAGCAGCGGCTCCAGGAAAGCCCCGTCACTTTCTTTGCAGCTACCGAGGGAAACCATGGACGAGCGGTCGCCTTTATGGCAAGGCAGCTCGGAGTGACCGCCCGAATCTTCGTCCCTGCATCCATGGACGAGGGGACGCGTAAACGTATTGCATCGGAGGGCGCTGAGGTCTTCATCAGCGATGGCGACTACGATCAAGCGGTCAAAGAGGCATGGGTCGCATCACGGAACGACCGTGGACTACTGGTCCAAGACACCGCATTCGATGGATACGAAGAGGTCCCGGCATGGATTGTGGAGGGGTACTCGACAATGATGACGGAGATCGATGAACAGCTAAGGCAGCATAATCTGCAAAGCACCTTGACTGTTACCCCTGTGGGTGTCGGAAGTCTGGCGCATGCCGTAGTCAGACATTGCAAGTCTCGGACGACCCCGATTGCGGTTGTGGCTGTTGAGCCGGACAGCGGACCGTGTCTGATCAACAGCCTCCAGGCTGGCAAGATGGTCACAGTCAAGTCTTCCGAAACGATCATGAATGGAATGAATTGTGGCACGGTGTCAGCCACGGCGTGGCCCGATCTGCAACGAGTAGTTGATGCTGCAGCCACCGTTTCATCGTATGAGAGTCACTGCGCGGTTCAGTATTTGGCATCTCATAACGTACGCGCTGGTCCTTGTGGCGGAGCATCCTTGGCTGCCATCCGATGGTTGAAAGGGTCAGGCCAGGCCGCATCACTACTGCATAGGGACGCTGTGGTGGTGCTTCTTTGCACTGAAGGTGCCCGCCCGTACCCCCTTCCTCGCGATGTGGCCGTCGAGGACGTTGTGGGTTTGACGCAAACTCTGACACAAATCAACTCATCCAACCCTACACTATCTGTGGCGGACGGCGTGGGAGAGACTGAGATCGCCGACTACCTCGCGGCCTGGTTCGCTCATCGTGGGATAGAGTGCCATCACGTCGAGTCGGTTGCCGGTCGGCCATCCATCGTCGGGGTATTGCGCGGGAGTGGCGGCGGTCAGTCGTTGATGTTCAACGGTCATATTGACACTGTCAGTTTGACTAGCTACGAGCAAGACCCGTTGTCTGGCCACCTGGGCGAGAAGGAAGGCAAGCCAGTGATTTTTGGACGGGGTAGTCTGGACATGAAGGGTGGACTGGCTGCTTCTCTGGCAGCTCTCGCAGCGATCAAAGCCAGTGGTCGCACCCTTCGGGGAGATGTCATTGTGGCAGCTGTATCCGATGAGGAAGACGCTTCCCAGGGAACACGCGATATTATTGCCGCAGGATGGCGTGCCGATGCAGCAGTGGTTCCTGAGCCCACCATGGGGGCAATCGCAATTGCGCATAAAGGGTTCGTGTGGGTGGAAGTGGACATTCTGGGTGTCGCCGCGCACGGCTCGGATCCTCAAGCGGGAGAAGACGCGATCCTTCACGCGGGTTGGTTCTTGCAGTCTCTGGAGCAGTATCAGAAGCGACTGCCCGTCGACGATACTCTGGGACAGGCCTCTCTACATTGTGGGCTGATCAAGGGAGGTCAGGAACCTTCTTCGTATCCGGAGCGTTGCACCATCACCATCGAGTTCCGGACGATTCCCGCCCAATCCAACGAGTCTATCCTTGAGGACATGAACGCTTTGTTAAGCGACATTGCAAAAGAGAAGCCTCGCTTCCGATATGCTCCGCCGCGCCTCACTGTTTCGCGCCCGACACAGAAGCTCCCTGCGGACCACCCTCTAGTCCAAAAGACTATGGCATGTGCCACTGGGGTCTTGGGATACTGTCCTGAAGTGGTCAGTGTACCGTTCTGGTGCGACGCGGCTCTATTAAGTGAAGCGGGAGTCCCTGCAATCGTATATGGTCCATCAGGAGCCGGACTGCACAGCAAGGAGGAATGGGTGGAGGTTGACAGTCTCCAGAGGATGAGCAGAATTTTCGAAAAGTTGATCCAAGAATTCTGTGCTTGAAACTTGAAGTTTATGGATTATAGATTTGTAGGAACTGTATATAGATGGACAGTTGGAAGAAAAGATGGATCTATCTTTCAACTTCGAAGTGACTAGAACTCTTCTGATCTGGACTACCATTCCATCTCCAGATGCATATACAAGTACGTGAGGTCGTTAAAACGTCCTTGTTTATTGGACGGCAGAAATTCATGCATGGCCGTGGCTTTGCGGTAGTCCTTCACCGACGCATTCAGATCGATATTGAGAACGTAACGGGAGTCCGATAGCAGGGGGCGGGCGTATGCTATTACCTAAAGTACTTACTGATGCTCATCCGGTGGTTTTATCTTATACTTAAATAGAAGGAATGCACCTTGCCAGTTACTTCATGGTAAGCTGGACAGTTACGGCGGCTGAGGGACATGCCTCTAAGCAGCGAACTTCGCAGTTCAGCCGGAAGAACCAGTTTGGACGCGCTTCTGGCGTCTACTCCAGGCCTTGCTCAACTTAGCCAGAGGCTCCTGATATTCAGGGCACCCTGGTGGAGACTATTCTCCAGGCACATCACAAGACCGTAAAGGACACCTGGCCTTTCAGGAGCTTGCTGCATACGCTCAACTAAACAGGGTCAAGCTATTTGAGAGACCGAAGTCCATCTGGCAGGAGCTTACTGTGGATGAAGAGTCTCGAAAGAACCAAGATGAGCCAGGCAATACTGAACGTCGTCCAAGTGCAGCGTTTGGAGAGGTCAAAGGATCCATACAGATGTACTGGCGTGTCTGACATAAACAACGGCAAACAGTAAATATAGACTTAGGCACTCTGCTTGCAATTGATGCCAGCAATATCCATATAACATGTCCTGTTCATGTTTTGTTTCGGCTTTTTTGAAGCGGTTGACATTGGACGGTAACACGTGATATGTCAGACGAACTAACTGCTTGGCTGAACGGTTCTGGGAGTCACATGACTTTCATGAGTCTTACTCTGACCTTCTCACGAAGAGGGGAGTGAGTGCTCGTCAATATTATCGACTCTTCATCTGCGCATCGTAATATGGCCTGATTACAGTCACTATCAATAGGCATAAGCATAATGGATCATCCAGATTATCTGAACTCCTTGTCCTCACATCCCGCTCCTAATCCGGCGGAGAATGGCACATGGTTTAATGCCGATGACACGGTTGATACCACTTTATTCAGCAACAACCTTCAACATGATTCTACGCTTGATGTGAACCAGCTGAATGACATGTACTATCTGTCATCCGGGTCTGCAAATGATGAGTGGCTAAGCTGGTTTGACGCCAACGGTCCAGATACCCCGGAACTGTTTCCGTCCCCTACGAGGCAGGACCCTGGAGTCTTGCAAGCTGCCACTACAACGACCAGGGATACACGGTCGGAAATGCAAAATCAGACCCCTGCTATAGCCTCGCAAAGCATGTCAAACGTCACTCAGTGGCTAGATGGTGCCTACTGCCCTCCACAGCCCTGCAGCTACTGCCGGAAACACCGGCTGCAGTGCCTCATCATCCGTACCACACCAGCGAATCCGAATCCGGTAACCTCTTGTTCCAGCTGTGTCGCTTTATTTCGGGAGTGCAGCCTGGCCCGCGGAGAAAAGCGCCAACCATCACGGTTCGAGACGCTCTCTCCCGTGTTGGGCCACCTGCATGGTGTCACCGAACTGGAGGAAGACGAGGTACGCGGTGACGCATATCATGATCGGATATTGCTAACTAGGATGCAGGGAGAGCAAGCAGAGGCATCGGTACCAGACATCAGCTGCGCAGACACGCAGAAGGAGTCAAAACAGTTCGTCAGAAGAGGCGTCCGGATATTGAAGGAATGGTTTCGCGACCACCATGATTTCCCATATCCTTCTGAAGAGGAGAAAGCGCGCTTGGTTCGTGAGACTGGATTTTCACGAAAGCGCATGTCAACATGGTTTGCCAATGCACGCCGCCGCCAGAAGGATAGATTTGAAACTCCTCCAGCTGCTCAAATCTGCCGCTCTGGATCTCCAATGCCAGCGAGCCGGCTGACCCTCATGACGCCGATGGAAAGATGGCAGAATTCACCCCCGGAGGAGGAAGCGGTACCGGAGTCAGTCATCATGAATGCCATCTCTTCTTGTGAGGTAGCACCTTCAGAGCACGAAGCCGCCATGTTCGATTCGTTCCTGAATCTCGACGAGACATTGTCGCATCTCGGTTCTTCTGTCTCTAGCATGGGAAGTAGACACTCAGAGAGCTCGACAAGCGTCTCATCCGCATGGAGCCACCGCTCCGGAGACAGCTCGCTACCGTTCCCGCTGCATCACCCACGTCCGCGGGCCCGGCACAGAAGAACTAGGCCTAGAGGCTCAATGAACGAAGGGCAATACCAATGTACTTTCTGCACCCAGTCCTTCAAGAAGAAGCATGATTGGCTCCGACACGAGAAGAGCGTTCATCTCCAGCTTGACGCATGGGTCTGCACTCCGGATGTCAACGAACTCCGGCCGGGCAACTTACCGTCGGAATGTCGATTCTGTGATCATAACGCGCCATCTATCGATCACTGGAATGACCACGAGTTTGAGGTGTGCGCGCAGAAGCCCGTAGCAGATCGTTCTTTCAGTCGGAAGGACTATCTATGGCAGCATTTACGCAAGTTTCATGGATGTACCAAGCTGCCCGTTGACAGTCTGGATCAGTGGCGTAGTGCTGGGAGCGACGTCCGTAGTCGCTGTGGATTCTGTAATGCGTCATTGCCCACCTGGACAGCCCGAGGGGATCATCTCGCCGATCATTTCAAGCAAGGGTGCCGCATGCATCAGTGGGTTGGTGACTGGGGATTAGATCCGCACATGTTGGGTGCCCTGCAGAACGCCATTTTACCATTTGAGCGGACCATGGAAGCTACAACAGATTTCCCTCTGTCTGCTGGCTGAGTTCCCTCGAGCGGTCTCAATGTATTGTTCTGCATCGTCCAAGGCATACTATCATCCAGCTCATCTGCTTCTTGGGTTGATCTTGATATCCCTATGGATTGCAAGTATTAGGTGAAAGACCAGCGTTCATATGGGTCTCTCTTCATCAAATCAAAACTCATCAATGGTGCCTGTGTGGCATTCCTAGCTACTGTACAATATGGTATTTCCTGAAATTAACCTCAAAACCACATAGAGGTTTCATGACATTAACATTACATTCGTGACCACAAATCATTTGCCGGGTTCATAACATGCATTCCTAATAAAATCTCGACAAAAGACTGCTCCTACTGGAAAGCCGCCGGTACTCATCCATGGCTGGACTGACAGGCTTCGGCATATCGTCGACTTCCATCGAGGCCATGGAGCGACTGGCTCTCATCGAGGCCGGCCGCACATTCTGTTCGGCCTTGGTCCGGATATAATAATGCTCATCCTCCTCCTCCATAGCCACATAGAACCGCTCGTTGAGCTGGCGACCGTGCGGTCCTGCACCACACGCCCCTTGCAGCTGCGCGGTGGCCGGGCTGTTCATCGCCAACGCGAACAGATTCTGAGGTTCCGTAAAGTCGGTGATTTGTCGTCCACGCACCTCGAACAGCATGAACGCGAGAATGATGGCACTTGTCAAAAAGGCAAACACCAGGACCAGATAGAACACGTTCTGCCATTGCTCCGTGCCCCCGGAAGCATATCCCACGGCGCGAACTGTGGCCTCGAAATACTGCGGAACGGGTTCGGCGAGTGCAGAGGAGTCGTTATCGGTCTTGGTGTAGTTAAAGAATTGCACAAAGGGGGCATTCCTCGACCCAAGGAGCAGGGTACTGCCTGCCAGAACCGCAAGCGCCTCGCCGACCGATGGTAACTTGGGGTCAAGCGAATAGGTCTTTGTTCGATTATCGAGGGCCGGAAGGAACTGCATCAGGAGGCGAGCATTGCTGGCGCGGCCGTCGGTGATACCCGAATTCAAACTCAATGATTTCGCCCACTCGTCAGCCACGTTCTTCCAGTTGCCATCCCACACTCCGTCAAGGGCACTCTGATTGCGGTGATTATACTGCAAGGGATTCGCAGGATTCTCGCACCTGGTTGAAAAGGAAGCTCCACTGGCGGCCGCCGAATACCTGGTCGAACACACCGGGGACAATTTCGCCTTGAGTGCGCACAGCACATAAGGCGGTGTCATGGATTTATTTGGCGCTGCTCCGAGGATGTAAATGGCGTTTGTGGGCCAAAAACCAGTGCTATTGGTGATGGTATTGTTGGCTAGGGGCAACTTGCCAAACACAGGAGGCGTCTGCTTTATCTCGGCGTTGGCGTTGGGATCCCACCCGAAGAGGTCATCGACGACCGTTCGATTAAACCAGTCGACGGCGACGTTTGTGTGTCCCTCGTAATCCCAGGTCAGTGGGTCGAAGTTGTGCCCGCCAGGCCACCTCTCGTATACTAAGGGAGTGAGCTCCTCGTCCGTCATCCCTACACAGAGGACGTTGATGGCCGGAGAGGGCACCGAGGCCTCAATCTCGAAGTTGCCTTCGCCGGTCACATCGGCCGGCTGGCGGATGCCATTCCGCGGGTCGGTCGCGGCGGCGATAACTCCTGCATGAGGCATTGCGGCGGTGACGTTGTTGACCATTCGACCGTACTTGAGCGACAATTCGGTCATATTGCCAATGTCAATCCAGCTTCCTGTCACGGTAGTGTTATCGTATAGCGAGCCGGTCGGGGGTGGCCGCGCTGCGAGGTTTGACGTCGTCCGGTTCTTCCTCTTAGCCAGGTCGCTCCAAGCAGAGATGTACGCCTGGTAGTTGTGGTACGCCTGTCCGACCAGTTCCAGGTCCAAACAGGTACTTCCTGCCGCTTCCGGGTCCATGGCCAGAGTGACGGGGGTCGAGCAATGAATTTTGAGGTATTTCGGGTTGGCGAATTCGGTGGACACGTTTCCGACCAAGACCCGAGGTTCGATGGGGCCCATCCGCAGTTTGGGCGCAACTATTACCATCAGTTATGCACGTCTTGTTTTCATCAGAGCAAACCCCTACCTAGTGCCTCTGCTGCGGTGGTGTAAAGCATGGCCACCAACGTCGCGGTCAACGTGATCAGGCCCAGCACCGTGAGCGCTGAGTACCGCACAGTCTCCCAGTGCACAATGAGAGAGCCTGGCTGCATGATCCAGGTACGCATGCTCATGTCGGAGATAGTAATCCCCGCGACCCCTTGGTGATCGCCCGACGACTCAAGACTTGCCCCAGAAACGCGACGCAGACAGTCACGTACGACAGCTCAATGGTCTTGGCGAAAAGTGCACTAAGTAGGCTGGCTGTGGAAGGCGCCAGGCCACCCTCTTCACCGATCTTTTTGTCATAGCGCGGCTTGACCAGCGCGAGCACCAGGTAGATGCCGGAGAAAATGGTGGAGTAGATCGCGAGGACCAGGATTGTGATGGGAACCCATGACAGCCGCTTCTGGACTATACCCTGGTGTGTTGGACATTTTATATATTCCGGCGAATGCGGCAATAGTGTCGTCCGCGACGTCTGGTCCTGCAATGGCGACGGCTCCGAGGGTTCGGGATACGGGGATTTGGTCGCGAGGTCGCCGTCGTCGTCGGCGTCATCGGGAGACTTATACGGGGATGGAGGGAAGGTATTGGTGATTCCTAGGCCAAACGTGGTCCCGCGTTGTGCGGGTGGTGAAGCGGGGTCTTCGTTTGTAGAAGAGGCGGGCTGATAGCGGATATAGTCTCGGTCGGGTGAAGGACTGCGGTCAAAGGGATTCCACGATTTGGATGGGAATGAGTCGTCTTCATTATCATTATGATCATTATTATTAGTGGTGTCGTCTCGACGAAGCAACTCGGACAACGGAGGCAGAAGATATTGCTCCGACTGCTGCGATTCGGACGCCATGACGGGGCTGTTCTGAATTATCTGAAGCGACAGTAGGGAGTGTGATGGATGGAAGCGACTGTAGTTGAGGTCATAATGCAAGAATGCCAGGAATATCAGAGAACTCCTACACTACGTTTCTGGTGATGCTGTTGGGGGGGTGTAGGACAGAAAAGCGGACTGTGCCACCGCCAGCGGAAGCGTAAGATTAAGTACCTCCACGGGTGAACTGTCCGATGAGCAGGGATAAGCACTCGAGCTGAAATCTGTGACCAATTGAAATGCTCTGGATTTAAGCCACGCGGTCTGGGCGCTGTTGGACCTTCTGAGACCGGTTCGTGGTTGTTTGAGTCTCGGAATACTCCGCAGATAACGATGCAAGTACTCTGTCCTTTTAACATCTTCAGCAATGGATTCTGTCTCTTGATTTATTTCCGTTTCAGCCCTGTATATACCCTTCTATTGTACTACAGTCTGCTGTAGTTCGCCATAGCACTGCTGGACTATTCTCAAAATAGGTTGTACGACCCATAACGGGTGATCAGCTTCGAGGCTTGAGAGTCAGAGTCAGGGTAACGGGGCTCAGCCTTGCGCATCGTACACAGAAACAGGAAAGGATCAGCCCATCGCAAGGAAACTAACCTGCTCCGCTCGTGCTAGGCTCTAGGTTCGTGTATTATTAATCTCGTAGACTTCTCATTTCCTTTGTCCTACCTTAGTCTATTCACTTGACTCTGAGGCTGTTTTCCATCCCCAACAACTTCAATTCTCTACACTGAAAATGACAATACCACGGGGTAGGACCATGGAAGTAAGTATACATCCAAACCACTAAGAGAGTGCGCAGTTGGATTATAGTTCCCGAAACCCTATTATTCAAGCTTAAATAGGCCTTCAATACATCTCTAGTTATATATAGTACAGTTGTGTGCTGGCCCTTGCTCTACCCAACCAGTTCCGTGCTTAAGCTGTACCTGCTTATCTTAGAGGTTATTGGAAAGGAGACGTCACTCATAGGAACGACGGCTTCTAATTGAGATAAAAATAATTTCCAAGAGAAGTTACTCGAATTATTTGTGGTTGTGATGTTTATCTCGCAATAACCGCTGCTAATGATATCCCGTACATCCACAACCTGTTTTCAATCCCCCGACACTCTTGATGCCTTTCAAAGAAGGCTCCAGAACTTAGCATCTACTACTGGAGCATTGCCGAAGGGGGATTCAATCGAGTTTTTCTCCCCACGTTCGGTGATGGATTCGAGGCCCATTGCCAAGGTTCCATATCAAATCGCGGGGCCCACGCAATACGCGACCGTCAGCGAAGCGGCCACTCTCCAATATCTTCACTCCAAAGGTATGCTTGTACCCAAGGTATACGGATATTCCTCCTGAACTTCAAGCTGCGTTGTGCACTTCCATCGCCGAGAATAACCGTGATTGGCCCAACTGCGGATTACATGTTTTGCCATAGGAAGCGAGCTGGTCTCAATCTTTACCGTGGACCTTGTACGTTCATCTCATAGTTGGAATCTCAAGATGTCCAGTTTCTGACTATTGCTGCAGGGATTGACCCTAAGAAGTACCTTGCCTCGATTGCAGCGAAATAAATTGAATGGACCCGGCAGTATGGAAAGCCGGTCCAGCTTGGCTTTCCGCATAATGGAGTCTTTCCCGGGGAGAAATTCCCAGAGGATTACCTCTGCCTTCTAGATAAATACCTTACATTGGCGCAGTATCTACTTCCAGACGAACCTGATAACCCGCTTGATCGGCCAACTCTCCGCCATCCAGGTATGTATCGTCCATTGAATATACAGTCGAGCAACAGTACTGACAAGTTGAGATTTGAACCCGAATAATATCTTCATTTCACCCGACTCCGATGCCATCTTTTGTATCGTCGACTGGCAGCATGCAACGGTCGAGCCGCGTCTGCTGGTTGCTGGCCATTTCCTCGCGCATTCGAAAACCCAGACCCTGAACAAACCCCCGAGCTAAACGAACCATCTCTTCCATTGGACTACGAATCACTTTCAGCCCATGAAAAGGCTGAAGCTGATATACTGTATCGTCGGCGTCTGCTCTTTTATTACTACCGTATCTTCAATGGTCATTTCAACAAGGCACATCTCGAAGCTCTTCGTGACCCGATCCTTCTGCCGCGTCAACACCTTGTGGATCGGGCTGGCAGACAATGGAACGGGAATCCCATGACGTTGAAACGGGCATTAGTGCGCACGGTCGAGTACTGGCCTCATTTACCCGATACGAAGGGACTGTCGTGCCCGGTGCAGTTCACCGGCGCTGAATTGGAGGGCTTTCATGAGCAGGAACAGCGGTGGTTTGACTTGAACAAGTTTGTGAATCATTGGCGGGACCAGATTGGCGGTGTAAATAAAGATGGCTGGACCAGCAATGAACAGTATGAGTGAGGCTGTACAGAAAATTGCTGAGCGTAAGGCTTCTCTTGTGGCTAGTGCGGAGAGGGACGAGGGGGATATTCGTCGCTTGGAGAAAAGGGTGGTTGTTCAGAGCTCGTGAGGAGATTAGTTGATATAATAGAGAATGTCTTTCGTCCATAATATTGATGATTATGTGCTTCTGCCCACCTTCCAGTCGGTTGGGATTGTACCATTTGGGTACAAGTTGATAAAGTGGCGGTGCGGTGCCTTTCTCCACCTGCATTTAGCCGTTACAACTTACCCCTCTCCATCAGAGATGTTGACATCTGTGCATCAATAAAGACGAATCATTCTTGACTCAGCTTGATTCCAGATCGTTGATCTTCAATATGACTCAATTAGAACTTGTCACCGACCCTGATGATCTGAATGAGTTTCATATTACAGCTGGACTGTCTAGCCTCAACACTGGAGGCTCGCGGGCCCCACCAGACCCAGCACTGCGGACGCGGAAGGTGAAGCTGGTTTTACTACAGCCTCTAGCCAAGCCTGATATGCTTGCAGCCTGCCGTAATCCCGTTTCTCGCGTCACTCGCAGATCCACTGGTAGTGTCGATGGCGCTTCCACTTGCGAGTTTCTCGATATCCGACCCCTCAGTAAGGCGTGGAGACAGGCAACGATGAAAGTCCCGCCCTTTTCTCACTTGATATTTGATCTTACCCTACCAAAAGCCAATGAAGGACGCAATGACTCCTTTCGGAAAGTGTACTGGGACATCGGCATTCCCCAAGGCGACACGCTCAGTGTTGAGGTGCGGGACGTTATGAATCTGGTCGTCACCATCGCCACCGAGACGAGGATACGAACCAAGGGTAGCGTGTATTTCGAAATCGTTTATGACGAGGCTGAAGGGGTAGCGCCTAGGGTATTGACCCGTCTAGACAAGCAGCTTCTTGCTCTTCAGCAGTTTCCTGGGAAGAAAGATGTGGAAAGGGCGAATGGTCACTGATATAATGGGTTACTGATGCTTCCTTGCAAGTGGGCTGGTCGGGCGCGAAAGGGTGTATCTTTGACATTATTATGATGGACAGAATTATTGTCTATATCCGCGCAAGTCAAGGAACGCGATGCTGCAGCCATTAGAACATGATCTGTATTTGAGCACTGACAACGCTATCTAGCTACCTAGTTATTCTTGTCCATTCATAGATGTACTATCTATCACTCTTTCCTCATGCTACCTACCTCCACTGCGCATATCCACACCTAGTACTTCCGGAATGCGATTCGAAAAGCGCAAGCTGTCAGGAACATCATCCCGGCCGTCACAGACCATAGCACCACAAGTAAAGGATCCTTAGCCAGCGGCGACAAAGCCATTCCTAACAGATATCCGACTCCAGCAGTGCTGATATAGCACGCCTGTAGAACCGACTTCATGCTCTTCGGGGCATGCAAATACGTGCACTTTGATCCAGTGGGCCAGCAAAACACCTCGGCCAGGGCGATGATCACAAAAGTCGGTAGCTGAAGCAAAACATGCACTTGGTTCGGGGTGCGGCCACCTGATGCAGCGCACGACAGTGGATGGGAGTAACATGGACCGGAGCGATAGATGATTGCCTGCACGACTGCGGAATACGCCATGGCCACGGACATGATGAAGAATCCCAGACTGATGCGGTTGACGGGGCTGAAGTGGATCTTGCGTCGTCGGAGAAGAGGATAGAGCTGTTTCTGGATGAGCACGCCGAAAATCACGTAGGGGATCGGGTTCGACGTCTTGATCAGGTCATTGGGGATGCCGTGGGTTTCCATCTGTCCGGCTTGCGAGATTGAGACTTGAGCACCCTGTCCCATGCATACCCAGAAAATGGGCCATCCAATGCTGCTGCCGTTAGCTGCTACATCGCGATGACGGGGATCGGGGAGGAATACCAGATTTTGAATGCAGACAGGGCACTCCGAAGCTCAGAAATAAAGTCCTTGTCCCATGGCACCACTCGCTGGTGCTTCTCTAGCTGGTACTCTGGCCGAGCGGCGTCCAAGCTGAAGCCATCCCGGGTAGCATACCATAGGCAGCGAGCTGCACGTGGAAGAACAGAGCCTTGTGGGACAGGATGAACTATCGAACCCCAGGATCAGCAATTAACACTAGCTGACATACGGAAATTCCTTGCTGCCATACCAAACTTTGGTCTTGCTAAATGGACAATCACCACGGCAAGTACGACGGCACACAGACCCAGCAGGTACGCGGACCAGAAGCCAATATACTTTTCCATCAACGTGGTAGCAATGATCCCCAGTGACCCGACATTCACCATCCTAGAATTACCATCTATCTGTCAGTAACACAGTCATCCAGTATTGGCACTATCGTTCATCATACCAAAAGTACACATTGTAGATATACTGGATGGTCAGTTCGCGACTTTCGACCACCCGCTGGCCATTCTTCCTGATCCTTATCCGCATAGTTTGCTCTGTATATTGGTCCGCTGAACAAGCAGTAAGTGTCGTCCCTTGAATTGGTGAGCATAAAGTTGAGGACTTACCAATGAAAGGCTGTACTGAAGCTTGAACACCGCCCAGTCCCACAGCGATCAGAATACTTCCAAATATGAACCCTATACGAGAAACGCCGCTCTTCATCTCGGAGGGAAATGAAGTGCCGAACAGGATTGCAGACCCTAGAGCATAGATTCTGCAAGCCAAGTCGTTAGAAGAGGTCCGACAAGCCAGAATGAAGTCCAGAAGTACCCAGTGAAGATCTGCAAAGCTTTATATCTCCCTAGACGTCCATCAACCAGGATTGACGCCGGCAATGACAACAGATTCACTGTAACGGTGAAAGCCAAATTGACCGTGGTAGCATGAGTCTTTCCTAATCCCATCGCGCCAGGTATGAGGTCATCTAGGCTGTTCTGGAGATAGTTCTCTATACAATATAGTACCAGAAGGCCAGTAATTTAGGTGTCTGCACCACTCTAGAGTTCAAACAGCTTCTGTACTTACGGAAGAGACTCTGTGTGCCATAGTACGCAAACCGCTCTGCCATTCCAATCGTTGCAGCAAGCCAAACCCGCGCCGGCAGGCAGGCAGTGACATGTTCCATATCCCGGATCTCATCTTCAGTCGCCGCTTCGCTGCCTGGTGCTGTGGACAATGGAGCGATGTATGCTGCTTGTCCTTTTTCAGCTTTGTCCTCCATAGCTGAGTCCAGTCTCAGGGCCATGTTGGTAGAGTGTCACGAAGTGATAGTGTGTGCTATCTTCTAGATTTTCCTTTGATACTACCCGCATTAAATACGTTATCTCATCTATAGAAATGCCCGGAATTCAACGGCGTTGGACGGAGTTCGGGATAGCTTCAATGGACAAGTCCATTGTCAGGGACTAGGTATACCGGTTTACGGACTAACGCATCGGTATAGTATAGTTCAAATCCGGTTGCAAGCTACAATCCTAGGCCCAAGACACAATTCAACAACAGCATCGTACAGAGTCATATATGGGTGCTCCTTGCACAAGTAGTAATCTACTCTCATAGCAGCCCTGATAGCAAGGCTAAAGCCTTGGATTATAGGAAGTATCCAAGCAGCTCAATACAAAGTATACCTCTCCGGAGAGAAGGTCGAGTATCTGCATTGAAGTAGTAATACATCCATAATAATGCAAATCCCTCCATCGAGTCAAGGACCCCGTTCAGATCCGTTAACGTAGGAGATGCCACTAATATCCCAAGATCCCTGTCAACATTCGTAATTCCACTAGAACTGACTGTCAGTATTTATAGAGATTTGCCTCGTATTTCTGTTATGGAGACAACAATACATTAACCGATATTCTGGTCCCTCGGGGCTGTGGTGAGCGTATATACTTGCCCCGCCAACCCCGCAACTCGTCCATTCCGCCAGCCGCCCTCGCTTCTTAGCACTGGGCTCAGGATGGATTATGGAATGAGTCGGACTTCACATCTCCGTCGCATCTGCGGTCCTCCAATATGGCCATCACTATCGATACAGCAAGGGAAACAGATGCTCCTCGCATCGCCGATATTCACATGGCGGCATTTCACACCAACGGCATGCTGCTGGCCCAGTTTCCCACGCCGGCCGTGCGAAAGGGGCTATGGACGTCGCTAGTCGACAAAGTCATCAAAGAGATTCGAGATCCGCAATGGGAGGTACTAGTGGTTAGAGAGGATGATGATCGAGTTGTCAGCTTTGCCAAATGGTGTCTTCCCGTTTCTGAGTCGGCGGTGTATGAGGAAGAGCCATGGGTGTGGCCTGAGGGCACCAATATGGCTATTTTGAACGCTTGGACGGAGAAGGTCGAGCAGGCAGCGGACGAAATAATGGGGAGAACACCATGCTATCGTACGTTTTGTGCGATCCGGTTATCTGATTGACGATTGCTTACAGCGTCCAGGCCTTAGCTTTATTGCGACTGACCCATCTTATGCACTGCGTGGAGCAGGGTCCCTGTTGGTCAACTGGGGAATTGAACGCAGCAAGAAAGAGAACATTCCTATTGCTCTGGAAAGCACGCTGGCTGCTGTACCATTCTACCAGAGCTTTGGATTTCAAACAGAGGCGCGAATCTCCATGCCACTGGAAGGCATCGGAAAGGATGGTGAAACAATCCTGTACGAGGAAGAATGTCTTACATATAGACCTAAGACTAGACCATACTTTGAATAAAGAACCATACAAACTAAATTGACTAGCACCAGCCGTATTTCTCATTCAAGAGCCAATTGAGCGAGTACGGCTTTCCACTCCCCTCGCCATACCATTGCAGACAGGGTATGCTGTCTTGTGTCCGTTGCTTGCGCTGGAACGGGATACCCGATAGTTGTATTGCCCTCTCCAGAGAGTGCGACGGATTCCAGAGCTTGATCTTGTGCAGATCCCATTCCGCGGCTTCTGCCTGAGCAGCTCGTATAACCTCTCTCACGCTCGTGACTTGTTCATAGGTGAGATCGTCGTCGGCGTCGAAACTCAGGGTTGCACCCTCCATGACAAATCGGAGAATGTACAGCGTGTTCTCGGAGAGGCTTTTGTCTGGATGATTATAGAAACGGTGCGTCCAGATGGCCCAGACAAATTGTCCGGGTTCTCCGCTCATGGCGCCTTTTACAAGCGGTGCTCTACCAAAGAGCTTCTGCGTCACAAACTCCTCCTTGCTGTGATGCCATAGCATATGGTCGTGGTCTGGGAGAATAAGCAACCGGGTCATATTATTCGTTGAAAAACGCGACATGGTGTGTCCAAGTCTCGCCACGTCGACGGCACAGAGCCTGGCTACATCCTCAGCATAGACAGGCAACGCAGTGTGCTGTACCACAGCAGGTTCAAATTCGATATGGTCGCTCGGAAATGGATGCCATCCCAGGCTTTTATAGAATCTGGGCTGAATGTCCGAGAAGAGTACACTGGCCACACATTTCTTTCCCGCACACTGCCAAGAGGGAAGTGTCTTGCTCAGCTCCTCGAGCAGTCTCGAGGCATATCCCCGTCCTCGATAGTCTGGATTGCAGTAGACGCTCGCAATGCCGTGGACAACCACAAGTTGATTAGCTTCCGTTCCATCACTGATCAGTGACAGTTTGCGAAACGTCTCACAGGATGCGAGTATCGGTCGTTGATTTGGCGCAAGGTTTCGATCCACCAGAATCCACTGCGTCATGCCCTTGTTGCGGGCCAGAGGAACTGACATGAGATACGCAGACTCTTCCAGATATTGAGGAATGGTAAGAGCATCCTTCCACTCATTCGATGTCAATTGCCAGATGCGAAGATTCTCCTCGTCCGTGGGATGGCTGAGATGAAGATTCGGAGATGTGGAATCTGGGAGCATTTGCTCCTCAGATTGAGAAGTGACGACGGGCACTGCAACCGGAGTCATCCTGATCTTATCTTTAACAATATCGAAGAATATGTGGATGAATCTCGAGGTGCATTCCAACAAAGGGATTGTGGCATCGGTTTGACCCAATGAAACGACTAAAATGCTCGGCGGTTAGAAGGCCCCTCTCGTTGGTTGATGCATGTAAAGAGGAAGATGATTGGCACGAATAACTCGAAACGGTGACCTGCAATGCAGCCCGAGCCCCTTTTTGCTTATTTTAGTGTCGTGCAGCCATGGTGACCCCAATTATTTGGCGCACAGCTCTGTGCCTATCTCCTCTTGCCAGCCGTCGGCCTGCCCCTCCACGAATCCTGCTATCCTTCTGAGATCACGCAGTTCCTTATGCGCTCAGCCATTGGCAGAGTACACTATCTCGAGTCAGGGGCATCAATCGTGCCGCGCATTTACCAGTCCAGCCGCTGGGTTTGGGTTAGATCCTCCCATGCTCTACGGCCAGAGGTTTCCCACTCCTGCAAAGCACCACGCATGTTTTCACCCTTTGAGCAGCTGGATCGTCCTTGTTGGAACTACAGTCTCTAACGTCCAGCTCGAAGAATTGGTCGTAATGTAGCTAAAGGATGGATCCGATCACCACTATCGGACTGCTTGGCTCAATAGCCAACCTCATCACCATCACCGGAGAGACAATTCAGCTGGTAAGAAGCTTCAAGGATGGCGAGCGCGAACTAGCGGATTTATCCAACCAGCTATCACTTTTTGAAGAGAACCTCAAAGGATTTGACCGGGTCTTCCGAAGTCGTCGGGTTGTCCACCAGATCTCTGTGGAAACCGTGAAGAATGGCATTGACGAGAGTTACACGACGCTGAAGGACTTGCAGAAGCGACTTAAGCAAATCGCCAGGTCCGAGAGCTCAACTATCAGACGTATGAGATGGGTTCAGCACAAGTCGAGCCTCGAGAGGATTGATGGCCGCATCAAGAGCCAGTGTGCAATGTTGCACAGCCTGGTCTCGGTCGCTCAAATGTTCGTCATCTTAGCGGCTAAATAGGAACCGGTGTACTAACTCATATGCTCTCAGGGAAATGATGTTAGCCATGTGTAGCCAGAATCCTCAGCTTCTCGAGATCTGCTCCAACGTTGCAGAGGAGATGGCGAGAGACACGATTGACAGGCCTGATATTCCTCTGCTTCGCACGCCTACCGATCCTGCACCGACAGTCGACTGCCGACCGTCCGCATACCAGGAAGAAAACATGAGAGCGGTCACGAGAAACTCTGTCTCATCGACCAATTCGTCAGACGGCTCATTACTGGCACCTGGAGCGTGGAATATGCCTCGACGGAGCTCTTCATCGACTGGGTCAAGCATCGGCAGCTCAGCAGGATCACCAGCGACATCCATATTTTCGAGTCTCGATGATTCAGCCTCGTCAATCACTGTCCCAGATCAAGATGAAAATATACAAAGGCCCTGTCCTGTACGCGCCAACAGAGCTAGGAGTGCCGACACAGATGCCCTGGTGATTCGCCGCGCCTGTCGATTCGACTGCTACTGCCGATGCCACAAGCAAAGCGTGGAGGTTTCCAACGCCCTCTTCTCCAAGTTCAACTCTAACATATTCAAGCAATCCAAAGCTGCACGGATCGAATGCTCTGAGCCAGACTGTGCGGGCGCAACATACTCACAGACCCGAGTTTTACCATCCGCTTTCTTCCATCGAGCCGTTTCTCGTTTGGCTTCGATGCAGGGAGTTAGGATCAGATACAATCTGAACACATATCGAATGGTGCCAGAAGGATCTGATGCAATGCGATACGTCAAACATGGCAACCTGGACAAGCTGAAGATGTCCATTTCATCCCGGGAGGCCACACCCTGGGATACGGCCCCTGATGGATGGTCTCTCTTACATGTACGCTCCCCCTCTTACCTTTTCACCGATTTAAACGCTAACATTTAGTAGACCGCGGTCTATGCAAGACAGTTACCGACCGTAAAATATCTCTGCAACATCGGCGTGGATACTGAAGTCGCAGACCTTGGAGCTAGGTCCGCCAACCCCAATGATTGCAGATGATGGTACAAAAACTGACTGCAACAAAGAAAACCGGTCGACCTAGCGATTCTCAAGTCACTAACCGCAGACGCAACCGAAGTGGAGAAAGAAATTGTGCGCATATTCGCCAAAGACGACGACTACCTCGAAGACTTCGAATTCACCCCGATCCACATCGCCGTTCTAGATCTCTACGACCCCAGCGACCCGGAGCGGCCGAAGCTGGAGGACCTGATTGAATTCGTGGATAATGCGAATAATGCTCCGCCGGGGACAAACTGGGCACGATGGAAGAGTCGATACCAAAAACGATCCCCGTTGTATGCTGCCATCATCGAGCAGTTCCGCGTGTCCGCCTTGGAGGGCGACAGCGCGCGCAAAGTGATCCATAATCTCCTCGACCAGAAGGACCGAAAATTCCACTGGACGCCCCTGCATTGGGCCGCGGTGACCAATCGGGCCGACAAGATGAGGATCCTCGTCGAACATGGCGCCGATCCCTTCATCCAGTCCAACCTGAATGCGAATATCATCCATGCCGCGGTCGAGTCGAATGCGTTGCAGAGTTTGGCCTACGCACTCGAGCTGAGCCGATGCTATCCGGAGCAGTTGAACATCAATCAGCCCAATGTCTGGGGAGAGTCGCCGCTGATGATGGCCGCGCAGGGGTGTTTAGTGGATTGCGTCCGGTTGTTGCTGGCCGAGGGAGCTGATCGCGCAGTAAGACAGGAGAATCAACAGGTGGCGCTTCATTACGCGGGATTATCTTCTCGAGGAGAAAGCAGACGGCAGACAGTTGCCCTGCTCTGCCAGAACAGCGGACAAGACTCATTGCCTATCAACTCGCAGGACGAGGATGGACGACCGCCACTGTTCGACCTTCTGGATGATGCGATATGCGTGGAGGAGTTGATACGCAATGGTGCCGATCTAAGCATACAGGACATAACAGGGAAGAACGTATACCATCATGTATGCATACAGGATGAGAGCGAGTCTCTCAGGACCCTCATACGGCTATGCCCGAGCACCGCCCTGTTGAAGCAAAAAGACCGGGACGGGAACACTCCACTCACCGAAGCACTGCAGCACGAAAGTACGAGGAGCGCAATGATTCTTCTTGACTCTGACGACGTTGGCGATGTGTACGGAGGAGATGGATGGGCAGCGGTTCACTATGCAACCAAGGCCGGAGATCCGCGGCTGTTGGAGAAGGTGCTACAGCATTCAAGCTACAGGAAAGGAATGAGAACTCGCGATGGGAAAACAGCCCAAGTAATTGCGATGGAGTCTGGGACATGGTGTGGACAAGTAAAGGAACTCTTGAGGAAGTATAACTTGCTGGCATGAGTCTACGATGTGACATGATATCCTGTAGATATTCTGATGTAACTTTAGTGTCTATTGGCTTGATACATTTCAACGAACGGGGAATCTTATGAGTCCCGACAGAACTCTTCTCGACTGGGTCAAGCATTGGAAGTGAAGCTCAGCAGCATTACCAGCGACGTTCCCATCCTCCAGCCTCGATAAGTCAGTTCGTGAATAGTAAATTTAGCCGATGTGCTGGCGCCATTGCAGCATCCAATAAGCTATGAGAGCCTGGGTTAGCTGCGGACGATTCCGAGACTACGGACTACAGACCGACCCGGACATAGCAACGTGCATAAAGTGATCGACATGAATGGGAACAGCTGGAGAGATCCTAAACATGGGGCGAGTCGGTGACACTCCAGCTACATGATCTTGGAGATTATGTGTGCTCTTCAGGCGGCCTAGTCTTCAGTCCATCTGACAGGTTTGAATATATGATGTGATCTGTCTTATCAGGCTTGCTTTAGTGGTATAGCTAGCTTCTTTGGCGATGATCATGACTGCTACCAGTTAGCTATCCTGATTGACCCCGCGTTGATTATCCTTCGAGCTGAAGATTACTGCTCCACCACAGGCAGCCAGATCATGCGAGGTTGCCCATTTCTGGTCCCAGCTTTGGTTCTCTCCTAGCGGCCCGTCTCGCCCGCGCATCTTCCGCTACTTTGGACCATTCTCGTTCCGCTGATCTCCTAGCGGCCGTACAGCGAACATATTAAGTTCGTCCTAGGTTTTGTTATTTGAAAGGTAGTCTAGATCCTGACTACGGAAGAGAGACTGGCCAGAGTCCACAACATGATTGATAGAGACTGTGGAGAGGCAGAACCTGAGCGCTGCGTACAAGAAGAGTAGACTTTATATGCCATTGTTTTGGAGAATCTACAGACACAGATTCAACAATCCCGGCACACAAGCGAAGACACAAGTCGAAACGCAAATTGATGACTCAAATGATTGCCACAGTTAGACAAACGTCACCCTCCTCTGATTGACTCGGACCGGAGAGTATCCGATATTTGCACTTAAGCTGGTCCAATAAGGTGGGTGGAAGTCCAGGGTTGAGTAGTGGTCTGAACAGTGTGCTGGCCATGCGATCTCATCCAGCATGTACTCGTGCCGGCTACATCATTGACCCATGCTGTACGGACACAGTTCGGCTTTGAAGCACAGAGCTTCATGCATGCCATATAGGACGGTTGATTTAGAGTACCCACATCCCAAGCGCCAGGATCATTCACTATAAACCAATCAGCATGACACAAGACATGGAAATGGGAGATATACACTTGGCGTAATATATTTTCCATCTCTTGCCAGCAATAACCACCTCCCGTCCATCATCGTTTCGGGCTAGAGTATGTGAGTCAATGTCGTCCACAGATATAAGGGGAGGCCTACCAGGAACGAAGCTATCAGGGACCATCCGTGGGTTAGACAGTCGCGCAATTTCTTTGTTTGCAGCTGCGAGACTGTTCTCGCACGTGGTTTTTGCGGCAGATATGCTGCTCTTCTCAGCTGCACACTGCGCCAACGATGTACCACATTGCTCCTTCTCCTGTGCCAATTGCTCCTTCTCCTCGAGACATTGCCGTTGTCCCTCGGATGGTCCAGTGGCGGGATCATGTTTCTCGCCAGGTGTCAGTAGTACAGCACCCGGGACACGCAATGAGATGGCATCTGATTTGTCGGACTGCCAGCAGTTTCCAGCATGCCAGACCATGCCATGGCATGCTGGCTCCGCCGTACATAGCCGAGCACACTCTTCGGGGGATGCGCTCTCCTTTACCTTCTTGGGAGCGGGAGATATGTAAGACGTATCGCAGGTGACGGTGTAAAAGGTGGAATCGACTTGAACTTGCCCTGCTTGATTGGGACAGAAGCGATTGTAGTCAGCCTTTGCGACGCTGCTGAACCACAGTGACGCGAACAGGAGGGACACGAGTCCAGACTGGTAGAAATTTGGTGCACCCATCTTGAAGACAGTTAACAGAAACAGAGGATGATACTCCAAGAAAGCAATGGGACAAGCTGGTGCACGGGCTGAGTTTTATAGAGAGCATCAGTATGCGTGCTCTTGCCCATTGGCAACAGTCCAAGTCACATCATGCCTGCCAACTTGCAGCTTCAGGTAGCCACCACTTTCTCCTTTTGCCAAAAGAAGGAAGAGTGAGCGACCATGTAGATCTCAGGGTAATCCAAGCGTCCAACGGGAGCAATCTGCAGCACTGAGTCCCTGACTCTGTAGACAGAATTGGTGGCAACTGTGAGAGCTGCGATATCCAAACGCGCGCACTGTGACGGAGGCTGCATGGCAACTGGAGCTGAGGGATTTATCATAGGCTGTATCATGCTTCTTATCACGGTGGCTAGCTGAGCTGAGACAGGAAAACATGATGAGTTCGAAATATGCACTATGCCTGCAGATCGATCTCCACGACCAGCTCATGCAGAGTAGCGCCCCGCCGATCATAGCCCAGACTATGGAGTATTCTGCAATTCCTTCAGGCTGCTGTACCCAAAGTTGCTTGTAACTGCAGGTTAAGCCCCATCTCCTTGCATTTGGAGGGCAGACCTCGGTTCTCCGTGCGACAAAGGAATGTTCGCCTGGGCCTTGTCCGCTCGGCCGATCCATTACAGGAGAATCAGGAATGATGTAGTAACTGTAACCTCAAGGTATCTCGTCCGTCCCCTGTCAATAATGTGAGGGGTTTAGGGCTAAGAAGCGTGACTATATAACGTGGCCATGATTCCGTCGATTGAACACCATTCATGCAATCCACCTCGTTTTCCGACTTGTTTTACTACCCTCGAGCAAGAATGAACCTCCCTCTGGCACTCTTGCTGGCTACTGGAGTACTTCAGGTGGCCTGCCAGCAAGCGTCTGGATTGCAAAAAGCCCTTGATTATCCCTCCCGCCCAATCACCCTCGATGACATTGTCCCGTCCTCTTGGCGTAACCCTACCACGGGCGAAACCGACCTAAAGTGCTGTCCAAAGGGGACCGTGTATGACGGGACCAGGTGTCTGCTGTATCAGAAGGACATCTGTCCCGAGCACATGATCTTCGAGGATGGGATGTGTGTCCATACCAACGGGCCACAATGCCCACCTGGCTTCAAATATCAAGACCATCTATGCGTGTCCACTCAAGACCCGCTCTGCCCGTCCGGATCCAACTGGATAAACGGGACCTGCACGCTGTCGATCCCTCCCGGTTGTGATGCTGGATATGAGTTCAGTGACGGTCACTGTGTGCACCAAGAAGGTCCTCAGTGTCCACATGGCTTCTTCCCCGAGAACGATCGGTGTATCTCCCGGTCCAATCCGGATTGTCCCGGTGGCTTACGGTACGACGGCGAAAGCTGCATCGCCAAGGAGGGGCCGTCATGTGGGCGACCGGACCTAGTCGTCCTTGATGGGAAGTGTGTTTCCAAAGAGCAACCGGAGTGCCCTCCTGGGTACAAGAACGATGGTTCTCATTGTCGGCTCATGCGTGACCCCGAGTGTCCCCCTGGAACAGTGTCTCGAAATGGGAAATGCGTGTCTCAAACCCCGCCCACTTGTACATCGGGCCATTTCGAGGATGGGCAGTGTCGAACGGACCAGACGCCCCAGTGCCCTCCGGGGTTGAACTTGGAGAACAAACGATGCGTGCGCCGAGAGGGCCCCGTCTGTCCCCCTGGATTCGCTTCATCCTTCCATCGACCCTCTCAGACCGGGCGATGCTGCCCAACGGCTTGGACGTGGGATGGTTCCTCCTGCATCCTTATCCATACCGATCCCGCATCGTGCCCGGAAGGAACTGGGTTCGACGGTGAGAAATGCGTCAGAGCTCCTCTCGAGCAGCCTCTCTGTGATCCCCTACTGGAGCTCCGCGATGGTTACTGCGTATCAGAAGAGACGCCCGCCTGCGACGTAGGAGTATGGAATGGACAGTATTGCCTGCTCGATGAAACACCATACTGTGCGCCTCCTACTCGGTTCAATGGTGTGGAGTGTGTCTCCACACAGCCCCCGACCTGTCCAGAAGGCTCGCATGTCCATGCCGACCACTGCCGTGGCGACAGGCCAGCGAGCTGCCCACCTCCCCTCCGTCTAGTCAAAGATCAATGCGTGGATGCCACAACTCCCGAGTGTCCAACAGGCTTCACTCTCATCGGGACCGTCTGCCGTTCGGACAAGCTCCCTAAGTGCCCCGATGGTCAGATGTACTGGAACGGCAACTGCATCATCCCGATCACCCCCGAATGCCCGGACGGATTCCCACCGGTGGGTGATAAGTGCCTTGCAGACCTCCAGCCGGAATGTCCCCCAGGCTTCCGAGTCGAGGGCAAGAACTGCATTTCCACCGAGAGCCCCGAATGTCCCCCGGGACTCGATCGCGTCGACGCAGACTGCGTCCATCGAGACCCCCATCCTGTCCCCCAGGCACAGCGCCAGACGGAAACCGATGCATCTCGCTGGTACCACCTCAATGTCCCGACGGTCTCGTCCCGCGAGGCAGCGAATGTGTCGCCAATGATAACCCCGAATGTCCTCCGGGATTCCGTTTCCTGGATAACCACTGTGTCTCTGAGAATAAGCCCGAATGCCCGCCCGGCTCTAACCTCGTCGGCGAGGAATGTGTCGTTGAGAAGGCCCCCGACTGTCCGCCCGGTACGGAGTTCCACTCTGGGATGTGTGTCTCGACGAAGCGGCCTGAATGCCCCCGGGCTTGGAGTTGAAGGATAATAAGTGCGTCAGGAGGTCGGAGCCCGAGTGTCCTCCGGGTCAGAGATTCAATGGATTCTTCTGCGCGTCCACAGGTGATCCGCAGTGTCCTGAGGGAACGAGCTATGATGGGACGAGGTGTTCCGTTAATGCCAATCCTTCTTGTTATGAGCTGCAATATTGTCCCCCTATTGCTCCATCGCAAAATGTCTTGGTGGCATGATCGCACGGAGCCTCTTCAGTCAGTATGGCTGTCGACACGCATTTGACCTATTGTTTTTAGGGCAGCTCGAGTTCTCGGTCTCAGTGATTTAGTCTTCTGTCGTGTGTTTATTGCGGTGCAGGAATTAACTACATATTATCCAAGTCATTGGATTCATATACTGTCTAGTATGCCTGTTCCTCTTGCAGCAATAGGATCATTCTAACTCATTTATCGTTGTCGGTAGTTAGGGATGTAACTAAGTGTCTTTATACATTGCTAGAAAGCCGTCCTTCCGGTCTTGACGGATCGAAGCACACCTTCTTCAGCCAGCTTCTTGATCATATTGAAGAGCATAAAGTCGCATCCTCTGCGAGCAATGATATTAATCGTCACCGGCCACTGCTCCGTCACCATGGTCACGGGCGAGTAATAGTCCACCTGTCCGAGAGGAATGGTAAAATCCACACATCTACAGCCAGTCAGCTTGCCCCAGACATGCGCAAGACGCTACTTACCCAAATAAAGTACAGATACCGCTGCATGACACGTCTGCATGCTCAGGAAACACATTCATGAAGCTCGCATTGGGGCTGCTGTTCAAATCTTGCTCACGGAAACTCGGCAAGCCCCCGGTGCCTCCGTCGCAGATCATCACAGCCTCAGAGCATGAGTCAGAGGTCTCGTACAACACTTCGTCCTGGAACCAGTTGACCGCTGCGGCTTTTGTCTGCAGGGCCTGCTCGTACACTGCCTGGGTGATATGGCTGACATCATATCGAGTCCACGCTTCCCTCCACTGCGCGTCGACCGGGGGGAAACGACCTTCATTCCTCGCAGCCCAGGTCGAGATCAGGGGTCCATAGACCTTGGTGGACTGGGTCCACAGCTGTAGCGTCGCCCCGGCGTCGTATAAGAGATTCCAGTTGACGAAGAGGTCCCCAACGGCCTCGGGGGAAATGGATGCATTGCTCGCTGTGGCGGTAAAATTCGTCCGCTCGGTCGTCATGTTAAACACACTTGTCATGCCGTGAAGGAAATTGTCGAGGATGGCCTGCGCTGCGGGATTGGGCAGAGGGAGATACTCCACTGGATATAAGATCCGCTTCGGAAATGCCGTTGTATCTGGTACCGATAGAGGGGGTAGACTATTGATCGAGGGATCTTGATGAAGGTCTGGGGTATACCAGGCTTTGGCGAACTCGGCCCATTCAACAGGATCGCGAGAGAAGACTCCGACAGTATCCTCCCCTGCATTCAGTGGAACAGCACCCTCAAGCGACATCATACCCTGGCTAGGACGGTTGCCAAAAGTTCCCGATACCGAAGCAGGACGACGCATCGACGAACCCGTATCCGTCCCTATTGCCGCGTCAAGCCAATCGTACGCAGCGATTCCGCATCCCCCTCCGGAGGATGAGGCCGAGCAGGTCAGGTACCCATCACCCCGAGGATTAAAGGGGGCCTGTTCATCAGTCCAATTCCACGGATCTGCAGCCGACGCAAATTGAGCTAGCTTGAACTTGCCGACTATCACCGCTCCGAGGTCGATCAATCGTTGAATGGCAGGAGCACTCGAATTGGCAATCGGGGTGACCTGTATCCACGCCTGGCTTCCAGCTGAGGTCTGTAGGCCTTTCACGTCAAAAAGGTCTTTTACAGAGACTCGTTTACCTGCCAGTGGTCGATTGTCATTCCAGGAATGAATTCGACTGGGCACAGGGATCAGCGGGCCCCAGAGCCGTGGATTCATGGCAGGTAGCGCAGTAAACGAACCAATGCCGTCGTTGGAGGGATATGCACCAGTAATAAAGGTGCTAAAGTTGTCGACATACAGTCGGTAGGTGTCAAGAAAAGAGACGGACCCATTGTCGACGAGAATGGTAAATGGACCTGGTGGCAGGGATGTGCCGTGGTCGTCCTCTAGCGCATATCCATTGCTCGGGATACGATCGAAAGAGCTGGAATTGAATAGAAGACAAGCCGCGCCGTGGCTCCTGAGATATTTCTCTGCCGTCGAGTCCAATCTAGACTTTGAGACAGTCGATGTGAGATAGATTGCGTACAGGAACTCGGGGGAGAAGACATCATCTTGGGTCAGGTAACGGGAAATGGTAGTCTCAAGATAGCTGCCGGTGACCACACTCTGGTTCACCAGGATGACTGTTGCTGGCACAGGTCGAGAAGTACTGGTGTAGTTCAAATTGAAGATTGCTCTGGGATGTTCGATGTTGGCAAAGTATGTGACGTTGCCAAGTTCATATGTAACCCCTTGAGCGGAAGGCTGCACATTGACCATGGGATCCTGTCTGCTAGAGATCCCAGAGACAGCAGTATAGAAAAGCAAAAATTTCACGAAGACAGCTATCCAGGAGTTCATTTTGAAGGAACCATTCTAGCATGGATCCACTTGGCTGTTCCTGACGACCGTGGTCTGCCTTTATGTAGACGAAGCAGACAGCAGCCTTTGAGATTTGGACCGCAACATATGCGTCTGTCATATGCAGAGTATGCCTTCTCCCTTACTGAGGTTGTTGGATGTCGTGTTTCTCAATTCTCGATCCTATTCGACGGGCGTTGCCAATGTTGCACGACAGCCATACACCACGTTCCGTGCTAGGCGATATTCCATGGCCTGGATTGGTGGAGTCGAGACATGTTTGATTACATTGCGTCAATTTTGACAGACATGCAGGCACTGTTGCTTCTAGATGCCACATTCGCAAGGATCCTGACTCGCATGGTAGCATTCCTATTGTTCTCGCGTGCGATCCTATTGTTCAGTTGGTCAATATCAACACCACCCCTGTCCACATTGTTTCTCCTGCAATTCAGATTATTGAGCCTAGGGGAGAATGGCAACCAGTAGTTGATTCATTCTCTAATGCATCTCGCCGTTATTCCGTCCACACGTGGCATAAATTTCCGGGCCTCCATGACTCGTTCAGTTTTCATCCCTGTCTCAACCCCCTGGGCCAATTTCAATTGGCTACAGCATGCAAGCTGTATGTGATGAGATAGAAGCTTTAGGGCCTTGGAAAGGTGGCAGAGAATAATAGAAGCCTGAAGGAAGAGGCATGAAGATAAGTCAAAGGGGGAGTTTCTGGATATTAATCGATCATTCCGCACTGTGCACTGTTATTGCCATGAAATAAGCCGTACTCTTCTGCTAAAACAGAACGAAAATGCTTTTGTAAAGCAAAGTTATATGCAGGTTGAATGTGTTAGCTGGCCAGACAACGTGAAGCAACGCAATATGCGGCGTCCGTAGGGGAAGGCCATATCATCCGCTGGCTCCAGCACCCAAAGAGGGATTCAGATTGGGGGGTAATCAATCTGTGCAGTTAATCTGTGAACCGCCAACCATGAGTCAAGTAAGCAGGAAATAGCTAAGATTCACAAGACCATATGTGAGTCTGTGCAAGTCCTGCAGTGTCAATTGGCGACATTAATCAATTTCTCCTTATATCATATACCGGGGCATAGAAACATGCTCATGGGAACAGCAACTCACAATACGATTGACATAGAAAAGAAAGAAAAGAAGGACACAGTAATCCTTGGATCACAACAAGACTGGTTGTTCTATATCTACCATTCCTTCTTCAGACTGAATAAATCCTTGTCCTCAGTCACGGCATCGCCCGCTGCCTTAAACACCCTCAGAATCTGAGAGTTCCTCTGCTTGACATGGCTTAACATGATCTTAATGGCCTTGCTGGCCTGCTCTGCAAGAACCTTCTTATCTGCTTTTGCTGCTTCATCGGCGATCTCATGTAACTGCTTAAACCAGTATAGCCATCTCCAAGGACTAAATCCACTTGGTGCTTGTTGACCTAGCTCTGACTGGACAAAAGTGAAGCCACCTCTCCTAATGGTACTGTTAGAGCAATCATTCCATGAGACATCGGATAAGAGTATGATGTTATGCCCGGCCTCTCGGAGCCAGGCACATGCAGATGGGAGTAATGACGCGATAGTCATTATATGGATTGTCCGGCGAGCATCTTCGGCATCTGGGTTATTAGAGCTGCCAAGGGGACGCACAGACTCGAACGTATTATGGAAAAGAATTAGAGCAACCTGGCAAAGCTGATCATTGGCAACGCGCGTGGAGGCAAGCTTCGCAAGGAAGGACGCAGCATTAAGACACTGCTTTGCGTCCATTGTCGCGCAGTTGTTGATCCACAACTCTGTCATGTCTGTTGTAAGGAACGGCAGGTCGTTCCGGACAGTCCCATTGGGAGTTCTGGCAATATCGATACCAGCACCCGGTGCCGGCCTTGTTAGGGGCCCTTGTCCCCTTGTCCGCAGGATGTCGAGCACCCATCTGTCTTGTTCAAAGCTTTCGTGGGAGACATGTCTGGCGCATTGGTAATAGACATACCACAGAGAATGCAGATATGGCTCGCAGGAGTCAATGGAAGTGCCGCTCCTGCAGTACCTTTGACCAACGATCCATTCCCTGTTATGTGCTACAGATCGGAGCAGGTTGAAATCCCCTGCTCGAGCAGCCTCCTCAAAATCCGCCTGATCCGCTGGGGCGCGTGCAGCGAAGCCGCAAGGGCTATCCCGCGGTTGCGAGCTTGGTGAATCTCTTGTAAGTCGTGCATCCTGTGTTCAGATCGTGAATGAGCTGCCGTACCGATTGGAGATAAGGTTCACAAAGGTGAATCTCCAGGAATGAGGTGAGTGTTGGAGGGCAATGAGAGTAGAGAACGGATACGTTCTTTATAAAAAGGGCAGACTGGGGGATAGGTAAGGAATGGTAAGGGATACTGTCTTTACGGCAGGCAGCAACAATCTTTTGCCTCCCAGTCTGACCCGTAGATATACGATTGGTGACACGCCACTCGTTCGGGGTAGGACCGTAGGAGGCCCACTGATCAGCACAAGATCGGCAGAAGGCGTGCCCATGACTCGATATTTGGGGCTAGATACGCTGACTATCCAGGGGAATCCTGGTCACACTAGACTCTGGTGCTGTAGTGCTCCACGCCAGAGGTGAAAATACAACGAGGCGCATTATAGAACTCGAGATGACAGTTCATATGCAATGCTGGTATAGCATAGAAAACAGGACAACTATAATAGAAGGTACTAAAAATGCAGCAAACTTGTATCTGTGTCTCTACACTAGTGACTGCCTCACAATCAACCAAGTAGCAGCAGGAGAAGTACTCGCCTCAGTTAACTACCTCCTGGCAGACACACTTTCTATTGTAAGAGTCAAAATAGCATTCTTTATCCTCGATCGTGTCGGTACACTTTGTGTAGAAGTTAGCATACTCTTGGAGCAGGGTCCAGGGCAAGTTACCATTTTGAAGTCGCAATGACAGATAGCAGGGTTCCCATTTTGCGACTTATAATGGCATTGATTGGTTTTTGGATCGCACTCCTAGTTTGAAAAGATCAGGCTCTTTGTCCCTACCCCAATGAAACTTGGACACTTACTCCTGGGTACCGGACCTGAACATTGTTTTCGGTTCTGACATCTAATTCATTGGATGCTGGAGACGCTGGGCTCGCTGGGCTGCCTAATGCTCCCAGAGCAGCAGAGAGGGCAAGTCCCAGAGAAGTGACGGTACAAGCTTTCATGATGAAGACGTGCAGCTGGAGTTATTTGAGAAGCAGGAGTGATATCTTGTAAAATGGATTTGTCTTTCATCTAACCTCCAGTATGTTGGGTCAGTAGTCGTCTTGAATAGATACAATTTCAATCAGGCGGGAGCCGTCAAGACAGGAGGACAGTTGGAGGTCTACAAGTTGTTGAACGCTGGGTAGCTGGTCAAACTCACACCAAGAGCAAGGCCACCCCGAGATATCAAGCGTCCTTCCTAAGAGGGAATATGCTGGATCCGACCAATTGCTTGAGGCTATATTGTTAGCTGATTGTTGGTATCCGGCCAACGGGCCAACTGCGCAGTGGAGTAGCCGCTGGCTCCTTTCCTCGAGCCGCACCAACCTGATTGAGACGTGTCGGTCTATCGTCGTCGACTAACTCCTGATATCGTCGTTGAGACACCGGTCGATCGAGGCGATGTAACAATGACTCCATCGAGAAGCAGAAGCCAACTCTCGACCCCAAGGGCGACGATCCACGAGCGGAATCAATGAGAAACCAGACACTTGTCGGGAGGTTCGACTCCAGGATCAGTCGAATGGGCAACATGACCGGATTCTGCGAGGACAGATGGATATAAAATTGTCGATACTCGCTCCCTCTGGACGACTTCTCTACTACCACATTCAGGAACTCCACTACTGCCGTCCAGAATTCATACAATCTTTCTGCTGTCTTTCTCTGATCAAGAGTCTCTGCTCCAAACCACCCACAATGCAGCTTATCAACAACGCCGTCTACGCCGTTACTGTGCTGGCCACCCTTGCGGCAGCCGTCCCTGGCCCAATTGTCGCTAGGGGTGAGGAGTTCCCCGTCTTCAATGGCGAGAAATCCGTCATGGTTTCAACCGAGCCCTCTGCGGAGACCGGCAACGTCTTGGTGGCCATGGCCGAAGGGGACGTCGACTGCAAGGGCTCTGCCTTTTGCGAAAGACTCGGCGGGAGCTGCGACGATGCTTATCGCAAGGTGATTCCCAGCAATACCTACAGCACCTACCTCGAGTATGTCTACCCTGATATGAGAATATATGGTCTGAACGTTTGCTAACGCGACAAAGCGCTTCCAACACTGGAACTTGCAGTGGCACCTGCGGTCTTTTTCTCGGCGGCTCCCACTGTGAAGTCATGGGCCAGGATTTGATGGACGCCTACAATGACATTCGCAACCGAGGCCATTGCGCCCATTGCGGACGCAAGCAGATTGCCAACGGCTGCATGATCAAGATTGACCGGGTGACGGGTTGCTAAATGGAGTCCGCTCTTTGATCAGACGCGAGGTACATACCGTATGTGCATGTATTTAGGGCCACAGGGCCGCAATCTTGGCTTTTAGTTTCAAAATTTAGTTTACTTCTTGTCGTTCTTTGGAACTGAAACGAAGTACGTAGTAAAGCTTCTCAAATGTACTGAACTCCACCAGAATTTTCATGGTGGACCTTTCTTAGCCGCTGCTTCACTTTGGGGCGAATCCCCCTAATTCGGATAAGAACAAGTGTCCACGGTTACATCGCATTTAAGCGGTCTTAGCTAGCGGCTGTAGTGACTCTTAACCCAGGCACTAACCAACAGCTTGTCTTAAATTTCTCACCCGGTTGGTCGACAGTGTTTAGAGGCGATGATCTTGTGGGTCATCTTGTTGGGTCTAAATGTCCGCCAACCCTACCAACTCCACCACAAGTCCTTCGTTTAACTCAGGCCACTGGGCTAACTGGGTGACCCGTTCAGGGATCCTATCTTTACCTGACTGGGAAAAAGGCCCCGTAGTCCTTAGTCCCTAGTCCATAGTCCCTAGTCCGTCCCCATGTGGGCTGAGGCAATTCTCTGAGCCTCTGGCTCAATCTGCTGCCTGGGGGTTCGGTTTTCTCCTTACCCTCCCCAGGTATCCCACTTATCACTCTCGCCATTTTCACAAATTCCCATCATGCAGCGATCATGGAACAGCTGGTGTTCCCTTCGGCGGACGATATTGACCGTCGCCATTGGCGCTTGCGGTGTTTTCATCTATTTGATATGGTTTGGAATGAACTCGGACCGTGATAATGTCCCCCGCTCCTCACACAACTCATCCCAGCAGGCCACTGCACCTGCCAGTCATCCACTTCATTTCAATGCGCCGACTGCCTCACCTGTCTTGCCTCAGCGCCGCCATTGGAACAGGATCATGTTGCAACGTGGAGTTTCCAGTACGGACGAGACGACCAGAACCTAGGCCTGAGTCAGAGCCAGTGCCAAGCAGCATTCCCTGGTCTTTTCCAAGATATCCACCGAGGAGTCGAGTATTGGAAGTCGCGAGGAGGGATATCAAGAGATGATCTGAATACGATCCCCTTCAAAGATGGCATGGCCCGCGCCATCATCTCCAACGGAGACCTGTACGTCGTGGCGACAAGAGCAAAGGGGGACGACCACCGGCGCAAGATCGTTGGTACTCTGGGATCTATCCATCGGGCGCTCTCCGCGTCCGCAAATCGTACCTCACACCCCACAATCGAGTTTATCTTCTCGATCGAAGACCGCGTGGATGACGTTAACGCGGTGGGCCACCCGGTCTGGGTGCTATCAAGAAAAGCATCCGAGGAGTCGGTCATCTTGATGCCTGATTTCGGGTTCTGGTCCTGGGCCAAGAGTAACATCGGTCCATACGGACAGGTCGTAGAGCGCATCATGGCCACTGAATCCAAGCTGAAGTTCGCAGATAAGGAACAGAAGCTGGTCTGGCGCGGGAAGCTGAGCTTTGCACCAAAGCTGCGTCGGGCGCTCTTGGATATTGCACGGGGGAAGCCCTGGAGTGATGTGAAGGAGTTGGACTGGAGCAAGAAGGCCAATTTCTTGTTGATGGAGGATCATTGCCGGTACATGTTTATCGGGCATATCGAGGGTATGTTCTCTTTCACTTCAACTTTTGCTGTCCAAGGCTGACAGGTGTCGTCCATTTCAGGTCGTGCATATTCGGCATCCCTCAAATACCGTCAAGCCTGCCGGTCGGTTGTCGTGGCACATAAGCTGCAGTATATCCAACATCACCACTATCTCCTCGTCGCCTCCGGTCCAGAACAGAACTACCTGGAAGTCGAGAGAGACTTCTCCGATCTCCCCAGACGAATGGATGAACTCTTGCAGAACCCAGACAAGGCAGAGCGGATAGCCAATAACAGTGTCAAAACCTTCCGAGAACGGTACCTCACCCCAGCCGCTGAGGCATGCTACTGGAGAGCGCTCTGGGAGGGATGGGCTGAAGTCTCGGCGAATGTCACCAGCGACGTTGAACGGCCGCCGGCGGACAGGGGACTGCGGTATGAGTCTTTTGTCCTGATGGACAGTAACGATATGTTCAAGTATTCATTTGGGTCGGAGTAAGAGCACTGTGATGGATATGTATATAAATATAATAGTCGATATGATCGATGCAATGAATGACAAACATCATGATACGATTGCCTTGCAGGTTACCATCAGCTGATCATCAGCACTATAATCTAACCTCACTTGCTGAATTGATCTGACAGTGATGCAGCACCACGTGACTCGGTCATCTACAATGCGACGGATATACGAGGGGTCTGCAAGGGGCATATTCTTTCGCTTTATAAGAGTCATGTCCAATTGCGGGTTGTATTTATTGAGGCCCTTGGCTTATGCGTCCAAGTCTTCTATGATGAAAGGGCGTGTAGAACGCCCATCCCGAAGAAGGGGTTGAATAAATGCGGAAACATATATACTGCCGGGTTAGCAATTAGAGAATGACATTTACAATGACTTGCCAACAAGCTCGGGACACTCCGTAAGGTGATATTGATACTTAAGGAAATAACGTTGACTATTCTTCATACTCCGATTTCAACAAACTGTGACGTTTTTCTAGTCCGACGGAGGGGGAAAAAAACATCAAAAAAGTGACCTACGCAGGATTCGAACCTGCAATCTCTTGATCCGTAGTCAAGCGCCTTACCATTGGGCCAGCAGGCCAGGTTATTGTGATTAACAGGCTTTTCTTACTTAATGAACAAGAATTACTCAGACTGCTTGGGCACAAGCTTGAATGCATTTGTGTTGCTCTTCTATGACCTTATGTATAGCTTTGATATTAGTATTTGGTCCACCACGCCGGTCGAAGGTATATTAAATAAATTGCTGCCATTGAGTCAGCTACCTACTTAATTGTCTTGATGTGGATAATCTTGCCTCAGTTTACTTTCGACTGTTCATCCACACATGTTTCTCGTATAATAACTTCCCTCCTTGGCTAGAGGCTAGAGCTAAAGTCCAACTACGCTACCATGAAGCGCCTAAAACGGCTAGAAGACAGCCATATAAGGAACAACGGCTATGTTCTGTGGCTGTTCACGAGACGGTGAAACACCCTAAGCATTTAGTCTCCAGGCACCCTTATTCCTCCATATTTCGCCTTTTTATAGATATGTGTCGTTGGTGTTGAAAGATGGTGCGCAGCTAAGTTGGGATAGTCTGCCATACTTGGTCTCGAGGATGAGACAGATATATAACTCTGCCAGCTCACTAGAGACAATGAGTCTGCGCGATGACAAACTAGCTATCCGGATAGTGCCATCATGGATCCCTCAACATTCATCGACCCTTATCTGACACTTCCTGATCAGTTGGTGCTGCAGGAGCTTCTCAGGAATGAAGACACAAAAAGTATATATCCAATATCCCAATAGTACAACAGACAACTGACCGCGAGTAGGCAAATCTTCAAAAACATCCGACACTGTCCAAACGCTACAGTGTCTGAACAATCCCAAGGAAGTAGGGTTCGATCCGACGGTCTTCCAGTTCTGGGATACCCATCAGTTGCGCACCAATCTGCACCCACCCGCCCGGAAATATGTCCTAGATCCCTATGTCGCCTGGGCTCAGGAAATTGCCCGGTACCCTACAGACGTGGTGATGGTCACTCATCTGTTGATCTATTTTGGAATGTCTATTCCCAGCGCCGTCTGGCTACACTGCTATCACTTCACTTGGATCCACGGGTTGCTGCATTGGATCTTGCATGTCTGGTTCGCAGGCACATACACACTGATGAAGCATCAATATGTCCATATGAACGGCGTTCTCGCTCCAAAGTATCGTATATTCGACAGACTGTTTCCCTACCTCGTGGATCCGCTGGTGGGCCACACCTGGAACTCGTACTACTACCACCACGTCAAGCATCACCATGTCGAGGGCAATGGGCCGGCAGACCTCAACTCGACGATGTGGTACGACCGCGACTCGATCACAGATTTTGCCTGCTACGTTGGCCGCTTCTTTTTTCTCATCTGGCTGGAGCTGCCCCTATATTTTCTGCGGACAGGAAAGCTCAAGTATGCACTCAAGACGGCCCTGTGGGAGGGGAGCAACTACGTCTTCATCTATCTGATGTGGAGATATATCAACCCTCGTGCGGCCTTTTGTGTGTTTATCCTACCACTTTTGACTCTACGACTGGGCCTGATGGCAGGCAATTGGGGACAACACGCTTTTGTGGACCCTGACAATCCGACATCCGACTTTCGGTCGAGCATTACGCTAATCGATGTTGCTGTACGTCCCGTCCCACGTTTCTGTCTTTCTTTGCAAACTAATGATACCATCAGAGTAACCGCTTCTGTTTCAACGACGGCTACCACACCTCCCACCATCTGCACCCGCGTCGCCACTGGCGAGATCATCCCGTGGCCCTGCTGAAAGACCGAGAGCGCTACGCGAACGAAAAAGCGCTCGTCTTCCGAAACATCGACTACCTGATGCTGACCGTCAAGCTGCTACAAAAGGACTACGAGTATCTCGCCAAGTGTATGGTGCCGCTGAGCGCGCAGCAGGCCAATATGACCCTGCAAGAGCGGGCGGATATGTTACGAGGCAGGACGCGGCGCTTTCCGAAGGAACACATTCATGCGTCCAGTGTTTGATGCCGTAGACGGCCTACTTCTTGGCCGTGATATACGGCAACCTCGAGGCCAAGCGTATCACGTATCACATTACTGCAGCCTGATCAGTGCATATTAAAAAGCAGCGATTGGAGGATAATCATGTCGCGAGTAATTGCCGCTACTATTCGTAAGCTTGGTCCCGGTCTATTTATTTTGGCCCGGAGACTTGGCTTGTGGCACAGCCGCCCTGTTCCTGCCTTAGCTGTTGCTTACGCCAGGAACAGCCGTTTAATCTCGTAGCCTAATTAGCCTACTTAGCCTACTCGGACAGTCCGACATAGTACCTTAGCCTACTACTGCATCTCGGCTATTAGTCATGATTACTCCTTATAACTAACTATAGTGCTCGGGATCAAATGCCCCCAACTCAGACCAAGGCTGGCGCATTTTAGGCAGGAGAATTTGAGCCAATGAGGTCTCGGGCTGAACAGCGTGTTCTGTACCGCTAGCAGATTGAGGCTATTATCGGGACAATTATATCTCAGCTAAATTAGCCAAGAGAAGGAGAGAGGCCTGCATGCGTGATAGATAGACTGCTGCCTGATAGCTGCCTGATAGACCGAATGCTCGCTAGGAGCGACATGAACCATCCTATTGTCTTACTCGTGAGAGATAGGAATTTTGTCCAGAAGCAGAAGCAACAACGCGGTCTGTAGTAGTAGAGAATGGAACTAGGTAAACTAAATAACAGCCAATTTCAAGGTGCTGGCATTATACAACTTCCCAAACAAACTGGGAGGATCGCGCGCGAGCCAATCGCTTGGCGCCGCCAACTCGACCACCTCCCCTCCGAAAATAACAGCCACTCGGTCCGTATCCAAGACCGCGGATATCGGACGCACAATGGTGATGCTCGCGCTGTTGGCAGAATCCTCGCGGCTGATTTTCTGTGCCAGCTGATTGGCCTCCCAATCGACGCTGGCCGTCCCTCGGCGAGGATAAGGATCGCACCGGCCCGAACCAAGGCCCGTGCCAGGAATAACAGCCTCTTCTGCCCCACGTTGAAGTGATCGTCGGTCAGGGAGACGTCGATCCCGCTCGAGCCACGGTTTGAGGCTCGACGGTTGGGTCCGAGGCGCTGCCGGATGTGCCGGATGTGCCGGATGTGAGGTGGGGAGTCGGCGGCGATGATGACGATCTCGGCCACACCCATCAGCAGCTCGGCCGTGTGAATAGCATCAGTGACAGTTCCATACCCGCAAATTGCAACCTCTGCAAAGAGGTTAATGATGGTCCCGACGTCTGTTGTCTAGATCTGCCGCTGGGGCGTTCAGGACTGTGTTTACAAGGTATTGTGGAAATGGGCCGAGGCTCGGGCTAGCATCCGCCCAGTCAGTTGCCTACACAATCATCATCCTGTCAGACAAAAAGGGCCAAGAACTCGTACCAAGCGCCGACATCAAGTCGGACAATGGCGAGACCTGCCAGCGCGGCGTAGATTCCCAGATACTCCCCCCGGTGGTCGATCGTATGCTCGTCGCTTAATTGGAGTCATCATTTCACCACGAATTCTGCGGATATTAGTGCCCTTTTTCAACATGGCATAGCGCGTATAAGCGAGTATACACACGCCGTCAACTGAGACCAATGACGAACGGGGCACATGCAATGACAAGGTCGATAGCATACTTGGGGTGGACTGCTCGGACGGAACACTTGTAGATAATCATGCCTCTAGTCCGCCGTTCGCTCCTTGAGGAGTTTCAACCGGAGAGGGCGACATCGACGGTCCCAATGTAGTTTCCTCAGGAGACTTGCTCTTCCCCACGGGTATATTGGGGGGAGGGTTGAGAGCAATCACTTTCTCCATGCATTCACCTTTTTGTAAGTGCCTTCGTCCGCCGGGCGTCCACTGCCTTCGAGAATTATGATGTACTGCTGGTCGGAAAAGATTCCCCGTCGCTGTCAAGGGAAGAAATTCCGACTTGCATTGGTAGTCAGAACGGTAATTGTATCTCCCCGGTTGAGCAGTTCATTGGCACCAAACAAGTCGTGGAAAATGCGCTTTGGTCTTGAGCAATGGAAGGAATACCTCCCAAACAGCAGAGTAAAATGGAACCCATCGCGACAGTCCGTAGCCACTACTGGACCTGGGGCATTCTCAACGGCGATGGAACACATCACTAGCAGTCGTCGAGCCCAGTGGGTGAATTGGACCTGCACACAGCAAGAAGAATAGGACGTAAAGCGGTCTTGGAGTAAAAACTTGCTTCATATTCAAACACAGCGAAAAAAAATAGTGTATATCACGCCTTCTCTATTGTCAGTTCCTGTGGTGCTGGTTGCTGACATCTTACTGTAGTTACTCGCACTATCCACCTGTAGGGCCATACCAAAATAAATGAAGAATTCATGCGTTAATATTGAGACAAATTCTAAGCTTGGCATTTACGGACTGATATGGCTATTCTTAATATAAAAGTTGTGCTGCTACTAAGGTGCTAACGTCTAGTGCTTACATCCCTCCACAGCTGGGGCATTTGTGGCCCTGTTCGGTGTTTCAGCCTCAATAAAAGGACTGGTACGTTGCTCACTGCAGAGAACATGTGCTCCACTTTCAAATCGAGACTCGGTAAAATATGAGGCTTGGTTGAGCAAGAATCAGCACAGCCTGTGTCTTAGCCCTTATCCCTGTCACCCAATTTAACCAAGCCTAACTGAGCAAATGCGGAAATTAAGCTAGACTACAAGCAAAGCAGTCTATTTGAAACCGTCTCTACTTCAGCTATCTACAGCTTACCAATATTCAATGACTCGGAACAATGCGGCAGCCTAACAAGGATCTAATCAACAACCATGTCACTTTGCCCGTCCAAGACTCTTTGACGCTCGACATCCGAGTTCACCCCAGAAAACCTATTCATATAGATCTAATCTCCAGACAGAATTGTCGGGATGCGCTATGACTGGCTCGTTTTCCAGGCAGCACAAAAAGCAGCCCTAATCCTCGCTCTTGATTCCGAAAATAGAATTAGGCAGTGGCCATGGCGGATTGTATGCATCCCAGAAGCGCAACAACAAGACATAACAAGAATTGTATCAACAATTTATATCCAGTTATAAACCAACTTGATTGTCCTTGAAGTATATGGGAATAACCTCTATTCGATTGTTAATCTGGTTTCACCTTTCGCTCTCTATTGTGACTGAATTGCTGGCTGTCATCGATCTTCCATTCTTGTCTTGCTTGCTGGTCAACTTTATTCGATATGCGTATACAGCTTTTATTACCTCTGCTATTGCTCATTTCTGCAATTGGAGTGCTTGCTGTCCCGGCGCCGACTCCTGCGCCGACTCCTGCTCCTACTACGGCCGAGGCCCATGTCGAGCAAAGAGGGACAGAAACAGCCAACGATTATGACCCCCATATTACCATTGAGGTTCCCAAAATCACGATCAAGCCCTTTAGTCTGTCACTGGATCTGCCTTCCGACACCTGCACACCTACCATCACCCCCGATGCGAATGGCTGGGTTCCGGCAACCGAATGCAATGCCCTTTACAACTACTACCCTTCCTTTGGCGCTGCGATTGCCTTTTCCGTTCTTTTTGGTGCCTTGATGGTCACTCATTTTGTCCAGGCCACTGTCTACAAGGCAGGGTTCGCCTGGGTCATCTTGATGAGCGCGGCATGGGAATGTGTAGGATTCGTGGTACGCACGCTGAGTACGCGCGATCAGCAGGACAGTACTCTTGCCACGATCACTCAGTTGTTTATTCTTTTGTCTCCATTGTGTACGCTTTCCTCTCAGATCCCTTCTTCAAACACCTGCTGATCATCTGTCAGGGGTCAATGCATTCGACTACATGGTTCTGGCCCGAATGATCCACTTCTTCGTCCCGGATCGTCGAATAGGCATCTTCAAACCCTCCGTGCTGGCCATGATCTTTGTGGTCCTGGACCTAGGGTCCTTTGTCATCCAATTGATTGGAGGCAGCATGGCCGGACCCGGGGCGGACCACGACACCATGATGAAGGGTATTCACATCTACATGGGCGGAATCGGCATACAGGAATTCTTCATTATTCTCTTCCTCTTCATCGCGATACAATTCCACCGCCAGATGCTCCATCTCGATCGCCAGGGGAGACTCGTTGGACTCAAGGCGAAATGGCGAGGCTTGCTATATGCGTTGTACGCGAGTCTGCTATTCATCACGGTGCGCATCATCTTCCGCCTGGTGGAGTTTTCCTCGGGGAATGACGCGTCAAATCCCATCCCGCAGCATGAGTGGTACATGTACGTTTTTGACGCTGTCCCCATGTGGTTTGCTATTGTGGTTTGGAACGTGGTTCATCCGGGGGCCATCATCAAAGGCCCCGATGCAAAGATGCCGCCAAGCCCTCTGCGCAAGATCTTTTGCTGCGCTTGCTGTTGTTCCTGCTGCAGAAAGCGGAAGAACAAGGACATGCAGAAGATTCCAGATAATGACCACCTAGAAGGCGATGAGATGTTGCCGCTGCGGGAGCGGGCGGCTTCACCATACAGATAATGCTCATCGATTGCTTCTCTGGTAGAATGCTATTTTACCTTTCTTTTCTTCTCAAATATACTGTCCGTCTACATGATTTTATGTATCGGCGTTGTATTCAATTCCTAAAATTGTGACCTTACACCATCAAAGAGACAGGAACAAAAGGTCTGTGGTCTGATTCTTGGATGACTTTCTCCATCATGTATATCTAGAAATATGTCCTTTGTGATACAAATTGAGTCGCTGTACTAGATACACTCTTGTGATAAGGCAGCAACTATCATATATACAGGTGACAGGAATCAGGCAACACTAACAGAACATGAGAAGATTCTCTAGGATCTTCATTATTGCGTACTCGCGTTGAGACCCAGTATATCTCTCACTACCATCCACAAGCAGCTCTGTATCCATGACCGTCATTACCATTCCATCCCTAGCCTCGTCAGTCTAATGCTTATCTACCTTGAAGTTGGAGAGAACTCACCTGCAATCTGTTGGCCACATCACTAACATACGAAGCAGTCGCCCCCTGGGGATCATCCAGATCGTTAAAGTTGATGCTGCCCGAGTTGTAGCCCCGGAGCACATTGTACGGGTTGCCACCGGTGTTGGCCCCAACATTGATGTCGTTGAACCATTGGACAAGACCACCGCCTTGTGCTGTGCCCTGTGTGCCGTCGATGATCATCTGGGTGATGCTTCCCTGTGGATCATTGGGGTTGAAGGACACCGACCCCGCGTAGGCCTGCATCAGCCCGCAGTTTTGGACGCCGTTATTCGTGCAGCCGACGTACACGTTACCACTAGACTGTGAGGTATTAGTCTATGATCAAATAGATTAGAGACCGTGCCATACCTCCTGCATAACTACCGCCAGAATCAACCGAGGATCGACCTTGGCCGCGGCAGACACCTCGACGATGGCATTCCAGATAGCGCCCTGGATGGGACCCGATTCGACCAGTGCCATGGAGGTTTGCTGGTTCAGATCAAACATCGCCGTGAAGCCCATCCAGTTCTGGAACGGCGGGAAGTTGGCAGCCGACCCGCGGAAGCAGTAGTAGTATTCTGGATCCTGGTATCCGGCTGCGCCGTTGGTCAGAGAAGAGCTATACCAGTTCAACCCGTTGCCGGTAACCGCGGCGCTGTTCGCATCGCCGGATCTGCGCCTGCGACTGCTGGAGCCCACATTGTGGAGATACGCGGCGACGACGCCGCCCATCCGCCAGAGTTGTCGCTTTCCTTTGCGGCGGCAACGGTATTCTCGAGGACGATGTTGCTGATCGCCTTGACGTTGGTGCCGTAGAGGTACACCGAGCCAGCCGATGACAGGATGCGGACGGCGTTCGCCTGACAGTCCCCATTACATCCACCGTTGTGGTTGAAAAACGCCCAGACGCAGCCTCCATAGAGGAACAAGTTCGAGGAGCCACGGATGCGCTCAAACAGCGCCATGCGACATCCTGCATCGTTGGCGTCGCAGTTACTGAAGTTGGGGTCGCCGGCAATCAGGTTCGAGGACCATGGCGCAGGGGCCAGATCGGGACTTCCCCAGCCCTGCCAGTAGGGGGTTTCGCTCTGCTGGAAGGCGGAGAAGACGTTCTGGGCGTACTCGAAGTTGTACTGGTAGAGGGTGTGGTGTTCCATGGCCGTTCCGACGAGCCAGGTACCCTTGGTGGCTTCGACGAGGAGACCACGGCCGGTGGCGACGGTGGTTGTCCCGCCGTTGCCGTCGAGGTCGTGGTCTGCGGTCCATCCCCACATGTTCTCGATATACGCCGAGGACGTACTGGTCAGATGCAGCAGGCCCCAGGCGGCTTTGCACTGGTCGGGACTGCCGTAGCAGTTGGTTTGGACTTTGGAGCCGACTGCGCCGCCGATACGGAAATGCGAGTTCCAGAATCCCACGTCGCCAGGAGCTGCTCCGGCAATGTTGACCTCGACCTATCTCCAGTTAGCTGTAGCTTCAAATAAAGCGATGATAGCCTACCAATTTGCAGCCCTGGAGAACATCGGCCACTGTAAACATCATATCTGTGAACTGGGCGACGCCCACGTCGCCTGTATTCCCGACCTTGACCATTGGCGTTGGGGCATTAGGATTCCAAAAGTTGGAACCCGTAGCACTGATCGCCGAGGCGTACGCATCTCCAACAATAATCGAACCAGCGGGGACAAAGATCGTCCCTGTCACAATGTACGTACCGGCTGGGAAGTAGATGATCTTGCAGCCAGCATACTGGGCCAGGATGGCGTTGATGTTGGCCGTGTCGTCGGTGGCGCCGTCTCCCTTGACAGGAAGACCGCTCACAGTCTTGATATTGATAAACTGGCTGGACGAGTACTGAGCGTATGTGGGCGGTGCCATGGTAAAGTACTTGGAGTTGGCTCCGAGAAGAACATTTGCACGAGGCGTGGTGACTCTCGAGCCTTGTGCATGTGTAGGGGTGGTAGCCCCTCCGGAGTACTAGCGTCCTGTGAGCGGCAGATGCAACAAGCCAGAGGGATCGACTCACCATGTTTCCATGCACCCAGGTGTCTGTCACGGAGCCGGAGAGAACCGCATTGTTGTTAAGCGAGACGGTGCTGCCGCTGTTGGTGCACTGCACATTCTCCAGGATGATCGAGTTCTGAGCACTACCACCAGGATTGGAGGAGACGATCATATTACCGAGCGAGCTGCCGCTGGAATCGATGACGGTCAGCGAGCCAGAGATTCCACTGGCATCAATGCCTGTAGCACCGTTTGAGAGGTTGCAGTCCAGACAGACGAGCTGAAATGCGCCGGCCTTTATACCGACGTTGGCCCCGTTAATGGTGATCCCCTTGAGGACCCATTGTTGGCCGCTCAATTCCATGCCAATGGCACCACCATTGAAAGTAAGATCGTTCTGTGGAAGTCAGCAAGTATTCCTGCATAATGATTATCAAACTGACCAGAATGATATTGCTGTTCGAGTCATACTGACTTGTCACGCCAACATGGTTCGAATACGTTGGCATGTTGAAGACGACATTCGTCAGCTGCGTAGCCTGCGAGACAGTCCAATCCAACAGGGTAATCGACTTCGAAGCAGCAACGGCCGTAGAATCAATAATCACGTTTTTGAAGCCAATGTAGAAGTTGATCGTACCGCCCAGGTGGGGGTCTTTTCCGTAGATGATATGATCGTTGGGAAAGTTTGCGTTGGCTTTGAGAGTAGGCGGATTGAGGGCATCGCCCACAATGACCGTACCGACGTATAGCTGCAGACTACTCTCCATCAGGTACGTCCCGGCTGGGAGGTATACGATTGCAGGTTGACCGGTGGTGCCCATGGAGTGGCTAGCACGGTTAGGGCCGTTGGAGGCCCCAGCTATTGGCAGTTAGCACTTCGCGTCTATATACGGGCAAGACAGGGGGTAATACCGTTGATGGCATTCTGAATAGCAGCAGAAGCATCCTTAGCTCCGGTGTTGTCCGCTCCAAAGTCGGTCACCACATTCCGAAAGACCTTGTAGTTATGCTTGTAGGTCGAGTCCAAGAACGACGACTCTCCGTTATGAGTAATTGTCTCCAGCCAGAACTTGCTGGGACTGTCCGGAGTCGGACCTCCACAGCTTGCTCTTTTCTGGCTATCATGGCTTGTGAGGTTTCCCGTAGAGCCTTGAGTAACCGGGTCCCAGGGACGGGCAGTTTTGTTTTGGATTGGAAAAGGAATGGTTCTATATCACTGTCAGATTGAAACATGCTACGTGCGAGAAAAGGCGGCTTACTGTTTATGGGGAACATAGTCAAGAGAGGGAACCCATTGTTCGACATTGAAGGTGCTAAAGTTGGTAGGAGCTTGAAAATGAGTGCCAGCTGGAAAAGCTGTAGAAAGAATGGAGAACGAAAGACTCGAGGCCAGAAGCCAAGCGAACCTCGCCATTGCGACAGAACCAGCCCTGACAGGAGAGAATGAAAAGAGTGTCTGTCCTGGCAATAGCAGATAACCACTACATCTTGGATGTATTTATACATGGAAGCTGGCCTGCCCTCCAGCTAAAGATTCTGAAGAAGCAGTATAGGGGGTCATTTAGCTCAATGACCTGAAGCACTCCGTACCAATCATTGCAGCATTTGTCTGCCATCGGGCGTGGGTTACCCTTCTCGGACAAGCTGAAGGTTTAGTAGACGCATTGTAGAGATGAAGGGTCACTTCGGATGCGACATGGCTGGCACATAATAAGAACGCCGGCACTTAGTGCAGGTACAATGTCACCTCGCTAATCTGAGTTAGGGAATTGGTCTATTGTAACTAGACTCTAACGCTGGGGCATCCACCAATGGAATAGTCAATTGTAGGCCATGAAGCCTCGATATTATTCACGTTTTGTTTGATGGATAGTCTAGTAACCTGTCTCATTCCTCGCTACATAGTCTTTCAAGTAATCATGAATAATATTATCGTTAGCGGCTGACTCTGAAACTAGGTGGAAGGGTCGGCTAGAGAGGAGGCACCGAGATGATTGGTATATTTGGCCCACTGCGGAAATTACGTGCTCATGCTTTCAGCTGAGTCCTATCTAAATAGGCAATTGGTATCAGTTCAAATGTCGGCAATACTGACTCTGGAACTGAGAAAGACAAGCATCATCAAGCATAGCTGGTGCGCTTGGCAGATTTAGGGGATCGACTCCTTTTCATATGGGAAGATGATGATTATGAACAGTGGAGACTGGAGACTGCTGAATAATCAATCAATTGATGCCGCTTTCTTCAGGCTTAATTTCTGCCACCTTTCTCAGGCAGCTCTGCCTCCGTAGCATCTAGATTCAAGACTCCTTTCACCTGGGCAGCTTGGTATGGCTAAGAACAGAGCCTATTCAATGTGTCTCTTTTCTGTTCTCAAATCTAGAATTATGCTGAAAAATAAAGATATAACTGTTAGTCTTGAAGGCACTATTGAGCTAAAAAGTCAGAGATGTCAATATGGCATCTCCTCCTTAAATATAGATAACGGTAATATCTTATGGCTACACCCTGCAGACATAATATTCCCCCTTTAACATCAACACTCAAGAGGCCAATATCAGTAGATCTGAGCTAGAAGATATGTCGTAGTCTAAAGCAGCAGCTGTGCGCCGTTAGGAGAAGAACAAAAAGTGCCACCCTGCGATGGCGAAAACAGCCAAGAAGACCTCCGCAGCCCTACGTCGCATTGACGCAAGACACCATTTAAACCAAACCTGGGAAGAATACTAGCAGCATTCTAGCCTTACCTTTGAATATGATATTGTATTAAAGATGGATCTCGATCATACCACATGGATTCGCTCATGCCTGCTGCTTTTGACGTCACTACTTGGTGACTTGAGACTGTATATATGTAAAGAATGTAAAGAATGTGTAGTGATAAGCTCAACCGACTGAATTTATCAATAATTCTATACAATTGAAAGTTGATACCTGAGCTTGAAAATGGCTGCTTATTCTGGAAATTTTACAAATGGTCGTCGTCCTCAAGCGACCAGGTACGTCTATCGGGAATCCTTTACCAACAGTCTCTCTACTTACAGATTCTCTTCCAGCTCCCGTAACATTGCCTTTCTGAGTATCTTCGCTGTCATCGCCGGTGGCTACCTCGCTTTCCGAGCCCAATCGCCCAGCAAGAACGAGCCATTGGTGTCGAAGAAAGAGGTCGAGGCAATGTACGGCAGTCCGGCAGGTCAGGGCGATCGAGTGGGACGCGGACCCGCTCATCAGCCAAAGGACTAGGGTCGAGGGCCTATTTCTCTTTTGAAATTCAGGCTGTACATATGGCGTTGTCTTGTTCGTTTTCAGGTTGATGAATCGGATTTCTTTGTTGTCTCGTCTTGAAGCATCAGAGTCCGAATGCATGTACCTATTCTCCGAAACTCCGAAAATCCGAGATCTGACCGAAAAGCGTCGACTGATTGATGCTTCTTTATTAATACCGGAATAAACCCCAGAGGCATGTCTTCAATATTAAGTAGCTCTAGAAGACTATTTAATCCTTCCCCGACGCGGTATAGCCATAGTGTCGAGTATTCCATACATCCACCTTTCAATCAAGTGATCAATCCAGACAGTATGGACTCAATAACCTTCCATCACAGCCCAGGTGTGTCGATACATGCCTGTATCTCTCACCCAGCTATCGTTCAGCACAAACCCCTCCTAGTCTTCCTCCACTACTGGGGCGGCTCCTCGTCGACGTGGTACAAACTCACATCGCCAGACTCCCCTACCTCACTCAGCGCATCATATCCAACTCTCGCAATCGACCATCGAGGATGGGGCAAGTCAACCGGACCATCCCAGGATGGTAACACCGCCTACTCGATCTCCTCCATGGCAAAAGACGTTGCTTTGGTCCTGCAACAGCTCGCAGCAGACCAAGACAGGAAAGACGCCCTAAAGCATGGATTCATCCTGATCGGCCACTCAATGGGAGCCAAGGTCGCGATGGCAACTCTAACCACGCTGCCACGCGACCTACTCAACTGCCTCAAAGGGCTAGTCCTAGTCGCTCCGGCGCCCGCGACGCCTCTACTCCTGCCACCGGAAATGCGAGAACAACAGAAAGCGGCGTACCAAAACGCCGAGTCTGTCCGCTGGTCGCTCAACCATATCCTTGCGAACCCGGAGAATCTTGACGAAAAGGATATCGAGATGGTGGTTCGTGACAGCTTGCGAGGGAACGAGTTGGCCAAGAGCGCGTGGCCGACGTATGGTATGGCGGAGGATGTATCCGATGCGCTTCAGCGCGCTCTGGAATCGATGGATAGGGAGAAGCTACGGGTGAATATTCTGGTCGGAGAGTCCGATGTTGTGGAGCCAAAGGACCGGGTGGATAAGGAGGTTCGTCGGTTTTTGGAGCGCAGTGGGATCCAGGTATCGATGACGAGCGTCCCCGGTGTGAAGCATTTGCTGCCGCTTGAATGTCCGGAGGCGCTTTTACAGGAGATTTCCAAGTTCTCATAGCGTAAGATGGTAGTATAGTGGCTATAACATTCAATAAGACAGCTTTAGCTATCGAGTCGCTATCGTATTCTTATCATCTAATCATTACCAGCGTTAGAAATGTATGACAGAGAAACGCCGCCAACACCATGCGACAGGACAAGAACATATCCAGAAGACAAGCAATCGTTTACGACTGTTCCGACCTGCTGATCAACGACGCAATCACCGCAGCTCCCACACTCGATCCATCCACGGCAGGAATCAACCGGATCGGATCCGGGGTATCAGCCGGCCACTCCAGGATCTCCCGCAGCGCCCCGATAGCCCTCTCCGGGAAGCATGGATACTTGTTGAACACAGATCCATCCACAGCGACATGACAGCTTTCCAACCCCCGCTTCTTCATGATCGCCGCGATGCCACACGCGTATAACCTCGCCGATCGCAAGGAAATCATGTGCGCCAGGTCGTAGCAGAAGCGTAGCTCGGACGGGGAAGGCGTGATTGACAGCGTCTTCTCAAAGGTATCTTTGGCTGTCCGCAGATCTCCGGAATCGTCGCTCTCGATAGTCGCCAGGAAACAGCAGTCCAGAACATACGGCTCGTTTAGTTTGGAGGAATTCTGACCGTCAAAGATCGCCTTGCGATTGTGGAGATCCAGCAGGATGAGCCGGAAGATCTCACCCAGGTAGAATCCCGCAACCATCTTCTCGTATCGCTGCTGACCGGGTCGGGGTGAGGCGCGGTCGATCTCGGCGTCGTAGTCGGTAAAAGGGAGCACTCGCTGGCTGTTATCAAAGGCGCCGTACTCGCAGTTGATGGCCATGAATGCGTCGTCGGGGAGATGCTGATCGGCCAGTTTCGGGATCTGGGAGCATCGCTCCATGTACGCTGCGTTACTGCCTGTGCCGAAGATGCTACCGATTTCGGTCTTGGAGTCGACGTAAGAAGAAGCCATCAGGGTACCGACTGTGTCGTTGACCAAGGCGACGATCTTAGAAGGGAGACCCTATTCAAGTTAATATCAACCCTTTATGCAGAGGTGCTGAAGCAGCACCGACCTTCTCCTTGAGAGCCTTCTGCAGCTCAGCAACAACGTCTGCCCCCTCGACACCCTTAATGTCAAATCCTTTAGTCCATCGCTGGAGGATGCCATGCGAGATGGATGTTTGGGTGACAGGGTAGGAAAATGTAAAGGCGAGAGGTGTCTCGGCAAGCTCCTTCTGCGAGATTGAATAGCGATCGACAAACTGCTGCAGACAATCGGCAATGTAGTGCCACAGTTGCTCTGCCGTTCCGGACTTCAAGGACTTGGGAATCTTGTTGTCCATCTGGACGACGTCATACTTGCCCGCAGTGCCGTTGAGTGTCACTTTGCAGACGCGAAAGTTGGTGCCTCCCATGTCCATCGTGAAGAAGGCTCCCTTTTCGTCGCCGCGGGGCAGTTGCATTACCCATGTTGGGTTCATTGGCTGTTTGTTCTAGTTAGTCTGTGCCCTAGCAGGTAGAAAGTAGGCTTTAATGACATACAATGTCGCCGCCTTGGCCACTGAGCCCTGAAACCTATTAGCATTCATGTCTTGAGACAGTCAGGAAATGCGATTCGTACTTACCAACTTCAAGTTCATGGACAAAGTGGTCAGTAATCTGCTTTAGCTTGGCAGAATCAACAGTTAAGAGTTCCCGCAGCCTCGTGAATTCATCCTGAAGTGCATCCCCGGTCACCTTCCGGGCCAGGGGAGGAGTAGGTGCTGGCAGACAGTTAGCCATTTCTCGTCGCTTCAGTCTGAGGCGCAGACATACGGCTTGTAACAACCACCGACGCGGTAGTGGACATGATGTCTGTGTTAGAGGGCTCTGGTGCAAAGGAGCTCTGGGAGAAGGGACACTCTGGCCGGGGTGAATGTCGAGGGCTTTGATTTATGGTGAAGGAAGGACGAAGAACTCTGCGCTAAAAAAGGAAATGCGTTGAACTTGGCTGTATAGACGCGTGACCGTCCGGGTGGTTCTTTTATATTCTATTTCTATTCCTTCGGTGTAGATAGCATGATTATTCGCCCTACGCTATTGCAGTATTCCTGATGTCAGCTATCCAACTATTCCACCAAGCACATAACCGGACAATAGCATGGTGGTGGCCATGACCTCCATGATAAAGACCCATTAATGGATCCTTCCGTCACCATGGCATATACAGCACAGTTCTCAGGGAAAATCAACTCCGGCCACCCACTCTTGATCATGGTTCCGCCAATGTAGTACTCAGTTTTTGCCCCTGCAACGGAGGTCCCTGAACCGATTGTCTGTACATCAACGGGATGACGTATTGGCTGCCAAGACCGCCACTCAACATATTCAGAGGGCAGGATGAAAGTATTCCACCTGGACGAACACTCAGTTCTCCATCGCCGGTGAGCCTGAGGTAGGCTAGACTCAGAAATGTCAGAGACAGCCTCGAACAACCTAGGAGACAGAGAGGTGGACTCTTCCAGGCAATTCTAGCCCCCGAATATACTGGTAGCCAAGGAGGCCATGGGAACGATCTGATTGGATGAGAATCAGAATTCAAGGCATCTGATTGGCGTCGCGTTATCACGCTGGTCAGGTGTTACGTCATTAGCCAATCATGTCAATCACTTCCCAGTTTCTATAACTACCTTATCTTTTCCAGGATCACTCCTTCTTTATATATGCCTTACAGGGACACTCCGGTCTTATCTACTCCGTAAGGTCAGCCAGAAAACTTAAGGTCAAGACGGGTGACGTATTCATCCAATTAGGACTCGGAAGCACCTGACCGTAGTAGATATCTTCTGGATGATTCTATCAGGAGTCAATGTCTGATAGCTAGGCTATACTATGCATGTTATACGGTGTAGCCTTCAAAGGTATCTCAGAAAGGGGAGAAGTGCTATACAGTGAGGACTAGGGAGTAAGGCGCTGGAACCTATGCTGCAGACTTAGTATAGGACGCATCTCCCAACAGCCCATAAGTCGATGATCGGTATTTAATCAACAGGAGGTACAGCAGCACACAGATTGACTACTACTAGTTATCTAGTGGGTAATAGATGCTCATGGATTAGGAATCAGTTCGTCTATGTGTGGTATTACTGCAAATCTATCATATCATAAGTATCTGAATTACTGATATAATAATGGCTCACTTGAGCTTGTCATAATACCATCGACAGTCCAAATGATAGACAAATCATTATGTATAAAAATAGTAAAATTGGCCCAGGGTAGATGCATGGGATGCTGGCGAGCTTCGTCTCCTCTTCAAATAAAGAGATTGATATCAGATAGCTCTAGCGCTTCTGGCTCATTGTTGTCTCTGGCTGTAGGATACGCTGAACAGCCAGACACCAAAATCCCCAGTGCCTGACTGCGGCAATATATGACGAGCTGTTCTTTACGGTATAAATGAGGTATATTTTGCTATGAATCAAGTCGTTCCAAAACATCCTGTGGCAGCTCTTGCATGATAACCCTGCATCTCCCATCCATAAACCAGTCAAGGTGAGCGTACATGTTTCGGTTGTGGCTGCTTCTTATTCTGCCACAAAGCTTGTCAACATAGACTGACAGCCTGAAGACAAGCATATCAGTAATGAGTTGCGAATCAATGATATTAGGCTATATTCATGCCTTCTCCATCAGACCACAGTGGAGCCGGATATACGAAGACCCACAACCCCTCACTGTGGGATATTGTCGAGGTACATATCGCCAAAGCCTTGCATTTCACGAGCTGTACGATCGATCATGATACTAAAGGTTGATGAGAGAAGTGTTTTAGACGTGTTAACCAAATAATCCGAATATGTTAAACAACCCATTGATAGCAGAATCAGCTCAGTTACCTAGGTAATCATTTCAGCTGAGATCACACTCCGAGCGTAACTATCAACACCGAAAAGAGAAATGATATCCCATCGCAGAGATCACCCCGCACTCTCATTTTTCAGTTTGCGGGGTTAACTGAAGTATTCCCCTTCGGCTTTCCTCCCGAAGCCTCTCAAGGGGCGAACGATGTCGATCCTTGCATACATCCCAAGCAACTGATGTCACACAACATCAGAATCAGCCTATTTCATTCCTGGCGGATAAATTTCCGCAGAAGCCTTAAATACCTTGCATTTGACTGCGAGATCAGGACCATAACAATGGCCAACCGCGATGATGGTGTCTATCAAACGTTGGCTACTCGGCTTCTGCGCCGTGTCCACGGTATGGGCGAACCCCATACAAACCCGCGAGGAGGGCTATGTGATGCCCAACTCGAGCGGCTTCCGCATGCAGCATGGCTTTGAGACTGTGCTCGTCCAGCCATTTGGCTACGACGGGTTTCGCGTGCGCGCCTGGCCCTATCGTCCGCCCACTGGCAACGAGGTCAGCTTCATCTACGACCCGCCTCTCGAGGGTTTCGAGGATGGAAAGGCCCATGGCTTGGACTTTGACACTGCGTTCAATGGCAATCGGACGGTCGCCATTCGAAATGGCAAGATAGTTGTCCGTACGTCCGGTTGGGGTGGGAACCCGGGGGCTACCGGCTGGCCTTTTACCGGGTGGAAAATGACGGGTCGGAGACGCTGCTTACGAACGAGTATGCGCCTCTCAAGTCGGTCAATCCCAGGTACTACTTCTGGCGCGGACCAGGGAGCGAGTTCTCTGCGGAATTCTCGTTCAGCTCGACGCCGGACGAGCAGATCTACGGCACGGGCACGCAGCAGGATCATATGGTCAATAAGAAGGGTTCTGTGATCGATCTGATCAACTTCAACACGCATATCCCGACGCCGGTGTTTGTGAGTAACAAGGGCTACGGCTTTGTGTGGAACATGGCGTCCCAGGGCCGGATGGAGTTTGGAGTCTTGCGGACCAAGTTCACGGCCGAGTCGGCGACTGTGGTCGACTATGCAATAGTCGCTGCGGAGCGAGGTGACTACGATACACTCCAGCGTCGGCTGTCGGCACTGACAGGTCGTGCGCCCACGCCTCCCGAGGCCTCGCTCGGTTACATCCAGTCGAAGCTGCGGTACGAGAACCAAACCGAGGTGGAGCTGCTGGCTCAGCGGTTCAAAGACCACAACATCCCGGTCTCCATGATCGTCATCGACTACCAATCCTGGGCTCACCAGGGAGACTGGGCATTGGACCCTCGCCTCTGGCCGGATGTGGCGCCCATGGCGAAGAAAGTCAAGGATCTCACAGGCGCAGAGATGATGGCGTCTCTCTGGCCCAGCGTAGCCGACAACAGTGAAAACTACCTGGAACTCATCGCGAAAGGGCTACTATCCGCTACACGATCCGGCCCCGGCACCACCGACTCCTGGAACGGGTCTTACATTCGGAACATCGACTCAACGAACCCGGCCGCTCGGGCGTTTCTCTGGAAGACGCTGAAACGCAACTACTACGACAAGGGCATCAAGAACTTCTGGATTGACCAAGCCGACGGCGGCGCGCTAGGCGAAGCCTACGAGAACAACGGACAGAGCTCCTACATCGAGTCCATCCCATTCGCGCTGCCCAACGTCCTCTACGCCGCAGGCACCCAGCTCAGCGCAGGCAAGCTGTACCCTTGGGCGCACCAGCAGGCCATCGAAGAGGGATACCGCAACGCCACCGGCACGAAAATGGGTGAAGCATGCGACCACATCAGCCTGAGCCGCTCGGGATACATTGGTTCCCAGCGCTTCTGCAGCATGATCTGGTCGGGGGATACGACTTCCGTGTGGGATACGCTGGCCGTGCAGGTTGCCAGTGGCCTCTCAGCGGCTGCAACGGGGTGGGGATGGTGGACGATGGATGCAGGAGGGTTCCAGGCTGACCCGACGGTGACGTGGAGCGCGAACATCGACACGCCCGAGTACCGCGAGTTGTACGTGCGGTGGTTCCAGTGGGCGACATTCCTGCCGTTTATGCGAACACATGGGTCGAGGAAGTGCAATGTCCAGAATGCGTACACGTGCAACAACGAACCGTGGTCGTATGGCGAGGAGAACACGCCCATCATTGTGTCGTATATCCAGCTGCGGTATCAGCTCAAGACGTACATCCAGGCTGTGTTTGAGCAGTTTCATCAAACGGGGATGTCGATTATGAGGCCACTCTATATGGATTTCGAGCGGACAGATCCGCAGATCGCGAAGATGACGCGGGAGAATGTCAATGCAACTACCCAGCAGTACATGTTTGGCCCGAGGCTGCTTGTTACCCCAGTCACGTTGCCCAATGCTACCGAGTGGGAGGTGTATTTGCCGCAGACGGGCCAGGATGAGACAAAGCCGTGGACGTACTGGTGGACGAATCAGACATATGCTGGTGGACAGACAGTGACCGTCCCGGCCCCGATCGAGCATATTCCGTTGTTTTACCTGGGTAGGAGGGAGGATATAATGAGTGGAGGTGTGTTCTAGATGCGGCAACTTAATCATGTTGGAACTGTCTACGGACTCATCGCCCTACTGCTTAATGTGACTGACGAGGAACGAGGCGATAGAGATGACCCAGGCCTTGCTTGTATTGACTAGTCATCATCTCATGCATTCCATCACTTACTACATCACTTGCACCTCGTAGTCTCATTTGCTCGTCTGCTCTCTCAGTCCGTCACTACCACCCTGTAGCTTCAGGCGTAGGCATAGCCGCCACCGACTCGGGCACCGCCATAGCAGCCATGACATTCGCCTCAGCCGCGGGCGTAGGTTGAACCTTCACGTCCCCCGTCAAAGGCACCAAAGTCACAGGCGGGATATACCAGTGCGCATCACACTCGGTCCACAGCGCATCAATCTGGCGGACCGCCTCGGGAAGATCCAAGAAAGGCATGTAATCATCCCGGATCAGCGTGCAGGAAGGATCGTACAGCGGACACTGCGATCCTCCGCGGTACTGTGGCCAGGGAATCAGCGGCATGGTATAATTGCCGACCTCCTGCGGCATGAACTCGGCGAAATTGAACGGATACGCAGTCCCGATGGTGGGGTACTTTGCGTTGCGGTGATTGCGGACCGAAGACACGCTGACGGGATCCACGGCGATGATGGTGTCGGTGTGCGTGTCCCCGCATTGGCTTCCGGGATGGGCGCGCCGGTTACTCCAGGCGTAGATGGAGGTAAATGAAACGTAGATGCTTGGGGAGACGAGGGTCTGCCCGTTGACTACGGCGGTATTGGGGCCGTTTCCGGTTGGTGTAGCAGGGATGGTGGTGCCGCTCTGCAGACATAGATCGCCACCAGCGGTGGTCACGGGCCAGTAGAAGACGGTTGCCGTGCCGGGGAGGAAGTGGCAGTTTGTGCAGGGGTCTTCGGGGTAGGACCGTGTTGTCGAGGGACAGCTATACGGTGGGATGGGGCTCTTGGTGTCGCCTGGAGTGACGGTGGTGACAGTGTCGTAGTACGAACTGGACAGTTCCCTATACGTCGACCAGATCGGAATGCATTCTTGCGTGTTGAGGTCGCAGTCGGGCGCTCGCGGCTCCCGGTAGAGCTCAACCGTATTCGTGAAGGTGGTGGTGTAAGTGCTACATGGTCCTGTACCGGGATAGTAGGATGTCACGGTCTCACGAGGGCCCAGCGCGCGTGGAATACCGTCGCAAAGGGTCGTCACAGGTCCTGTATGAGTATCCGGGTATCTCTCCAGCGACGAAGAGGTTCTGCAGGCCCCCTCGCTGGTTGGATATGGGTCATAGGAGATACTCGTCGCTGTTGGGCCTAGCGAGCGTAGTCCGGTGGACCGGCCATAGTATTCAACCCACTTCGCATTGCAGGTTACAACCGGCGCTTCGGGGCCGGTTGTTGGTCCATAGAAGTAGTCTGTATATGTGGGCCAGAAGATGGATGTGTTGGAGATAATCAACCACTGGCCACTGGTCGACGATGGCTCGCCGGTGGGTGATGGGCGGATCGTGATGGAACTGGCCGTGACAGCCAGACATAAGGCTGAACTGGTCAGAGCTATTTCATCATTGTGGATGAGGATACCTACCAATGTGTCCCTGAAGGACAGCAAGCAGTAGAGTCCAGAGCATGATTGCTGATTATCAGTTGCTTGCTCACTGGACTTGCTCTCAGAGAAAGACAGCCTTTTTATACACTCACTCGGCCACACCCCGCTATTCTTCAGCGGTCTGCGTAGCGATGTCTGGGTAGCGATGTCACATTGATCTTGATCCACTCAAGACATATGTAGTAGTGTGATTGGGGGGCAGCTAAAATCTCACATCTAGAACATGCAGACTCGCCACCAAGCCATTCGATATGGGCCCATTGCCAAGTCTTTACCTGCAGATCCGACACAGCCCGACATCCGGGATTGGCCAGGATTCAGTTTGCCCACAGGACCTCGTATATCCAGCCTAGCTTCAGCAGTACAGCTCGCCATGAATCAGTCGATTCAAACTTTGATTACTGAACTCTATGTGTTTGGAAAAGAGTCTGCCCATGTCAAAATGCCGGCAGATTCTAAAACATGGCAGTATGTACGCTACCCCTTGAATTGCACACTCCATTTCTTAAAGGGCTGATAATATAGGCAAAACAGGTAATGCAGTAAGTGGAGTAACGCTGAAGCATTCAATACTAGCTAGATTCATACTATGCCTTACACCAGGTCAGTAGGCAATCCAAATGTCTTTTCCGGCGCCCCGAGAACGCCTGACAGACTTTGCAGATCTCCTCTGATGGTGCACTCATGAGAATAATAGAACGCCTGTAGGCAAATTGAAGCGAGTGATTGGAGGTGTCTTCACTGACAGTGAGTGCAGTCAGTCATAATCCTTTCCTTTCTTCTGCGCAGTGTACAGTACCTTTCTATGGAGTAATCGCACGCCCCCAACTTTGGAATGTGCCTCCAGTTCCGAGTTCTTCTTCCCCGCGGCTAATCCTTTCTCGCTCGTCGTTATCAGACGAGCATTTCAGGCCCTCCATTTGACAGACTTGACGAACGAGAGTTGCGCTGTCGATCTCATAGGCGACTTGTCCGGTTCTGTTGGTCTATCGGGAAGTGAAATCTGTAGGATGCAGCTCGCTTCTCGCAATGGGACAGTCGAGTACCAGGTCTGTAGTGCACGAAGCCGTGTTGGTGCACTCGCTGGCAGAAAGGACAGCGGACGTAGACACTCGAAGCGTTCCAGTCGAGGACATCAATATCAATAATGCGTGTGTTCGACATTCTGCCGTTCCAGTGGACCGATAAGCTCCACACAGTTTGATTCAAATCCGATGTTGTAGGGTTGGTGTCTTCCAGCAAATCTGGAGTAGAGCAGGTGTACGTCTTGGTCTGAGCCGTGGAGCTGTATGTCTTATATAAAGCATATTTCTTTCAGAGCGATGAGGCCTGCAAAAAGATACTACTACGGCAAGAGCCGCCTTCTACCTTGTAGTAAGTGATTATCTGCCAATCAGTTTGCCTGTAGGCACTGCATATTCACAATGTTCCTGCGGCGCCATGCCATGCACCACAGCCACAATATGCGCCACACAAGTCGTTTATTGGGGTTCCTGTATTCCCAGGTAACACGACCATATTCTGCTCTTTAATCTTGCCATGAGGCTGGCTATAGAAGAGATAGTTTACCACTAACCACTGATTTACGTTGCCTGCTGGATTACGACACTGCTGTCCTGTACTTTGCGGGCATTTTCCATCTAACTGATTTGCCTCTACTCTAATACATATGGATTATACCTATTTGTGTTTGCTCCTATTGACAGACAAAGGAGGATGCTCTACATAAGGACATCTTAGCTAGTGGTAACTATCCTACGAACAGCAACCCTCATCCTTTACGGTTCTCGGCTCCTGACAGAGAAACAAGGAGCTCTGCAGGACCACTTTTAGGCGAAGAGTGACAATATCCAAAGGATCCTGAAGAATGTCTATGCTTATACTACGAGAACTGACAATTCTCAATGTCTTTCTTTGATGTTTGACATAGAGGCCTTTGCATTTGCATAAAGATATAGGGAAACGTATCGTGATAGGGCAAAGCCTATATCAATGCATATATCGCTCACACCTGAACACAAAAGAACAGAGCAATCCTGCAACTTATATCCCAAAGTGATTGAAGCCGACTACGCACAGTAATCACTGTTTCCTGGACCACCATCTTTGCAGCCATTTCGGCAAGCCTGCGTAAACTTGATATTGCCAAAGACATCGTTACAGTAGAAAAGGATATTTTCGGCAGTTGGGTTGTAAGTGGAAGGCGATCTCGCTTTCGCATTTGTGTCTGATCTGGTACTCGTAGTTCCCCTAAGTTGATGAATAGTTATGTATATGGACACATTTTCCGATAGGATACTAGCCAAGATCGAAAAGGGTCGGTCCACAGTAGTTAAGGCCCCTTTTACAGCCCCTCCCACGGACACGACCAGAAAGAGCAGCCATTGTGAGGATTGTAGAGAGCTTCATTGTTTACACTGCGTGCATCTTGCCACTCCCGCCGTCCCTGGAGGCCATATCCTAGCTTCAGTTCTAAGAAGTATGTTATAGCTAGATATACATAGTAACAAGTTCATTCGTCCTTGGATCTTCCAACATAAAGGCAGCCACAGCTAACATGAAAGTATTGTATAAATAGAGTTTGCTCTTACAAGGATTTAGGGCCTGTAATTTCCTCTGAATAGTAATAGCGAGTTAGAACACACAGATATAGTTCACATAAATGATTCGGATGTTATCACAAAGGTCTTATACCATGTTATGACATATCCATGCCTTCGAGTCAGCCCCCGCATTCGTCACGGGTAGCGAGACTAAATTGCGGGGAGATGGCTGAAGAATCCTAAGGAAGCTAAGCTCGTCCTCAGATGCAAACATTCGCCAATAATCTGGCCAGTTGGACGGATAAAAACGACGAGAATGTCCTCGTTCCGGCTCGTCGGGGGAACTGGCCGAAATTTGATTGCTCGTTACCCTTTTGATCACGGACGTCGATGAATACCCCAATCCTGAAAACTCAGATATTGGACGCCACGCGTCTTTCCACCAATGAGTCTTCTTCAGTGGCTTTTAATGCAGAGACATCAGAGTCTATATATTTCGAGGGGAGTCTCGTCAGGGTCCATCGCCTGAGACAACGGCCACCGTATAAACTTTCTCTCATCTTCCAGCCTTGTGCCCGTTATTTGGCCTTCCATAATGTTGCACATATCGATCGTGTCATTGACTGTTTCCTTGGCTCTGGCACTTGGTGCCAACGCCCAAGCAGCATTATACGCTCAGTGTGGTGGTCAAGGCTACTCGGGTCCTACCTCGTGCGTCGCTGGAGCTGTCTGTAAAGTTTGGAACCCGTGGTACTGTACGTCTGTTGCAAATACTACTATTGAAGATAGATCAATCCTGATCGACAACACTTAGCTCAATGCGTCCCTGGAACAAGTACTGCACCGAGTACTACAACAACCACAACGACCACAACGACCACAACAACTAACACCGCCACACCCACCGGAGTAAAGTACTTCATCACTTTGTGAGTCACCCTCAACTTCATACCGAAAGTTCTTGTACTCATCAAGTTAGTGGTGACTCCTACTCGCAGACGGGATTCAATATCAATGGCACCAAACCGTCCGCCGAGAATCCCCTCGGGAACCCCACTTTGCCAGGATGGACGACGACTGGAGGCTTGAACTGGATCGGGTTCCTCGTCTCGAAATATAATACGTCCCTGACTCTGTCATACAATTTTGCCTATGGTGGAGCGACGACCAACGCCAGCCTTGTTGCTCCATTTACCTCTACTGTCCTTAGCTTCATCGATCAGGTCACCGAGTTCACCAACAGCATCGCCTTGAAGCCCTCTTATGCGCCGTGGACCAGCGAGAATACTCTCGTGGGCGTCTGGATGGGCGTGAATGACGTTGGCAACTCATACTGGCAGTCCAGTATTGACGAACTTCTCATCAAGATCATGGATAGCTACTTTGGGCAGCTGCAAATTCTCTACAACGCTGGAGTGCGGAACTACGTGCTACTCGGTGTTCCTCGTAAGTCTTGCTTCTGTTTGACATCACCGATAATTCTAATACTTCTACAGCAATCAACCGCTCCCCACTCATGCTTTCCCAAGGCACCAGTGCCACTACCGCGGAAGCGGCAGTGATCGCAAAGTACAACAACCTGATCGCGACATATCTCGCTAACTTCAAGTCCAAGAACAGCGGTGTCACAGCGACAATCGTGGATACGCAGGCGCCATTCAATAAGGCATTGGATAATCCCACGGCCTATGGTGCGCCCAATGCTACCTGCTATAACAGCGATGGTACCAGCTGTCTGTGGTTCAATGACTACCACCCTGGCGTTGCAATCCAGAACCTCACGGCACAGGCTGTGGCTTCTGCGCTGAAGGGATCGTTTTTCTAGGGTACCTTCACAGCCGTGAATGGATAACGCCATCATTTTGCCGAGGTGCCTCTTATACGACTGTATATACTCCGTTGAGATAATATGCGAACCCAGTCGCAGCTTTACATAAGCTATTCAGCCTTCTGGCATAATAATGTTTGATCGGTACGCAAATGTAGAGAGATCTTGGATCCCTCGGTGATGAAATACACTTCCACTTAGACCTGGTCACTGCCACGATCAGAGAGGCTTCCGAATTCCTCATTGGTATGGACTGAACAATGAAACCTCACCCACTCAACCACCGAGAATTTGGCAGTATCATCCATTTGATCTCTGTACTTTCGAGGGCCATTAACTCTTCCATTATCGTACAATGAATCCACCAAGGCACAGCTGATATGTCCTACAGGGTTCAAATAGCAAGGCACGCCATACTGTCTCAGTCTTCAGTGCCTGAAATCCAGCTGGATCAGCCGCTTTCTGACAAGTTCACAGGTGATCACATCTGCTCATGACAGTCCCTTTATATATTGACCGGTGAGCAATGGGCGTTACTGGCCTGGGTCCAGGCCATCATGGATCATCATCCGCATAACCAAGATCACCATTGCAAACTGGTATCTTGCCTGGTTGCACCCTTGGACAGCTGTAAATCTACTACCCGTACCAAAGATACATGTGATCTCTCTTGAATTGCATATATGTTACTCTCAGTGTCTTATTCTGGTTAGGAGAAGGCATTGTACTTACTACGTATTATTTGTGAGCGATCCTTGCACAATAGTAAGCGAATTTCAATTATGGCCATAGCATGAACTAAGGAACAAGGACTACCTGGAGCCTTTGATCAAGGTGAGCTTTACGGCGTATCGGAATTCCTAACCCGAGGTGTCCATTGGGTCACCATCTAAGCTGATCGCCTCAGCGGCAGCCAATTCTAGGAAAGGCAGCTGCTGTTGGATGGTGTCACAAACCTGCTGCAAGTTAGAAGGCACCCAGTGATCTTCCATATCTTTAAGCGCCACTTTAACCCAGTATCTCCCGCCGTTCACGAGCTTATTGAGTTGATGCTCCATCCAAGCATCCCAGCAGTCGAGAAGATCCAAGTCTTTGATCTTGTCCTTGAATGAGGATGTGATTCCTGCAAGGGGTACCTAACTCCACTTTGGGTGTCAAAGGAATGCTCCGAGCTCGATCATAAGGGGTGTCTCACATTGCTGATCGGAGAGAGCAACTATTTCCATTGCTTTTCTCGCGCTGGATATCTCCTGGTCTGAGATGTCATCCCGCTGATTCCAATAATAGGTTTTCAGTCAACATTCTCGGTCCGACAAGGCGTGTTGTTGATGCCTGCATTCCAGGGCGTCTCCGCCACCAGTCACTATGAATCAGAAGGAAATGTATAAATTGGGGCATGCAAGATGTCCTCAGACCAAACAAGAGATTAGTCTCAATGATGTACTCACACACGATTGCGAGTGCCTTCTTTGCAACTTGTTGTCTGTTGGGCCTGGCGACGGCATCGAGTCCTCTTCATCATGCCGACGGCAACCCTGACTACTCCTTTGACGATCTCTGGTCTCTGGAGAGAAGTTTCTGGGATACGTTTCTCTACCCGACGAACGTAGCACAGATCAACGCGACGGATGACTCTGTCTTTGCCGAAAATGTATTCCCTGCTGAGCACCGATGGAACCACAACCCGTTCTGACATATTGATTCAGGTCCAAGGTCGAGTGGACATCACACGCACTTTTGACGGCCGCGAGCTCAACAACGAATACATCTTCGGACTTTTCTCCGAGCCGGAGCACCTTAGTCTCGTGGGTGTTCCCATCGCATACAGCATCACCCAGTTCACAGCCAATGGCAACATCGCCTCGGCCACGACAGTCGTCACCTTCAACTCGACCTCCTTCGGGGTCATCATCCCCGTAACCATCGACACCTGGATCGAATGGGACGCACAGCAGAAGATCGTGCAGTACGACGCCACATTCCGGTGGTTCGGGCCCCTCCTCGAGGCGCTGCTCAAAGCGCAAGCCGCCAGGATGAATACCACCGACCTGGCCGTAGTGCGGGCAGCGCTTACGCAGCGCCTAGCAGACACAATCTGCCAGACCCACGAGGACAACTGCAAGGGGGAGAACCAGCAATACGAGAGTCGGGACGCCTGCATGGACTTCCTGACGAACAAGACGCGCTTCGGACAGGCGTACGAGCTGGGCCGGGATACCCTGCTCTGTCGCGAGGTGCATGAGCTTATGGTCAAGTACCGGCCGGATATACACTGTCCGCATATCGGACCTACGGGGGGTGACTACTGCGTGGACGATCTATCGTATGAGCAGGTGGTGCTGGAGAAGTATTTCCGGGACTCGTTTATTGCGTATGGGTATGGGCAGGAGCAGAATATCTGGGTTGCGTAATTCTATGATCTATCAGTTCATTCAGATTGCCGTTGTCCTTAGCCAATATGAGTTATACTGCACTTCCCCCTCATTCTCTCTCCAGAATATCCATGAGACAGAAATAATCAGCTTCAATCCAGCAGCCATCCACAGCACAGGCGAGATATCGTGTGTCGCCTTGGTGATCCATCCTCCAGCGATTGCACCGATCAGCGTCAGAACAAACGCCACCACTCGACGATCCCGCTTCTCATTGCGGAGGAGAAACAACTTCGGATCGGAGACCAGATCACAGAGAAGACTGGTAATGACCACAGTAGGGATCTCGTTGAACCCCAGCGCCCGACTAGCGACGATCTGACCTGCAGACTGGATACTCAAGAGCACAATAGGCGCTTCCTGATTCCAATGCGTCTCGCTCGAAGCAGGGCCCGAGGGGATGCCAGCTATCACGCCGCTCTGTACCAACGAAGCAGTGATTACCAGCATGGCGACTTGTAGAAAGAAAGAGAGAACTAATGTCCCTCTGCGTTTCGGTCCGAGGAGACGGCTCAGCCGGGCGAAGAGAAAGCAGCCGATGACGAAGCATCCGATTGAGGTGAGAGAGCGCGCCCAGCCGTACGGTTTAAGATTCTGATTTGATGCGCCCAGGCCGACGAAAATGGTGTTTCCTTAACGATGAGCCGCGTTCCTGACCACGCTTATGGTTGACTTACCCGTTTGCATTGAAACGAAGGTGTTGTAGGCTGCGCAATCAGTAGCCGCAGGATAAGAGGGATGACGGGACTACTTACCATTGTAGAGGGTGCTATCCACAAGACCAGAGCTTAGACAGCACCCATACAGAAGCACCTCAGCGTGTTTGGCATTGATATCTGTGTTGAAGAAACCAGTGATGCTTTTCTTCGAGTCCGACGAGGTGGACATTGTGATGGATCCGTGATGAGAGCACAGCGAGGAACGAAATTGCAACAGCAAGAAAGTGGGAGACCGTGGGATATCCTCAAAGTAGTCAATTCCAATCCACCGCGTGTCAATGTGGGATTTTCTCCCCGAGCTATACCAAGACCCTGATTGTTTGCAGCATTATGCAGCGAGATGAGCACGGATTTACCCGACATCAACCCGGGCCAGTCGGTCCAGGCCAATCGATGCAACATTCCTTTCGGATTCCGGCATGATTATCAGATCACTAAACTTCTCGCACTATTCGAGCTGGTCAATGAGCGGGGTGCGGATGGCGCCGAGACTGCATCCCTAGTGCCAAGTGGCTTGGCTAAGCGACGCCGGAGGATCTGTGCATCAGAGGTGATATTGACTTCGGGGTGATTCGGTGCACTCGCGGAGGCCAGAGACCACCTTGAATTGCCGAAACGACATGGTCTGCAGTACAGCAACCTGGTTTCTTCCGACAGTGAGTCTTGGATTGTGTTCCAAAAGATCCAGCACCGTCGACTTGTCACTACCTAAACTCAGTTTCACAGCTTCCAAGGCGTTTGACCAGCAGTATGATACTGTATTTCCCCTCTTTGGGAGTCTCTAGTTTTGCTCGGGGTATGCTTGAAATAAAGCTTTTGATTACGTCTAAGACCTGGATGATTTACACGGTCCGAAATTCAAAAAGCGCCACCTTTGACGAAATGAAGTGCTTGACTCACGACTGCCGCTCGCCAATGGCATGTCCAGATCGCAGACCAACTTCTTCACGGGCTTTTTCTTCCTATCAGCGCGTCGAATGCAGACGCATGGCATTCGCTTGGCCTGCGAACTTTGTGGCTATGCTGTATCACGCTAGCTACAATAAGGGTGTCGTGAGCCGGGGTCTTCTACAAAGGGGGACCATCGTTGGCTGGATATCTCTCGGCCCGGGGTCCGAATTTGTTGTGAATGATACCCCTCAAACGCGTTGTGCGTCTGACTGGATCGATAAGGGCGTCGATGAAGCATCCAGAATCACGCCCGCATTCTGGGCGCGCCTGCGTCGTCAGCCGCCAAGCGAATCTAATATAGGTGATAAGCACGACGGATATTATGACTCGATATGGCCGAGGTGGTTGCTACGAGTCGACACGGAGGGTGTTATCCAGCAGTGTCAGCTGCGATGATGAGACATGCTCGACGAGGGTCACGTCCGACGGGGAGAAATTGCGCCGAGAAGGGGATTGTGAGAGAAACGAGGTTATAAAAGGATCGGTCTAGTCAGACCAGATCACAGTCTTTACCATCTACCCTCCCAGCATCTCAACTCCACTATCTTCTTGGGACTTTGCCAAAATGAGCATCACCATTACTGTAGAGAAGGACGGCTTCTACGAGGTTAACGGAGAAAGCCGTGAGCCCACGATCAGCCTGTACATGATTGCCGGTGCTACTAAGCTCCGCAAGTATCTCCGTGATACTGACGAGCTGATCGTCTGCCCGGGAGTTTACGATGGCCTGTCCGCACGGATTGCCATGCAACTTGGCTTCAGGGCCCTCTACATGGTATGCATACTCTCCCTATCTCCCACATCACCTTCAGTGTACACGCTGACCTCGTAGACTGGTGCGGGAACAACCGCCTCTAGACTGGGCATGGCAGATCTAGGCCTAGCCCAGCTGTACGACATGAGAACCAATGCGGAGATGATCGCCAACCTGGATCCCTTTGGTCCTCCTCTGATTGCCGACATGGACACTGGGTACGGAGGTATGTATCTACGCACTTCCCCTCGACATTCCTTAGCTAATCACAAACAGGCCCCCTCATGGTCGCCAAATCCGTCCAGCAATACATCCAAGCCGGCGTCGCCGGATTCCACATCGAAGACCAAATCCAGAACAAGCGATGCGGCCATCTAGCAGGTAAAAAGGTCGTCTCCTTGGACGAGTACCTCACACGCATCCGCGCCGCAAAGCAAACCAAGGACCGCCTCCGCTCGGATATCGTGCTGATTGCGCGCACCGACGCGCTGCAGCAGCACGGCTACGACGAGTGCATCCGGCGTCTCAAGGCCGCACGGGACATTGGTGCGGATGTGGGTCTGCTGGAGGGATTCACCTCCAAGGAGATGGCGCGCCAGGCGGTCCAGGATCTGGCGCCGTGGCCCTTGCTGCTCAACATGGTGGAGAACGGGGCCGGGCCGGTGATTACCACCAAGGAGGCCAAGGAGATGGGGTTCCGGATTATGATTTTCTCTTTTGCCTCCCTGGCGCCTGCGTATCTCGGCATCAGGGCTGCTCTTGAGCGGTTGAAGAACGAGGGGATCACGGGCATCCCTGAGGGACTGGGGCCCAAGAAGCTGTTTGAGGTGTGCGGGTTGATGGATTCGATGAGGATTGACACAGAAGCTGGAGGGGACGGGTTTACTAACGGCGTCTGATTGGTTTTTGAAATCGTTTTTCTGCATTTCGTATTTCATTTTTGTACCTACTCTTGTTTCCTTACATCAGTCGCTGTTGAGCATTAGTTTAGAATCAAGGAATTTTTCAGGGCGCACATAAGCTAAAGAGCGCAAAGTATATTACACGGTGGCTGTGAATGCAGTTAATAACCACATAGCAATCTGATTGGCCTGTCTGGCAGTCAATAAGATATATATATGTTATGAGTGAACAAGGGTTCAGTGCTGGTTTCTCATGAGACCCTGCGAGTGTAAGCCACTCAGCGTAGACCCAGCCCGGATGCTGAGATTCATCAACATTCTCGGTACATTTCGGCTCAGGCTTAGATGCTTTTCATTCCTGTTTCTTAGACTACGAGTCAGTCACTTGCCGTGAGACTAGCTGCTTGTGAGTCTTCGACCCCTAAGTAGCCGAAAATACATCTGAAGGCACAATTGGTGGAGAAATGCTCCTCACGATGGTAAGTTTTGAGTCTACAGATTCGAAGTGCCAAGGTATCGATTAGAGGCATACACATGCATGTTCATAACATGACTCTGCTCTTGAAGTTTCGATCCACAGCTGAGATGCACCAAGGTGTCGAGGCGGAATCGACCCTCCCATGAGCTGGGGTCGTGGATTCCCCAAGTACCATGAGGTCGAAATACTTGATATCGTAGCAATGCTTTTCAAACTGAGCTGAGCCTCAATTTGCCTCTCTTGTGTTACGTTACGTGTAGGAAAAAGTCAATTCCTCGACCGGTTTCGCAGGAACAAAACTACTACAGCAGGCAGGGGGGGTTGACACCTTGGGGGTTAAAAGGAGCGATAATATTGCCAGACCAAGACGCACTGTTCAGCCAGCCAAGGCCCGTTAGAAAGGGCAATATCGGCCACTCAAAATTCGTCCTCCATTCATAATGGATACCGCTATTCAGAATCTACAGGGTTAAGCCCACGTTTTGCAGGCCACAGAAGCCGGATCGCGGCCGGATCCGATTTGCATCAGAAGACGAACTACGTGAGGCTAGCACGAGATTACTGATCTTGACTTCACCGTAATGCAATAGTGGAAGAATCCGGAAGAACTTGCAAACTAGAGACACTATTATGCATGTCAGAAGCCTTCATATTCCGTGATTGGCATACCTCTGACATCAATCTCGGTGCTCGGGTGCCGCGCGACGAAATGCGAGAATAAGCGGCAAACCGTGCCAATTGGGACATAACGGCCCTAGTCCATGACCACGACGAACGTGTGGGCGGATTATTTGAATGATACCTGTGAGAATGACCTGATCCGCTGTGTGGCCCTGCCTGAGGACAACCCTCTGTATGCCATCAAGCAAAAGGCTCAGCCGACTTGGGACGCCATGAAAGTAGATATTAAACTAGAGAATCGATTATGCATATCTGAAGGTTTTATATTTTGGAAATCATCTAGCTGTCATATCAATCTCGAGGCTCAAGTGCGATTCAGAAATGCAAGAACAAGCGACAGGAATACTAACTGGGAGTGCGATGACTATGTGATGCATCAAAATACTTGCTGAGAGCAGGGAAACTGGATGTCAGATACACTAATTGCTCCTATACCCAAAGAGCCAGAGAATGCATGCTTCCTAGAACACTAGGGGAAATACAGGAACCCAATGAAGATATCTGATAAGCACATCAAACGTCACAGGAATATGAACCTCTTCGTAGGAAGTAAATCGTAAAAGTCGCATTTCATTCAAGGCCAAGATGGGTTTGCAAGTGGATGCGGGAGGATCCTTGGGCCTGGCTACAGACACCAGCCCCATCTTGAGGATGGGAGCTGTTTCTGTTCCAGGGCTGGAGTCCTTTATGGAAGCTTCATCTATCTTAGTCCAGACTGTCTCAGGGTAGAGGAGGACGTTGCTATTCCAAAGTCCACGCAGCTTTGGAAGAGTTCATATAGCTTCTTTTCTCTCAATCCGGGATCAGCAGATGCACAGGAGCCGAGTTGCTCAGTTCCTCTCATGCAGTTCATGGCTGCGTCGTCCAGATATCCTTTGGTGACAGATTGAATGCCCATGCCGGTCGCTGAGCGCCAGTTGTCAGCCACATAACCTGGGCCTGGACAAGCAATCGTCAGCAGAAGTTCCAAATGATAAGATATTGCTGGTGCGAGAACATACATTTCCCAAAAATGTCCGACTCCATGGTAATCAGGCTATACTCAATGTCCGGGTTCCTGACTCCCACCATGTACACGTCAGAGAAATAGTAGAAGAGATATGAGGTGACGAATGCCCGGATAAAAGCCCAGTTGTGATGCATATTCTGCAGCTTGTTGATTATTCCCATACTGTACGGCACATCCACGGGTTCCAGCTGCGGGACTTTGCAGAAGACTCGGATCCTTGAAGCTGCCCTAGACCCAAACGTCCAGATTTTGGCTGAGCTTGGCCATAATTTGAACCACTTCGTCATCATTAAGAATGTCCGGATGGTACTGGATGTCATTCAGTCGTTTCGTAAGCTCAGCAATGTGCTGATCTTTCTGCATTAACAGTTTCGAGGCTTCATGATGAATCTCTTCAATTTCCTCCTTTTGCCTGCGACATTTTTCCTCTGCTTGCTGCACCCGATGATAGACTTGATCGATGTCGTTAAACAGACGCACGGGACTTCTCTCGCATGCCAGCCCTCATCCATCGCGCCTCTGGTCTCCGTTGCTGCTTTTGCGATCAGGTGATTGCCGCTGCGTTCTGTATGTGAGGGAGGCAACCGTCCTTTCTCCGCTTGAGCTTTGTGTTGTTGAGGAATCGATTGCTTGCGCTCTACTCTAAGGCTAGTTGTGCCCAAATAAAATGCAAGTGAGGTTATATACCTAGTTCAATAACTGAGCTATCGTTCATTCTAGTGCCAAGTCGAAAAGATGAGAGCCACGAGAGCATATCACGGACAAAGTAAGCCGGTCTAGACCTCATCACTGACACCTATATGAATAGGTTGACCACGAATAGGGAGAACGTCGGGGGCATATTCTTCCTGTCGTCGATGAAGTCGAAAGACTGGTGCAAGACCAGATGGTGCAAATATCCATGGCTGGAATGCGGGCCAAGGTGAGCAAAGCGAACAGGTTCCTTCGACTTTTACTCCGTACAACCACCTACAATGGACCTTGAACAGGCTATCTTTTTCGTTGGAGGCTTGGAGGCTTTGGTTCTTCCGAATATCTCTTCAGACGATTGCAATCCGCCGTGGTGAATGTGACTGTGATGCAGCCGCCTTTTCAGATTGCCATGACACCTACTTCTGCGTCTATTTGTTCAATCTTGAGTTCAACGGAGTGTCTTATGGATCAGTGCAGGCCAAGTATTGAGTCTGTGGCCTTGTTTGTTAGGTGCAACGTCGCGTTCATGCTCGCCACATTCACCGAGATTCGTTCTTCGATCTACAAGTTGCATTGTTTTTGAGCATCTCAAGGATGAGCGTCATACCCCAGGAGTTCTGAACACAATTTGGTCGTCTCTTTCAGTTTCCTATGATTCTTGCTTTTCGAAGTTGACAAGGAAGAACATGGGTCAAGCTCTGTGGCGTCAGTTTAATATTACTTTGACGAAACAAGCACAATAGACGATGACTCTGATGTCGCATGCTGCTTAAAGGACACACTTTTGCAGGCTGAAACAAGAAGACCGTAAGCAGACAAATATCCACTTTCAATACGAGTATCCATCTATCTAGTCATCATGCCAAGACTTTTCGGCCTAGAAAAGCCTCGTTGGCATCAGATGCTTTTTTCCTTCTTCATTTGATCATTTTGATACTCTTGGCGCACCGCATCGCAGCCCTATGAGTCAGAACGTCTGGTCAAGCGGAGAATTCAAAACTGCCCGATTTCGCCAAATACAACGGACTGACTCTTACAAGATCTTGACCGAGTCCGAGAGTACGCTGTATTTTTGCCATAACGGCCGTGAATCCTTCAACATGGACAATTTCTACTTTCCGCTAGACCTGTCAAAACTGGAGAATGACCGACTCCGGCTAGTTCCATTTGATGTAATAGCTCGCTACTTCTCAACCTGCTACGACCACTAACCTCACAGTTGTAGTCTAATTTCGAGGAGCTGTCAGCGACATACGTGAAACTGTCATCTGAGACTCCCGAGATCTTCCAATATCTTCCCTATGGACCTTTCGAAAGCCCCCAAGCGTATGAGCAGTGGTACGGCAATCGCATTCGGCCCACCAAAGAATCGATCATCTTCGCCATCATCCTCAAAGCAGGCATCGTCAGAAGGCGAAAGCCTGGCTCCGACGAATTTGAGGAACTGAACGTGGAAGACGGTACCTTTGCAGGGACTACCGGCCTGATCAGGGCGGATCCAGATAACTCCGTTGTCGAGGTGGGAAATGTAGGTATTCTTGCTTACTTGCCGTGTAGACGTACTTATCCACATAGGTCGTGATTCTTCCACGGTTCCATCGAACGTTTGTGGGAACGGCAGCTCACACGCTTCTTCTGAACCATATGTTGGATCCTCCACCTAATGGACTCCATCTCCGACGCGTCCAATGGCAGGCCTTCAGCAGCAATCAGGCCTCGATTGCCGCGGCGCAGCGCCTCGGCTTCCAGCTCGAGGGCATCATTCGCTGGCAACGGGTGTTACCAGAGGGCAAGAAGGGAAATGAGAGCGGTGTCATTGACAACAAAATGCCTGGGTTGGACCCAACTGGCCAGAAAAAGCTTGGGCCAGGCCGTCACTCGGCGATGTTGAGTTTGTGTTGGGATGATTGGGAGAATGGAGCGAGGGAGAGACTGCATGCTCTCTCGCAGAAATATTCCTAGCTTGGAACATGGAACCGAGACTTTCGTGCTAATCAACTCCCCTCTCAATCACATTTTTTGATCATATGAAATGATCGTGGAATTTGAACTCTAGCAAGCCACATGCACCGCCTTGTTTCATTGTCTGTGAGTCAAGTCTGCCAATGGATACAGTCAATGAGAGTAGGCGTCTTGGCCAGCAGGTCACTACTTATCTATGAAGACTGGTTTGTAAACACAAGTCGCAATCATTGTAGTTGTAGGTCAATTTGACTCGACAGCTTCCGAAATCGCTATCAAAGAACACGGATGATGAAAAGCTTGAGGCTTTCAATTGATCAGCTTATTGGTCAAGTAGGCCTAAGATCGTATTCAGGGAATACTTCTGAGAGGGAGGTTATCGAGCAATCAGGAGTAGGAACTATTCTCGGACTGATGCCGATTATTGAGTCATACACAGCTCACTGGATATGGGGATAGACACATGGACAATGACACTCCAAAGCAAGTATCTCTTGGCTAGTTTGAAGTAACTTGATTTCTCCTTGATGATCTATTCTAGGGCTATTAATAAGCCCATGTCGCCATTCAAAGAAACGCACAGATGCGGATCCATACTCTGGTCAAGCCTGCCAAGATTCTTAACTGTAAACGAACTACGAAGCCATACAAACTTCCCATCCCAAATTGACTAGACCCATGGGCTTAATAATAATCCTCGTATTTTAACTCACCTTGCAGCCTGAGTCACCTTCACCGATCTCGGACATCTCTCGGGAAATTGTTTCTCAACCATTCAGAATTGACAGTTGACACGCCCTTGAAGCTCGGCATCGAGCCACCAGCAGCACCAGTGGACCAGATACGAGGCACTATGCCAAACTGAGGCACCGATGACTCCATTATGGCTGGTTTGCAGCATTTGCAGGCGATCTCGCCTATTATTCAAACATTGTGTCTAGGCTGGAATTTGCGTCATTCTTTGTGTTTGTCATATTTGGGGAGTTTGTCATCCATGGGGATGAGTGTATCGATATTCTGCCTTGAGGGAGGAAAGATGTATATAAAGATCCAAAGATCCCAGTTGAGAGACATCTTCATCAAGAATATACATCAAGCATCGAATAAACATCCATCTCAATCAATCGTGATCCTCTCAGTTGCCTACCTCGAGCTCTCGAAGAGATACCAAAAAAGATATCATTAAGCACTCTATAGCCATCCATCGCGCGGCCACTACAAAGAAGAGCCTTTCCTGAGCATTCTCAATCGAAACAAAACCAATATACAAAACACCGAGTCCTCCAAAGAACATCAACACGTCAACATGTCGCCCAAGTCCTTCAAGTCCACCACCACTTTCGATAACGCCTCAACCCACACAACATCCTCAACAGCCTCGACTCTTAAGGGCATGTTCACAAAATCATTGAAGCTTAAGGCGGCCGAGAAGGCGCCTTCAGATCCTAAGCCTCCAAGCAAAAAGTCCCCAGCTAAGGACTACACCGCTGCAGCTGTTCACCACGAGGCTGTTGCTCAGTACCTGGCCCTTCGGTGATATGTGTCTTCGAAGCACATATCAAAAATTTGCATGACTTACGGAAATTTATGGGTTCGATTGCGCCGGCGCTATTTGAAATAATATAATGTCAATGTGATATATATCCTTTGTTGCTTCTCGAACTACAATGGGGGCTTGCATCGTTCACGGGGAAGGTATCTGGTAGTTTTATGTATATACACCTTCAAGTTTGGTACAATCTAACTAATGATGAGTCGATAATTCTGGTCGCTTGAAACATTTTTGTGTAGCGTGCTTGTGACGCTCTGACACATGTGGAGATGTGACACAATAAGCTTACCTGAGACAGGACTAGCAGGGATATCTGCAAGGGTAATATCATATGTACTGGCCTGCATCTGATCTTTCATGTGTAAAAGTGGAATTTACTACAAAAACTGCAGTTGGTGGTACTTTAATCTACTTGGAGCAGTCTCCTTCCGGGTCGTCATCTACCATGCCTCGGCCACTGTAGGTCTGAGGTTAAACATGAACATATGCCAGTTCTCCGACACTTTCAAGCTGTCCTGCCATAGTATTTCAGAACGTCCGCACAGGCTCATTGTGACATTTTTGCTTATTGTGGTGAATATGCCGGCAATAAGATTGAGCGGGGCATTTATTGATAAGCAATCTCATCATCTCCACAACTCCCACGCTTTCCACCGGATCTATCGTCATTTCCCCTCACTATGGCCAAATTCCGCAGGCTTATAAATCCAATTTCAATAGTCTTACTTCCTATATAAATCAAGTAATTCACACACTCTTGGGTTGTCAGCAATCTCACCATCTACGAACACAGAACAGCAACATGTCCGCTCCAAAAATCACCCTCTACACCAACCACCGATGCCCCTGGGCCCACAGAGCGCATATCGCCCTCAAGGAGCTCGGCCTTGACTACGAAGAGGTCATCATCGATCTGAACACACCCCGAGAACCATGGTACCTTGAGATCAACCCGGTAGGACATCTTCCATCCCTGGTAATGACCGTTACTCTAACAGCCACAGCGCGGTCTCGTCCCCACCATCTCCTACAACGGCAACATCATCACCGAGTCAGCCATCGTCGCCCAGTTCCTCGCAGACGCGCACCCATCCCACCTCCTTCCTCCCTCTAACAGCGTCGAAGGCGCCCTGCAGCGCGCCCGCATCGCCTTCTTTGTCGATACCTTCTTCAGCAAGGTCCAGTCGCAGGTCCTGGCTTCTATGCGCGCCACCAGCGACGAGGACCGCGCTGCAGCCGGCGATGCTATCGTCGCGGCGGTTGAGAAGGAGATCGAACCCATTCTGGCCTCGCAGAAGGGATCCGGTCCGTTCTTCGGTGGGAGTGAGAAGTTGACCCTGGCGGAGGTGTTGACTGGTTCGTTCCTGTTACGGTTGCTGTCGTTGCATAAGCCTGAGCATGGACTGCTGAGGGAGGATTTGCCGGAGCTGTTGGAGAAGAAGACTCCGGCGTTTACGAAATGGGCCAAGGCGACGGTGCAGCAGGAGAGTGTGAACTTTATCTGGGATGAGAAGAGCGTTGCGGAGCTGACGAAGAAGAAGATTGCGTCGCTGGCTCAGAAGTGATCGCCCTGTGCGTATATCAGTATTTGAATAACGGCCTATAATGATATGACTTGTCTTGCTATCAACAAACTGAAGTACTTCTTGTTGTTTCGTAATTCCCAATATACTCCACCAATCATGAGGCACATGAAAGGTCATGGTGGGACCTCGTATTCGTCCTAAAATTAAACCATCAGAACTTTTTATGTAGGTCTAACACCCATCCATTGCTGGTGCTCAGTCAACCTTCGTCATGGACGCGTCCAATATCAACGATATCACACAAGACGCCCGTCTCCAGGTGCTCACGGGACTCTACTCCCAGGCCGAAATCCTCCAACAGCTCATCGACATCTACGAACTCCCGGAGCACAGCACAAACGTGGTCCAACAACTGATCCAATCACTCTGGAACCAGCAACTAGAAGAAGAGACAAGCTGGTCCGATGAACCAACCGACGTCGAAAAGCTCCAAACCGCGTTCTCCCGTTTAGAAGACGAGGATCGCATCATCTGTCGTATGAATTTCACCTGCTGTCAGACCTGCGGGAATGCCGAGATCGGTGGAGAGGCAGATGAGACACACATCGGGTACTGCTTCTTCCATCGGCAGGATACAGAGGGAGCAGTCAGGGGCGGGGCCTATCGCTGCGATACGGAGATCTCGAAGGGGATAGTAAAGACGAGAGCGTGGTGGATATCGGCCAGAAAATCGCTGCAAGGCTACGAGAGGAAGGGCTTAACGTGGACTGGAATGAGAACCCGAAGAAGACTATCGAGCTTGATCCGTTTCAGTGGCGCGTCCGCCTTGGTCGGTCGTGATCGGTTTACCATTGCTCGTCATTCCTGGCCATCGTCGCGATTCATGAAGGATTGTGGTTCGAACCTGAGCGTAGAAAGGTCGAGGCACTCAACGACTAATAGTCAGTTCATCAATGGAGATCGTGCAGACTGACCCTGACGGTTGTGCTTTCCTGATATTTAAAAAACCGCAAATGAAGTATATCTGGTGGTAGCGGACATGTTCAGGCCGGCAGAAACGGCGTTCTTCCCGATCGAGCACGGAGAAAGATGCCGCTGCACAGTTCAGGCTGAATTCCCCAGTGACTTAATATTAATGTATACTACATATACCCTCAGTATTCTGCAGGAAATAATTCAGCCGCCAATCATGCTCTTTGCTCCATTCAGTCTGAAGAGAATATGGTACTTGAGACAGGCTTCCCCGCGGGTCGTACATCGGAGCGAGGAGACATACATGAGTATATATATTAGAGAGGAGATGCACACATAGACTAGTTGAATATACCTCAAGTGCATTGAGAACTGTGAGCTGACGAAATGCGGACTCTTGCTTTCCTGTTGTTCTTCACTTGGCTGTTCACTGCATCTGGGACGATTCTCGAGAACGGTCAGGCGCGGTTGAACCCGTATCCAGGGCAAGCGGAGGTTATTACGCTGGACAACAAGACATGGAAGACCTACAAGCCTGGTGTAAAGGAGCTTTCCTACAAGGGCAGATGGGACGACAAGCATATTTCTTGTGAGTCCAACAGAAGAACATAAAAGAAGAATCACTGATAAGAGCAGGGTGGTCGTATGTACAGCAGTCACTGCAATTGACTCTCGTTCACATTCCCTAGGGCTCCTGGATTCAAGCTTGCATTCACGGGTGAAAAGGTACGAAGAGCTTCCTGGAACAAAGGGATGAAGACTGACAGGATAGCTCGCCTTGTCCTTTGGCCAATACACGAGTCAAGGTGTTCTCGTCGCATACAGGTATGTCGGATGCCGGGTCTCATGCAAGGCTAATTTATTGCAGACTGGGTGGCCAGGACTGGCAATTCTCGAATGTCACTGCCAATGCCACATATCAATTTATTGGCCCTACCACGACGGGACTCAATCTCACTAATGCTGGCGACGCAAAGACTTTTGAGCTGAGAGGTAAGGCACGTACTGGACGCTCGTACAATAATCTCGCTGACTCTAGTAGTTACGAACTGGGCCTATGGATACGTTTCCCGGCTCCGTATACAGCAGGAATTTACTGACAACAAGCACAATCCAGCTGGCCGGTGTATCCGTCGCGGCAGATGCAAAGATCTCCAGGATCCCGAGTACCCGAAGATGGTAGAAATTATCGGAGACTCGTAGGTACACGGGATCCAGAAGAGTCACATACTGACCTCTGCAGGCTGAGCTCCGGCGACTACGCTACATATGAAGGGCTATCCTCCTGGGCGTACGATTTCGCAGCAGGTCTCGGAAACGTAGAATACTCCATTACTGTACGTTCTCTTCTACACCTGCTACATCCTGTATCCTGTGCTAACCGCCAAGGCCTATCCCGGTATCTGCCTTCACGACCAGAATTGCTGGGGAAATCCCCGCGGTCAGGTAAGCCAAGCCAGGCCTCCATTGTCGTCTCCTCAGACTGACCACCAGGCCTACCAATGGTACCGCACCTCCGACACATCCTGGCGCGCACACGAGATCTACGGCGACAATCCACCCAGGTGGAACTTTGCAGCTCAGCGCCCAGCCGATCTGGTTGTCATCAACATTGGCACAAATGACAACAACCCGACGAACAATGTCTCCAGCACAGACTACTACAACGACTATGTCGCTCTCGTGGACAACATCCACAGGATCTGGCCCAAGGCCAATATCGTTCTCATGGTGAGTCTCCTTAACAAAGTACGTACAATGCTAATAATGGCAGTCGCTTTGGGGTGGCTTCGGAGCTTCGGGGGATACATACTTGCAGGGCCCTATATGGGTGGATGAGATTAAGCGGGTTTACCAGCATTACGAGGGGAAGGGGTTCATCCATTACTTCGACACGACGGGGATCCTGCAGCACAACGATATCGCTCCGCAGTGGCATCCCACTGATGTTGGACATTTGAAGATTGCCGCGCATCTGATGCAGTGGGTGAAGTTGAAGTTTGGGTGGGAGTTTGGGGCTACCGGGCCAGAGGTGCATCATGGGACGTTGTACTGGAATGATCAGGCAAATTACTAGTTGTGGCAACTGCGCAAGAAGACAAACGCTCCGTGTCGTAGAGAGATGAGCTGCATGTTCGTTAGGCCTTTTTCCTGAGCAGACTAGGAGACAAACATCCTAAGACTATCCTTTCCGATAGAAACCCACTAGGATCATTTGTAACTGCGACCCAGTGAGGGATATATATCATGCAAACGGACCAATCAAGTGTATATGACGTCCGTAGATGGCTGTCCCTGCCACCTCATAGTGGCACTGTGGCTCCTGCACACCGTTCCCGTTAAGCTCGCCGGAGATGCATACTCCTCGGGTAGTCCCCTCTTTGCGGAGACAGAATATGGGGAACTTTGATAATTGACTGATACTCGGCCTTCGACTCGGAGTGGTGAGCTTTTAGGGCTTCTATTCGCTCAGCCTCTTCTAACTGACCTCGCCGAATCTCCTACTCAATGAATATCTGCACCTCCTCTAGCTATCATCACTTTGTAGAGAGTTGGGTCCTTGTATGGTCGGGGCTGCCGGACGATGTCCAAGGACTCCAAGCTGCCTGATCTTGCGCTTATGAGCCTACCCTCTCCGCGGATGATTGTCAGATTGAACAAGTATTCCAGTACTTCACACCAAGCACGAATATTGACTGTGCCTCAAAGAGTTTGCACTCATTTTTCGTCATTACTGGACTATTTGACTGATGTGGTTTGTACTTCGAGGAGATTTTGGTGCGCAGAGGCTACCTTTCTGCCATTCATTGGATAGCTATGCTCCGACCTGCTGCAAAGCTAGAGCACGGTACTTTATCTGACAGCCTGGTCTAGCCCGTAGGTGAGGTTTTGTCGCCCAGGTGGCGGTAGTCTTAGCATATCGTCCACGTCGAAGTGCAGCTGAAGCGGACTAGGCTTTTATGGCGAAGCAACACCGAGAGTAGCTCGCACTCTGATAGATGGGCATAACTTCCAGCCAATGGGGAGTACATCTAAAGCACCAACTAATGCAGACAGTGCATTAGTCGGGACTGATCAATTTCCTGCTTTGGACATCCAAGACCCCCAAAATCATGTATCAGACATCGTCTTCCAGATATGCTATCAAAGGCCCACCCCAACTTATTCCACGACAGGCACTCCAAAATACTTGGTCGATTGTCTTCCCCAGGAAAAGTTTTCCGTTCCCCAGCAGAGAACTTGCGAAAAATGAGGTTGGCATACAAACGACTACTCAGGAAGAAAATTCAACTGCAACACCTCCTGCACCGCCTCATGGATGGTCTCTTGCTTCCGTAGAAACTCCAAAAGCTTGATAATACTGTCATTGTCTCCTTGGGCGATAAGGTTGATCAATGAATTGAGTGCATTTTTATATCGTTCTTTTGCCAGATAAATCGGGTCCTCCGAGTCTGCTTTTCTGTTTGGCACAGTCGTCGAGGTAGTGCTTCTCTCCTGTAGAGTTCACGTCAACGGCTGTTCTCACAAAACCGAATAAACACCGTACCTTTGAAGAATGGTTATTTTGTTGCATCATGAGATACCCTCGGGGAACAATGCTCGTGAGGTGGGATGTAAATCACCGCCTGCCGTTGGGTGAGTGCTGTCAAACACAATTGAACTTTAGGGAACCTGGAGCCTACTATATTAAAGCTTCAAACGAAGGAGTTAGCCTAACATAAAAATTGCTGTAGATAGAGATTCAACGTGAGCGGTCAATGGAATCATTCAGTCTTATAAACAATAAGCCTGAAGAAACAGAGTCGGTGCAGATCAGCCCAGACATCGGGCAGCAGATCATGGTCCACCCGTTAATAGACCAAGAAGTCCAGGCTTGTCAAGCCCGCCAGTAAGAATTGGGTTACAATTACCCCCAAGTCCGGGAGCCCGTGTATCTGTCGTGTGCAATGTGTGTTGACCTGTTCTAGCCCAATTATTGAGTCTATGAAGCTCATGCAGATCCAGCTATTGGTATGCATTGACCCAAGTATTAGGGGTCCAAAGCAGACCTACTAAAAAGCTTCTGGATCATCCACAACCTAATATATGAGATGGCATTTTAAAAGGACGCCATGAAGAGCATTGCCCTGTTAGGTTCTGAATTCATCTATATTAGGTAAGGAACTAAGACATCCAAGCTTATGGCTCGATGATCGACCTATCTCGATAGTCGTTGAGAATGGCTGCCAATTGGCTGGCAGTGTATCCCATAAATTAGCCATGCAGCTGAAGCTGATAACTATCTAAGAGGAGAATAAATGGGGCTATCTGCCTAGTTCCTCAGAGATATAGTTCTCCGCTCAATATTTTGTTTGTAATTTAGTATCCTTAGCATTACAGTTATCATTACACCATATATCTAAGCTATCTCTAGGGTATTTAATCTGCCCTATAATATTTATTCTTTTTTGAATTGATCATCATGAATTAGTTCTGCTTGATCTTGCCTTATTACCTATTCGTCCGCCAGGATTACTAGCCCATATTGTCTCAGCTTGCTACGACAGTTATGAGCCTGAGTGCTCATTAGCTATCTCAGGATAACACGCACACATTGCCACTGTTGTCCTCTAACGCGAGTCTGCAGTTTACCCTCGAGTCGATCGGATCGGCCGTCGAACCCTGGTGTCGGCCCACCTCAAAGCAACTTCAAACTGGCTAGTATCCTATACAAATATGGTGTACGTGGAGGCAGGTCAAGCGTCTGTGACTGTTCCAAATGACCAACTGCTACAGTCAGAGGCACAATGGAGAGTCTGGATAAGTCACGTTGAGTCTGCGGCTATGTCCGAGAACGTTTGGAGATATCTTGATCCGGACGAGGCCATTGTCCCTGAAGTCCCAGATCTTCCCACACGTTTCCCTGAACCATCCGATCTTGATCAGGATGCAGTCGATGCTATCGATCTGAGTGATAAACTGCTCATGAAGTATGATAAGCTCTGTAGCCAATTCGTTAAGAAGAGAGCTTTGGTAACGGCCACCCAGAAGGCTCTGGCGCGTATCAATAGCTATATTATCGCGAGAGTGGCAAAAGAGTATCATCCACAGTTGACTTCCTGCAAGACGCCGAGCCAGAAGCTAGTTCAATTATTCTGTTCCAACCAAAAGGATCTACTCGCCACCAAGACCTTCGCAACGAATGGCGACAGCTATCTCTTATTCTTATAGCTATACTACTTATTATTTCTATACCTCTTATGCTTACTATAGCTATAGTGCCCTATCTATTACTACTAATACTACTACACTATTAATACTGCTTCCTCTAGTTACTAGGGCTATCCTCCCAGTCATGGACATGCTACATCCTATACTAGTTATAGATATAGTATATTTTATAGTTAGGGGGGCAGTGCCCTTATTAGTATTATTATCTTTATACATAGCTTATCTATACTACTACTCCCTCCTCCTCCTATATCTCTTATTCTAATAGGGCTAAGTTATATAGCTCTTTTAGAGTACTACTACTACTATTTATAGGCCCTGCCTTGTAGGGTAGGGGCCTATTACAATTTTATAATAGCTATAATACTTCTAGTACTAAGTATGTATAATATAAGGGACTTTATTAGTCTTACTAGTTAGTATATTTACTTCTCTCTTTATACTTAGTGTAGTTATTAATTATTTTATTCTTTTAAGTTCCCCCTTACTATACTCTCTATTAATATATCTAAAGAAGACTAAGGCAGGCTACTAACAACCATTAAGGCATGCAGTAGATGTAGAAAGGACCCTTGCTAAGATAGACTAGAGTATATATACACAGGCTAATAGTTTGGATTCCTAGAGATATGTATAATAACTACCATGTAGGCTATGGCGCTATAGATTTATTATAATTTAGTTTAGTAGATATCTAGGAATTCCAGGAAGTCCAGGAAATCAAGGCTCTAGCACTACTAATTATTATAATTTAGTTTAGTAGATATCCCAGTCCAGGAAGTATTATCTAGTTCTAAGAGCTGATTCCAGCTTTTGTTAATATCCAGGTAGTAGTTGAGTGGATTATAATAAGTAGTAATCTATGGCAAGGAGTTGAAGCACCTGATATATCTGCCTTAATGATCAGGCCATGTATACTTAGTAATGGGCTCTGGAAAGGGCTGAGGCCACGCATCCTGCGTGGCCAAAAGACCTTGTACATCTATAAATGCATCTGAATAATAGAAATGTACTATGTCTGGGAAGGCACCGTCTCCCATTCACGAACATTATCCAACCCCCTAGTCCTCGAGACATCTCCCCTGTCTAAATATCCGCAGATCCTGCCGGTAGGATCCCACTTCCTGCGGATATCCATCAGTCGACGCCCGTTGTTCTCGGACCAGTATCTGGTCTGTCGTTCCTGGAAATCTGAATCCCCTAGATACGCCCCAACCGAATGCCGCTCGACTTGCTTCATCACGTTCTTTACCCACGCCTGGCACCGTGCATCGTCCTTCTCGTCTTCCCACACGGTATACAATGCAAAGTAGTGATCCGATTGCATGCTGAGTGCCATACTCGGCAGGTCGCGGCGGCTACAAGGGTTCATCGCGTACCACAAGCAAAAGGCCTTGCGATGGGGCAAGGTGGTGAACGCCTCCTCCAGGACTTTGGGGACGTCCGCGTCGTTGTGCAGGTAGGCATTCTCGGCGCAGTAGCGGTGGCCTTCTGGGTTTGCCTTGCCTTGGTTCACGTATTGGTTCTCTAAGCTGTCCTCTCGGCAGAACCATTCCCCGATGGTGCCAGCAGGGCGTGACTGCTGGGCTGGAGTGAGGGCTGCTTCTGCCTCTTCCGGAGTGTGTTTTAGAGTCACGAGGAGAACGAAGAGGCAGATGTCATCGCTGTCCTCAGGATACATACTCACAACAGCGATTTCGGTGTCGCGATCGAAATCCGGGGTGATGGCGACTATCCAGCTGAAGGCTTCATGATATTTGCTGATGGGGTAGACGTACCCAGACGACCGAAACCCGCGTTTGGGATACGGGATGAGCTCAAGATGGAATTGTGTGATCACACCAGGGAAGCCTGCCACGGGGATGGGCCGAGGATTAGATGATGAATTGATGATGTGGGTTAAGAGCTTTACCCGGACCGGCGCCTCGAGCTGCCCAGTAGAGATCCTCGTTTTGATTCTCATTGCAGTGCAGCAGTTCCCCCTCCGCCGTCACCACATCGACGGCCTTGACTCTCTCGCACGCCCAACCCCAGCCCTTCATAAAGTCAGTTAACCATGATACTTGGAGAGTTCGAGTCATACCCGGCAGTTCCATCCCATACCTCCTTGCAGGAGAAAGCCCCCCAGTCCAACATCCGGACAATGACCCCCGGGGAACATCAACCCGTACTCCTCGATCAGCTTTCCGTTAATCTCCTTCCCCGTCATACTCGGTGATGCTCGCGCCATGCGCTTCTCTGCCTCCACTTCCAAATGCTTGTAATCGCCCAAGTCTATAAGAATGGACTCATCACGCACACTCCAAGCAGCCCATGAATGTCCCCCGGAGCGCACGGCGACGCGGCAATTCTTCTCCTTTGCCAACTTGACTGCCAGCACGATGTCGTTTAGACAAGTAGCCTTGACTACCGCCATGGGATATCGACGCGGGCGACGGTGGTTGAAGACGCGACCCACGCGGGCTTCTTCGTAGACGGCTGGATCGGCCGAGGCGCGCCAGATAATACGCATTGTACTGTGAAGTGTGGTAAACTGGAAAGAAGACACGACTTTGTGTTTATCTAGACTATATCTGAGGTGTATAGGTGAAAGTGGTTATAAAGGTCCTCTTCTACTGTGTTTCGCGTACGCCCCGATTTACCCCCGCGGCCGACCCCGCACACTGAAATATCGCGTGGAGCCGAAATGTGGAGGGCGGAACTGAAGCCGCGGAAGTAGCGGCATTATGATCGTTCTGGCAGAGTAGGAACGGGGCTCTGAACTCTTAAGATCATACTACCACAATCTATGCGTAATCAGGCCTTGACTTGAGTGGTTTCTGGTCCAAAGTCCACCGTAATGTATGGGGAGTTCTGATGAAGTCCGATAATCGGATCAACATTAATGTCCAGTATCCCATTATCTTGGCACTCAACGTGTCAGGCAAACTCAGAATAAATCCACCAAGTCAAGATAATCAGTTGTTTCTGATACCCGGTAACAAGAGATGGTTGACCTGCTGGCATTTGGCAACGAATTCCGCTAACGATGTGCTGAGCCACACTTGGTTCTGTTTGCCATGAGTTCCTGGCGAGGACTATTTACCCGTGGCACACTCCTGAATCCCAAGGGGGATAGTCTGCGCATCTCCAGTGAGTGCGTAATACGCTGATGATTCTGGTCGGGCAAATCAGCCATGTCGAGACCCACAGACAAGGTCTGGATTCGAGAAGTCGAGACTGCACAGTACTCATATCTTTCGTGGCCTGAATAGTAGTATCAGACTCGGTAGATATCATGATGCGCTTTACATAAAATTGGATAAATCGTCACACACGATCAGAGACGGCCCTGGATTAACGCAGTGGACCTCTGCTTCAATTATTCATTCGTTACGTAGCAGGATAGATAGATTTAATATAGATAAGACCTTAGTCTTGGAACAGTGTTTGTAGCTGTTACATCTTCAGATACAAACATCCCCAGAAGCAGTGATTCTGTGATGAGAGCTCCATCAACGATAGAAGTCGCCGCATAGAATAGTTATCCAATAATCAAATTCCCCATTGACTTCAAACCAATAAAGTTCCACAAATTGAATCATCGCGAATCTCAGCTGCCGCTGTTTCGACTACTCTCCCACCTCACGATCATCCGTCCAGAATACAAACTGAACAAACGACCACTTCATAGAGGCCTGTCGGATAGACTTGCCCCAGAAAAACAGTGGGATGAAGAAGAGTAGACAGCCGCCTGAAATGCCCGCCATAGCGCCATAGGCAGCAATATAGCCGGACTCGTTGACCCACGTATTGGTATAGAAGGAAAGCAGAAATCCAAAGCAAGCTGCGGCTGTTAGCGGAGAAATGACCTCAATGGAGGAAAAGAAAACTCACACTTGAAAGCAAGCTGGGTGACCGTCACTTCACCTGCGACTGGGCGGAAGGAGTCAATACAGTAGACGAAGGAGACATTCGTGCCCTGGGTGATGGCGAAAGACACTACACGATGATGTGTCAGCTGGATGATTTAAACAAAGAAATGATAGGACAAACATACACAAGCCCAAGCCAACGGTAGGTACCATCCAGTGCCAGCCATTGGCGATACCACATCCATATAGCACCAGGGAAAGAGGCGCGGCGATCACACTTGGGATAATCGCGGGCAATCGCATCTCAGGCTCACGGATCCCTCCATTGCGTTTGGTAAAGTAATCCGCCACCCAGTCGGAAAACGGACCACCGGCGAATGTACCCAGGAAACAACCTAACATGCCAGCGATGAAACATAAACCGGACTGCCAGGCCTCAAAGCCGTAGGTTGTGCTGAACGCCGAGGCGAAATTGGAGACAACAGCCACCAGGAACCCGATAGTCACCGACATGACAATGGTAGCCCAGAAGATGGGTGGGATGAGGATCAGCCCAAAGGGACGCACGAACATCCGCCAGAAGGACTCGTCCGTATATGTCTCGCCGGACCAGAAGCGCAGACTACGCAGGTAGCTCATCTTGGGCGGGATGGGAGGGACTGAGGCGAATTCCAGATTGTTGCTGTCCGACAATTTTTGGATCTCGACGGTACGTTCCACGAAGGGGTTTCCAACACGCCGGTAGGCAGTTTCTGGGAAAAAGAAGACGACCACAACGGTCAGAGCTCCGACTAGAGCGCATCCCACCCAGTAGATGGTCCGCCAGTCGTGCTTGATCGTGACCAGTCCCGAGATGATGATACCGAAGGCGACTCCTGCACTCAAGGCGGCGTTGTATATGCTGGTTAAACGGGCCGTCAGCTTCTCTGGGCGCTGAATCAACAGCAGGATAAGAAACACTCACGCCATGCCATAACCTCGCTGGTGAAGATAGAACACATCGGCAATGGTAACAGGCGCCAGGCACTCGCCGGCACCTGCCCCGATACCTAGGATGGTCCGGGTCGTGAGCTCGCCTGCATACGTCTTTGCCAAACCGGCTGCCAGTATCATGAAGAAGTAGAGAATGAAAGCAAAGATGTAGACTGGCCGCCGGCCGTATTTGTTAAGCAGCGGCACCCAGAAGAGACACGAGACGCCCTGCATCAGAGCGCTGTTGTTAAAAAAGTACGCGGCCCGACTGATCCAGTCACTCATCGTTGTGTTTCCCCCTTCTTTGAAGTCCGTCGCAATTGCAACCATTGCGACTGTAGGACCGGCAGCCATGAAATTACACATGACCATGGCTAGGGAGACAAGCATGGCGATATAGATCTTGTAGGCAGTCGACCAGCGAAGGGGATCATTGGGGTCCAGTGACGGAGCTGGAGTCAAGATAACCTCATTGGTGTGCTCATGCCGCAGACGCACATGGCCGAGGTTGCGTAGATGGAAGGGGCCGCGAGACTGACTGTCCTCGACATGCTCGATCGTCTCCGTCGTCTTGAGGCTAGTATCTGCCATGGTAAATAGTGATATAAACAAGGAGGAGGATAGCTGACGAGGGAAGAGCCTGGAGGTTGGAGGGGGATTAATACCAGTCCAGGCGATTTCAGAGAAAGGAAGTAAACAATGAAGAGACGTGCACCCTCCTAAGCCATTTTCACTGGGCTGGCGATGGTTGTCGGCTGTCCCCCTCAAAGCGGAGAGGCGAACGGGAGCAAACAGTGTTGGCTTGCAGCGGCTTTTGTGCGAACAAGGTTTAGTGACTTTAGTCTGTGCAAAACGTCGGGGAGGTGGACAATCCGGGGGGTAGGGTCCGGGGAAGTGGGGGGAGACATCAGAAAACCGCTTGGACGAATCAGAATAGTTTTCCATGCACCGAAAGAGATGATCCGAGTGATCCAATTCAAGCTAGGACGGACTGCTTATGGAGAGTCCATTAGTTTTAGAATTGGTGGGAAATAGTTCCAGGAAGGATATACAACCGGCCAGTAATATGAGGTGATTCGTGAAATCAGGATGAGTAGGTGAGGAGGGATATGATTATGAATAATTTATGATAGAGGCTGATATTATGCAGTTCTTGACTAGCAGCGAATTGCAAGTATCTCATTCACCAAACCACCTTCCCAAGACAAGCAGACCACATACGTCCGCACCCGCAGAGCAGTTACTAGTGAGAGCGAGGCTTAAGATGTCCACCTCCAGGCAAGCTGACGGTCTTGGACTTGAGCCACGCGTTGGAAGCGGCAGACGGATTGTAGTAGATGTTGTAGCCCCTGGAACGGATGTTCTTGTTGTTTGCATCGGCATTAGTAAAGTCCTGTACACTGACATCCCGAGTCAGAGTCCAGGTGCAGGTCTCATCAAGAGACACAGCAAAAGTGGCGGTTCCTTTGCCCGCAGTGTAGGCAGAACCAGTCCAACTGGAGTGGTCCGTGAGGCTCCAAGAGATTGAGCTGCCATTGTATGCGACGATGTCACCCTCTAGGGCGGACTCTGCCACAGAGACAGTAACCTCAGCAGGCTGAATGGAGGGGTTCTCCTCCGAGCCGGCAAAGTACTGGAACGCCTGAGTCACCTGGGAGGAATTGGCGATGACGAGGATACCTGAGGCTGAGTTCAGCTCCGTGGCTACGAGAGTGGCTGTGGCAATGATGTTGCCAAACCACAGGGCAGCCATGTCCTTCTTCAGAGTTGTAAGCCGAGAATTTTCAAAAGAGATTGAGGCCCCGCTGCGCCTCTGCGAAGATGAAAACATGACGGTTCCTGCCAATAAACCAGCAGTCAGATCGACGTTTTTGAGGACCGCCTTCTGCGCTTCGTCACTGAACAGCATAGGTGCCTTCTCAGCCAGTCCAACGACGTTGGTACCGTAGATCTCACCGAGGGCGTAGAAGATGGCACTTCCAATACCCGCCGTATGAGCAACCGAATCGCTGACAAAGAGGTAGCCGGCTGGGCTGTCCCCAGAAAAGGAGGAGCAGCGATTGCCGCCAGAGTAGTGGCGCACATTCGACGCGTAGATTGTGGCATTTCCTGCCGCGTAGAGACCGTGAGAGACAGGCCCAGAGCTGTAGAGATCCGTCTTGCTCACATATACGGTTGTCCCAGTGCCATAGGAAAAACATTGGCCGCACCATTGTGCACGGTAATGTTGCTGTTTTCGATGTATGCAGTGGATGAATTTGCAATATGATGGCCGCGTTGACGCCAAAGAAACTCGCCTGGTTGAGCCAGGTGCAGTATCCCTCCTTGATAACCTCCACATGAGACAGATTAACAGTAGCACCATGCGTGGCAACGAGCACACTCGTGTCGTTGGCATTAACCGTCAAGGTCTTGTGGTCCAGTTCCGCAGCCTTGTCAACATAGTAGTAGGGACCGGTGATGTTATAGCTCAAAGACATGGGGCCTCCGTTATCAGTGGTGTAGTCTGCCATTGTAGCGTCATCTTTGACATCCCCGGGCAGATCGGCGTAGTCGCTAGGATCAACGATGGAAACCGAACCCAGCACAAGAGAGCTGAAAGCAAACCATAGAAGAGACTGCATGGCCATTTTGTCAGGACAGCTTGCGAGGCGAACAGGTTTTTTGAGGTCTAGTAGTCCGAGTTGCTGACGTTTTATCTGTATGTACACAAGCCCAATTTATATCTTTGTCTGCCGTATCCTTGACAGAGCCAAGCATACGAATTCATCGTAGGATCAGCATCGTCCACAATATTCCTCGTTGGGAAAAATGAATACATGCATGCAACCTGGGGTAAGTGGAGCCGTAGCGTCTTGTTGTTTCTGCTCAAAGTTTGATTGAGATGGGGTCCCGAATAGGAGGAAAAAGAAGCTATAATGAGATTGAGATTGAGGGACGCGTGGCCTGCGACTTCTTGTGCATGTTAACTGCTTTGGGCCAGTGCGCCTAGTAATAGCCATTGAACTTAGTATGATCGCCAGTGAAGAAGTAGAATAGATACTCCATTTTATCTCAACATCACTGGTCATTCAGGTGAAAGAAATCAGCTATGACAGGATATAAGCTCGTTGTTCGACAATACCCAGCGCAGTGATCCGTTTCTAACACAATCTTTTTGAGACACAGTATGTTGTGATATCTAATGTCGAGTTCAATATTGACATCAGGAAGACAATTACATATTCTTCCCATCAGCTACAACGAAGGTAGTAAAAGAACGCGGCATAGATATCTATTCAATTGGCCTCATTCCCGAAACATCGGGCACTCCGTCTCCCTCCACCACCCTGGCGCTTACAATCTCATATACCGGCAGCTCTGCGAGTCGCGAAATGACATGATGTAGTGTAGGCAGTTGCTCCCAGTCCAGCGGGTCGATCTGGAAACTGGCCTTGGAGGAGGTCCATACCTTGCGTGGATTGGGGGTGGGCACAGCCTCCGAGAAGGGATCAAAGGCCGCGTACTCTTCAGCCGCCTTGTTCTTGTTCAATCGACCGGTCTGTGGGAGATATTTATATACCAGGATCCCATCATCAGCTTCTCCACTGAATCCTCCGGGGGTCGACGCTGGTTCAACTTCGACCAGATCCTCAAGTAGGAAATGGCCCCAGAGAGAGCCCTGCCACCCTGTACGAATCCGATACGATTTTGCCCGGCGGTAGATGTCCACTGAGGTATATAACTTGGGAGCGCCCAGCTCTTCTCTTCCCGACACGATGGGGTCGGTCAGTGACTCAAAGAGGATGGGCAGGTAGGAGCCTTGAATGACGGTGCCGTCCTTCTTGACGTACTCGACACCATGGACATACAAACCGATGTGAGAATATCCTGAGCCACCCAACCACTCCATCTTGTTCAGGGTGGTCTGCGAGAAGGTGGCATATGCCACAGTATCAGGAGCGCTGAATCGCCAGCCACGGCGGCCCGGGGGAAAGAGGTTCTGTAGTACGGTACGTGAGGTCTTGAACTTGATCGAGGCAGTAGTGAAGGTGGATTTGGTGCCATCCCGGGGGACGCCCAAATGGTTCTGGCGCGGACCGGGCATAGGACCAAAGGCGAGGGGCATGCGCCAGTAGGGATTGGGGATGCGTTTCCACGTCCACTCGCGGAGTCTCTGCGTCGAATTATCCCACTCGTCGTGGCCAAAATTGTAGTTGGTAAAGCCGTACACTAAGACAGTTAGTGTGCTATTTGCGACGAATGAAAGTGGAACACTTACTGTCAGCGGTTTCCTGTCCATCGACTCGATCACGGCCGGCCAACCGAGAGTATTGTTGTATGCGGCTAGCGCGTTCATGGCGAATCTCATCATACAACTGAAGACGCTCTGGTATTTCCTCGACGGTCGTTCCCAGAGGCAGCACTACTGCCAGGGAAGCAGCGTCTTCTATTGCAACCCCCGCTCCCTGCCCTTGATGTGGGAGGAAGGGATGGGCGGCGTCGCCCAGCAGAGCCAAACGCCCCTCATACCAACGGGGAATCTCCTCCATATCTAGCAACTTCCAAACCCGAACACTCTGCGGATCCGCCATGCTCAGCAGCTTTAGCACTACAGGGTCAAACGAAGAGAAGATCTGGAGCATCTTCTGTAGATTGCCTGACTGGCCCCAGCTCTCGTCTGCCTCTTCTGCCGACTCCTCTTCCGGGTGAATCAACACGAAGTTCAACACAGTGTTGTGCGACGTGGGATAGAGTACAATCCGCCGATCAGCGCCGTACCAGATGGATAGCTCTCCCGGACGCTCGACTAGAGCGGCAGTCTCGGGAACATGCAGCGCTGCTTGCTTGGATACAAGGAAGCGAAAGGCGCTTTTGCCGGAGCAGGAAGCCTTGACATTTCCGCCTGGAATTGCGCTGCGAGTGATGGAGTGGACTCCGTCGGCTCCAACCACCAGATCGCCCTGGAACTGGGTCCCGTCTTCAAGTGTGATGGTGGCTGTTGCTGAGTCGACCTGTACCACCCGACTGGCGGTTCGGAATGGGATAGCCTCGCGGTCCGCATCAGCGCTCGTGGCTGCCCTTTTAAGTTGGTTATGCAAATCAATCCGATGAGCTAGGAGCCATTGCTGGAAGCAATTAAATCGATGCCCTCAAGACTACTTAGCGGTGGTACTCACATGCTGCCATCTCTTGTTTTGCTCGGTAAGATCGATAGCTCGCTCAATGTGGCCCAGAGAGGTATATTCAATAAGCTAAAGGGTTAGATTTAGTATGCGAAATACCATCAATAGCATAAAGCGTACCCTCTCCATCAAGTTCGCGCCGGACTGTTGCGCATCGATACCCAGTCGCTTCAGGATTCCATTGGCATTCGGGGCAAGATGAAGTGCTGCGCCGGTCTCGACGGCCAGTCGAGATTGTTCGAAGATCTGTAATGGTCAACCGTCTTTGCTGTCATAGGCGGATCGGATAACACACCTTGACAACATGGCCTTGCCTACGAAGAGCAATTGCAGCAGTCAACCCACCGATTCCACCTCCTACTACTAATACCTTCAAAGGAGATGGGCTGGTTGTCTGGTTTGTCGCGACTGTTCCGTTAACAGCTGCCATTGTGTGAGATATTGCCTGTAAGTAGAAGAAGAAACACAAATGGGTAATAGGTAGCGCACCGCAATGATTACTGCAATTGGGGGCCTTTTGTACCAGTAACGATCATTTTTATTCAAATGACTGAAAAACCAATATCAGGTGGGGTAAGCCTTTCAACTTACTCTCGCGTCTCTTGTCGGGAAGCAGATATTTCGGGACCACCGGTTGAGGAGGTGGAGGGGCTGTCGTCCATCCGAACTCACCACGTATGCATTCTCCCATCGTTTGGTAGTCCAGACTGTGGTCATCTGAAATTTCCGCACAATTAATAAACTAACTGATTGGATGCCTTTGTGAGGCACGATAGTGTGAGATCTCGGGGACCTTGAAACAAGCAGCTGCTGCAAATGAGAGAATTATATGCGGCCACATCACGGTTGTTTAACGATATGTTGAAAAGATACTTCTCAAACAGTGGTATCTCAATCTGTCTACCAAGCACATCGACTTGCACAGTCCACTTTAAGTTTATATTCGAGATTGTCATAAGGCCGGCAGGTTTACGGATTGTATTCTCGTGAACAAAGTGTCGGAAGATAGTATCTCTATAGAATCATGGCATCCGCATCCTGGTGCAATTACGTTTTACGAGGATATACAACTGTATTTGGAAACTAAAGTATCGTCCAACAACCTGTACAGGAAGCCTGGGCTATATAGGATCACGTACACGGAAGCTTCACCAACCATTGACTGGGAAATGTGAAATAGACATAATTCAGCTTGGACATGGATTACTCTACTACACTCTACCTATCTCTCTGAATCCATTCAAACTGATCACCGAGATAGTTGTAAGCCCGAAGATCGCCAGACCGTGCATGACCCTCGAAGTTCTCAGCGCGTGCTGCCCTTCCACACAGCCGTCCCAATTCTCCGCTTGCCTGACGGCTGGTGATTTCTTGATATGTCACGGTGCGAAGATACTTTCCCACCCACAGACCTCCCGTGTATCTCGCAGCTTTCTTGGTGGGAAGGACGTGGTTGGTGCCAATGACCTTACTTGATTAGCTTGGAATATCTCCTACTTTACTCAAGGGCATACCTTATCGCCGTAGGAGACACAAGTCTTTTCTCCAAGAAATAATGCACCGTAGGCATTCATTTTCTTGAGGGCTTCCCGTGGCTCTTTGGTGAGGATTTGGACATGCTCGCTGGCATATTCATCCGCCAGTGTCCAAGCTTCGTCAATCGAGCCCACAACAATCACCTCGCCGAACCGTTCCCACGAGGTTCCCGCTAGTTCAGCGGTCGATAGGTTCTTCAATAGCTCGGTAATAATCCGCATCGATTCTCGGCCAACGGCCTCGGACGTGGTGATGATCACCGCGGGCGAATCAGGCCCATGCTCAGCCTGCGAGAGAATGTCCGTTGCCACCGTAAAGGGATCGGCCGTCTCATCAGCCACAATAAGAATTTCCGTTGGTCCCGCAAAAAGATCAATCCCAATTTCGCCAAACAACTGCCTCTTCGCCTCGGCGACAAAGGCGTTGCCTGGCCCCGCGATGAAATCCACCTTGGCCATGGTCTCGGTGCCCAGTGCCATGGCCGCAATGGCTTGCACTCCTCCAAGCAGATAGATTTCGTCTGCACCAGCGAGATGCATGGCTGCGATGGTGGCATGAGGGATCTTGCCTGCGATAGGAGGAGTACAGCCAATGACCTTGGGGACGCCGGCTACCTTGGCTGTGAGAATGGTCATATGGGCGGAGGCAAGGAGGGGTAGCGCCCGCCTGGGATGTAGCTGTTATTGTCAGTCTAGATTGCACGTTTTGGTCTTTTCGGAAGTGCCTACGCTCCAACTGTCTGGATAGGCAGATTTTTCTGTCCAAGAGACACGCCCTTAGTTTGTCAGTACAGCTTAAAAGGCACCGATAGTCAGACTTACTGGCTGGATTTCGTACTCAAAATCTTTGATCGAGTCACGTTGCGCTTGTGCAAAGGCCCGCACATTCCTCTGGACCTGCTTAATATCCTCGATTGTTTGTGCAGAGCAGGCCGCAATGGAAGCTTCAATATCTTCTCGGGAGAGATTGAACGAGCCAGGCGACCATTTGTCAAACCTTTCCGAGTACTTGCGCACTGCTGCGTCTCTATTGGCGCGAATGTCGTCGATCACGCCCTTGACAATGGTGCTAACGTCGACTTGGGGCGCTGTCGAGTTGGACGCGGTATCTGCGCGACTCTTCAGGTGACGTCTTGCCATTGTGCCGTTGAGTCCCGTTTATGGTAGAGCAAAGATTGCAGTTAGAATTTGTGTGTTTCATTAATTCAGCTGTCCATGGTTAGAGTACATATAACTGTAGGGTGTTATGCATTGCCATCAGCTCCCTTCGGCTCCACCCGAGCCTGCGTCGGCCACAACTCCGAGAGTCCGGTCTTGACTGCGAACACGGAGAACTATAGAGGTCTAGCCGGGAGTGCCGTGAGAGCGCCCTCGGGTCATTGCTAACCCCAAAGCAGGAATTTGGGGCTATTGTCCCAGTCCTCATCCAGCTCGTCGAGCCTTCATCTCAGCCTTCTTCACTAAGAAAACTGCCAAACTTGCACTACTATGACTTCACCGAAGGTCGCTTTGATTACCGGCTCGTCCAGAGGCGTAGGCGCAGCAATTGCCCGATGCCTGGCCGAGGAGGGCATGAGCATCGTTATCAATTACAATTCCGATCCTGCTCCGGCGGAACGATTACTCCAAGAGATGAGAGCTTCGAATCAGGCCAAGGTGCCTGGTGCCGATGTCTCTCACTATGCAGCATTCCAGGCGAATCTGGCCGACCGAAGCGGCATTCAGCAGCTCGTGCAGCAAACCATTCAGACAATGGGCCGGTTAGACGTGGTAGTTTCCAACGTCGGCTGGACGCGAATGACCAATTTCATGAATCTGGACGAAGCGGATGACGAGACGGACTGGGATAGGTGCTTCTCGATGAATGTCAAAAGTCATTTCCAGCTTTTCCGGGTTTGTCAAGAGCATTTAGAGCGCAGTGAGGGGGTATTCATTGCTACAGCGAGTGTTGCGGGTTTGAAGCCTAGTGGGAGTTCATTGGTATGTATCACTTTAATTCATGTATTACAGAGTTCGTAAATGGTGGTCTGACGATACTAGCCATATGCCGTGACCAAAGCGGCTCTTATCCATCTCATCAAGAGTTTGGCCATCATTGCAGCCCCGAAGATCCGAGTCAACTCGGTGTCGCCAGGGGTTTTGCTGACAGTGAGTGACTCGCTCGACCTTGAGAGCAGTATCTAACAGACCGAACTAGGACTGGGGTCTTCAATTCCCAGAGGAGAAGCTCAACGCTGTGAAAGAAAAGAACTTGCTTAAACGATTTGCAACTCCGGAGGTATGTCCCTAATACATAGTGATAGCGCTATTGACTCATGGACATGATAGGATGTTGCCGAACAAGTCAAAGTATTTGCTACTTCTAAGTCCATGACGGGGGTAAATGCAGTAATAGACGCAGGCTTTTCGGTTTGAGCCCTCTTTCTGAATTGAATTCGTATAGCAGGTTAGAAAGTAATAAAATCTTGTTTAAGGTATAACTGCTGCATGTCATTCATTCATACATTCATATACTCATCTTGTTAGTTGTCAGCATTGCTGGGCATCAAGCAGGACAATGAAAGTGACTTATATTTTGCTATACGCTGGCGAGCTCCTTCACTGGAATGATTCTAAGGACCTTACTATTGATTGAGTGCTTGTGAACCTGTTAAGCCTTTAGCATTTGGTCTTGCTTGACCTGGCTAATGTTGAGTACAAACCATTTCTGTTTTGACCGCTCTGAACTTGGTCGGATCCACCCTGAGCTGTAAAATGATACTATTAGCACTTGGAGAGATGTGAATAGCTGCTCTGATTTTATTTATAAAGTGGCTTTGCTGAAACAATTATGAATGTGTCAGACTTTGAGTTCGCTCCAGGTTCAAAGGAGCACGCCAAGTAAGATTCACTCATAGTAACATAGTAGCCGGTCATCTAAGAGCAATAGCTGCAGTCAAGCTGCCAATACCTGCCCCCACTGTCAAAATTTGGAGGCTATCCTGGTTGGTCCCGTTCAAGTTGTTACTTCCCATGGCAGTTGAGGAACTTATAACATGGAGGTTGTAGATGTAACTTTCCTTGAAACAGGACCTCTACCCAACATAGCCTTGCTCCGCTTTATTGGAGAAAAGCTGAACATAGAGTAGTAACATGCCTACCCTTCGGAAAGCCTTATCGTCGAGGAGAAATCGAGGAGACATCGTGGCCGGCCATCAGCTCCGCATTTTCAACTCCACCATGCGGAGAGAACAGAGAGCAGTTACCTACTGATGCGGATGTAAGCAGTTTAACAGATTGGATAGCAGGACTTAATTATGTTTATAAAATTTAGTTGTCACACATGCTATCAGGGCTCAGGAGTAACAATTCCTTCCATTCTATCTCAGATTCTTGAAGGCCAAGTGATATTCATGCTAAATCTAGTTTATAAAGACATTACTATAAGGGATAATACTTTATTCCCCTATATATTTTAGTAGAATATCACTATCCAGCTGAAGATGGCTCTAGTCTAGTGTGCTGCAAATATCTATCATCCTAAAGACATTGAGAGGGCTCCTATTCTGGTCACTTATAGGCTATATAGCAAGGATATTCATTACTATAAGTATGCATAGTCTTATTACACCTCTATTCATGTACCTAGATTACTAACCTAGCTAGTTTCTACCCTAAGTTATTTAGTAAAGTTAACCCCAAGCACTACTAGTGTTAGGCGCAGCAAACTGCGAACCTGTATGTAGCCGAACTGTGGGTGGTCACGTGGGTAGCACATGACCCAGAGAGATAGTATTGACTGTGGAGGTGTAAGGATCTTACATCTTAGTAATTAGTTTAACTATAAAGGTATTACTACTACCACACTATCTACTAGACTGGCTGACCCAATCCGCAAATCCATATCCAACCCACCCAATCCGCACTTTGGGTTGGATGGGGGTCGACTCTGATCCAACCCATATCCATATGGGTGGATGGCATCCTACCCATATGGATATGGGTAACCCATTGGGTGCACATGACTGGCAGAATGACAGATATTCATAATATTCTCTTAAAGAGAGGTCTTTCTACCTACTAAAAGTAGTATAGTCTAAATCCTTAGGTCTTTCCGCCTGCCAAAAGTAGTATAGTCTAAAATCACGTGTATAATATGGGTAGAATGGTTATCCACAACCCAATCCGCATGGATATGAGGGTGGGTTAGATAGGTGGTGGATCAACCCAAAACCCATGCGGGTTGGATTGAACCCCTGCGGATCCATCCAAACCCAACCCACGACCAGTCTACTATCTACTATTTAATAGAGAGTATTCTATATACTCTCACAGTTCTAATCACTCCACTAAATTATGATAGCCTAGTAGGAGCAGTACTATATACCTTCTAAGTAAAATAGTTACTACTAGGGTAACAAAAGTGACCGCAAGGCTAGAGTCAGAAGCTGACACACCCTCCTTTCTCTTCAGCGCACACACTGATACCCTCTACCCCTCCTTTTGTCCTCGGACTATAATGACTTGCACAGCTAGCTATTTAGACTCTATTTGCAAAAGATTTACTAGGGGCTCTAAGCCCAGAGTTGCTTTCGGTCCGGGTTGGTGCGAGTTTTAACCCAAAGCCTTGGTCAGGGGTGATTATATTGCCCCTGTTGTCGTGCTACAGATACAGTCATATCTCTTATTATTTCTACAGCAGACAGCTTCTTCCCCTTCAATCCTATACACTGCCATGTATGTCCAGACTCCTTCAAGAATGTGGATATGAGAAAGTGATTAATGCCAAGCATGAAGGATTTTCAAATGCACTAATCAATGAACAAGCCCCAGATGCAATCAGATGTGCACCATTAATCCATCGCGCACGATCCTCACATAAAAAGGCCACAGCATAGGCAATCTCATCTGGCTGAGCCATCCGTGGCCCAACCGGAGTCTGATCAATGATTGGTTGAAGGATCTTCATCTGCTCCTTGCCGGCACCAGCGAAACCCTCGGTCATTGTTGGACCAGGACTGACGGCATTGACGGTACAGCCATACTTGGGAGGGAGTTCTTTGGCCCTGCAGAGTATGCTCAGTATTCACACAGGTACGACCATAAGAATGGTAGAACAACTAACCAGCATTTGGTAAAGGAGTCGACCATCCCCTTGGTCCCCGCGTAGATTGTCTGGTTCGGCGGAGGCCCACGCGCCGAAATACTTGCAATGTTGACGATCCGACCGGACCCTTTGGTCAGGTGTTTTAGGCTCGCCTGCGTCAGGAGAAATGTTCCCCGTCCGTTGATGTTCACCAGCAAATCCCAGTCCTCCAGCGTCTGCTCTTCGAAGCGCTTATTGACTGCCAGCGCAACGGAGTTGACGACGATATCAATCCTACCCCATTGAGAGACGGCGGCGTCAACCAGCTTCTGAGGCGCGTCTGCGCGGGACATGTCTGCCTCTACGGCAATTGCAGGCGAATGAAGAGAGGCTACCAATGCGTCTGCTTCAGCTTGGAGACTAGGGAAGGGATAGTTGACCACCGTATTGGCCCCGCGAGAGGACAGCTCGCGCACAATAGCAGCTCCAATGCCAGAGGAGGAACCGCTTACTATAGCTACTTTGGCTCGTAGCGACATCTCCATTGTGCTGGGCAAGAGTGTGCTGATCGATTTGAAGAGGAGGCTGAAGAGAGGTACTGAGCTTAATTGATATGTATCAAACTTGTCAACTGACTACTCCTTCATAAATATCACTAGGATTATTGCACTAGCGAGTGTCCTTACCAGATTACCCTCCGCTGCCCCGCGCAGCACAAGTTGATGTCCCGACATCTCCCCCACCTGCCCGATAACCCCTCTTAGTGGCTCGATGGAGAATCTGCGGAATGAAAAGAACGTCAACCTAGGTTGTTCTGCAAAAGTTAAAACAGTTCGGCCTGTGAAGAATCTTGAGGCCAAGATTCGCAGTGTGGGTAACTCGCTAAAATCGAAGTTCTAACTAGAGTTGCATTCAGTCTGAGTTCGGGTGAGTTCAATCCTAGTTGGAACCGAACCGCTGCGATTTCACGTCCAAATCTTAGAAATCAGAACCAAACCTGATCTGTTCTGATTCAGTTCAATTTTAACCGTAAAAACCAGCTACTAGGTCTAGATAGGCATAGCTTAGCCACTACTAACTAATTATGGTTAGATTCAATTTGGTTTTGGGTTGGTTAAACCACTATCATTCAGTGAATTTTAACTATCTTAAAATTTCAAATGACCATTGACTGCCATACTATCAACCATACTATTACTATACCTATAGAAAATTAATATTTTTATATGAAATATATGGTCATTATAGTCATTTTAATCTATATCTGAAATATCGATTCAATATCTATAGGGCTGAATAGATGGTGGTTAAAAAATTATTTTTAAACATGGTGGTCGTCAACCATTGGTCTTATATATATATATATCCACATCACTTTCATACCAACCCCTAACAGAAATGATTATTCCCTTATATCTCACCAACCACTAGATATTTTCAATCGATATTTCATATTTAGATAGACTAGATACTAGGCTATCTATTGATATTAATATTTTAAGGGAAATCCTAGAGATTAGTGATTACTAAGCAAAACAGTGAGGTTTGGTTAACCTAGTCTGATAAAACCACAAAAACCATAACCAACAGATTAACTGAATGGTTTTGAGTTTTAGGGTAGCAAAACTGAAACCATTGCAATTCCCTAGGCTAGGAACCGAACCCTCACTGCTGCAGGTTCAGTGAGGGTCAGATTCAATTTTAGCGGTTCGGTTATGCCCCTCTAGTTCTAACATTGTATGTTTCCTTATTTCAAGGATTAGAAGATTAGGAGTAGTCCTGAACTAAAAAGACAGGGGCTGCATGAATCTATTGAATGATATCTTAGGTATGATAAGAGTAAGAGAATAGTATAACAGGACCTGCCCCATGTAACCCCAGGCCATGACCTGTAAGAGTGTAGTAATGTAACTTACTCTATATCCCCTAATTCACCCTTGCCTGGTCTTATAATCTAGGTGCTATATGACTCTCTACCTCTCTATTATCTTTATCTATTATCACTCATGCTTCTGCCATAGAAGAATAATATATACATAGTATAATAAACCACACTATATATTTACTATTAATAGGTTTAGCTATTATAGGTATATACTATCCACTACATTATCTCTATATTACTATAATAGTGTGATAGTATACCTAGCTACTTAGTTATAGTAACCTCTAGTCCTACTAACCTAGTTAGCCATATGGCAGGGTGAGAGTATAGATGTAACTATAGTATATAGTATAGTAGCAGGCAGGGATGCCCCTGTCTGCCCTCCTCTATATATAGAGTACTATCATCAGGCTAACATCTACCTATACTAATTATATTAGTATAATTATTTTCCTAATTCCTTCTATTATTCCTAATAGCTTTGCCTATGCCCATCTATATATCTAATATAACTTCTCACCCCTAACATCTTTAAGAAATAAACTATAAATCTAATTTAAGATGCTATAACTATTAAAGTAACTATAATAGTTTAACTATATAGGGCTAATTAGACCCCTAATAAGGACCCTTAAGAATTTTATATTGTAGGATATGACAGCGACTAAACCAAGCATGGCTGGTCATATATTAGCCTAGTTGGAATAAACTAACTAGTTATCCAGATCGGGTCGCAGACCGATGTGGTGATATTTATGCATTGAATACAATTGCTTTCATATACTAGACGCAGGAGCAAGCACTATACGTTAAAGTATAGAAAACTGTATAACGTATCCCACATCGCCAGTATACCAATACAACAGCTGCGTATTTGAGTATATTCAAGCCCAATTTGAAGGGTGGGACAGAGTCACTCCGTAGAAAGCTCTACATCCTCCCGCTTTAACATACCCTGAAGGACCCTGTGGCTCCTGACCAAAACTTCTCAGACTGATTCTGGTCTTCCTTTAGACGCCACACCTAACCCGTGCCAGAGACAGCCACGTTGACTGGCTCAAGTCAATTCTGTCTCAGAGGTCGGGGAACTCATCTCGGCTTCACGCTCTTTCTCCGACCCAACCAAGATCATTGACGGATGACAAAAATTCATGGCAACCATGGTCAGAAACATCAAAGCAGAATCGAAAATATACATGAAGGCTTCATGGCTGATGAGGTACCCATTGTTCCCCTGCGCATATTCAATCAAGCGAAAGATCGACCTCACCAGAATCAGGACACTCGCGGCGTACAGGCCCACGAGCACAGTTTCCCACGTTCGTGAAGTCCTTTCAGAAAGCCGAGCCGCAAGTGCTGTTACCTCATGCGTAGGATATTTGCGAATTCGGGAATGAAATAACGCACAGGTGGCTATGAAGAAGCTGAAGAAGACCAATTGAACACATAGGCCTCCGACAGTAATATGCTCGCCGAGGTTGTAGCTGCTGATCGTACCGCTCGCCATGATACCGCCACCTAGAGCCGCGAAAGTCATCAGTACTAATCGCGTAGCTTATGGAGCACATCTGGCCTGCGCACCTGCAGCTTGCATAACAAAGGCAATGACATCGCCTGTAACGAAGATCTTGGTCATCCACCTCACTGAAACCAAGCTGAGCCTTTCTGCCCGTAGATAAGTGACCAGTCGACCTAGCACCATATAGATAGAGGCGGCGTAAAGCGGTGGAGCAAGGAGAATCAAGATCGTTTGCACACTATAGATCGGGACCGATTCCTTATGATTATGGGCCAAGGTCCGGCAGATGTAGCCAATGATCTGGACTGAACATCCATTAGCTGGCCGGAACGGTCACAGCAACCATGATAGGATGCAGTGCAATTAGCACTTACAGAAACCCCCAACGACAAATGCTATGAAATACCAAGCCCGCGCCCGGCTGAGTTGATAGACATGGTATATCGTTGTAAGAAGAAACAAAGCGACAAAAAGCGCTGCTGCAGCCGTCGATGGGGTGTATCTATAAAGTTTGAAATCGATCTGACCGTCGCCTGCCATCTCAAGTGAGGGTATGGAAGACTAGAAGCAGTCTACCGCGAGCAACAGTGAACAATCTTAGTAAAGAGCAGATAAAAGAGAAGTTAATAATCCATGAAAGAAAAGAGCATGTATTCTGCTTGGTTTGTTTATATAGGAACGGAATTCTGCCTTCCACCGCGTCTGAGCAAATACGATTACGACTGCGATTACGGCTACGGCTACGACTACGAGAACTTTCTCTGCTGATGGATCCGTGGCTTACGGCCGAGGAATGGGCCAATGATTGCAACATGTCCGTGGGGCATGCAGACTATGAGGCTTCTTGACGCAGACAGTTTCATCGCCAGCCTTGGAAGCTGTCTTTCAGGGCAGACCCTGGAATCACACCTCTACCATCAGACTGTACGTATTGTTGCCTAAACAGTAACTATGACCTACAAAAGATCTCTGAGCTATCGACTGTCATATCTTGTCCCTTGCCTTACTCACTGGCATGGATTTCTTAGCTGTACTGTACTGCAACAGAAGCCCACTTTAGCTGTGTCTGAGAAAATTCACGCTTATTATAGAGTAGCTGTAATAGGAGGCGGGAAGTTTGATTCTTAATATAAATTAGCACATCTACATCTCTAGATTCATAGAAATTTTCACAGCCACGCCGGTTGCTTGAAGTTGCTCTTGTTTCCTTTATTCTCCATTAGTTCACTCTATATTGGATTTCTCTCCTTTTCTAGTATAACACCATGGCCGCTGAAGCTTCAAGTTTCAAACTGTATAGATATGATCCTTCTATTGGTGCGGCTGTTGTCTTTGTTCTTCTCTTCCTTGTTGGTTCCTGCATCCATACGTACCAGGTTGCGCGGACTAAAACATGGTTCTTTGTTCCATTCATCCTTGGTGGATATTGTAAGTCCTCCCAATTCCTGCACACCAACAGTTGCACGGGCTCACTTGGCGTCTAATCACTAGTTGAATGGATCGGCTACATTGGAGTAAGTCTCGTTCATTGATTCCGTCCCATGGAGGGGGGCGTTATACTAACTTCTGGATCGAGCGAGCCATATCGGGGACACAAAGTCCGAATTGGACCGTCCAACCCTATATTCAGCAAACCCTCCTGCTTCTGATTGCTCCTACCCTATTTGCCGCCAGCATCTACATGGAATTGGGCCGGATAGTCCTACTGACGAATGGGGACATACATTGCTGGATCAGGCGACGGTGGTTGACCAAGATTTTCCTCTTGGGCGATATCATCTCTTTTATCATGCAAGGGGCCGGTAGGTCGAGCAAGACACTGCCATTGTGCCCGTGTATTCTAGCTAACTATCTCAAAGGCGGCGGAATCATGGCAAGTGGTAGTGCCAGCGCGCTCTCCACCGGCGAGCACATAATTATCGGAGGATTAGTCGTACAGCTGATATGGTTTTCTCTGTTTCTCGGGACTACCATCAAGTTCCACATTGGGGTTCAAAACGGTCCGACTCGGAAAGTCGTCAATTCGCAGCCGCCGTGGGAGAGGCACATATACGCAATGTATAGTGGCAGCCTTCTCATCTTCCGTCCGCTCCATCTTCCGTCTCATCGAATATGCTCAGGGCAACGACGGCTATCTCGTGACACACGAAGCATACATGTATATTTTCGACGGCGTGCTAATGCTTCTGAACATGGGCGTGTTTGCATGGATTCACCCGAGTGAAATAAACGCTTTGCTCAAACCAGGCAACAAGGCAATAAGGCGCGTCTACCTTGTCTACTCTGTGGGGAGTAGGTTACCAGGTTGAATGGAGTAGCTTGCACACCCTCATTCGAGTCATTCCGGGCACCCTCTATTCGACGCACTTTGTTTATACTGACCGATCGTAAACAATTCGAATGGTGGACCAGGGAGGCCTACAGGACTGTTTACGTGTATCATACGCTTTTTGAACCAAATGAACGTGCATTGGGGTGGGCCAAGGCTGTGGGACTGGAGGCCGACTTAAAATCTCATCTGATTCGCTTGGGATAGATGGACTGGGCGTTTTCGCTTTCGTGTTCGTATTTCTGGGATCTTCAGAATAGATTTTTGTGGGTTCTTCCGTACGTGTCTCTAGCCTGACTCAGTTAGTTGCCGCAACCGCCACCTCTTACTACATTTCACAGTGCCCTTGACGCACGTCTTATCCTCAAAATGCCTACCTCATGTTCTCTCCCTTTTTCTAATCTCAGGTGACCACTACATACATGCGGGTATCTCCTACCGGCATTTTATATAGCCCTCAGCTGTCCTGGCACCTTACTTTTCCTGTTATGGCTACGCGGAGGTCGCATAAAAAGTCCCGCAATGGTTGTGACCAGTGCAAAGAAAGAAGAATCAAGGTTTGTCTTGTTTAATTTCACCCAAGATCTGTCATGGACCGCTCTCCCTGTAGATTGTTACTTACATGCACGTCTATGGCCCTATTCATCTGATCTAGTGCAATGAGGACCATCCCTGCGGTAATTGCTCAAGGCGTGGTATGAATTGCACCTATAAACGTCGTCATCACAGTCCTTCTCCCATAGGAGAAGGACTGGGCAATGTGTTAGGTCTAGCATCTGGCGTGCAAACTCCTAGGGGGTTGTGCAACTCCCGATTTCCATCGATTTCTCATGGCGATACCTTTGGTTCGTTTCTTGAGAGGGTAGCAGAGGCAGCCTACATTGCCCAAGAATGGACCAGCCAGGACGCCGAACTAATGCATCATTTTACGCTCCACACTTCCAAGTCTCTCGCTAGGCGGCAGCAAATGCAAGATGCATGGCAAATTGCTCTCCCGACCTTGGCTTACTCCAATGAATTCCTGATGCATGGCATTCTTGCCCTGTCGGCGCTCCACCTCGCCCATCTTAAACCTGAAAATCACAGCCGGTACATCACAAGCTCCAGATTCCACATCTCCCTCGGCTTGCGCTCTTTCCGCAAAATACTTCCGTCGCCCACGACTGATAACTGCTGTGCATTGTTCGCCTTTTCAAGCCTGATCATGGTCTACGTATATGGTTCCCCGGAAGAGTCCGCGGAGGTCGACATGGTCGACACGCTCGAATCCACTCTTCATTTGTTCAAGTTGTGTCGGGGAACCCTAGTCCTCAAGCCTTACATAAATCATATACGAAACAGCTCTCTAGGGCCACTCTTTCGGCAGGAGTTTGGTATGCAGGAGTTTGATGGAAAGTAAGTTCTATTTCCAAGCGCCCCCATTCATGTGAGCATGTCGTACAACGAGTCAACAACATACCTCTCGCATTTTCTCAGAGAACCATCATTATGGGGGCTGGGTATTTCGCAGCTCACAATGTGATTAGGGAGACGTCAAGCAATATATTTCAAGGAGTGGAGCCCCAGCTTGACCGGCTTAGGCAGATTGTTGAATCGGATACAGCGGAGCCTGAAGAGAGAACCACACTTTTCCAAGCGCTTGACAATCTCGCATTATCATTTAAGGCTATCCACAATGCTGAATTGCCGTTGGAGTGTGGAATGATCTACATGTGGCCGCTCTCTATCAATGAGGAATTCTTCGATCTTCTGAGGCAAAGGCACGCCGTCGCATTTTTACTGCTAGGCTTTTACTGTGCTCAACTCCATGTCTTTTGTGACTACTGGTTCGTCGGACGGCGAGGTCATTCGCTGTTTTCCAGCATTTCGGCTGTTCTACCCAGTCGACTCACTCCATGGCTGGAGTGGCCAAGAGACTTCATATTCCAGAACCAGACGGCCAAGGTCGGCAGTTCTGTCGGACAATATGATGCTTATCTAATGCAGACTTTGATCTCACAGAATAACACAATCACCCAATAATACCTTGACATCGACATCAGCCATCATAAGAAGAGTGACTGATCTCTTTGAGGCCTTCACTTTAACACTAGCAACAAATGAAATAACAATGCCATTATCAGTAATCTGATCAGGGATTATGGCATCGAGCAAAAAAGGTAAAGGGACTATATGCCCTCCACGCTTATCCTTTCAATCTTTCAGCATGTGCATCCACAGTCAAAGGAGGTTTTCTTGAATCTCTTGTGTATATATGTAAGAATCTGAACTTAGCGACTGCAGTTACTGTTAGGCCTGTATTTTTCTTATACTAGCCTATCTAGAGGCTCTCTTAGATTTGCTAGCGGTAACAATGTAGAGGAGCACCCAAATGTGAATAAAAGTGGACTTTGGGAGAAGAGGTGAAAAGTGAAAAAGTGGAAAGATACAATAATGGTTAACCAAAGGGTTAATGAAGCACTGTGATAGTTGAGAAAGTTAAAGTATGTCTGCTAATAGGTTAGTCTATCCTGAATGATTTTATTATATTGGAATGCTTCTAGAGGTATCTGAATAGGTGAAAGAGGTAACCGAATCCCAAGTGCCTACTGTTCCAATTGGTTGCATATCCGCCACATGGAGGATACATCGCCAATCGACAGCTCTTCTCGACTTGAATTGACATCATTTGAAGTCAATAGATCGTCAAATCCATCAGTTATATTCGAAATCACTTCATAAGGACAGTAATTGTCGTTTACTCCTGAGTTCCGCATATCAAATGAGCCTTGTATGGCTTCTTGCCCCAGCTTCTAACAACCAGATATCCGACACTATACCCAAGCACTGACCTTGAAATGGACAGAATAAAAGGCTCTTCATAATCAGGAAACCCTACATACAGAACACATTCACTGGATATGCCGTTCCCTCCATATGCTGATCAACCGTCCCCTACATCCAATCCGGCTCGTTGGCCAAGAATGACCACGACAACCGCTATCTACGACCGTCAGATTAAGCAAAAAGTCCACACTGAATCGAAGCTCAACTAACCAGCGATAGATCCACCCCCTCCGCAACTCGAACCGTCCACTTGGGTCTGAAACGGAACGGCGGCCGTTGTCCCTCGGCGAGGACACTCCGATCCGTTATCCGATGGATGTACGCCACGTTGCGATTCTGAACAACCACCACCTGGAGGATATTATACAGGTCTTGTGTATGCACCTCCAACATAATCTCCTCACTTTGCGCTGACCTCGGCTGCTGCGCGGCATTCCGGAACGTGACGACCGCCCGCGGCGCGTTCATCGCAACCCGCAACTTTGCTTCGAGGATACACTGGTCCCCGCCGGGGAGGCGAAGACACAGAGATGAGGAGTCGTACCATTGACACCGGAGCTCGAAGAGGGGGAGTCCCGAGCGGTCGTGGAACATGCGTGCCTGGTTGATCTTCCAGGGCTGGCCGCGGACGGTGAAGAGTTCGGTTCCGGCGTGTTCGATGGAGTAGTCGAGCGAGTGCCATGGTTCTGGGCGGTTGGTCACAGTCACTATCACTTCATGGCGGGTGATGCTTTCGGGTCGGATGGCGATAGGGTATGGTGGTGGTTGGACTTCGGGGAGGGCATACGACATGGTGAAATCCTGGCGAGGACATGTCAGTAGAGCGGCCGGGCATGCCCATTCTTCTAATGTATTGTTATCTAGACTTGAATCACTAGAAGTGCCGTGTAAGGCAGAGTCGGAGGACGCCTTATACCTCCCTAACGGCCGGGGTTGCACCTGTTGGTTAGTCTGGTCCATTGATTGGTCAGTACAACAGTTGTTGCGGGGGATTGCTGACGATGATTGCCAGGGGCAATCGCAGCGGTCAAGAGGACATTCAGGAGGTGGCTTGGAGCTACGGAGCTATATAGGGCTAATCTTACGGAAATGCCGATAGTGCGAAGAATGATGTTTCATCCATAACGTTAGTTTGAGCTTGAGGTAACTCCAGTATGTAACCCTGAGCGGGGATTTATGTCCACTCCAAATAGATATATCCTTAAATCTAAGGCATATCGATATAGCAGTCCTACGAGTTCACATGCAGGCTTACCAGTAGGTAGCCCACTTACTGTCCCCCTGACAACCTTGACAAACTCCTCGGCGATAACCTGGTCCGTTCGCTGCGAAGGGTGCAACTCATCAAACCACATGAAGGAATCCGGACTGGGGAGCCGAGTGCACTGCCCTCCGTCAAGCGTGCAGTGATTGTTGAAGCCGGTCACATTGGCAGGTGCACTCCCGTTGAAATACTTCGTGGGGTTGTAATACATCTCGGAAAGCTGCCAAATCAGTGGTCGCCCAGACCCAATGCCAGATATGACGCAACATACCAATCCATACATGTCCATCACCGCAAACCGTGCCCCGGATACCTCCTGGCCACCAGCACCTCGTACGGCGTCTGGTACTTGAACACATCATTCGCAGTCGCAACCTGCTCCCACATTCGGTAACTGGTCAAGGTCAGATTATCGGGCTTGTCGGGCCAGTAGTGGTTGGCCCCCACGCCGCCGTTCTCGAGCGTCGCGTACAGGGGTGCCAGCTGCAGGGGCGCCAGGTTCATGAGCACGAAGTATCTGCCGCTATTTGCATAGACCTGGTCGAGAACGGAGTACACACAGTTGATGTAATCCGGTATGGTCTTATTCTTGACCTGGGAGTCAGTGATAAAGGCGTAGTTGCCCAAGTCGTTGGTACCGATCCAGATCGAGTACACCGTTTCCCGGGGTGGGATGTCGAGGAACTTCTTTCCGGAGACTTTATGCTTGCTGTCTGCCAGAAAGGCAGGCACTTCGTACTCCAGGACAGAAGGGAAAAGGGCGTTGATGTAGGAGAATGTGCGCGGGGTGATCTCGTTGGAGCATACGGCGCCGCTGACGGCGTAGTTGTACAGGTTTACATCGGCGTATTGCGAGACATAGTGGCCCCAGACATAGCCACCTGATGCGGTATTGTTGTTCTATGTTTCTCAGCGAGCTTCCTCCATTAGGGGACAAGAACGTACGTCTGGCTGCTCCCAGCCAACTGGTGGAGCTGACCCGTTATGAGAGCCAAAGTAGTTCAGTCGTGATTGGTCGGTGTAGCTATCCCCAAAGGAAACAAGACTGGTAAACTTCCTTGGACCCCATGATTGAGGATGAGCGGAAGCTACTTCGATTGCAAGAATCAGCCTTAGAAGGAATTGCGATTGATGCATGATGAGTTTCAGCGCAGCTTTTGCTTGATTGCATCTCCGGCTGCGGGGAACATCGGTTGTTTATAAACATTGCCAAAAAGAAACAGGGATTTTCCGTCCGTCCGGCAAAGAGGAGTCAGTCCTAATCAAGACTGATTGAAGAAAAGATATCTACAGTGACGAATGATCTCCGGGGTTCTTTGCGGAGATGCGGGGATTTGTGGACCAGCCTGGGTAAATACGTGGATAAATAGGGTTGTATAGTCCAACGCGTGCCACAAATCATAATGGAAGATTTCTTGTTATTCTGCCGGGCAATTAATTTCAAGATAGCTTTCTCCTTGCCACAGAGCGGCTTACTGTATATCGTCATCTCAAGCATCTGGAGATGCTGTTATTATGCTAATCAACCGTAGGCCATAAGTATAGATGACACACTCGAGGCATCAGTCCGCTGTGGCGTCCACAACGCATCTAGCGGCTAGCCATGTTCAGCGAATCTTACATATCTAAAGGAAGCATCTGGTTCCTACTATCATTTTGCTTCGAGAGGTCGGCTTAATTACAGAGGTAGATGGTGAAGCTCTTAATATTGATTCAACATCAGCAGGATCTGTGATACCAAGATATTTATACCACCGGATTTTCTGAGTACTACAATAGTATGTCTTGGAACCAGTGTCACCACCTATCTACAGTAATAATATATGCCTTCCTGTCTAGTCTCTATATACCTTGGAGTGTTGTAGCCCTGGTGTTTTTTTAACAGCATACTTCCGTCATCAGCTCTGTAACTATCAAATTTGCAAATTTAACAGAAGGTAATAATCTAGATCAAGACAATCTGGACATCTCAAGAAGAATGGGCAGACTCTTCGACATCTAAAGGAAGGATCCATTAGTTAGTGCAGTTCGCTATACAAAGGATGATATCCTGTGCTAACTGACCAATCATGATAGGAAGCACGCTGTCCCTAACGTCGATATTTTCATCTAGTCTGAGTCTCTGGTCCTTGAGCTGATTACCATTGCTGTTTAGCAAGTTCGCAGTCAAGTATATCCCATCGTCGGAGACATCTTGTCCGACGTCCCTCGCGCTTTGCCCGAAGCTCCTTCCACCAAACCAGAGGCGGCCTTTGTTTCAAGGTTAGTGCACTGTATTTGATCATTGGGAAATCGGACTTCCTTACCATTGCTATTGCCGATTATTTCATGTCGTTCAGGTTTATTCCTGAATCTACCCAGTCGCCGTCATATTTTGCGCAGGGACGTCGTACATAATGCCCACCTAAAAGCTTGAAGTCGCGTGCAACGCCTCGGAGATCCATAGTAACAGTAGTCCGATAATTGGCTTTGGTTACGAGGAGTGGTTTTCGGATTTGCAGCCAGGACAATCGGACAATTGCTACTCCTGATAATGGGTCCCTTATTTATATCTACAAAACGAGGCAATTGTGTCATCAATAGACACATTCTCCTCATTATACAAGCGGTAATTCAATGTTTCGAATCGCCATAGATTTGGCCTATCGGGAGCCTATTTTGTAAGGTAGTGTTATACTGTGTATGTATCATGACATCCTAGATCTATGTAAGGTTACTGAATTTGTCAACCCCAACCAACAATGCTTTTACTCTATAGAGAAACAGTGCTGATTTTTCTTATCGGATAATTTAGTAAACTCCTGGTTTTATCAGTGAGATTTGTAGCAATTCAAAGTTTGTGGATTGGTTACATTGTTATGTTACGTTGTTCTGTATATATTCCCATACTCTCAGTCCTGGGATCATCTACTTATCTTCGCATCATACATTCATACCCATAACCTCCTTTGAAGGTCTACGAAGTCGGATGTGGACGCCCCCTTGTCTGATATTTTGGAAGACAAGGATTACTTTTGTATCTCAGGCAGATTTATGAGTATTAAGACTCGGGTTTCTTCATTAAGCATTCGGTGAAGCAATAGCCGCACAATAAATGCTTGTTAATTACTCTGTAGAGTATGACTGCCATCGTATTCAGAAACCCTCAGTCGCTGTAATCCACCTTGGATCCATTCCAGTGGCGCCACAAAGGCCATCTGGCTCCATGAGAACAATTGATTCTTCCCCCCAAAGACAAAGACTTCGAATCTCCCGACAAACTTCCCGTCCACCCACACTCTGCTCCCTCCAATGACATCTGTGCGAATAATGATCTGGCTTTGGAGAGGGATCTGGATGGGTTCATGAGTGGACGACGTCTCGTTTGTCCAGATTCGTCCCGGATACCCCGGGTCGAATCCAGCGTCTTCGGCGACAGAGCGAAGCGGGTACTCCCATCCGTCGGATGTAAATGCCAGAGTACCGGATGCGGATAAACTCAGAGAGCAGTCGTCGGAGGACAGCACGAATGGTCCCGCGACGTCGAGCTTCAGCGTGTAATTCATGCCCTTGCTGCCGTGCCCGAGGTGGACTCTTTCTCCGGATTGGTGCTCGGACGTCCAGCTCAAAGGCCAACCTCCCCTATGTTTGGTACGATCAATAAGTCTCCTGTCTAGATTCTGGCCAACCGCGCGGGCAGTAAGTAAGTTGGCAGACAAAAACAAGCTGGATTCATCTAGTCGTGGACCTCGCTCGCCGGTCCATGCTCGAGACGCAACAATCGGGATCCCGTTGCGCATGGAGTAGAAGGCCTCCAGCTGTGTCGTCGCGTCCGGTCCGTTGTCATTCCATGCGGCGAGAATTGCGCCCTGGACTGCCTGCTTGTTCGGTTGCTCGGTGACGTTGAATGGATTAAAGAGCGCCGGGGTCCATTGCCATCCGTCAATGTCCGCGAAGTTCAACACACGCGAGTTATTGAACGAGTATGGATACGGGGCCGGAAATATGGGCATATGGTCGTTTTTTAACGACATGTACGCCCAACGATCCTCCGAATTTATGGTCGTGTACCCATCATTTGCCAGACTGACAGGATCTGATTGCCCGTATTGCCAGTGTTGAATAATCACATCCTTAGATATGGAAAGCGTATCTGATGGCTCATAAGTGCCCCATATGCGGATCCTTTTTCCTGACTCTTCGTCGATGAATCGTGCCATCTCATTGACAAAATTGATATAATCATCCGCCAATGTTGAGTCGTACTCGTCCGCCCCGATATGCACTTCTTTTGTGTGAAACCACGGCAGGAATTCACCCCAGACGGACTTGACGAGGGCACCGCCTCAGGATGAGAAAGATTCAGCAGATCTTTTTTCTCTAACGCCAGTTCTGGCTTCCATTTCGTCAGAAATAGGCAATGGCCTGGTGCTTCAATTTCAGGAATAACCGTCACTCCCCGCTGCGCACAGTGATGCTCCAGCTCTTCATAGTCTGTCCGAGATAGCGTCTCGTTCGGCCTCTGCACGATTCCATGAAGGTCAGGGCTCTCAGGGTGCAGCGAAAACTGGGCGTACACCTCGCTCCATGTCTCATTGTGGCCCCGATTGAGAGGGTAGTTGTCACTGGTGTGATAGTGGAACTCGGACATTTTGAAGAACGAGGCGTACGTGCATAGATCCTTAAGAAAGGCAGGCGAGTACCACTTCCGGCCTGCATCGAGCATGTATCCTCTGGTTGGAACCGAGGGTACGTCCACGATATGACCACCGGGAAGCGGTTTGCCGTCAGCGATGATCAACTTCTGCAGCAGCGTTCGCGTTCCCCACCACATCCCTCTCGCCCCAGATCCTCGGATAAAGACACGTTGCGGGTGAATCTCCACTTCATACCCTTCCTGTGTTGGCGTGCCATTTTCGTAGGTCAAGTTGCAGTCTGCGCCAATTCTGTCCAGGAAGATGCCCTGCTTTGCGCCGAAGTCATTGACCTGGCGGAGTGTCCACCGGCTGGCGGTCACTTCCTGCAGATCATGTAGAAATGTCGTGGCGAATTCCAGCGCCGATGGAGGAATCAGCGTCAATCCATTTTCATCCCGATGAGAGGCAAAATCAGCCTTGATATAGATGATCCTCTGCACTGAGCGAACATCAAACCCCGGCCATGGCCCTAAGCCTGTTTGATACACTGGGGGAAGTGTCTGCAGTGCAGCGGTCACTAGACTAAAATATGGGATGGTATTTAGATACATATTTAGCTGTCCCTGAGCAAATGGCTGACTCTGCACGGACTAAATACAAGCAAGGGTTGCATTGCTGTGGTTGTCGAGGTTACATCGGCTCCCTGCATCCTGGGGTCAACAATCCCATTGTTACCCTATCATTGATTGATAATCAGATATAGATCTCACCCTGAGGATAGTCGTAGTAGTAGTTACATCTTAGTGCTGACTTTAATGTTTACTTTCCCCGCACCGCAATCAGGACAAACCCCCAGATTGAAGATATTCATTGATGCCTCCCCGGAGCCACTGATGAATCATCGTATTTCCTAGTAGAGACATAGCGATATGAATAAATTTTCTACAAGTTGTTGAATGGGTGTGCTTGTTAAGAGGATAAACTATCCCCTCCAATCGCTTGTCTCCAGCCCATGGCTACTGTGTAGGTTAGCTCATCTACAGAAAACAACATCGAGTGGGAGGGGTTAGATCAAAAGCAATTTTCATTGCGGGGTCAACAGTGCGTCAACAGTGCTGCAGTGCGATCAGGATGCTATTTCAGCTTCACCTAGAGAGGTACATGGGTCGTGCATTTCTCAACAAGCAACATCTGCCATATTCCAATGCCGAGGCTTGTGGCTCATTACTCTCTTAATTCAGTTCTCAAACAAACCCCAGAAAACGCCTCATCCAAGAGGAGCATTCGAAATTCATCGTCTTACCTTTAGGCGACAGATGTCTGCTCTCCACGCTTGCTGTCAGTCAGCTGACATTCACGACTCGCAATCGATGAGAAGAGACTACCGACAATGAGCGTAACTGACACTCTCCAATTATTTCTGCTGGTTAGCCAACGCGACAGTTCTCCCTCATACATTCGAGCCACTTCCTCTCGGCTCAATCAAGCCGCGCGGATCGCTATTAGATCAATTGCATCTCATGGCCGACGGGCTTCCAGGCCACGAGCACGACTTCTACTCCGTAATTACAGATAGTCGTTGGCTCGGTAGCCATACAGACTACGACGACTTGAACGAGGGCCTTCCGTACGGGTTCAACGGGCTGGTTCCGTTGGCGTATCTGACCGACGACTAGAGTCTTAACGACCAGGTCCGCGTTGTCGCTGACTATGGTCTCGTCGCATCAGCAGGCTGACGGATGGCTGGGGCCTGAAACAATGATTTGTGATGGAGGCTGACAGGTCTGCATAAAGTTTCTTGTCCAAGTAGATGCATCTCAGTGCGCGGACCTCATTCTGCAAGCCCAAATCACTCTGCAAGTTATCTTATCCGACCGCAGGCGTAGACCCCCGCTGGTTTCGCTCGAACGAAGCAAATAATAGAAACAAAAACATATAACAGCATGTATATGTCAGTGCTCACCCACCCCAGCGTCTGTTCCCTCGCCACTTTGCCGCCCACGTTCTGGTGGCCTTTAGGTGAACATTTAGGTACCTGAATATTTTATACTTAACTATTAAGAAGCTGCATTTTGATAAAAGCGCACATTAGTGCCTATGTATGAGAGAGAACTTATTTTAAACTATAATACATCCATCTCACCCCTACACTACACCTTCATCCCTAACTTAAACTGATCGGACACTATGCTACAGAAGCTAGCAGTAACTTTTACATGCATAATTAACCTTATTAAACATAATAATAAAGAGATTAAATGAGCTGTTCTTCTATAAACAGCTAAAAGGTATAAGTAGAGTGTGAAGATTTTTAACTAGTAAGTCTTTTAAATCTATAGAGGCTTGCATCTCATCTACTTAGATTCCTTAAGCTACACCCTGCTGCCTGCTCTCCCCCAGATATTAAAACCTACAAAGGGTTTTTAGAACTTTATATAAGAAATATAATAGGTTAAATTAAGGAAAAGCCTATAATAGAGACTATAGAGAATTTCTACTAGGACTTTAAAACAGCTCTTTCTCAGCTAAGGGGCTTCTATGTCCTAAAGAATATATCTAATATCTTAAAGAAGGTATGGATTTTTAACCCTAATATAGTCTATATACTAATAAATATCAAAGTATATTATATTAGATTTAAACTAATATATGAAGCTTTTCTCCCTGAATTGCTTCAGCCTGGTGATATCCTTATGCATGATGGCGCCTCAGTGCATACTGCGCATATTATTAGCTCCCTGCTTAGTGATATGCAGATTCAGGTTAAGGTCTGGCCACCATACTCACCTGATCTAAATCCAATTAAGAATCTATGGGCAATCAATGCCAATCATAAAGGGAATTATCTATGAGCGCTATCCAGAGCTTAAGCATGCGCCAGATACTCAGGATACTTTACATCAGCTTATAGATGCAGCAAAAGAGGCATGGCATGCAATAGATAAGAGGGTTCTGCAGCAGCTATCTAATACTATGCCTCACCGTGTGCAGGCGATCCTTGATGTAGAGTTGCATAACCGAACCGCAAAAATCGAACCCGAACCTCACCGAACTCGCAGCGGTTTGGGTTCGGTTCCTAGATTGAGAAACCACACTGGGGGTTAAACCGCTAGAAACCATTTTGCTTAGTAATCACTAATTTCTAGGATTACTCTAGAAATATTAATATCACTAGATAGCCTAGTATCTAGTCTATCTAAACATGAAATATCGATTGAAAATATCTAGTGGTTAGTAAGATATAAGGGAATAAGCATTTCTGTCATAGGTTGGTATGAAAGTAGTGGTGGTTTATATATATATGCAACCAACCCTTGACGACCACCATGTTTAAAAATGATTTTTTAACCACCACCTATTCAGCCCTATAGATATTGAATCAATATTTTAAATATAGATTAAAATGACTATAATTACCATATATTTCATATAAAAATATTAATTTTCTATAAGCATGTTTAATAGGCGCTGGGCATAGGCCTAAGGTAGGGGAAATTGAAATCTAAAAACCATTGAAATTTTTGATATTGCCTAGGCATACCGCCCACCTAGGTAGGCTAGTGACTGCCTATCTAGGCCTAGCGGCGGGTTTTGCAGTGAAAACCACAACCCGAACCGGTTTGGTTGCGGGTTCTAAAATTTGAACCCGAAACCGCAGCGGTTCGGGTTCAACTAGGCTTGAACCCGCCCGAACCCGCACCAAATGCAACTCTACCTTGATGCAGATGGTTGGTATACGAAATACTAGTTTCTATAGCAGCAGAATAGATCAAAATGGAAAGCGGTGACTCTGGCGGCAAAAACGGGGGGTCAAATACTTTTGAACCCCCACTGTAGTCCCGCCTCTCATAGCTCTGGGCAAGTTTGCACCCTGCTCCTGCAGATCATTTTCATTTCTCATCATCTCCGTCTTGGCTGTGGGTCGCTTGTGCCACAAAGCCCCGAACCACTTCTAAACTCTCCGCGGTGATGACTGAGACAGTAGATCGAGGTTCTACTTATATATCCACGAAAACTGTAACTCATCGCATGGCTAATAACAAATAGAGGAAGCTCACTCAGTATAAAGGCCAGGCATATATATTGTGTAACTGCAACGTCTCTACCTTACGTTTCAAACACTCACATTCTGGCAATCCTCATATTTCCTCAATTTTAACCAATCCCTCAAGCTGATACCGCCATGTCGTTCCCCGTCTGCCTCCTCTCCCGCTCAACATGGCGGCTCGTCGGGCTTGGCCTCACCACGACTGTGTTATCTCTGGGAGCCTTGGCCATCATCGCTCCCTCTACGGCTGCCAATACTCTTGGGGTCGTCCCGACCACGTTAGAAGGCCACAGTATAGCCGAAAAAGCAATGGTGTTCCTTGGCATACGGGACTTGGCTGCTGCGACGGCGTTGTTTTGGTTCTACCGTGAAGGCAAGGAGAAGGAGATGGGAGTACTACTGACGGCCTGGACTGGGGTGTGTTTAGTGGATACATGGGTTACGACCCAGGGCCCGAGAGGATGGGATAAGGGGTTTGGGGATTAATCGGAGGGCCATGGTCGTTGCATTTGGCGGGTTGGGTCTTTTGCAGTCATGATGGAGTTGACGTGTGGAAGGATTCATAGAGAAGAGCAACCGGGCCTAGCGGGGGGTACAATTTACCATCACATCCTTCATGTAGTTGTGGTATAGTAGGTTGGCGTAAGAGGAACCATCCTAATGATGGAAGTTTTTAGCTACCAACGGAGCATATGCTATATTGATGAGCAATAAAGGTAGTAAGGTTCCGCAGTGGCTAGGTACGAAGATAGATAACTACTTGTCCTGCCACTTTATACCCCATAGAACACATATCTAATAGCTTTCTCGATATCTTCCTTTGGTAGCCCCAACTGGTTGTTCCAAAGGCCGTACGGTCTTGAGTCGCCCAGACCCTGTTTACCGCATGCTCCACCCCGGACCAAATCCATGATTCCTGCGAAATCCCCGGCTGCAAGCTTCCTCTTGCCACTAGCGATCACCTCCTCAGGTGTAATGTGCTTTATAGTCCACTTCTGGCCGTCGACCATCTCGACTACTTCTAGGATATCTCGTTGGCTGATATTGAAGGACGACACGAAGACATAAGTGTTCTTTGTCTCGTCTGGATGTTCAAGCATCGCAACCAGCGCCTTGCCGACTGTGGATAACGTGGTGGTAGTGACCACCGACGTCCCCCCGTCGATAAATGTGACCGTCTTGGAAGCGAGGTCGAAGCCTAAAGCCCGGCCTTCATAGCCCAGTCAAACCATGCACCGGTCACAAGGCTTGACCAGGACATCTCAGGCTCTTTCGACCGGAGATAGTCGACTGTACCTGCTTTAGCCGGTAAAACAGCCGGCATCAGCTCCGAAAACTTGGGGTCCCGCGAATATGGCCCAAACTTGCTCGGGACGAATCTCTTCACACCGGCGGCGAGGGCGGCATCAATAAACCTATTTTGGTCCCCGGCTGCGTTGCCGCCAACCATACTGATTACGACATCCTGGCCCAATTAATATGAGCCCCATTATGAGCAAAATACAGGGTACTGAGGGATAGAATGATTATAAATCGAATAATGAACAAATTCATTGCTTATTCATTATTTATCATTGCTATTCTTTATCATTCTTCATGAGAAAAATTGTCTGAAGTACGTGCCGCTCTTCCGATCAGTTTTGTAACGAACCCTCACGGTCTTGACAGTGCTGTTGGATCAGACAGATAACTGCAGCAAGCATGTGGGGTAACCAGCATAAACAACTGGAGTGTCAGGAACGGGGTGGGGCTGCTTACTACAGACCGTTGATTCAAGGTTCCTGGGTTGTTGGAAGTCTCGGATTGATTACTATTCGGCCCAAAGTTAAATAGTTAGATGATCCTCGCAAGAATGCCTGGAACCAATAAATTATGGTCATTTTTCCGTAACCGTTCGAAGCTTGGCATGTACAGAGTATTTTTGATGGTTCCGGTGGTTCCGGCGGGGGAAGCCTCGGAAACTTTTTTAACCTGTCTCTAAGCAGCTGAATAACATCCAGTCCTCGATGACAAAACAATACCATCACTATTCAACGCAACTCAAATCAACGATTCTCGTAGGGCGGTTGACTATAAAAACAGAGGCAATCCAATGCATAGTCCGTTAATTTGACTTATTCAGGGTTGTCAGCTTCTCCAGTCATTCCAAACGTATCCTTGTCATGTCTTCCAAGAAACTCATTGTCATTCTGGGCGCCACCGGTAACCAGGGCGGCTCCGTTGCGGAAACCTTCCTCCAGGAACCTGAGTGGCGCGTTCGAGCGATAACTAGAAATCCTCTTGGCCCGAAAGCGCAAGCGTTAGCTGCTCGCGGTGCAGATATCATCAAGGCTGACCTGGATGATCCATCCTCATTTGGCTCAGCATTTGAAGATGCGCAAGTCATCTTTGCTGTTAGCGACTTTTGGGGGTTGTATGGCGATCCCGCCAATCAAGCGAAGGCAGCAGCAGCAGCGCAGCCTCTAAATGTCTGGGCCGCCAACCATGAGACACAGCAATTGAAGGATATTATCGACGCTGCAGCGAAGGTCCCCTCTCTGGAGCGTTTTGTGTTGTCATCCCTATCCGATGCAACCAAATGGTCTGGAGGGAAATACAGCCATGTCTATCATTTTGATTCCAAAGCCACGGCCGAGACTTATGGGAGAGAGAACCACCCTGAGTTATGGGCGAAAACGAGTATCTTCCAGGCTGGGTACTTTTTGAGCAACTTTGTTTCCAACCCAATCACTCATCCTAGAAAGGTAGCGTGTTGCCCTCTCTCTACTTGGAAGTTAGCTTATTCTATGCAGAATGCCAGTGGAGTAGCCCAGTTCATTGGCGGGCTCGACCCTGATGTGGATTTACCCTTTATTGCTGCAGAAGAAGATACTGGGCCCATCGTCAGAGCCCTAGTGCTTGATTCAGCTGCAAAAAAAGTTATCGGTTACAGAGCCCGCATTACACTACGCCGACTCATTGAAACCTTCTCGCAGGTGACAGGTATGAAAGCCGAAGCCGTCGTGTTACCCAAAGGAGAGTCAGTTGTTCCTTTTCCTTCTGAGCTACAGCAAGAACTTGACGACAACTGGGCGTATTGGAAGGAGTTTGGATATTACGGAGGTGATCCAACTGTCGTACATCCTCAGGATGTGAGTGTCATCATGCCCTGTCGTGAGAAGTTCTTTACGCTAACATATATAGTTGGAACATGCACCGAAGCTCAATAGCGTGGCTGATTACTTCAAAAAGCAAGACTGGTCCAAAGTGTTTGGGCCGTAAGGGTGGGGATACTATTGAATTATGTTACCGCTTGCCCGATTTGGAAGCATACGAACTGGCAAAGCACTGCCACTCTTGGCCGAATATTTGATAGCATTCGATCATTTAGAAGACCGGCAATCCAACCCCTATTGAAGGCATAAATAGGAGATAGATAGTCATTTATTTAGAAGAATCGGACCTTTATTGATTTTCGATTGGCCATATAGTTTACTAGTGATTTGGAAAGTTTATATATCTTAGTAATTTCAACAGTTATGAGCCCGGCTTGCCCTTAAGAGACGCATGGATTGATTTGTTTGGATTATTCTTCCAGGCCTGCAGGTTGGAGAGCTCTATCTCATAGTATTGGCGAGATATCTCATTGGAATTGCCTGATTCAGAAGAATTGAAGTTATATCAACCGACAACACCGCCGTCACCCCTGCCTAGAAGCTGACATGGAGTACTATGCCGAACCAATAAGATCCACTAGGAAGGCCCCATTGTGCTAGATTTGCCTGATAATTAGTGGCAGTGGAACGCCCATATAAAAGGCTTAGCAATGAGCTATGGAGTGGAAGAGATCTTAGAGAAAAGCTACGCCCATTGAAGCTGATTCATCCAGATGATTTGGAATCAACTAATCAGAGTGTTATAAATTCCTGGAGATCTCCTGCCAGGCAGATCATTTATCTAAGGTCATCTTGTTGATTAGCTTTGCTGGCTGCAGCATGATTGGTTCTACTAGCTTCTCAACAGCAATCATTTAATCATCTGGATTAATGTATTTCCAGACCTGTTTCTGCTCAGTGAGTGTTTAGATGTATCCAATCCATGCCCACTAATCATCTGGCCAATCCAGAATGATTAGGACCCTCTAAGTGGGCATAGAATCAGTAGTGATCGAATAGTCAGGCATATCAGCTTGCTAGGGCGCTGAGATACCCGTTGCGAATGGCTTCACTCCCTTCCAAAGCGGTCGAGGCCTTAGAATGGGGTAGGCGTTGCCTCATAGGTGTGGTATCCGATAGCAGTCAATCAAACCAGGCTCATAACTGTCAACCGATCCCCGTTGATAGCGAATCTATGGTAATCGCTAGTAAACGGTATGATTTAGGATGAATGAAGGTCTGATTTCTGGCAATCTAGATATCTAACTAACTACTTATAATTAACTAAATGAAAACTCTGTAAAATCTCCTTAATTCAGTGAGTTGAATCCATGGTAGCATCCAGTGATCTGATTGGCCCAGCTAGAATTCAGCTAAATATCGATATCCGATACTCTCCGGATTCGATAGTGGTAAGATATGGCTGACACAAAGCCATCCAACCAACATCAAGTCAATAATGCAAGTGTGCACATCAAGTCTGCCCTGCTGGGTTAGCTGCATTATTTTGCATTAATGTCCTGAGGAGCAGCCTCTGCCTGCGCCATCATGTCACTCGCTCCGTGTTCTTGATTATAACGTGCACAATCATGTACAGATATTGAGCTTCACTTATCGAACGGGTGTAACTTTGGAACTAGAGGTTGCTGACCCACTTAATGCACCATGAAGGTGCTCCCAATTAGGGTTCTTCACAGAACTAATGGTTTTCTGTATATCTGCTCGATGTTAGCGTTTGCCTTCAGATAGGTGACGAGATCGTACTGTGTTGTGCTGAAAGGGCTTCATCTATTTCTTCAGAATTTCTTTTTTTGGCCCATTTCCCCTTGTAATTACGTATCTGATATATTACACAGTGAAAGTGCTTGGAACCAGGAGCACGCAACTTTCTGACTTGTTCTCAATTGTAAGCTTGGTTGTAAAGCTTAAACTACATCCCACTGGTTACACAAATTGAATCATAGATCTAGATCGACTTAAACGCTTCTGAACTGCACATATCAATCTATGCAGTCATAACCTATTATGGCTTAAAACCTAATGGTCAGGAGGACCAAATGCGAAAGTCACTATTCCAACTATTGTTTCCTACCCGGATTCGGTAAAAGCTCTAGCTAATAAGGCGAATTCATGACTTCAGCGCGTCATCTTGATCCGAGAAGCATCCGGCTGAATAAATTCAACTCATCATATTAAGGTATTTCTTAAAGTCTATAATGATTTGTTTCTCCAGGTTATATTGCCATACCTGGGCCTATGTGAGCATCATGGTTTGTTCGGTAGTAAGCTGTTATTCGCTTGGACGTCATACATTCTCTGCCATCCCTGACACTCCTACACAATATCATACTGGATATCAGCAATGAGCTCCTAAAATAAAAACAGAGTTAATGCAAATAGCCTGGTCTACGCAGTTCTAACAGTCTTCTAATTCATTGGCTTGTAACTGCACTTTCCTCTAGCTATGACCTGCAAAGCTTTATTGTAGATTAGCTCACCTTCACAGGAAAGTTTATTTATTTGAATTTAGCAAGAACACCATAGTCTATAGTAGCCTATGTAGGAAATTGGTCATTTGGTCATCATCCTTTGAAGGGCTTGGGAGTTACTAATCTGTCTATACACATCGCCTCAATTATCTGGAGTAGGTGTTATTATGTCATCAGTTTGTCACTTTTCTGGCAAAAATAGTACACTCTCTTAAAGTTCATGGCCCTTGGCAAAGCAACATGACCTGCGGATATAAATAAGCCTCCTTCTCCCATAATCAGGCCACCCTCCTTCCAGTGACTCCCAGTTAACTAATATCAAACCGTATCATTCCACTTCAAATTAGTATAATGAAGTTCTCCACTGTTCTTCTAGCCTCGTCAGCTATTCTATCCGGAGCAACTGCTAGAGTCATTTGGACAGACTACGAGCCTAGTGAATTATGTTGGAGACCTTGCATCCCTGAGAAGCCTGACTGTCCTCGTGGCTGGGTAAGAGAAATACCTTGAATATACTGTGGAAAGAACAGAAAGTCTGCTAACACTTCACACATGCAGTATGCAAAGCACTTTGGGGTAAGACTTGACTTTACCCACCACTTATTATATCCCTGGAAAACTGCTGACATTGTTTAGAAGCATTGCTGGGCTTGCTGCAAGGAGCATGATGGCGACGAGGACGACCTGTATAGATGGCTTTAAGAGTGGCGACTACTCGATTTCCTTCTCACCGGCATGAAGAAGAGTATAATCTGATTTCTGCGGGGCGCTATGAATATTCTGCTTGTCCAAGATGAACTGTGGTAATTGGTCACATCTGCTGTGCATTCGTACAAGATAGTGATGAAATGAAAGCTCTCCTATGATTTTACGAGAGTAATGCAAAGCACCCTTTCATAGACATTTTGGAGCATACTTCCTTATAAACCTTTGATGACTCAATATGCATGCAGGTGGACAGTGTTTTTGATCGGTAAGATTAAATTACTCGAAATACACATATTAAAAAGAGATATGGAAACTTATTGGCCACAGCTTGTGTCGTCGTCTCATATTTTTAGTCGTCCTCCTCAATGGGGCAGGGAATGGGATGGAAGTTCAACCTGACGGAGCTTCCTGCAGAAGTTCGTTTCAGGTTTTTACTGCCATCAATGGTCAGACCAGATTTTTTGGAAGTGGTATCTTCAGGTGCCAAAGTCAGACGAATTCTGGAGACATCTGGCTGAGAGTAATCATCCTCCTCATAATAATCATAATCAAGATCACCACGGAATCGGATAACATCGCACCATCCAGCGCCAGCTGCGAAAAACTTGTCTGGCCCAGCAACAGCAAGATAGTTTCCACGGGGGACCTTCTTAGAACCCTCAAAGTCCCATAAGTAGAAGTATGGTTTGCTGTCCATCCCGGCATGGATTGATCCTTCATAATTATGACATGAATATTGTTTGTGGCACACTTTGAAAACCTTGGATTTGTCTTGGCCGAATTGCAGGTAGCTCCAGACACCACTATCTCCCCCAAGCCTTCCATACTCATCGCTGCTCAAGCGGTAACAGCCGCCATAAAAGAGTGGGGACCTGTGGACTGGGATTCTGCCCAGTTACCTGCTGCTTTAGCATCCATATGCACTCCGTGACGCATATGGCGATCGTTGTTGTTGGTATAGTCGTCGAAAATGCTAAGCTGAATTGCTGGTGAGTGGTGAGGGGTTGCCCCAGTGTATTTGGTCACCATAGAAACCGCCAGTAGGGCTTTCAAGACGTGATTGGCTAAGAATGGCATATTTGCCTGCTAATAATTAAGATTTTTTTTTTGTTCTTCCAGTGATCAATCAACACTGGCCTTCGCAAAGTGCAGTGTTTAGATATTTGTAATCTACTGGTCTTCTGAATTAAGGTGATGTCACACCTAATTACGGGTAGCAATGGATGTAACATATAAAACTCGACGATGTCATGCTTGCTTAGTGTCGACAGGGCTTGATCTAGTGTAAGGCTAGAGCCTAGAACACCTTTTACTGCTGGTTAGGATCTGCAAACGACGAAATATTAACTTCGGCCGGAGAGTTAAGAGCGGCGCTAAAAAGCTTTACATCAAAAATGCTCATTTAGATTGAAAGCTATATCTTCACAGGCCTGTTTGCATATCATTAGTAGACACCTGATTTACTCAGATGTTACAAAGATACTGCGAACAGATAATAGTGATAGAGCACTAAGAGTGGTTGACATCACGATTCCTACCCAGCCATCCTGACGTTTACCAGCGAGGTCAAAACAATAAAAGGAGAAGCAGAAAAGGAAGCGATCTAGACCTCAGATGACTCCTAATGAAGGACTCGGTATACAGGAAGCTAGGGATCTCATCCAGGCGAGAAATGAGCAAGGGAATGAGGTTGAGGGTCATTAATTAATTCTGCGCCTTTACCTTAAGAACCACCAAAACGCGCGCCACCAAGGTGTTCAAATTGCTTTATTATAGGGCATACAAGAGTTAGATGCCCTACACGCAATACTTGCTAGATCTAATGAGATAATATTCTATTTTGGTTGATTTGGATAGCTTCGAAAGTGTAAACGCGTTGAAATTGGATGGGGGTGGCCGGCTCACCCGGGAATTACGTTATACTCTGGTAATAAAAGCGCCCGCACATTTTTTTGGGCGCAGACGCAAGTTGCATATGCTGGTAGATTAATAGGGTTTAGTGCGTGGTCTTATTCTATATAAAGTAATAGAATGTGTTCTCTCTCCATCTTATATTATGGCTTTGCTTTTTTTCCGAAGTCGTCTTTGTCGCATCCTTCAAGAATGTGATGGAGTTGTGTTTCCTGGGCCTGGTCCCCAGGATTCCTTAAAGGTTTGAAAGTTCTAGTTTCGAAAGATTTTTTTCGTGATATTCCGTTATCAATTTGTTCAACGGTTGAGTTGGAAAATGTTGTTAACTCAGTGTTGGATGAGTTCATCATTATTTATCTTTTAATTGTGAACCTTTACAATATATATTTTCACTAGATCGTTCGAGAGGGTACCGCTTTTCTACCTTTTTTGTTAATTGTGAGCTTTTCCCTGGTCATGCTGATAACCGTTCTTTGGTTTTGTCTTGTTCTTTTTTTCAATATTCAGTCGATATTTCTCTTTCTTTAAGTGGAAGAGCTATTTTGACTTGTCCTGGTGATGGTGAGCGAGTCAGTGTTAGTTATGTCCAGTTGAATAGGGAGCAGTTGGAAGCGACAATGAGTCTCTTTGAGACTCAAGGATTTCTTTGGTCTGACATGTTGTCATGATTTTTCAGATTTTATATTCTTTGGCATGTCTTTAGCATGTTTATGTTGGCGATATTGATCACACACCTACAGGGGCCCCTTCTCACGGGCAGTGAGAAGTTCACTTCTGTTTATGGAATTGAAGTCGGGCCACTTCTCTATAACATTGCTTTCGGTGTGAGAGCGCAAGAGCGCACACCTAGCGCGATACGGGAGCAGCCCCGTAAGGGGGAAGGTACCGTATTGATTTCTAAGAAATCATCGCGCCGGGGGTCTTAGGCAGTCTCTGCTGCCGCCAATTCCTGATCGGAAGACCGGGTTCCCTGCTAGTACGGCTAATCCTCTTTGCGGGGCGCAGGGTACGAGCACTCCATACTCCAGTGGTCATAGGCGTTTCAAATGGGTGAAAGCTAAGAGAAAGTAAATTATTAAAAAAAAACTGCTTGTAGATAGGAAATGAGATAATGGTTAAGCAGAGAGGAGACCCTCATATTTAAGCTAGCAATAGAGGGAGACTAGTTATTATAGAATCACACTGTCACCTACTGATCACCCATGCTTACCCATGTTGTTGGATAGCATCACTTAGTTCACCTTCACTCACCCACACTCACCTACACTCACCCTATGGTTTAGCGTCTCTCACCTGTAAAGCAGCAGGCCTTCAAGGGCGCATATAACTTCTGACCACGTTGATAATACTGGCTTAAGTACGGCTGAGCGGATGGGAAGCCCTGTTTTCCACACCCTATGGTTGTATGTGCTAGATTCAGAGACAGATCCAGCTTGTATCGAACAACAGATTGTAGAGCGTCTATTGTTATCGCGCAGCGATCATAGCAGAGTTTGTATGCAAATGCATGGATACGATGTATAGGGTGAAATGCTGTTTGTATGAAATCCCAGCCAACCCTTGTAGCAACTCCAGGTATAAACGGGTATTTGCGTTTTATGCTCTCCTCCCATGCTGTTGATATAGACAATTCAGTAGAGCAGGAAAAGTCAGGAACAAAAAATACGAGGGTATATAGGCTGAACAGGCTCATGGAAGTAACCAAGAATAGGTGTCAAAACGAGCAAGGGCGTGATATCATGATGTTGGTCGAACGAGGCAGAAGATCGATGAAGAGGTCGTTCGGAAGAAGTAAATGAAAATGGCATGCGCGGAACTTCAGGGGCAAATCGCCCATGTTGTTGGGACTGAGCCAGTTGGCAGAAGTGAAGGCGAAGACGGAGCTCGAGACGATGGTTCTGCATGCGATGCACAGGTTTGTTGATCTGATGCACCCGATGCTGTCGGAGAATTACCGGGATCTAGTGCAGCAGACCGAGGATGACGTTGATGATCGGTGGGGGCGCGCTCGCGCGGGCGGATATGGTGCTTAGTCTGCAGTCTGCAGTGGTTGTATGAGCGAGACCCGAGGGATCAAGGGCAGACGCTCTTGGATTGCATGCATGTTTCATGAAAAGGCCCTGGACTGGCAGCCCTGGTATACGGATGGGCTTTACCTCAAGGATGATCTGGATACTATACCCTCGGACATCGCTGACGCAAACGATCCGCTCGAGCACGGGGTCAATGTTGCTATGGGTTTGAAGAGCGGAGCTGTCTTTAGACGCCTGACGCATGACGAGTTGACTAGCTAGGAGCGCGCTGTGAGCCGTCAACTGGACTGCTAGATACCACGGCACCTTTTCTGGGTCACTCATTGGCGACGAGCGGATCTCCGGGCTGAGTCCCGCACGTGGCGTGGAGCTTTGTACCGTGGTCGCTGAGCTACCTGTACCATGTGCTGGGAGACAAATTCGTTGGCGCATCACTGCGAGCTCGCCGCGTTCAATGCACTGCCGGTCATGACTCTTCCAAACTGGTCGGCGCATCAGTACGTTGCGCAAACTAACCAGCCCATCTCGCATAGACTGGACCGCTCTCCTTTTTCAGAACGTAGACGAGACGGGTCAAACCTTTGGACTCGAGCCGAATTACCCTTGCTGCACTGTAATCATCCGCAGGGATATCCCAAGTTTGTATCTGCGGCATTTGTAAAGCAGGGCCAGAATGGTATTGCACACGCCTTTCTTAGTCAATGAGGTGTCCAGACTTCAACAAAGTCAGGGGTGGAGGTGGGGATCCTCTGTGACACCGAGTATCCGTTTACGCAGCAGTTGGTGTATGCCGTCGACACAGACGGGCCATTCGAGTTCTCCGTACGGATCCCACTGCTTCAATTAATGGAACCCTCTTCGTGGCGCAGCACCTGATACACGAACCGGCATGCTCAAAATTCCCCTAGGTCAAGGTCCATCAGAAGTGATCGTCACTCTGTCGGCGAACTCCACGTGCAACGCCGTGCCAATGATACCGTAGCCAATCTACTACGGCAACCTGCTCTACTCGATTCCAGTGCAATATACACGAACTTCCCAGCCAACCCAGAGTTATCCGGATCTTCCGGACAACGTACGGGATTACGAGCTTCGTCCGACCGGTTCCTGGGCCTATGCAATAGACCCCTTCTCCCTGCGATACAATGGTTATGACGGAGCTCGGCCCAATCCTCTCTGGACGCTAGGAGCACACAGTCCATCACAGCAACAGTCTGCGAGATCCGATGGGAGCTGAAAGACGGATATGCGTCCAATCCACCCCACAAATGTAACCGCACATGCCAAGGCCAGCCGGTCGAAATCGAGCTCGTCCCATATGGAAGCGCAAAGTTACATATGGCGGAACTGCCTGTGATGGAGTAAGGGGCGTCGGGGGCAGATACCCCGAATGGTAAAGGTGGCGTTATTCACGTATGATCAGCTCCTTCAAACGGTCATAATCCGATGATTCTCCGGACCGCCGTTCTCGTGTTGCTTGGTCACTATATTTATTAATGCGGGGTACAATTGCGACGATCCTCCGCCGGAGCTTGTCTTTTGGCGGGAATCGCTGCAGAATCGGGGAAGTCGGATGGTGTTTGTCTTACTTTGTTGCTTGTCACTCGGCTTGGCAAAATGCTACGGCCGCTAGGAATTATCCTATTGCTGCATATTCTGTTGACAAGTCTGGGCATCGTCAGTGTGCGCCCGTAGTGTGGATACGTATATGAGCCACCGGGGAAATGGCTCGATAGCGTAGGACGGGAACGAATATATAAAGCCAGAGGTACACCACAGTTCGTCAATTGCAAAGCTTCACAACAAACAAGCAAACAAGATGAAGAGCCTCGCGACGATCTGCGCGGGTATCATTGCCCTTCTCACCCCTGCCATGGCCCTCCCCCAGCCTCTCCCGCTCGATCTCCACAAAGCCGACACTAGCAAAGTGGGCTACCTCGACTTCTACTGGAAGACTGAGGATGAGAGCGTCTATCTTGCTTTGAGCAACAACAGTAATCCACTCGACTTCAGGCCGGTCAACGGTGGAAAGCCCGTTGTCTCCCCGACTCTGGGCACAAAGGCCGTCCGGGATGTCTCCATCGTCGAGGGCGTAGGCCGCGACAAGGGAAAGTACTGGCTGATCGGAACGGATCTGGATATCGACACTGTTTGTCCCCTTAACCTGTAAGCGTCAGGAGATACTGATTGTGGTAGACCAACTGGGACAAAGCGACTCGGACCGGATCGCGGGCCATCTTCGTCTGGGAGAGCAGGGATCTGATCCATTGGACTAACGAGCGCCTTGTGACGGTCGAGGATGCGACTGCCGGCATGGTCTGGGCGCCGGACGCAATCTGGGATCCGAAAGCCGGTATGTCGCAGTGTACATCTCGTCGATTGAGTTTGACTAACAAACGTACAGGAAAATACCTGGTGCACTGGGCTTCCAGATTCGTAGGTAGACCCCGGCAACATACCATGAGGAAGTAGACTGACCCAATACAGTACGCAGCAAACGATCCCAACCACACCGGCAATCCCACCACCACAGATGTCATCCGCTACGCCCACACCAGCGACTTCAAGACCTTCACCAAGCCGCAGACCTACATTGACCACAAGACAAGCACGATCATCGACCTCAGCATTCTCCGCGTCGACGACAACACCTTCGTCCGCTTCTACGTCAGTGGCAAGGTCTCCGGCCCCGTGGTCGAAGTCAGCCGCAACGGCCTGTTCGGTAACTGGGTCACCCCCTCGGGCACCATCCAGGGCAGCACCGGCTTCGAGGGCCCGTATCCCTTCTGGGACAACGTGCAAGCCGGCAAGGCGTATTTGCTTTGCGACAAGGTGGGTAGTGTCACCGGTTTGTCGCCCTGGGTGTCGACGGATGTGACTTCGGGAACGTTTACGCCTGCTTCGGGCGGTAACTTGGGAGCATTGAGACATGGATCCGTCTTGTCTGTGACCCAGAAGCAGTACGATGCTTTGGCTGCTCTAGGTTAGTAGCCAGCTGAGAAATTACAGCATCGGTTCCTCAATGATGTTAGACCCAGCTATATATATTTTTAGCGATTATGTCCTCAATGAGAAATGAAAATGAACACATATAGTCCCCTGCACAGGATGGATTAGACTCTCGCATGATTGATCCTTCAAGAGTATAAAATTGACTCGGCCACGGTCTCAGACGTGTAATGTATCATCATGGGTACAAAGTTCGCAGGTAACTAAAGTACAGGCATTACCATTGTTTATAGATGAGGGAAAAATTGCTCACAGTCGAATTCGAACAGACTTGTCATCTAGTGTTCTTGAGCCTTGACCATACCATATAAAACCAAGAGTCTAAAAAAGAAGAAAAAGAAATGCTCACAAGCGGATTTGAACCGCTGACCTCATGATTACTAGTCATGCGCTCTACCAACTGAGCTATGCGAGCTGATTGGTTGGTTATCTATTCATTTAGAGCTACAGAAGCCAATCTACAGTATCTTTGACGTTAATGTAGCTGTGTCAGCTAAGTTAGAGAGATGTCTCAACAACGGTTTTAGGATAGTGTAGAAGCCCAATATGATCTCTGATAGCAGATTTTTGATCCTTTCGACTTTTTATCCAACGTGGAATGTCCACTAACGTTAGATATAACCATAGTTCGCATTGCATTTCAAATCTATGCATTCCGGTCAGACGGGAGGCATTGGGATACTATTACCACTTCAAATCTACTACTCATCGAGCTTAATGTCATTCTGTTCTATTCAGAAAGAGAGTAAATAAATTTGGATTGGATCACGTGTACCATGTCACTGGACATACGCGTCGCGACTTCTCAATCGACACTGCCCCTTCATACCCCTTCGCATCACAACCTACTCAACTTCACAGATAATTGTCGCTATGGCTGGGTCTGATGCTGCGTACAGATTTGGTCCTTTATTGACGAGACTGCCAGTGACGACAACACTGTCGTTCACGACATAAATTGGAGCAATCTCAATCCGGCAGACTTCTTCGATAGCCTCAGTCCTAATCTTCCTAGACCAACATCTTACCCGACTGCGGATGAGGTCCGTCAAGAAAGCCGCAAAAAAGCGACCAAAAATCTTGTCCGACTGGAAGTCACTCAATAAGATCATCGAACGGCATGAAGAACGGATTCAAAAGCGATGGCGCCAGAAGACCAAGACTAAGCGTCGTCAGATCCTTCTCTCCGCATGGCCAAACATGTCCAAGATGCACAGGCCCGACTATGACGCATTCAAAAAGGGACGCCGCGAAGAGTCGAGGGAGGCATACATGTGGCCTTATATCAATCTGGAGGACCTGGAACAAACAAGACCGTTGCTCCTGCTCCTCAATGCTCGCGCTCGGCAACAGCCACAATGTTTTGCGCACGCGGACTACCATGCTCCACATCTTGGGCATGGCACAGGTGCTATCCGCTCTGCTTTTCTCAACCTGCATACGATGATGTTCACTGGTCGGACGACACCGGAAACATACGGAGAGCTGATTGCATGGGACGACGATGATGACGCATCTCTATGGCTTCATAATGGTAAAGGTTTCCATCCCGGCCATGGGCTAGTGCTTCTGGAAATACAACAGCGGATCTACGAATTTCTTTTAGATTGTACCCGTCAAATACTCCACGATATTCCTGAGGAGGCCTTGGTCAAGGACTTCTCTGTACTGCCCGAGCCCGCAATTAAAGATGAAGGAGACTGACATTCCCTGGCTGCAGTGGCAGCGGACGCGCCTTACCGTCTACCCGCGCAGCTCGCCTTGGCCTCTCTAAAAGACATCATCGATGCTAAACGCTCAGCTATGGAGGATCATCTTATAGCGTTACGGGAGGACCCCGGATACTTTGCAGACGTTGTCAATGAGTACAAGGAACATCGCGACGAGGTCATCCCAGATACTAACGGCAACCCGCATCCGACATTGGCACCACATATTCACCCATTATTCTGGAACCGAGTTCTCCAAGACGTTGTGCCCGAAGCTTACATGAACCTTTGAGATCTGGTCCACGCTCCATTCTCTGTCGCCGACCTGCGTCAGCTGCTTTCCAAATATCATGACAGGATATCGCCGGAGAAAGACCTGCCTACAGACCTCTATAACGCGTTTGTAGAACTGAAGTATATCCTGGAACAGTTTGCCATTGGTCCAGTCAACCAGCTCAAAATAGCAGCTCCAGCCTCCCCTCCATTGCGATCACTCTTTGTTCGGCAACCACAACAGTCGGGCACTTCGAAGATGATTGCAGAAACCCGGGCGGGTGTATCAAGGTCCAAGAACCAGGGGGGCCTGCTTTGGATTCTTGAAGCGCTCTGGGGGGATAGCAACGTGGTGTTTTTGGCAGGTCGGAAAACGCTCATGGATGAGCTCGAATGTCTCGTTGTAATGGACCCCAAAAACAAGGAGCTCGTCTCGAGCCGAGTTGCTAGCATCATTTCAGACTTGGCAGTTATCTCCGAATGTCTTCATCAAATTGAGCTCTACCAACCGTGGGCGAGTACATTCGAAAATGGGTTTGTTGAACGGCGAGATGAAATCCAGAAAGAATACAGCAACCTAACCAGCGGTTGGGACAAGTACCTGGTAAGCTTCGAGGGGACTGCTCTAGCCAAACTTGGATCGCCGGAAGATGGTCGATTCCATTACCCGGCCGAAAAGCGACGGAATCATGAAAATGTCGAACTTATGAGAGCTGCGGAGAGGAATCTGGATGCCTTCTGGCGTGCGGTGGATTCGCATTTGCCAGTGACCCGTGGAATGGCCCGACGCAACGCTGTGTACAAGGTGCTTACTAGGATTTCTGGAAAGCTCCAACGAACGCCTGCCTGGGTAGAGCCGGTAAAGCGACCCGCCAAAGTGAAAACCTTGGAGAAGAGTCTGGCAGATCTCCAATTCGAGCTGGTACATCGAACCGAGAAGACCATTGAGCCGGCTACTGCTCCTTTGCCCAAGGAGAAGGTGAAATCTCAAGGACAGCCCAGTACGTCTGACAAAGCCGTGGAAGCCGATGTGCCTGCCGAAAATGGATATGATATTCAGCCAACGTTCAAGGTGGACAAGCGGTCATTGAAGGTCTTCTCCACACTATTCTACCAGCCTTCGCAAACTGCTCACCCCGGAGAGATCCCGTGGAATGATTTCCTCCACGCTATGGGCACCACCGCTTTTACGGTGGAGAAGCTCTACGGCTCAGTGTGGCAGTTCACACCGAGACATCTGGACGTCGAGCGCAGCATTCAATTTCATGAGCCGCATCCTATTGCGAAGATCTCTTTTCGGGTCGCAAGACGGATTGGAAGGAGGTTGAATAGAGCTTACGGTTGGCACGGCCAGATGTTCACATTGGCGTAATGTGCCTCCTTCTCTGGCGACTCGATAGAAGAACCTCAAACGCGTTGAGTGCTGGCCACCAGTTAGCTCCATACAAACCGTCAGCTATTCTGCTTGTTTGTGCGCGCCTTCCCCTACAGCTGAAGTCCCTTGTTTTACATGTGCAGTTTCTAAGGAGCACGGCTCGCACTGGTTTATTTATGGAAAGAATCTACAGTAGATTACGGTACAGCGATATATCCACAGCGTAGAGACCGAATATCTGTGCATTTGAGCGAACGATATGGGTGCGTCGTGCACATCTCAGCGTCCATGATCCCCCTCAGGAAACTGCCACATTGACGACCTATCCAGGAAAAGAGACTGTCAGGGAACAACGTCAGGGTCGTATACTCGATTTCGCGCTCCAAGGTGCGAACCCGGACGCAGAATGTATAGATAGCTCCCCTGTGTCGAGTTCGTGAGTTGCATTGAAACATCATAATCTCATCTGTCACGCCTTCGCAAGCCAAAAGCCTGCAGGAGCATTGAAGGTTATGACAGCCATACAATATATCCTTCGAGTCCACCAGCCCTTATTACAGCATCCAGGCAATTACCAGGTTTGCATATTGCAAACAGCAAATGACTGATTGCGGTTTTGCGTTGTGGGCCATCACGGAGCCCGTCAAGGATATTCTTTGCTCGAAGGAGAACAGTATAAGCACGACTTTGCAGATCTTCGCATCCGTGGCGGTAATAGAGGTTATCTGGTCATCCATGGTGGTATAATGGTAAGGATGGTACATCCGCCATTGTGCCGCAGGAGATGCAGAATCTCCTCGACGCTGCATAGCCATTCTTCCCACACTTTCCTGTGACTTGATCTTCGGTAAAGTTGTCAGCCGGCAGAATATTCAACATTCGAAGTAGAAGCAGTTGTTCTGTATCTGGAGAATGTAAGTATAAGATTAGTACCTTCTATGTCGTCTGGACATTGCAGGTTTGGTTAAAGAACTACTCGCCTGGCCATATTTCCAGCGTCATGTAGTATATGCTAAAGTCCTCAGACTCCAAGTGATATGAGTTCTCAACGCTTCTGTTTCTCAACAACCGTTCTATAGCTTCTGGGTGGGTGAGGTGTACTTACAAGACATGCTAAGCAGAAATCACTTTTCTCAGACTGGATTGCACGAAGTTGTTCCATATCCTGTAGATTATGATGAGCATTGTATCTCCAGACAAGTTCAATATGTCACTCACATTCAGACACGCAGTCAAATCCCTTCCCTGGCAGCTTTCTCCTCTCCTTTCTGTAACAATACGCACTCAGCAACCACTCCTGCCACCAGATCCAGAACCAAAAACCAACCAAACCAAACCCAATACTCAAAACTCCAAGAGAAAATAGAAAACTCACCGCGCAAGCCCAAACTCCCCACTAGCGCCCACCCTTCCATCCTCCGATCCCGATCCCAAAACCTCATCTGATGCAGAATGGCCCCCTCGGCACTCGTCCAAATGACCCCATCCGTCGCCGCCGCGGCCGTAAACGACAGAATGAGATCCCCCGTTTTGGCGCCGTCGTAGCGCTGGATCGCGTCGATGGAGGAGTAGATTTTTGCGTCGCGCGCGCGGACCTTGTCGAGGCATTGTTGCAGGAGGTTGTAGGATGGCCAGGGCTGGTCGGGGAGGTTGGAGAAGACGATGCAGTAGTTGAAGGTTGTGTAGAGGGGGTGGTCCATACCGTTGTTGAGGGTGGGTAGGCTGTTGAGATCGTAGTTTGGTGGGTTGTTGGAGAAGTTGTTGTTCATTTTGATAGAGGCAGATGCTGTTAGAGAAGTTAATTGAGTGGGTAGTTGGAGAAGAGACATAGTTGATGAGTTCTTTTCTTCTGTGGAAAGCGAGGTATTTATATTATAGACTAAGACATATTCCTGAACAGTATCTGTTGAACATTGCAAAGACAATGTCTTTGTATATGGATGGTTCGAGACATCCTTTGTCATTGTGAGACCATATTACAAAGGTGCTTTGGGGAAGGGTCGCAGAACAATAAATATGCCTCTGTAGGAAAACAACGATGTCATTGTAGATCTGGAACTCGCTGGAGCTCAGTATAGTTTCAGTAAGTCTTGATGAACGGGCCTTGTCGTCTAGATTCAGCATAGATCTCAAAGCTGACAATAAACAACGCGGTCTCAAGCAAAGTGCTATTTCCTTGATGGTTTACCGGCTTTTTGTCCGTCTTACAAGGTCCAGCCGGAATCGAAAAAAGTCACATTGTTGAGACTACTGCTGAGAGCCTCTGCATATATTTCAGATTATTATTTGTTGATTGTCTCAATTTGACCAGCTACGCCAAGGTAGATGGACTCCCACATCTAAATATTCATGACAGACTACCATTGTACGTCTGAAAGGTTGTAGCCGCTACTGGCTTTCTGCCAAAGCTATGAATCTTGCACATTCTCCGGCTCTTCCGGAATCGTGGCGAACTTGTTCAAAACTTGTTTCAGGGCAGGCCGTCGGATAGGTTTACTATCTCTATTAGTATAGTCTTTTCGTCGAGATGTGGTAGACATACCTGATGAACATGTCCATGCCCGAGTCCATGCAGTCTTTAATATTACTTTCTTCCGAGAAAGCGCTGAGCGCAACAATAGGCGCCGAGTAGCCCATGCCCCGGATGAGGCGGGTGCTCTCTAGGCCGTCGAGGTTGGGCATCTGCCAGTGTCAGCTGCGCTACTTGTACATAGTGATGGTGGCATAATACCTGAATATCCATGAAGATAAGGTCAAATACTTTGCCCTCTTCCATATTTGCCTTGACTGTATCGTAGGCTTCTTGGCCGTCTTTGACGACCGTTACATCATATATCTCTTCTAACCGAAGCATTCTGGAAGGCGTTAGTGTTGTTTTTGAAGGTGTAGAGAATGACATACCGAAGGACCACCTCCTGGTTCACTACGTTGTCCTCAGCCACCAACACGCGCACCTTGCCAGATGTACTATCTTTCACTTCCGGTTTGGCTCCATCAGCTGGAGGAGCTCTGGGAGTCGATGGTGCGGGGGATGACGGTGTGGGGGTAAAGAACGGCTGACTGAGTCCGACCAGTCGAGGTTGCAGATCCTGCTTCTCAAAGTTGGTCAACGGATCGCTTCGAACAGAGCCAACAGAGCCATTGTTCGACGGCGGTCGCGCGAGACCAGAAAGATCGTCAAGCGAGAAAACGCTCGGTGTGCGCGATCCAGCGGCACTGGAACTGCGGGTACTCGGCGCTGCCTCCTTGACGAATTTCAACGGAATCTCCACAGTAAACAAGGCGCCTTTGCCCGGCTCGCTTTCAAGGGTGATCTTTCCATTCATCAAGCGAGACAGCTGCGCGCAGATACTGAGCCCCAACCCGGTACCTCCATACTTTCGGTTCAGTCCGAGATCGCCCTGTACAAAGGGCTCGAAGACGCGTTTCTGTAAATGGAGGGCAACGCCAGGACCATTATCCTCGACCTCAAACTGGAAGATCAGAGTTCGCAACTGCGAAAGCACGGGAGTGTGATATTCTTCCTGAACCAGGCCGTCCACGGGGTCACGTGGCTGAGAACTGGCATGCGAGGGTGGTCGGGATCGCAGTCGCGAATTGCGTCGAGAGTCCTGCAGAGAGGTTCTGGGACTGCCCGGTGTTTCCGCTTCTCGGACGCATTTGATGCGAACCTCGACCTTGCCATGCTCGGGCGTGAATTTGAGACTGTTGCTGACCAGGTTGATCAAAACCTGAAGGATCCGATGTTGATCACCCCATAATACCATGTCCCTCAACCGACCAGTCCCTGGAGGACCAAGCGCGGGGGCGACGGTAGGAACGTCTTCTCCGGGAAGCCATCGCCCTTTGGCGGGAGGGTATCACCGCTGACAAAGTTGACATTGAAGTCGATGTGTTTTTCCTGGACCTGATTCTGGAAAATGACCGCCAGTTGAGACCGGATGTCCGACAACCTAAATTCCCTCTCTTCTAACCGAATTGCCTGGTCTATTTGGTTCTTGCTAAAGGTCAACAAGTCGTTCAAAAGATGCAGGAGAAGATCGCCCGACTTGTAAACGACCTGCAAGGACTTCTTGATCCGAGGAAGATCGTCTTCGCCCATGCACACGGCACACATGCCCAGAATCCCATTCAGCGGCGTCTTGAGCTCATGTGAGATGTTGGCGATGAACAACGTCTTGCTCTCGTTGGCAGTCTCCGCGGCCGACTTGGCGGCTTCCAACTCGCGGGTTCGTTCCGCCACTCGTTCTTCGAGCCGATGGTAATGGATCGAAAGCTCGTCTGACATCTCGTTGAAAGTGCTCGTCAGCTCCGTCAGTTCGTCTGTGATGAGATGCCTGCGCTCCTTCACGCGGCCTGGAATCTGGAAAGTTCTGGCGTGATTGCGACTGCCATTGCTGTGTGCGCTGTTGGGCCGGTCCTTTCGTCGGAAATGCTTCACCCAGGCTACGAAACCCTTCTCATCCATCATTTGATCGTCAAAAGTACGGGGTTCCGTCTCCGCCTCGCTGGTTCCTAAAATGTACGGTCCGCTGGAGGGAGGGTAATTATGCGGAGGCTGGGAGGGTGGCTCGATCGACTTGCGAGTGGCCTCCCTCAACCGGCGAATCGGTGCCACGGCCAGATGAGCGAGCGGAGGAACGATGACGATAATGAATCCTATCGTCCCAAAGACGCACGCCAAAATGATTTTCCTGAGCTTGTTGATCGGGGCGAATGCCTCCGCCTGTGTCTGCTCCACCAACAGGATCCACCGTGCCATCTGCGTCCTCGGCCGGATCGCGCCGACCGCAACCTGATATCCGTGTTCGTTTCTGGTTGACAGATCGCTGATTGAATCGTTGGACTCAGCCCACGGTTTCGACATGAGTTTCCATGCCAGCGGATACCTGGACAGGGCAAAGCTGTTCATGCTCAAATTGCCGCCGTGCCTGCTGCTCTGACCGGGAAGTGGAGTAGGCTCGAACACGTAGTGGACCTCGGCGTGAGAAAGTCCTTCCACGTTCGGGGCAGAGGTCGCTGTGGCCGGGTAGGCGTCCGGGGCAAACTGATTGTCCGCGCGGGATGGACCGAGCAGGAGAATCTGGGCAGTATGTCCCAAGCCATCGCGGGAGTTGATCGTGGCCTGCAGATTGGCGGCACTGGCGACGACACTGTACGCAGTCAGCAGGGGGATACCTAGTGTCTCTTTACTCCAGGACTGCCTACGTCATGTATCCAAGAATGTCAGTGGCCGAAGTATTATTGATGATGGGCACTGTGACTGAAACGAGGGAAAAGGAGCTGTTGATCGGCAGCGGTCCAAGAAGAAGAGCGGTGTCAAGTCCCAGCTTGTAGTCCGGAAAGGCGTACACATCGGTTGTGGTGCTGCCGTCGGAGGCTGCGGAATATGTCAGATTAGGGTAGAGCGCGGGAGGGTAACCGAGACCCTCATCCCCTAGCATAACCGCAGTGCCGTTCGGGTAAGCGTAGGGAAGAGTGATCTCGGCAATATCTTTGGCAGTGACATTGAGCAATCCGTGTCGATTTCCTTGACCATTACGAGAGAAAATGATGGCTTGATACAGGTCCAGGTAATTGTTACTGCCCAGTGCCGACTGCACATCCGTGACGGACGAGGTCCAGTTCGAATCACTCGAGTTCCCATTGTAAAACCGACCGAGAGCACCCTGGATCAGCAGTCGAGTAACGATGGTTTTGCTCGTCGATTCGAGAAGCCTGAGATTGGAAGCGATCTGGCTGGCTTTGATTTTTGCGACCAGCTCGAGTCCTTCGGATCTAAGAGAGTAATGTACTTAGAGGAAAACGTACAATGAAGGCGAGTGCAGGCTGCTATCTTACTGGACATCGACCACAAAATTGTAGTTATTAACCCACTGCGACCAATTAGTCTCGTCTTGAAGGATGATCGGCGATCAGAGAGCTCACCGTAGCGATGGACAGCACGGCCAGGCCCACTAGGGCGGTCACAAGGACCAGCAGGCCGAGCTGCACGGCAATTGGGATGCGCATCCGGAGACAACTCTGGCTGGTCGTCCAGAGTAGGCCGGCTCAGCTCATCCTTTTGATTCTGGCGAGGGTAATGGGGGAGAAGGGATGAAGAAAGAAGATGAAAGGAGAGGAGACGAGGAAAACGAGGAGATGGGAAGATGGAGAAGATGTTGGAGATGGGATGTCCCAATCGGGATTAGCGATTACTCTGTTGCAGCGGATCTCTGCAACAACTGTCAGACTGAGCCGAGTCTGGAACAAATAATAACGAGGCCAGGCCGAGAATCCGATAACTGAGTCCAGAAATATCAGACAATTAGATTTTGGAAAGCCGTTAGAATAACGGTAATCCATACTTCGGGGTCACGGACGGACCACGGATCCTAATCTGAGTAATAATGCTGGATGGAGATGAGCTGGTCGCTTACCGAGGACGACGACAGGACAAGGAGGCCGGCCAGATCGGGGCAGCTGTGGATTCCCACTTGACTCTGCCTTGGAAGCAGGGAATTACAGTGGGTTAGGTGCAGCGAATAATTGCCGAGAGAAAAAGCCTCCTGAAAAGGCTGGACTGGTCGTGACCCATTGACCCATCAGTCAATCTAAGCTGTGGTGTTTTTCTGTCTTCCTTTGGCTGCGGGCCGATCCACTGCCTCAGGCCCTCAGGTCCGCCAATCAGGTGCCGGACATGACTAATCAACTGCATCACGTGCTATCTGCAGTCTCTCTCTCTCGATCCCGATACATCTACATCTCCATCTACAAAAAAAACTAGGTACCAGCTATCCACTGTTTACTTCTCTCTTAGATAGGAAGCATCCCTGTAATGGTCTATTGGTATACCTTGATAACAGGAGTTGCTAGCCAAGAGTTCCCTGGCTTTCACTCGACAATGATGGCTTAGTACATGGAATAGGACGACAAATTATATAATTTGGGCTAGCTTGCCTACCACCGAGACACCACATGCATAGCATTCCCCTCTCATTATTCAAAGAATTTGAATCTCTCATTATGGTCTCTCCACTTGATAGGCTACCACAATCCAATGGCAGCAACCAACGCATCCATAGCCGAACTATGAGATGAAGCATCCACCTGCTCAAGGGGACCAGCCCAATTAACCCCCATCTTATTATTGGCATCGCGATCATTCGCCCAGATACTATCGGCAGACGCTGTAATAACACGCGAGTACTCCTCGTCCGGGGCCACACTGTGCAACAACCGCAGGTTGCGGATGAAGATCCCCTTGAATTGTGTGCTGTCGCCCGTACAGCTGCTGGGCTCGCAGGGTTCATGCATAACCCCATTCGAGTCACTCAGCGCCGCGATAGCCGCTCTAGCAATCTCCCCTGCTGACTCGAGGAATGTTTCGTTAGGAGACGCGCGGTATAGCTCGGCTAGTCCGCCAAGGATGACTCCTTGATTATAGGTCCATCTATTTTGTCATCAGCATTCGTATCTTCGACTGTGGAGATTGTCCCCCTACGTGGTTTGTCCATTATTCTCGCAGCTCTCCGTCAGTCCATCGTTGATGGTGTGGTTCTCGTTGATCATCCCGCTGCCTTGGAACCAATCCCATTCGCGTTGAGCCCAGTCAACATAATACTCCTTGTTCGACGCTCGGTTGGCCAAATGCGCGGCTAGCGAGAGAAACAGCTCGTTCGCAATGGCGTTGACATAGGTATGCGTGTAGTCCCAATAGATGCCCCCGCCGCATCTGGACGGCCACACCTTACTCTAAACACCATCAGAACCAACTCCTCCAGGGCGAAAAAACAATCGAGACAACCCACCAATTCCTCGAATACCCCAACCGCAAGATCCAGGTACTCCTGTCTACCTGTGACATCAAACGCCGCGATCCACGCCAACGCCCACCACGCATCATCGTCGTACGCGCCATCCAACCATTGAGAGACATCTACCCCTGTGCGCCGCCGACTAATCTCCTGTGGCCGATGATGCTTAATCGCCCCATTGTACGTGTCATTCCCCCGTCCCGGCGCGGGATTCGATCTCGGCGCCACCGAAAATGTATTCTCAAACACACCGACAGCAACGTCCCGCACCGAGTCGTCCACATCCGCCAGGTCCGCAATCACAGTCATGCAGTTGGCCCCATTCCACCAGCCGCAGGTATTCCAGATGCCGCTGGTGGTGTTGTACCATGTCTGTAGCGCAGCGAGGGCCGTCTCCGCGCGTGTTGTAGGCGTTGCGGCCGCGACGGAGGAGGCAAGGACAAGGGAGACGAATTCGAGGAGCATTTTGCGTGTGTCATCTTGAATTTTCAGGGGGAGAGTTTTTTCGTCTTTTATGGTTGTCAGCCTACCACGCAAATTGCAGGTGATGTATCAGTGCGCAAAAAGGGGTCGGAATGCCACCATGTATACATGCCAGGGATTGGGACATTCTTTCTGGAAAGATATGTACCATGACGCACAAGGATCTGCATGCTCGGGCGGAATATAGTCTGGAATATAATCTGACTTGTCATGGAGTCGAACTTGATCGACGGCCGGGACCTGCAGGGGGCCATGTAGGTCCGACTGGGATGTGTCCTGTCACATTTGTATGCTGATTCGAAACCGAACTTCGGACCGCCGTGATATTTTTAGTTCGGACAGTCACCGGTCAAATCATAAATCATATGTATTATTTTCTGAACGACATAGTCTTAATTCTAACCAGCCAACCTCCAACTCATATATACATAGCTATGACAGATCACCGCCAAGTATCCTTCTCCGTCGCAGTGGACACACCGCAAGCTGACGGCACCGTATACGAGCGGTTGGGATCACTCTCCCACACGATCGAGCCATCGCTTTCCTTGCGGATGTACTTATACTCGAAGGTCGTGCCTGCCGGCAGGCTGATAGTCACATACCAGAGGTTATTGCTGGAGGTATACTGGGACGCACTCAGGGGCACTGCGTTGCTGGTATCCCAGTTCCCGAGCTGCGAGATGGATCCGACGATGTAGACGTTCTCGCCGTAGGTGGTAGTGGCGATCTCATCGAAGGTGACAGCCACGGAGGTAGGAGTCGTGCAGGCGCTAGTCGTGCTGGTGGTACTGGTGGTAGAGGTGTCGGAGCCAGCAGTGGTGGTGGTAGCAGTAGTGGTGCCGCCCGGCGAGCCGCTGGTCAACGTGCTGGGCCAGGAGGTGGCCGTTGCGGTGCTGTAGGTGCCCGTGGCAGAGCCCATGGAGCAAGACGAGGGGACGGAATTGGCGGAGGCGGCGCCCCAGGGGGCAGGCACCACGCCGTTACGGCGCATGTTGGCGGTTAGGAGGGCGGCGTAGGACCAGGTCAGGTCGCGGGCGGAGAGGGAGGTCCCGGAGGATTTGTCGAATTGCTCGGAGAGGGAGCCGTTGGTCATGGCGTGGGCCTCGACGATGCTGACGTAGCCGTCTGCGTAGGTCTTGACAGCGTTGATGATGGCCGTGAAGGTGGAGCTGCTGGAGGCGTAGGTGCCCACGGCGGCGGAGCTGTAGATGTCCTTGAAGAAGGCGAGGGATGTGCTCGTGATGGTGATGGAACCGAGCTTCTTCCACTGGTAGATAGCGTCGTAGAGCTGCTCGGCCGCGGCGAGGGTGGTAAGGAACCAGGGGTTGCCGTTGTAGTAGACATCCTCAGGATAGCGGCCAGCGGAAACGGCAGCACCCTGCGCGATGCCGGAGTTGATCGCGTAGACCGAGCGGAATGAGTCGGTGTACACCTTGTGGTTGGCAAGGGCACGAGGAGAGCAGGGTTGGAAAGTAGTATCGTCGCAGCCGGCTTCGGGGTCGAAGGTATGGATGCTGGCGAGGACGGTGTTGGCGTCCTTGCCGGAGCGGCCACCGCCGGTGTTGGCATTGATATACGAGCCCGTCCAGAAGCTCTGCATGTAGCAGAGGATCTGAGGGGCTTGCGAGTCACACCACGAGCAGGAAGCTCCCACCCGTTTGGCAAATGTGCTTCCCTCGACAAGGGCACGGTGCTGAACGGCGACCGTGAAGAAGGACATGGAGTTCACTTCTTCCCAGAGATCTGTCAGGTAGAATGGAAGTAGTCAGCGATGAATGTGCATATATGTTATTAGAGAATTAGGACTCACCAAAGCCGCTCTGGCTCCAGTACTGAGACACGTAGGACAAGTCGTTGCGCACGATGGGCCAGATGTTGTTGACAGCATAGCTGGAGTAGCCGTTGTCCTGTTTGATGTCAGCAACTCGTCCTATCGTCATAAACGGAGGACATACAATTAGCCAGTTGCCAAAGTCGATGAGGGCCGTGGCGCGCAGAGCCGGACCATCGCGCTGAGGACGACCCCAGGCTCCGGTAAAGGCGGTCATATCGACGTTGTACTTGGGCTCCGCAAGACCTCCGCTCGAAAGACCGCCAGAAGGATTTGAAACGGTCTGCAAGTAGGCCTGAGAGTTGACGTATTCTGTAATGACTTGCTGCAGGCCCAGATTGCCGTTGCGGAAGAGATCGACCAGGACTTTCGTGACGAGAGCGGCATCCCTCGTCCAGGTATAGTAGTCTAGATATGTCAATGAAGTGTCGGCAGGTCCATTTCAGGAAAGGGGCTTACAGTCTGGGTTGCTGGTGCTGGGACTGGCAATAATTATGCCAGGCTTTGCGCTCTTCGCATAAGCGCCGTCGGCACCGATGTTGGCCAGAATGCCATTCAGAGAAACGGTAGTCTCAGTAGCCAGCCAGCTATCCAAGCTGCCAGTAGCACGAGGGGACAGCTGAGGAGCTGCAATAGCAGCATGGCCGAGAGCCAGCGCACAGAGCGCGTAGGAAAGGCGAGGCATGGCTCGATGACAGAAGGATTTGGCAGTGAAAGGTGAGATAGATGAGGGTAAAGGGGATGAGATGAGACTGGTCGTTCTGAGTCCTGACGCAAGGGGCAACTCTGGGGTGTGATCCCTCTTCTTATAGATTTTGACTCTGCATGTCTTGTCGTCGTGTGTCTTGAATGTATTTCCGGTGAGCGGATTTCTTGTATCTTCTGCTTGGCTGTTTTTCTTAGCATTCTAAGCAGCTGATTGGACTGAGAAATGAACCCATGATCTCATTCAAGCTAATCCACGATTTCTGCATACGCGAATCCCCAAAGAGCATAAACAACGCCTCCAGATGGGCATGCAAAGAGAGCCAGGTTCCCCACGGGGTCCATCTGCAACGGGAGGACATGGATTCCGCATGTGATAGTGAGAGTGATCCCATGTAGAGACGGAGATTTCCATTGATCCCGATAGGTCTAATAACCTGGGGGAGACATTGGAGGTCGAATCGCAATAGGGTAACAGCACCAGGCAAGTCCTTCACGGAGATTTAGGGACTATTCCGCAGCTCCGACTGGTCCTTCTATCCGAAGCTAATGCTGCCGGGTCAAATGGCTCATTCCATGCCTATCATCCGCCGTTAGCCGGGCCTCCGATTTCTCAAACGCACGTATTCACTCCGACTTGGCTTGTGGGGAAAATTTGGCAATATGCAGACTGGCAGAATCGTCAATCGATCGGGCAAGTCGCTTCACGGAAACAGGCGCTGCTTAAAGTGGTGAAACCATGAGGTATTCAGAGCATCCGCTATAGCGCCGGACTTGTTGCCAATTCGGATCAAGCCTGAAGGAATCCAAGAAACCGTCGATATTAAGATTTCCCGCAATTGCGCCGCCCCCTGCTTGGTTGCGCATGGACACTCAATCTCGGATCTCAGCTCCGTGTCAGTTTCTGTCTGTCATGCTTTCCACATGTTCACTAGTCTGATTCGGATGGCAAATGCATCCTTCGACGGTTCAATTATCCGAAGAAGTTAGAGTTAGGGCTTCTACATCACCACAACTAACTACGAGCAGACTGTCAGCCAGTCTCTTTGATGTACGTTTGCGAGGCCATGTTTAACCTAGTATCCCTCCATCAGGATGTGGAGAGACTGAACACTAACTCTTTTTACTCCTTAGCACACGCTTAGCCGTTGTGGGAACCTGGGGATCAGCTCGCTGACAATTTCACTGCCGATTCCACGAATCAGCCCTTTGATTCTACACTAACATGTGCTATGCAGCCTTCAGAGAGATTACGTGCGTTTCTTCTGCACAACTGCCGAGCTCACTAGTGGAGTTCCGTAGTTTTCGGCTCCTAGTTGCCTCCCTAGAGCCGGACTCGCCAACCTATTGCCGTTAACGTAGGGCCTTAGATGCGGCATTGCCAAACTCAATCGGTGCGAGAGTCGAAACACGCGTCATCACCTCCGACGGCAGTCACGGCGATGAAGATATCAATCTGACCCATGCGCTGGAATGATCGTCGCCGGTGAATGCACAGGACTGGACATCCGTAGCGTATTAGGAAGGAGTTGTAGTTGCCAACTAGCAGTAGCGGAGGGTATATAAGTCTTGTAATTCTGTTGAGAAATCTTCGTAGGGCATGATAGAAAGCTGCAGGCGCACATTGCCAGGATGAAGTGGACCTCGTCACTCCTCCCGCTGTCCCTGTGCCTATTTGGACAGGCTGCCAATGCTCTTACCCCAGCCGAATGGCGCAGTCAATCCATCTATTTCCTCCTGACCGATCGGTTTGGCCGAGAGGATAATTCCACAACTGCTGCCTGCGATGTCACGCAAAGGGTTAGTGCCATGTCGAGCTCTGTCTGGGCACATGCTAACGTTTGCAGCTATATTGCGGTGGTAGTTGGCAGGGGATCATCAATCATGTACGATTTCCTGACATTCTACAGTCAAAACTAACGATGTCAGCTCGACTACATCCAAGGAATGGGATTCACTGCCATCTGGATCACCCCAATAACTGAGCAGTTTTACGAGAACACGGGCGATGGTACGTCCTACCATGGGTACTGGCAGCAGAATATGTGAGTTCTGTCTCTGGGCCGCGGTTCTATACTAATCAACGAAGCTACGAGCTCAATTCCAACTATGGAACAGCTCAAGATCTCAGAAATCTGGCCGACGCTCTGCACGCGCGTGGCATGTACTTGATGGTCGACGTGGTCGCCAACCATATGGTAAGCTGGCTTTTTCAGGGCGTATGTTAGAAACTGACCATTTAGGGCTACGACGGAGCAGGCAACTCGGTAGACTACAGTGTCTTTTCTCCCTTTGATTCCTCCAGCTACTTCCACCCATACTGCCTCATATCCGACTACAACAACCAGACTAATGTAGAGGACTGCTGGCTGGGAGATACCACTGTCTCACTGCCCGATCTTGACACGACCAACACGGCAGTGCAAACCATCTGGTATGATTGGGTGAAGGGATTGGTTACCAACTACTCCAGTCAGTAAGCCGCAAACCTGAGCATGGAGAATACTGACAGAGACAAGTCGACGGTCTGCGCATCGATACTGTGAAACATGTGGAAAAAGACTTCTGGCCCGGCTACAATGACGCTGCCGGCGTCTACTGTGTCGGCGAGGTCTTTTCGGGTGATCCCTCGTATACCTGTCCATACCAGAATTACCTGGATGGTGTGCTCAACTATCCAATGTACGCAATTATGATCTCGGTGCGGATTTTATACTGACTAGAGCAGCTACTATCAACTTCTCTACGCGTTTCAATCGACCAGCGGCAGCATCAGCGATCTCTACAACATGATCAGCTCCGTTGCGTCCGACTGCGCGGATCCCACCTTGCTCGGCAACTTTATCGAGAACCATGATAACCCCCGATTTGCCTCGTAAGTCTTGCCTCACTTTTTACCTATGCAGACTAACCTCCCCAGGTATACGAGCGACTATTCGCAAGCCAAGAATGTCATCTCCTTCCTGTTCTTTTCCGACGGGATCCCCATTGTCTACGCAGGACAGGAGCAGCACTACAGCGGTGGCGCAGACCCGGCCAACCGCGAGGCTGTCTGGCTGTCTGGATACTCGACCAGCGCCACGCTGTACAGCTGGATCGCCTCTACCAACAAGATCCGCAAGCTAGCAATCTCCAAACACTCAGCCTACATAACCTCCAAGGTAATTTCTCATCGCGCCTTTGCCATTCTACGCTAACCTCGCTAGAATAATCCGTTCTACTACGATTCCAACACTCTGGCTATGCGCAAGGGTTCAGTCGCTGGCTCTCAAGTCATCACTGTCCTCAGCAACAAGGGATCCTCGGGCAATTCCTACACCCTCGCTCTCAGCGGCACGGGATACTCTGCTGGTGCCACCCTCGTCGAGATGTACACGTGCACTACTCTCACCGTGGACTCGAGCGGGAACCTCGCCGTGCCAATGGCATCTGGTTTGCCCCGGGTTCTTGTGCCCTCGTCATGGGTCAGTGGAAGTGGCCTCTGCGGTGGCTCTATCTCCACCACCGCGACAACCACCACCAGTTCCACCAAGACCACGACAGCATGCACATCCGCCACAGCCCTCCCAATCCTCTTCGAAGAACTCGTCACAACCACCTACGGTGAGACCATCTACATGACCGGCTCGATCAGCCAACTCGGCAACTGGGACACGAGTTCTGCGGTCGCCCTGTCGGCGAGTAAATACACCTCGTCGAACCCTGAATGGTACGTCACCGTGACCGTGCCTGTTGGCACCTCCTTCCAGTACAAGTTCTTCAAGAAGGAGTCGGACGGGAGCGTCGTGTGGGAAAGTGATCCGAACCGGTCTTATACGGTGCCGGCTGGGTGTGCGACGACCGTGACGGTGTCTGATACGTGGAGATGATTCTCGCCTTCATTTGGGCTCAGGTACTGGATGATGTACGTAGGCTGATATGAGCTATGATAACAGCATGTCTCTGGGAATACTAGATCGCACGCAGCAGTAGGTTGATCTTATAGACGGACACGCTTGTTCACCGTATTCTAGTAGACAATTGTCCATACTCTGCGCAAGACAAGGCAGGGAAAGCTAGTAAGAGACATCAATGGAGGAATCTGCATTGTCACCGTACTGTTCGAAAAAGCGACTTGATATCCGTCCCGATAAAATGGCCACGAACGTCATTGACGAGCTTCTCAAACTGAACGAGTTCAGGCAGGCCAACACGACCATCAGGCAGTAGGTGACAATCAATGCTGATATCATGCAACGACAACTCGCTTATCTCATCCTCTATTCTCATTAGTATCTCCCAGACATACTAGGGTCACCTTACTTGAAAATTCTGCCTTGAATCCCTCAAGAATGACCTGATCATCGACCGCACGAGGCCTGAATGCAAGCAACATAGCAGCAACAGGAAACGTCCAGCGATCCCCAAAGCCATCCCTCGCGATCTCAACAGCCGTCCGCACTTCATCCGCAGTAGGACTCGAAATCTCTCCTTCGTAAAATGGCCGACGAAACTGAATCACTCTGCTCGCCCACTTCCCCCATTCGGACTCAACAGCAAGCGGAGGGAACAGCTCGAAGAGACCAAGATCAATCAGCGTCTGGAAGCTGACCTCCACACATCGTCCGCTAATATCCAACGCGCCTTGGGAGAGATACTCTCCGAAATAAGCAGTGTCCCGAAGGGCCAGGTATTCATCCCAGTGTCTCATCTGCCACATCGCATTATTATTCAAAGCATTAACAGCCTCCAGATCCTTGATAAATGTTCTTTCGGGAAAGTCGCGTGTATCAATCATGAGTAAGAAAATATCCTCGAATGCAGGATGGTCGTTATCCGTTCGATGGCGATAGAGACCGTACTGCAGTGCAAAAAGCAAAGAGGTAGTCCAGCTCATCAGATTGCAGCCGTCATCACACTTCCATTCAAGGTGGTATAGAAGCGAGTCTGCTGCTTCGAAGGGATCCATGGCAAATAGATCATTCATTTGCTCGTCAAGATCGTACAATGCTGCCGGGGATCGGACAGCGTATGCGCTGCTCTCTCCTGCTGAGAGGGGAGCGTGGACCCGAAAGAGGTACCTTGGGCGAGCGCCTTTGTCAAAGTGTCTCATATTGAACTGAAGAAAGAGGTTAGGGTTGAATGGGATGGATTGCATGGATTGCATGTTGCTACAGGAAAGAGACTATGATATGTATGAATAGTTATGATAGTTGTAGTTGCTCTGCCATGGTAACTGGAATTCTTGATCGAATATATAATCCTACCAACGAGGCTGTATACCACAAGGCTGTAACTATGCATCAGGCGACTACTACTCGAGCTGCGGCACAGAAAATCGTTGGATGAAAGTGAATTAGAAAATTGAGGCTCAGCAGCATACCTGATCAGATGAATATCAATAGATTGCGGCGTAGGAATTCACTCGGCTACATGGTGATTATGTTTGTGAAGCCATACTCCGTACATGTAATACTGCGGGGTGCCTGCCTGCACATTAAAATAGTGTAGGATGTCTCAGACTAGGACATGCTATCTTCTGCCATACATAACCTCTCTCTCTCTTCAACCTCCCCTATTCATGTTAGCCCGTATTTTCTTCTATATACATTCCGGGTTAGATGCAGAATCCCTACCAAATGCCGACACGAGGTGAAACGGATTGCCAAGCCTGTTAGCAGACCGCTGGTCCGTATTAGTGATTCTGATTGCTTGCGATAACAAGCCTTCGCTTTAAATAAACCTACGACATTGGGATTATCCCCCCACCTTCCTGATCGACGGTAGTTAGTGTCATTTAGGGTAGAACTCTGACAACGGTTGTTGATCCCTTCCCGCTGCCACTCGGAATTGGTTCGGAATAAGCTGGAACGGTCCGAGTAGCAGGGGGGAGCATATAAACAATGTCGTCCCTCATAGCAGCCCCTCATAGCATTCTATATCTCCATTCTCTACTTTAATTGAATAAGACCGACAAGATGTCCACTATCACTGTCACTGGCGCCGCTGGCCGCCAAATTACCGGTACCTATATGATATATCCAGCGATATGAGCCCTACACACACTAACAAGACAGTCCCCACCGGCCTCTTCATCCACAACGAATTCACCCCCTCCTCCGCCAACGAAACCCTCACCGTCGAGAACCCAACAACAGGAAGCACCCTCGGCACCGTCTCCGCCGCCACCGCCGCCGATGTCGACCGCGCCGTAACCTCCGCCACCACCGGCTTCCAGACCTGGCGGACAACCCCCGGCCCAGAGCGAGGCCGGCTCCTCCTCAAGCTCGCCGACCTGATCGAGCGCGACGCCGAGGAGTTCGCCAGCCTCGAGGCTGTCGACGCAGGGATCCTCTATACCGATAGCATGGGCATGAATATCCCCCAGGCGGTTGCAAATCTGCGGTACTACGCCGGCTGGGCCGACAAGATCGACGGAAAGACTCTTGAGATCCCGGGAGGCGTGGGGTATACCTTCCGCGAGCCGCTTGGTGTCTGCGCGGCCATTGTCCCGTGGAATGCCCCATTGTACGTTCCCCTCCAGTCCCCCTCCATCCACAATACAAACAGTAGCTGATAGTGCCCAGGATGATCACAATCTGGAAACTCGCCCCGGCACTAGCAACCGGCAACTCCCTCATCATCAAAACCTCCGAAAACTCCCCTCTGTACGGCCAGAAACTCGCACAGCTCATCATCGAAGCAGGCTTCCCCGCAGGCGTAGTCAACATCCTCGCCGGCCTGGGTCTCCCCGCAGGCCAGAGCCTAGCCGAGCACGCCTCCATCCGCAAAGTCTCCTTCACGGGCTCCAGCGCTACGGGCCGGAAGATCCTCTCCGCAGCAGCCAAGACGAACCTCAAAAAGGTCTCGCTGGAGCTCGGCGGCAAGGGTCCCTCCATCGTGTTCGACGACTGCGATTTGGAGAATGCGCTCCTCTGGACGCGGATCGGAATTACCGCGAATAACGGGCAGATCTGCGCGGCCGGATCGCGCATCTACGTCCAGGATACGATCTACGACAAGTTCCTCGAGGCGTATGTGCGTGCATCAAAAGAAAACCCCGGTGTGGCTGGTGATCCGCTGGACCCCGCGACGACCAAGGGGCCGATTGTCAATGGGGCCCAGCATCGGAGGATCCTGGGGTATATTGCGCAGGGCAAGGAGACCGGGGCGAAGCTGCTGTTTGGGGGGAGAAGGTCGGCGAGAAGGGGTATTTCGTGGAGAATACGGCGTTTGCGGATGTGGCCGAGGATGCGGCCATTATGAAGGAGGAGATTTTTGGGCCGGTGGCGGTAAGTAACCTTATCCTTATTCTTGCCCTGGTTGCTACGGAGGTATATGCTAATGCTAATGCTATTGTAGAGCATCGCCAAGTTCTCGTCTGAAGAGGAAGTCATCCGCAAGGCGAACGATACCCTGCACGGCCTCAGCGCGGCGATCTTCACCAATAACGTGAACCGCGCGCACCGGGTGAGCAGGGCGCTGGAGTCGGGCCAGGTGACGGTCAACGCGTGGGCGATGCTCAGCGCGAATGCGCCGTTTGGTGGTGTCAAGGAGAGTGGATTTGGCAGGGATATGGGCGAGGAGGCGCTGGAGGGGTGGACTTCTGTCAAGACGGTCAAGTATATGATTATGTAGTGCATGCTTCCTATTTACAAATACTCGTCTACAGACTGATCGGGTGCATCTTGTGAAACACATTGTTGGGATCATACTTGGCCTTCAGCTCCTGCAGTCTTCCCAGATTCTCGCCGTAGATGTTGTTCACCACCGAGTCACCCGCTAACCTCGTCAGCATACGCGCCAGTTACAAGAGTAAAGGAGACTTACGCTCGGCATAGTTGATATACTGCGGGACCCCTCCTGCACCCTCGCGTCCAACTCGGCCTTCCAGCGCGCCTGCTGCTCGCGCGCCCAAGCCCGGTGCTCCCCGTCCTTGCGCGCATCCGTCCACCGCAGGTTAATCAGCCCATTCTGCGTGCTACTGCGGCTGGCAAACGCCGTCGCATGGCGCGGCACCGCACAGATGGCGCGCATATCGTAGAACTCGAGGAGGAGGGCCGACGCAGCGAGGTCAGGTTCCGCCTGCAGCCGGACCGTCAAGTCAGCGAGCATACTGCGCGCAAACGCCGGGGCCAGCGGCGGGTGGAAGAAGACGCCCTTGAAGGACTTGCGGCCGCCGTAGGTGGCCATCGGATTCTGCAGGGTGTTGAGCTGCGAGTAGGGGATCATGGCGGTGGTGTTGACGACGGGGTCGAGTGACAGCAGACCCGCGAAGCGCTTCTCGCCTTGCTCTTGGGTGCCATTGTAGAAGACGATCACGTTGGCCATGGGGACGGGCGCGCCGGGCGGCTGGGCGAAAATGCAGATGGCGCCGCTGCGGGGGTCCGGGTTTTCGAGGGTGAGGTTGAGCTGCTCGATGACCTGTTCGACTTTGTCTGGGGGGAAGGCCAGCAGCCCCGCGTAAACGGGGTTGGGCTGCTCGTGGGCCTGGTAGGTGAAGCTCGTCACGACGCCAAAGTTGTAGCCGGCGCCGCGGAGGCCCCAGAAGAGATCGGCGTTTTCTGTCGCGGACGCTGTCACGATCTGTCCGTCGGCCAGGACGACCGTTGCAGATAGGAGATTGTCGATGGTGAGGCCGTACTGGCCGCTGAGCCAGCCATATCCGCCGCCTAGGGTAAGGCCGCCAACACCTGTATGGCTGACGGTGCCTCCCACAGCGGCCAGTCCGTGCTCAGCAGCGGCCTCGTCGACTTCCTTCCAGGTGGCGCCACCGCCGACCGTGACAGTTTTGGCAGCTGGGTCCACGGAGACGGACTTTATCAAGGATAGGTCAATGACTAGACCACCGTCAGAGGAGCTGGTGCCAGCCACAGAGTGGCCGCCACCTTTGACGGCGAGGTCGATGTGGTTCTCTTGAGCCCAGAGTAAAGCGGCTCGGATATCCTCGGCATCAGTCGGCATGACCACGATTCCCTGTTGCCAGACCGTCAGAATGATGCTTCTGAATGTAAGGGGACATAGGCATACCGCTGGTTTAGAGCCGGTGTCGGACCATCGTTGAAGTGTATTGTGATAGCCCTCTGAGTCGGGGGTGTAGACCTTGGCCGACCTGAGCTGAGTTTTGAGAGCGGTAATAGCCGATTCGGCTATCATTTTGACGATAATAGAGGAATAGTGGTTGAAGAAAAATGAAGCTGAAGGATGCAGGATGAAGATCAAATACCCCGCATCGTCAATGGCGGATGCCCAAACGACCAGTAATCAACACGAGATGGCGCAGGCAAAGTTACCAACAATTGATCAAAAAGTCAATGAATCAATTGATATTCTTACATCTACTTGGCAATCTATTAATGGTTAGATGGTAATTCTGCCGCCCACGTCGCTCCTGGCTTTTGCCCATTTGTGTCTGGCGCCTCCACCAGCCTCGAAGGATTCCTCTCTACCGGATATCCAGGCGCATAAGACGCTTCTTGCTGCATCGGTTGAGCATACTCGTGACCTCCTGGAGCAGCAGGAGGATAAATCGACTGAGCTTGTTGTGCAGCGCGACGACGTCGCCGGAACAGAACCCAGATCAACGCCCCGATGAGGATGACGCCGGCTCCAGCACCGACCCCGATTCCCGCTGCTGCACCCGCCGACAGCCCTGAGGAGGATGATGTAGATGTCGGCGACGACGTAGGCGTACCCGTCCCCGTCGCTGTAGTGGCAGCCGTACTCGTCGCAGTCGAATTCGTCGCAACGCTCAAATCATAAAGCGGCCGGGCCAGAGTCACCGTCTCGCCCTTGGTCGCGTTCGGCTGCGTCTTGCACGCCGACACCATATTATCCATGAAATTGCCCAGGACCTTGGAGCCAGCCTTGCCTCTCAAGCACTCGGAGCAGCCACTCGCGTACGTGGCAAAAGCATTGCTGTTCTGTGTGCAGTAGCTGTATAGCGAGACATTGGTGCCCCACCAGAGGGTCTCGAAGACGGGCTTCAGGGGGAGACACTGCGACTCGCAGGGGGAGAGCGAGGCCGAGGCGGAATTCTCATAGACACAGACTTGGATTGTGTATTTCTGGTTGACTTGGACATATCATTAGTATGTGCCGCTGTATGGTATGTGGATTGTGGATGTGAATCAAGGGATAGCATACAGATGAACCAGTAGATGTCACTGTCGAACTGGTTCGAGTAGGTGGTACTGGTACTTTCGCAAAGGAGACAGTTCTTCATCGTCAGCCCCTTGACCGTGGAATTGTAATCGCCATCATTGCAGATCAGCTCGTCGTTGACGGTCTTGTCGGTGCCTCCGCAGATGGACAAACAGGGGGAATTCACGGTCGCGATGACGGCCAACGCGGGGATTGCCGATAGCAGCAGCCCGAGACCAGCCAGTTTGGCCATATTGATGGGTTTCTATGGATATCGAATGATGACAGGAAAAAAAGGACGGGAGGTGTAAGATTTATCCTCTATTTGAGACGCGAGCACAGACCCGCTGAGCGGGCTGAAGATGTCAGCTACGGCCATCATCCATGTTTAGCTGTACGACTAGCGGACTAGCTGCTGATACTAAAGCGCCAACCCATGTCCACTGGCCAGTCTGATGCCTTCTTTGGATGCTGATCCCGCAAGGCGTCGCGTAACCTGCTGAATACTGTCTGATTCGCTCATGCGGAATGGGGGCGCAATCAGCCCAATCCAGCAATAATCGTCCGTCTTACTGAACAGCCGCAGGATAGTAATATATTGACCGGACTTGGCCCTCTATGCTAATACCTGCTTGGAATACTTTTCATACAACTCCGGATACCATTTCTGGCCTACATCCGGATGGCTCAGAATGCGATTCCGCATATACGCCTCCCCAAACTATAACAGTCAGATTACGAAGTGGACAAGTAGCAAGAGACTTACACAAGAGTATAATGGCGACAGAAACTCGCTCGGCACATCCACTGCCCTCTTCTTGCGATTGTCCGACGCCGGGATCCGCTGTACAATATGCGCGGCCGACTCTTTCAGCTGGGCTAGGGTGAGGTCCATCCGCACCGCGAGGAAGTAGGGGATGCTATATCTTGTTTTTGACGTGGGTGCCTATTCAATGTTAGCTGCTGCTGAGATCGAACAAGAAGAAATAGAACATACAATAACCCGATGCGTGGTGGCCGTACAGACACCCCCCGTAATAGCCTCAAACCCCTGCTGAATATTCACCACCAGACTTCCCTCGATGGGCGGCGCGTCGATCCATTCGCCTTTTTTGTTAAGAACCTGCAATCCACCGGTATCATCCTGCGAGAGAAACGTAAACAGCCCGCTCGAGTCCTTGTGCGGACCGACTCCCTGCGACCCGGGCGGGGACTGCGGGTACTTGATGAACTTGAGCCGGTCCATGTTCCCCCTGAACGCTTCAAAGGTGGTCGGCGGTAGCGACAGACATTCGGCCACATGGCGCATGAATATCTTGGATAACTTGGCCGACTCGGCGATGTACTCCTCTACTAGTTCTCGGGCGCCGGGGTAATCAGGGTACTACGTCGTCAGTCGTCTAGTCAGCCTCAAGAGGTGACGCATACCTGACTGTCACCCTCTAGCCTCTGCCAAATCGGATCAGTTGGCGCCCACTGCTTCATCCCCGGGGTCCCAAAGTCAAACTGTTCGCGCCAGTCGGTTTGCTTGGCCGTCGTCTCCGCGCCCAGGCGGGTATACCCCACGAACGAGGGGGAATTGATCATGTTGCATTTTTCTTTGACTTCGGCGGGCAGCGCGAAGAAGTCGGGAAGGGTAGCATGTGCTTTTTTGACAATTGCCTGGATTGGTCAGTACAGTAACATAACTATCATGGGGTGCAGTTGGTATACCTCCATGCCATGGTTGGTCAGGTACAGGAATCCCACGAGGAAGATGGCTTCCCGCAGTTGGACCAAGGTTTCTTCTTTGGTGGAGGGATCTTGGAGTCGACTAAAGTCGATGATGGGAATTGAGGAGAAATCAGCCATCTTGTAGTTGTATGATGACCTGGTAGAATTGAAGATTGAGGGATCGCAATAATGAGGGGAAGAAGAGGAACAAAAGAGTGACAAAGCGGGGTCGGAAAGATTGCCGCGGTGGATCTGATCTGATGGCGGAATTAACTGTCCAGATGGCAAGACATATGGCAAATCAGATATAGCGGGAAAACCTTCTGCTTTCCATCATCTCTATCAGTCATTCAGCTCGAGTTTAATCCATCCAACAGAGTCGAATGTGTATCTCAGAGCTTCGGCTGGTTCACCCCCAGCTCGAGCATTCAGCGATCATCGAGGATCCGTCGATCTGCCGTAGAAGACGCAATGGCCACTGACGGTGCAAATATGTCGATTGCTGATGACTTCTTGTTGCCTGGTAGCTAGTTGAGAGGAGCGCTCCTACTCTTATGGGCATAGGGGATAGTTTGAGCGACAATCCGAAAGAGCTGGGACAGCCCCTTTCATCCTTTAGATTGGCAATAAGGAAAGTCTATTGATAGATATCTCTAGGATAAGGAGGAAGCTAGCTGTAGGGCAGAATAAGACTACATTTATACGAGACCCATTCCACCCGGCTCTCCCGCATATGGCCAATACTGGACGGGAGACAAGGTGCACGACACCTTCGCTCCATCCGGAGGCCGCGACACTGTAGGGAATGGTTGTCGTCTGCTCCATGCTGTATGCGCATCCGGAGGTGTTACATGATATCACCAACGGGGCCGATGTGGGGTGTGGGACCGTGTGGCTGGAAGGATTCCGTGTTGTCAGGGGTAGGTTTCGTTTCCTATAGTATCCGGTGAATAATGGGATAACTGACAGGGGGGTAGATGGGACCCGGCGACGGGCTGGGCAGGCTGACTACTCAAGATACACGTGATGTCCTTATAGTTTCCATAGAACAGAAATGTAAGAATCAACCTAGTATGAATATAATTGGCAGACGAAGGAGTGAAAGAAGTATCAACTATGTACAAGCAGCAATCCATTATTCACATCCATCTCCAGCTATTCCATCTCGTCAGAACTAAAACTTCAGAGTCTGACCGGCCTGTCCAACAACAGCCGCCTTGACCTTGCTGGATCCGACCAGAGAGTAAGAGTAGGGAACCGAGGTCAGGGTACCCGCCAGAGCGGTGTTCTTGGCGCCGCCAAAGTCATTGTCCTTCTGCACGGCGTAGCCGCTGTCAGTGGAGTAGAGGGCCTTGCTGGAGCCGACGAACTGGTTAGACTCGACGAGGACCTGGGCGCCGTCGCGGGTGTTGATGCCGTCGCTGACGTTCTCGTAGTAGTTGTTGTAGATGTGGCCGGTGCCGAAGCGGAGGGATGGGCCACGGGAGTTGATGTTGCTCCAGTAGTTGTTGGCGTAGGTCACGCGCAAGTGGCCCTTGTCCTCGTCGCCGTTGTTGTCAGAGTGGCCGACCAGGGACGCCTTCCAGTGGTCGTGGATGTAGCTGTTGGAGATGGTCACGTAGTCGGCGGCGTGGGTGAGCTGCAGTTTGTCAGTATATTGTTTCATTTCATTTCCAGGTTTGACTAGGACGTACATCAATCAGACCGTCGTAGTAGTCCTTGTCGTGGTCACGGTCAGAAGAGACATCGACGTGGTCGATCCAGACATTGTTGGAGTATTCTGCCATTCATTAGTCGAGAACATTATCAAAAGAAGACGGGATACATACGAACGCCAATGGCATCTCCATTCTCAGCCAGAACCTTCTTGACTCCCAGGTTGCGGATGATCACGTTGGACTTCTCCTTGACCAGCCTGTTCTCATTAGTCATGCATGTCCCCTAGAGTGCAAAAGGCTGTACGTACAGGCCGAATCCCTCGAGCACAGCGGTGGAATCCTTGCCGATGATGCTGGTGTTGCTGCCAACCTTGACCTGTTTGGCCGCCTGCGTGATGGGGCCGCTGACATAGACCACCTTCTTAGCGTCGCTGGAAACGGCAGCAGTAAAGGCTGCGTATGAGGAGACAGTGGTCGTAGTACCGCCGGCACCACCGGTGGTGCCTCCGTTCAAGCTGGCGTAACCAAAGGCAGCCTGTCATGTCAGCTTTAAGCCTCTGCTAACGGATTTCAGAAGACATACATCATTGGGGCCACGCTTCTCCAACGAGTCGAGGGTAGCGGTAGGAGCAGCCAGGGCCAGTCCAGATAGGCCAGAGGCGATGAGAGTAGCAAGAAACTTCATGATTGTTATGTTGAGAGAAAAGCAAGTACCAGACTTGACGAGCGAAGAGAATAAAGTGAAGGAAAGTAAGTGAAGAGAGCGGATAAGAATCAAGACCAAGCCTGTTGAGCCTATGAAACAAAAACCACATCGCAGGCGGCATCAGAGAGCTTTATATACCTTGGGAGCCCCTGTACTACTGCATATTCGGGGAATGGCCCCCATATATTTCCTAATCGGGCAGTGCACCGGTATATCTCAGACACGCTGCTCAAACTGGAACAACAGGCCAGCCACCAGTCCGCTTGGCGGCCGTTCTTGGCAACGGCACCTATTCAGAACCACTGTAATGGAAGAACCGTCTCCATAGGTGGACGGACTCCCCAGCGATCAGCGTCACACGACGCCAGATTCGGACAGGATGATGTTATATTGCACAAGATTATTTCCGTCCGCTGAGACGCATCGCATCGTGTTTATCCCTGTCAAGCACAGCCGCCAAGTCCATCGGCGGCCAGCATATACCCTGAAAAGGGTCTCAAAGGCTCTGATCATCGTCGATGCAGAAGCCAAGCCTGGGGATCCAGCGGGGTAGCAGCGTCCGGACAGCGACGGAATGACGCTCGATATCAGCGCACATGATGGAGGTATCCAGCATTGACCGGCAACGGCAAGTCCCCGAGCGTCTCATAGAATATCCACAAATGACGGGGTGGTGTTTCAAAGCTTGTCCGAGCAGTTCATTGCCAAGACAGCCGGGGTTTCAGCTGCCGTATTGGCATTTGTTCGTGATAGGGGGTGTGACGTGATCAACGTTGACGCTGTTGAGAGATCTTCATCAGAGCAACAATATTTCCATCAATTGCTTTGAGCCCTCTCCGACATCCCCGGACAATGAGGCTTGACGAATCTGATCGTGACGAGATCGTCGTCCCAGGTTGTTGATCCGGAGAGTTGCATCCCATGACCATCTTGATGATCGACGCGAGCGAGTCTACGCGACAGGTGGAATTGGACTTGATGCAATATAGAAAGAGTCCGACAATAAATCAATCCGCGGTCAAAGAGCTGATGGTCATCTCAGAGGTGTGGAAGCGCGCAGTGGAATCCTGTAGGAATATGGATTAACAAGAAACAGGGGCTCTGCCAAGTCGGGATTTGGATCCTGAGTGTCCTGACTGACTCGTGGAAATTGCAAGAACGCTGGCGATGATGTGCTTGATTCGTAAGCGAATTGTACGTTATTCTTGCAATGGTCTCATATTCGTGTGATCCCAAATCAGCAATCTATAGAAACAACAATCAAAATAGCCGAAATATGACGACGATAATATCCAAATGCAGATCCCGCAATACAATGCAATATGTGCCCAATTGCCCATCCGAGGTATATGCAACGCCAGTCGACAGAACTCCAGTCCCAATCCCACCCGCTACAAATGATAATCCTTTTCAAACGAATATAGCGAGACCTGCTCCTCCATTGGCATCGGAATGCTGATTTTGGTCGCGTCAAACTCCCACGCTGCCTCGCGCGCCTCCTTGGAATTGCGAATATAGAAAGGCAGCGTCCACTCGCGCAGCCGGCCCTCCAACAGACCCATGTCCTTGTGCTGTTCCCACATCCGCCGAGCGGACTTGAACGCTTCGTTGACCGTCTCCCGCCGGAGGTCTTCGTAGGCTCTGAATGCTTCCGTAAGCGGTTCATCGCGGTACCGAGCAAGAATCCGAGAAAACACAATTGCGTCGTCGAGCGCATATGCCGCTGATTCATCGCGCGGGGGCATCTATACACAGTTAGTATGAGCCCATATCCCCTGACCCCAAGACAACATACCGCATGTGCTGCATCTCCCAGCAGGATCGCTCGCTGGGTATGCCACCGCCCTCCAGGCCGAACCTGGTAGACCGGGTACAGCATCCAGTCCGTTGGAGAATGGATCATCTCGCGAATGCACGGGATCCCCGACTTCCCGAATCGATCCTGCATTTCTTCCTGCAATGCTTTCCGAATGGCATGCTGCTTCCGCCAGTCCTGGCCAGCCTCGATCCGGTACCGCGGGAGCAGCTCCTCGGCGAACTGCACGATAGCCGCAAGGAAAATCTGCTCTTGGTCGCGATCGCAGTAGCTCGCTAACAACGTACCATGCCGGGAGATGTTCATGGATGTCGATCGGAAATGAGCGCGGGATTTGAGCGTCTTTGCCTCGACGACGCCCTGCAGGAACGAGATGCCCGTATACTCGGACGGAGAGTCGGGTGCGATCCATTGAGTCCGTGTGGCTGAGTGCACGCCATCACAGCCCAGGACGAGATCGCCCGCTGCTGTCGTGCCGTCCTGGAAGTACAGGATGGCGTCGTCGGCGGTTTCTTCGCCCTTGACTAGTTTCTTGCCGAAGACGATCTCGATATTCCGGGTGCGCTCGACGACCGCCAGCATTGCTACCGAGAGGATAATCCGCATCACTCGTCGGCCCTTGTATCCGCTGTACCCCTGGCCATGATGATGGGTAAAGTCGATCGACCCCAGGGACCTTCCCGACCGGCAGGAAAAGAATTGAATGGCATCGACGTCGGCTCCGCCTTCGACTCCCAAACGGTCAAGTTCTGCCAGGACTCCGAGTTGGTCGAGGTGGCGCTGAGCGACGGGAGTGAGGTTGATGGCGCCTCCAGAGGTGGAGAGGATGTCATGGCGTTCAAAGACGGTGATCTTCAGGTCTGGAACGAATGGGGTCAGCTCCTTTGAGATGGCCAGAGCACTAGCGATGCCCGCAATGCCGGCCCCAACAATTAGAATCCTTTGAGGAGGCATGGTGTGAGAATTGATTATGGTATGGTACGATCGAATGGTCAGAGTCGGGGACTTGGAAGGAAAAAAATTACAAGACCCTCTAAGCGGGGCTGCCGTGATTTCATATCCCGATTGCCAACCGACAACCGGAGTAGCGGATGTCGAATTTTTCGTTGAGAAATAATGATTAGCCTCGTTGAGACTGAGTAGTAGCTTTATCAAGGAGTGTAGTGTGGAAGTACGGAATAGCGTCACTCTTTCCACGGACAAAGAACCAGATCACAGCAGGTCGGTCAGCTTCGCCACAATGACCTCTGAAAATCTCGAGACTATCTATAGAGTCTATGTCACGGAAAAGCTAGTCTAGAATCTAAAGGCGATCTCGAAACCGGGGGAGCTTCCGTAGAGCGTTGGTGCACGGGTGAATCAAGGACAGGTCACATCCACAGATATCCAGAGATACAACAAACAATGGGACGGGTAAAAACCTAAACGTAAATAGACACTCATTTTCGGCCGGGAATGGAGACTTCTCGGGAATTTGCATCATCATCATCATCACCCATCGCATCTGATGCTTTTGTGCAGTTCACTGCTGCGTGCATGCGTTGACGAAATTTTCTTCAGGCACATGCGATATGGCCGGGATTCTCTTAGTACGAGATAGTTAGTACTATGTACAAGATAGTTCGTCTGTCATTCTGCCAGACTGAGTTAGCTACATAACCAAGTCTCTTAGATCAATACAATTGACCACTTACAGCACCCGAACTTGGCCGTTGACGGGGCAAAAGTTCGATGCGTCTTCTCCCGGCCCTTCCGGCCCACCCCTAAAGGCCACTCTTCCGTAGCGTGAAACAAGATTGGGGCAACTTTTTCTGTTTCTATCGATCTAAAGACCGGGAAACAGGATCAATAAAATCTGCGCCGGAGTTTGTCCATGATTTGTCGATTCCTTTTCGTGGACTGATGCCGAGGCACCTACTGAACAGTCGATGCGTCCCAGTGTCCATCTATCTACTGCATAGTCTTCAAAAAGGGGGACAATGCGGGTCTCGAGATTTAGGAATTAAGACTCAATGGTCTTCTTCCTTTTTCCTTCGTGTCTTAGGAAACCCGGAGGTTGTACTTCCCCAACTCTATCAATCTATATCTTTCTTAGACTTTTACCTTGTCTGCGAATAAAAAGTCATGCATTGTTCCTTTGCCTTTGTCTCGGAGTCATCATGTCTATTCATGCTTTTAGTTTGTTTTGAGCAGTCCCAATGACAAGCGGGACTTGATCCGTCGTCTATGATGCTGCAGGTCACCGACAAAGGAAGTCCACGGTGGAGCTCCATGCGATCTATCCACTTATCTGCTCCGCATACGGATACTCCGTCTTTCTCACAGAATGACTACGACATAAGTCACGGAAGCGGGTCGGGTTCAAGCTCCCCGTGTTTTAGATGCGCCTTGGGCCTAAGGTTCCAGTAAGTGTTGACAGCAGAAGCGGCGCATATTGCCGCTGAAGCCGATTAGCAGTGCACACAACGCCGAGCAGTTATCTTGTATGCCAGACTTACCTATCGTGCTTGTCATCTCGTAATATCCAATATGTTCCGCCATGTAGCCCGAAAGAATTGGCCCAAAGAAAGCTCCAATGGTCCAGCTCTGGCTGCATATTGACATGGCCCTGGAGTATCCGCCATGGGGTCCGAATATGCCAGGGTGTCGGTTTTCAATTTCATCAACGGTCGCTATTCAAAGATCAGGAATTGCACCACTGCTGATGATGCTCACGCTGACTTACCGGTAGCTTCGAGTACGCCAACACCATTGAGTAAAACCGACACGATTCCCACGGCCGTCACATCCATAGCGTAGATAATCTGCCCCCTGTGGCCTTCATTCGCCCACGGGAAACGCTCATCCCCTGGCACCCCGAGCAGCCACAACAGAGGGGCCAAGCCCAGAAAACCAATCGTGGTGGGGATCCGCGTCCCAACGCGGTCCTTCAGCCAGCCAACAAGGGGACTGAGCGCAATGCCGGGACCTTGCAAGGCCAGGAACATCAGTCCCGCGGGCATGCTATCCCAATTGAACGCATCGCGGACGTGCAGGGGAAGCGTCGTGTCGAAACTGGAGATCAATATCGCAAAGACAAAATAGCTCAGGACCCCGCTTACGAATCGACGGTGCCGAAACATGTACACGTAGAATTGTAGACCTGTCTTTTCTTCAATTGTCTCCGGTGCAGCCGTGGCGCGAGGGGCGGTCGATGTGTCGTTGTCCGGGTGGAGAAGCGGCGAGTTTTCCTCGATTGGGCCGTCATCCGCAGGGGAAGAATCCGATTGCTTCTCTGCAAACGAGCCTGATGAGACCTTGAAACATAAAATCTCGGGTCCATCGCTTACCTCTCTTCCTCCGCGAATTCTCCAGCATCAGTAAACGCAGAACAATATCCACAAGAAGGATCGCAAACGCGCTAGCCCAAGCCGTCCAATAACCGCCGATTTTGAACAGCACACCCGAGACCATTGGTCCCGCCGACAAGCCTACAGCCGCCGCCACCGAGATGATCCCGTATATCATGCCCAGACGCTTTGAGTCGACACTGTCGGCAATCGTCGCATACCCCACCACCCACATGAACGAGCTGGCGATGGCTTGAATAAATCGGCCAATGAAAATGTGGACCACTACAATACCACATAACAGCAGTCAGTCTGCGGTCGACGAACATCTCACATTGATAAGACATCACCCACCCGACGTCGCTAGCGCTAGATACACCGAGCCCAGGAGGGCGGCCACCAGTGCCGACAGCAGCCAGACTCGCTTCGATGCCGACTTATCAGCATAGTGTCCAATGAACGGATTCAGCACGACGGCCACGGCGGCACTTTCGGACAGCAAGGCGAAGCTGATCCGTTGTGTCAGCGAGGAGTCTAAACCGAGGCGATCTTCAACCACATAGGGGAGAATCGGGACAAGGAAAGTATATAGGAATGTGTCTAGGTGTTGATTGCAACGCATTAGTCAGAGCGCAATGATCAATGGATACGGCCGACTCACCTGTGAACAGGGCCATCGCCATTGCGGCGACGATGAACCACGAGGAGGAGCGCCATTCGTGGCCCCATTTGGCCTCACGGACGGAGGTGAGATTCATCATGAATCCTGTGAATGGGGAACAGTTAGAAAAGGAATGGGAAAAGACATTGTCTGGAGATGACAGAAAATTTTGAGGATTAGCAAGTGACTGGGATGCAGCGCCGGTTTCGTATTATGATAGCGAATTGCTGGGGTCGGGCTCCACTCGATGTGCGAACAAGGGCTCCACTGCATGGCTAGTTTAATCGAGTGCTTTCATCTCAATGGTCTCAAATAATCGGTGTGATTGTAATCGCACTAGCCAATCTGCCGGTTTAAACTTATGAGTCAATGCCATTGACTGATTGAGTCACCGATCAGCGCAAGAAGCCCCGCAGAAGCCTCGGTCGCTAACTACAAGATGGAAGTTTGCTGAACATAGAGCATGGAGCTAATGCCTAAGGCACCAATGAAGGCATCTTGAGGTTCCCCGGTTCGATCCCGGGTCGTTGCATTTTTGTTTTGCTATTATTTTCATCATATCTATCGACTCTGCTTCTTTGGATGTACATTTGAAGATAGTAAAGCAATGGTGCCTTTTATTTGTATTGTGGACAATGGCTGCAGGTATTATGCAATGATTGTTGCACAATCACATCATGTCGGTCTGATCACCACCTATCCCTTAACATCCAGCCACAGGAAGCAATGCACAAACTTGATCTTTCGACATCAGATTTTCTTGAATACGTAATAGAACAGAGACTGTGCCATGATTGATTCCGCCACTATAGAATTACAATTGTGCTTGAGTCGATATTGGCGGAAGCACACCACCATATATATGTATCTCGAGCAACGTCCGATGACGAAGATCAGTTGTCTATCCCGCCTCTACTGCTAGGTTCCTGCAAATTGAACCTGGTTGGAGTTACCTGTATACAATTTCCTAGCTAGGTAGTCCCGTCTTTCTCTCACCTTCTGAAAGACTTACGCCAGTAGCTAATAATGATCGGCTATAGAAATCTGTATTCGTAGCTCATCCAGCCATCACCACGAAAGTAACATATATCGCTCACATCGTCGGTATCAAGCAATTATAATAACATGAAGCATGACCTCGTCAAAGATATAAAGAAAGGGAGAACTGCCCCGAAACCCCTTCACGCTGAGAAATTACACCAATGTCTCCTGGTGACAAATAATCCGCCATTCTCCATCCGAAGCCTGCTGCCATGTTGTCGAGCCATTCGCACGGTACGTCTTGTTTCCTCGGGTAGCTGTGACCCTGTACGTAACCGTACCCGCCATAAGATCGATGATGATGATCCGCACTTCGTCCAGTGAGTAGGTATCGAAGCGGTGGAAGGGTGGCTTGACGGCATCGTGAATCGTGTTCTCGCCCTCCAGAGTTAAGATAGGGGTTTGAGGGAAGATCATGTTGACTTCTTGGTGGGAGAGTTTCTCGATGGCCGGCCCGGGGTCTGCTGAGGTCAAGGCCGTCCACAGAGCGCGCTCTTTGATGAGGAGGTCCTCGCGGATACGATCGTGCATGGAAGGCATGGTGACTGACGGGTTTGACTGTAGTTGAAGGGTCAACAATATGGACGATAGAAACAAGCGACGAATCTGAGACGTACACTCGCGGGATGCTTCTAAATGAGGCTGGTTGAGGCGAATTGGTATATTGTTTTATGTCAGCGTGAGGGAAGTCGGGTTCCACGTCAACGCCTAAGTTGGGATGCCCTTAAGTATGGTTATTGTTCCTGGGAGCTGTCATTCAATTCAACCTTTGGACAGTTCCATGGATATAAAAAGGGAGGAGGAGACATGGAGTGACGTCATGTGGCTTCTCCCCACGTGCATGACGTGGTGTCATCTCTGTTTCTTGTCTCCAGTGCTTTAGATAGAAAAGGATTCGCTGCGATGGAGCCGGATCTGCCATGATGAGCATTCAATCAGTATGTCAGAATTGGTGCTCCACATGCGTCATATTGGCTGGTCGGTCGTGTCCTGGTGGGAACACGCCGTCATTACTATATTGAGCCAAGCATTTGACCTAGTGGATGAGCCGTCACTCTGCCTTTCAGATCTTGATGAAGAGAGAGGCAATGTTACTAGAATAAGATCTCCAATCAGAGGATTTGTTCTTTGTGACCGCAATAGAGCTATACTACCTAAATTTGGTCAAGTCAATCATGAAAACGAGAGCACCCCGCCGATAACGTTATCTTATCGCTGATAACGGAAGCATAATCCCAAAGCGCCGTTCGTTCTGTGAGGGACAATCCATTATTAAGGCTGTGATATTCGATGGTATTGTCGCTCCCATATCGATGGATCAGGCGTCTGCGTCTCAACATCGCCGATCTTTCCGTCGTTTACTGTGGAAAAAGGACATTGTCAATCTGCAAGTGACACTACCATGATCGAGCAATCGCCTAATATGTCCCATTGTTGGCTCGATTCTTGAGAAATTTCCACCGGTTGCTCACCAAACTTCATCCCCCTCGCCGCTACCGAGCCTCAGGCCAGCTCGAGGCTTCGCGGATATTGTCTTTGGGTCACTACGTGTACGACATATGTATGACTTCCTGACCGAGGAGCATTTGACATGATATAGCTCTAGATGTCACAAGATACAAAACCAAAGAGCAGCTCTCCAGCCTGCCTCTTCACCTTCTGCGTCCAACATATTGACGCCGAACTAAATCTTACCTTGTCCCGCACTCGAGGGAACGGTACTCTGCACCACGGTATACGCCGACGCAGAGGCAATATTCTTGCCTGCAAAGTTAGACAGGAAACCCGTATCCGCCTGGCTGAAGGTCCCGGAGCTCCCGAATCCATTGACCTGGCACACGTGTCCCAGGTAGGTCGAGCAGACCTTGTTCGTGGTGGCATCGGGCGAGGTAAACAATTGTCCATCTACGGGGCTTTCGACAATGGTATCAATATTCTGGAAGACGTTGCCCTCAGCCAGGACGTAGCCGCCCGATCCAATTTCGAAGGCGTGTCCGCTGGAGTCGTACCAGTAGTTGTTGACCTGAGCGGTTAGTTTGGGCTTGCAAAGTACGGAGGCGTTGCTTACCGCATGGAGAAGGGTGTTGCCCTGGACCTTGGGACTGCGGCCGCTGAAATGGTAGATATAGTTGCCTTTCATGGTGACTAGATCGTTGGACCCGTCCAGGTAGATGCCCCAGTAGTGGTAGCCGTCACAGGTGGCGGAGTAACTGGACACTCCGTTGAAGTAGTTGTTAGAGATGGTCACCCGGTTCGAAGCGCTAGTGCCGAGGACCAGGTGCTGGCGGCCAATTCGCGCAGTCTACCATGCATCAGAATGAGCCAAACGATATTGGACTTGGGGAGCTGACCGTAACATGATCAATCCAAACCATGTCGGCATTGTTAATGGTGATTGCGTCACCTCCCCAGACGTACTTGGGGTTGATATCAGTGATGGCGATGTTTCTGCAAGTATCAGTTATTTTCTTTTGCAAAAAGTACTGCGCATCTTACTGGATGATAATGTTGCTCGCACCGCTGACAATCCGCAGACCCTTGCCCTTGATCACACCGCTGGACCCAGATCCGAGCAGTGACTTGTTAGATTTGACGGTGATACCTAGGATACCAGCATTGTCACTGTAGCCGTTAGTTGTGCTCAGGAGAGAAACCCGGCCACACTCACTAGGTGACAGATACCGAGGGGGCATCAGGCTGATAGTTGGTACACCAGTCATTCTGGTTGATTGCCACCTGGCACGCAGAGGCAGTTCCCCAAGGCGCACAGCCAGTCGCTGTCGTCGTGCCTTCGGTACCAGTAAAGTCGAATCTGGTCAACAGTCAGCCTCCACGTACAATGATGGTATATTCCCTGAACGCACGTCTTGGTCAATACAATCACACGAGCCTGACTGTCCCCAAGGTAGGACACAAGCTCGGCAGTAGTACTGGGGTAGACGGCTGTTGCACTCCCACCCCCAGTGACGCCCTTGGCGAAACCCTCCGCAGCGCCGGAGACACTGACAGCGCTGGCGCCGGCGATGAAGCCTGCTATGGCGAGAAGACTCCGATACTTCATCTTTGCGTTGAACAAATTCAGGTCTACTCTTCACCAAGCAACAGTCAAAGACGTGTTTATATACTCGAGCCATGTTTACCAAGCCTCTGTCCGGGTGGAGATTCGTCACCCCACAGGATTACGCAGCCAATTCAGCCACAAACATATTAAAGCCATGCTCCCATGAAGAAAGCAATATAAGAATCTATGGAAAGTCGCTCCGATTGGTGGACAGAGAAATAACCATCGTGAGCAGCTCTTCATTCCATCCTCACATTGATTGCCTACACTCCTGTCTGCGAGGAATAGTCCTGGATTCGGAAAGACTTAGGACCAGGACCTATCTGATGACAGGGAGTGTGCACGGACTAATTATGTAGGAATAGGTTAATGCGCCAATTGAAGGCCGTAGACGAGGCCGTTATAGGGCTTATGGCCGACACTAACGGCAATGTCGGATTAAAGCCGAGCTCCATCAGATGATAGTTAAGAAGAGACCGTTGTTTGCAATAAAGGAGAGCTAAAGCCTGGCGGTTTCTGCGCTCGATTGTCATTGTCCCACTTGTGGATAAACTCGTCCAGCACTAGTTTGAGCCAGAGTTTATTCGTGTTATGACAGCGCCACTTCTCAGGCACTTTCTTCTCCAGGACACGGAGAAATTGACAAAGTCACTCGCAAGCAGAAGAGGGCCGAAGTGACTGCATCCTTCTCTCCGTAATTCCTATCAGCGAAGAACACAGACGGCACATTGCTCTAATCATCACCCTTAATTAGTTTCTCCCTGGGAGAAACCACCATATCCCTGCTTCATTTCCCTCTTACAACGAGCGCGAGTACGGATGCTACTAGTGGTCATTAATGTGGAAGGGTATATCAGCAAGGAGCACAGCTTCTGAGGCCGCATTCCAATGCTTTGTACATTCAGCTTATCCTTGAGCAAGCCTTCAAGCACGAATGATCAGACACAGATTGTGACCCGGGCTTTGATGGATAAGTACACCAGTTAAGCTCGATGCAGATATGGCCGCCTTTAATGGAGTCGAAGCTGAGGAGGACGACGATACTCATACTCCCATGCCAGGCTATCGCGCAAGTAATTATACTGGCTCACCGTGACCATGTTAATTCGGACTTTCGTCCAACCCACATCATGAAGCGTACAGCCCTCAATCGGCTCCTCAGGGATCCTCTACAAGCATCTCATACTCATCTTCATATTCCACTGGGTCATGCGGTTTCCATTCCTTATTTAATGAACTTGACATAGCCACATTATTTCCGGGTATTTCCCCCCAAGGCGCTGAGGACTTGTGAGCCACCGAGTCTAACGCCGCTTCATCCACCTGGCGACAATACCGATATCGCTGGGTGTTGCGTTGGCGGACACCCACACCCTGCTCCACCTCAACAGCAGTCTCAGCCCATTGTCTGATTAAGTGGGTGGATGTGGTGCCACCATGAAAACGAGCCCGGTCCTCCAGGACAGTGAGGCTAAGACTATCCATCAGATCAAGCGCCCGGTAGAGCTCTAGGGAGCGCCGAGTGCATCAGCGTAACCGTTTCATGAATTCATCCTAGTCGGCATCGCTTATGTAGGTGCTGCGGTAGATGACTAGCTCCCAGATGCGATGGCCGTCTTCTTGAAGTGCCTGCTTGATCTGCCTAGCCGTACGTGCTGGTCTGAGGCTTTGTGACATTTGTGCTGGGGGAAAATCCATTATCATTTTTGTCACAAAACGAACGGAGCTTTGGGGCTACGCTTCCGTTTCCTTTGAGTCAGTTGCTGAAGCATACCGACTCTACACCATGTCGGTTACGCATTTTGCTACTTGGGTAGAACACGTGGCGCTTATATCCCTTGATCATCTGAGTGTGTTTGGAATCCAGGATGAAATAGGAAGGTTCAGACTGTGGCTAAGAAAAGGAAGCCCTTCCTCGAAGAGATTTGGATACAAGTTTAAGATGGCTTTCGAAAGAGAACAGAAGTACCGAGGAATGACCTATGGAGAGGACGACCCACGCACCGAGCGATGGCGCATTTTCTCCCAAACTGCGAAGGTCTCAGAAACGAACGATTCGTTGGAATCAGACAAACATATCCACGTTGCTGATACTACCATCCGCGAAGATGCAGTGCTGATTTCGCAACGATGTTCCGATGCGGTTCGCGAGGTCCTAAAATCTGTCGACGATCCAGTCTTGCCCTTGCCTTGACAGGTAGACCTTGCTTTGCAGTTAACATGGCATTTGGCTCGAGTTCGGATCCTTACAGAGCCTCTCCGAGTGCAGTTCGAGACCATCTTGAAACATGCCCGGAGAATGCCAGTATTTGCACTCATCGCTGTCGGGAGAACTTTTTTTATTCGATTCAAAAGGTTTGATGATGCTGACGAGTCTTTTATGCCGCCACAGACAAATTAAGTTCAATATCTTAGAAATGATTGGTGATGTTCTGTTGGAAAAGGATGAGTACAAAGAAGCAGTGAAAGTGTACCAAGAGGCAGCAGTTGGGATGGCACGATTTGTGAAGGGGAATCGCAAACACGCACTTTTAGCATGAATGAGACCTCGTGGTCTTCCCAAGCAAACAAATAACCCAAGCGATTGACAGAAATGCTCATCAAATCCAGATAAACGCTCTGAAACTTGGCAAAACTGCGTTCGATATAAAAGAAGCACTCTTCAAGTCCAACTAACCGCTAATCATGTCGAGATAACTGCCCTTCAAATTGAAGGAATCGCTCATCAAATCCAACTAACCGCTCTTTAATATGAAAGAACTACCCTCAAAAGTGGAGAAACTGCTCATGAAACTAAAAGAGCTGCTTTTGAAAGAGAGAAAACTGCCCTTGAACGTGAAAGAGCTGCCCTTAAAAGACAAAAAACTGCTCTTGAAGATGAAAGAACTGTGTATTCAGATCGGCTTGCGCTGGACTAGAACACTTCCAGTGGAATGTGGAGGGGGACTCCATGTTATGACCATCACGATGACAACACCAACTACACCTACATCTACCACCAGTACACCGTCCATGGGACCGATCCAGATAGGCATTGTGCCGGGCTGTCAGCAGTTCTACGCTCTCCCGCCAGGAGATAGCTGTTCCTCACTTTAAGCCAATTCGGAATCACCTTTGCCGAAGGATACGAATGGAATCCGTCGAGTACGTTTCGCTCTTCACCCTCCCCTACTATTGCACCAAAGCATCAGTCCTAACAGTCAGAGTAGTTGGCAGTAACTATGAGACTCTCTGGCTGGCAGCGCATACTGCGTGAAGGGGCCTGCCTTGCCATCTACATCTACCACAACGTCTAGCCACGACGCCTGGTATACTGTCTCTGATGGCGGCTCCTGCGATGCAATTGAGGCGCAGTTCGGAGTCACGTTTACGCAGCCTTACGAATGGAGCCCGGATATTGGTTCTGGTTGTCAGTATTTGCTGGTTGGATATGTTGTTTGTATCGGCGTCTCTTCGTAATATTAGGATTAATGCTCCTATAAAGAGTCGGAGGTGCGTGGGGAGGGAGAAAGGGAAGGCAAGTCAGATCTATACTCCATTCATATAAAGTAGATGTTAAGAGTTCTTATCAGTGGAGACTTCTGGCTCCTTTCTTTTAATATATCTGTAGGTTCATCCAGCTCCATATGCTTGATGAAGGTGTCTATGATTCACTCAAGGTGAAGATTAACAAATCTGATCCAAGTACGGAGCACAAATTCTTATCACCAGACGTCGTTCAGACCTTGATTTAGTCATTTTGCATGAAATCAGCATATATGGGAGTATGGAGTTGCTGGAAGTAAGTCTTTATCATCCAGGATAGCTCGGTCTTGGAGCCAAGATAGGTGAAGCATTTTCCAGGAACAAGAAGTCCTTCAAGATAAGTTCCCGTCCCGATATCTTGTCGGTAGTTCTATCTATCTCCAGTCACGATAAATCTGTTCGCGTACCGGCGAGTGCCGTGTTAATTCTCCACTTTTTCAAAGGCCAATTGAAAACCGGACCGATATGAAGATAAGCACTTCAAAGACGGTGTTTGGCGACAATCCGACCCAAAAGCACGACAGAATGGATCCCATTGACTAATGGCGCCCGCTATCGATGCAGATCACTCATGAAAAAGTTGCGATAGTGGAATCGGATCCACTGTGCTGTTCCTAGATCCCATCAAAGGCTCATGTCGCGCAATTTCCGCTGCAGAATTTGCAGCTATATAACCGTGTCGGATGCCGTGACGGGTAGGCCTCAGTGCAGTACGAAAGAGTGAAGACGAAGGTCAGAACAGTAGACGGCCTCATAATGCAACTGGTCAAATCAATTGCGACAGGATTGCTGCTCGCTGGCTGCGTGCTGGCATCAGCAGTCCCTAAGCCAGCGCCAGTGCCAGTAGCTCAGCATCATCCTCACAAGATTGCGCCTAAGGTGTTCATCGTCTCTATGGTATGTCATGTGGGTTGTAAGGATGACAGCTACTCACATGCGCAGTTCAAACCTGAAGCCGCGGTCTGGTGGAAGATCCCCGAGTTTGATCTCCTTGCGCACAATATCACTGTACCTGGTGCTTCGCCCGTCTACCCTGACGTCTACTGCACCGCCGACTACAGCATCTGCCAGCTGATCACCGGCGAAGGCGAAATCAACGCAGCCGTCACCGTCTCCTCCATTGCCTTCTCCCACCTCTTCGACCTCACGCACACCTACTTCCTGATCGCAGGCATCGCCGGCGTCAACCCCAAGGTCGCCACCATCAACGGCGTCACCTTCGCCCGGTACGCCGTGCAAGTTGCGCTGCAGTATGAGATCGACATCCGCGATCTCGGACCAAACTACACATCCCCCTACATCCCCCAGGGCGCCCACGCACCCGACCAATACCCGCCAGCATCTACGGTACTGAAGTCTTCGAAGTCAACGCCGAGCTGCGCTCGCTAGCCGCCTCCTTCGCCCGCACGGCGCAGCTGGCCGACTCCGACACCGCCAAGGCCTACCGCGCCAAGTACGTCACGGATAGTGGCACCTACGCAGCGGGCACCCAGGCCCCCTCAGTCGTGGAATGCGACGTCTCCACAAGCGACGTCTACTTCAGCGGGACGATCCTCGACGACGTCTTCGACAATACCGTTAGTGTTCTGACGAACGGGACGGGCGTGTACTGCAGCACCGCGCAGGAGGACAACGCGACGCTCGAGGCGCTGCTGCGCGCTGCGTCGCACAGCCGCGTGGATTTCTCCCGGATTATCGTCATGCGCACGGCGTCTGACTTTGAGAGGCCGTATCCTGGTCAGTCGGCGATTGATAATCTGCTGTATGCGGACCAGGGCGCGTTTGGGCCTGCGGTGCAGAATATCTACAACGCGGGGATTAAGGTTGTGGAGGGCATTCTGGACGGTTGGAATAAGACTTTTGCGGCTGGTGTTAAGCCTAGCAATTATATTGGCGATGAGTTTGGGACACTGGGCGGGAAGCCGGATTTTGGGCCTGGGACGACGATTGCTCGGCAAGAGGGGAATGCGTTAAAGAAGAGAGGAGTGGCTAAGCGTGGGAGACGGTTGTAGGCTCGTCTTCTATGCTGATATATATCATTTATCGTCTAGACTTATGTCTGCTTTGAATAGAAACCTGATTGGCAACTCCTTCCCGCAGCAGGGGTTATAATGGTAGCTGTATATGAATCACAAAGATTTCTTTGTAGCCTGTCTGAACCCGCATACAACGGAAAAGCTTCTGTACCATTTCTTTGAGCGCCATTGATCTCCCAAGCCACGCATAGTCTCCATGTCCTGGTACAAACATGAGAAGGAGGATGGTATTTTAGAAGAGTTCAAGAAACTACTGCAATCCTGACGAATTCAAGCTTATGTCCATGAAGGAACCCCGCCAAATTGATATCAGCCGAAGTGCTGAGCCGAACTGCCGGCTGCTGATTATTTCCTCTTTGGGTACGGAGTGATGCTTCACTCTGGTCAACCTCCCCGCAGTCTACGTGCCGGTAAATAGGTAGACTCGGGATAATATCCTCCGTATCTTGCATCCTTTCGTCATCGGTATGCGGAGTATTCATTGGTTTCTCCGCAATTTCCCCACAGAGGCAGGGATTGAGAATAACCGACTAAGGGGGTTTAGGTCAGGCCGGTAGGCGACGGGTATAATGACTTTCTTCGTTGCCCACTACCCAAGGTTCTGTAACCAACACGCTACACACGATGAATCTTAAAATACTTGTCTCCTGCCTCCTAGGCTCTGCGGCCTTGGCCGCAGCATCCACTTCAGAGCTCCAAGTGGAAACAACCAGCGGCATCGTCCACGGCTTCTACAACAACTCGGCCGAGACTGTCCGCACATTCCTGGGTATCCCTTATGCCGAACCGCCAGTTAGCGAGCGCCGATTCGCACCCGCCGTGCGCAAGTCTAGGGTGAAAGGCGTGTTCGACGCTTCGTCATTCGGGCCCCGTGTCCCGGGCAATTCTCGTTCTCGAATGAGTCGATCTGGACCGTGCTGCCGTACAACCCGTGGAACACGGCAGACATGTCCGAGGACTGTCTGTCCATTAATGTCTGGGCACCTGCGGCCAAGCATAAGAAGGCCAAGGGGAAGAAGGCGGTGATGATGTATATCTACGGAGGGGGTTTACGCAGGGGGTACGGCACTTACATTCTACGATGGGAACAATCTGGTCCAGGATAACGAGGATATCATTGTCGTGACGTTCAAGTAGGTTTACCTGCCTAACTAGCTGGAGGGCAGTGCTCATGGTATAGCTACCGCGTGACGGTATTCGGGTATCCCAACTCTCCTGATCTACCCCGGGGTGAGCAGAACGTCGGCCTTTTGGATCAGGTTTGTCACTTCCCTGTTCCATCGAGCACGGTTAACCGGAGCAGAGACTGGCGGTCCAATGGGTCCACGACAACATCGAGAGATTCGGCGGCGATCCCTCTCGAATCATGCTGTTCGGGCAGTCGGCCGGTGCAGCTTCGGTGGACATGTATACCTACGCGGTAAGTCTCTATGTTTCCTCATTCTGGCAACATATCTAACTGCTGACGTAGTACCCCGACAATCCCCTCGTCCACGGCGTCGCCATCGAGGCCGGCGCAGCAGACATAATCACCAGCGCCGACTCCACCCACCAAAACTGGGATAAGCTATCAACCGCCCTTGGCTGCGGATCAGGCAGGGGAACGCTGCGCTGCATGCAGGAGAAACCAGTTAAGCAAATCGTCGCCGAGCTATCTTCAGCCTCATACAATTTTGCTCCGGTACAAGACAACGTCACTGTTTTTGCAGACTACCCTGCGCGAGCTAAACAGGGCAAATGCGCGCGGGTGGTACGTACAGCCTTCGCTTGAATTTTGACTTGTCTGACATGTTAGCCCGCTCTCATCGGTAACAATGATCGCGAAGGCGCGGCCTTCTTCAATCTTAGCTCTGCGTCGATCAACGAGACGGTGATCTTTGCGGCGACACAGACGACCTTTAACTGTCCCGTTCAGCACTCTGCTTTGTATGTCTCCCAAGTTTCCAGGGTTGACCTTGGGCTAACGACCACAGACTCAAAGTCGAACAAGGGATTCCGACATGGAGGTATCTGTACCACGGGTATTGGAGCAATCTGAGTCCGGTGCCGTGGCTTGGGGCTTACCATTCAAGTGAGTACCGAAAGCTAGTGAGGGTCAGGGTCCCGACTAACGAAGACTAGGCGAAGTACCTATTGTGTTTGGAACGTATAACATGTCTCCGCTGAGTATTCCGTCTACCCCGCAGGAGGTGAAAGCTAGCCGATACATCCAAGGTAGGGGGTTTCAGTTCGGGACTTGGTAACTAAGACTAATATCTGCAGGTGCATGGGTTGCCTTTGCCAAAGATCCTCACAATGGATTGCGGAAGTATGGATGGCCGGACTACAAACCTCATGGTGAGTTGATCTCTGATGAACTGGACAGACCGGACAGATCTAACAGTAACAGGCAATACCCTGATCAACCTGGCACTGAACAACAGCGTGGCCCCGGTATTTACGTCGCCCAAGGGATGGGATAGCCACTGCAAAGGATCTGTCTTTGTACCATAGGGGATAAGTACATAGATGGTAGATATATATCCACCTGATCAATGAACAAGCACGCTCCTACCAATCAAATCAATCAAAAACCTCCAACGGAAAGTGATCAGCCAGCGCCTGATACCCTTTGACATTCGGATGCAAATGATCCCCGAATCAAACTCCTCGGCCAACACCCCCGGCGCCCTCGGATCTCTAAGCGTTTTATCAAAATCCAACACCGCATCAAAAACCCCACTGCTCCGAATAAACTCATTCACCCGCTGCCTCGTCTTCTCCCGCTCATCACTCGAGTACGGCTGCGTATAGTTCGACCCCACCGGCGTCCCAAACGGCGTGATCGTCGCCCCGAAGATCGGAATCCCAGCCGCATGCACCCTTGTCGCGATCTGCCTAAACGCAACGAGCAGTCTATCCCCGATGCGCTTCTGGGTCGCGGGATCAGCGCTCGCCACGCCGATGTCGTTCACCCCCTCGAAGATCATGGCGTAGCGCACGCCCGAGTGCGCGAGGACGTCTCGGTCGAGCCGGCTGAGGACGTTGGGGCCCAGCCCGTCGGCGAGGATGCGGTTGCCGCCGGCGGCTTGGTTGAGGAGGGCGATGGAGGAGGTTGACCGGTGTTTTTGCATGCGGGCGAGAAGGAGGTCGGGCCATCTGCATCATTAGCTAGGTCATATGGTCTATGGTGCACGAACGAGAACGCACCGATTGTTGCCGTTGGTGTCGCTTCCCCTGCCGTCGGTGATGCTGTCGCCGATGATGGCGAAGCTGCGCGCGGAGGGAGGTAGAGACGCTTCGACGGCGCTGATGAAGTACCTGCGCTGAATTAGCTGGGTCCGTAGTATACATTCAAGTGAAAACCTACCAGTGATCCACGCTCATCACCGATGGATCGGTCAGATTGTTCGCCCCGACGTAGTTTCCAAAAGACAGCCAGGAGGTGGTTCTACTTCCCGGGTGTCCGGTGATGGCATTGCCTTGCTGCCCTTGAGCGAGGTAGATATCAATCAGAAGAGTCGACTGCGCCGTGACAGGAAAATCGATGGGATCTGAAACCGCCAGTGCTCCCTTCGGAATGGTGATATCTTCGTTGCCGCTGAAGAGGATCTTTTTGCTTGACCCTGGCTGGAGAGCGCTTGTCCCTGTCTTTTGATCGACTGGTAGGCCAATGGCGATGCTGGTGATTGCCAGATCGTTCAGCCCAAAGACATTTGAGAGTCGTAGGCGGATGCTGTCCGCATCGAGCGTGACGTGGATAGTTTGACGGATGGTGGAATTGTTGAAAACCGAGGTCGACGAGTTCTATTCGCATCAGATGAGGTTATTGCACGTTAGGATAGACTCACGTATGGAGCGGGAGGCAGATTGTAGGGCTCGACCAGTTGCGGCATGGTCGTCCAAATATCCACCCAGTGAGATCGACGACTTGAACCCGCATTGCCCCAAGGGATATGTCGAGAGGAAGTGACCAGACAGTGCCGAATTGGAGGAGTAGAAGAAGAGCAGCGACTGCCCTAGACAGGAATGTAGCCATGTTGAGCTGCAGGTTCGGCCAACTTCAACCTAACTTTTTCCTCGTATAGCAAAGTTGGCCTCAATCGAGGAGGAGCATGTTAAATAGAGACGCATGATCAAGGAACACTCCATTCCCCCGGATTGTCCCTTGATTCCTCCACAGGCTAAACGGATAAAATGGTCCCAGCTTGGAGGATGAAGGACTTGGCAATAATCTATTCATGCAGGATGATGCTGCATCCACTCCCCGCAATTCCAATTCAGCCGTTGGTCCGGGGTAATTTGGGGACGGGATCAAGGAGGCTTGGCTGAGGACATCCAGATCCTGATCCTGCACCGAGTGAAGCTCCTTTTGCTCAGCAGCTGATGAGCGCATTCTTCATCTTCTAAATGGCGTCCGTTCACCTCTAGAGAATTGATCAAGATAGTTACTCTCGAGATAGATACGGATATGGCTCAGAAGATCATCTTCCACGGTACAAGGGCGAGGAGGCTAACTCCGCTATTTCCGTTGATGACAATGCGGGGTACAAAATGATCACATATAATCACATAGCAGCGTCCCTTTATCCTCCCTGGTTCCTTCTGTCAGGCTCAATCAACAGGATCGACACAATGGCTGCCATCATCCAACCCCAGAAATCCGCCCTCATCACCGGCGCAGCATCCGGCGTCGGCTTCGCGATCGCCAGACTCTGCCGCTCCAAAGGCATGCACTTGGCGCTCCTCGATATCGACACCGCCAATCTGGAAAAAGCCAAAAGCGAGTTGTCTGCTCTCGACTCCTCCGTGAAAACAGAGGTTTACACCATCAACGTTGGTAACCGGGACGCCTGGAAGGATATCGCGAGACAGATCCGCTCGACATTCAACGACCTCGATCTTGTCGTTCTCAATGCCGGAAAATCATACAAAGCGGGGAGTGAGCTGGCAGGACGGCTGAAACCATGGGCTGACGCTGAATACTGGAAGAAGGTGAATTCATCCCATGCCCATACTTGGCTACAGCTAATCAAACAGACATTCGACACCAACGTCTTCGGCCCTCTGAACGGACTCGAAACGCTCCTTCCGCTGCTAACCAGCTCATCGCCAACTCCCAAATCGATCGTCATCACCGGCTCCAAGCAAGGCATCACGAACCCGCCCGGAGCCGCCAACCCGGCGTACAACGCCTCCAAGGCAGCCATCAAGAATCTGACCGAGCATCTGGCCCATGATCTGCGGTCGGATCCCGCCACGGCTCATATCTCGGTGCACCTGCTGATTCCCGGGTGGACATGGACAGGCCTTATGGGGAATGTCGGGCCTACGGACGAGAGTAACATCAAGAAGATGGAGGGGGCGTGGTTTCCTAGTCAGGTTGCGGAGGAGCTGGTCAAGGGAATGGAGAGGGGGTCGTTCTACATCGTCTGTCCCGATAATGAGACGGACAGGGCTCTGGACCAGGCGAGGATGCAGTGGGCGAGTGATGATGTGGTTGAGGATCGGCCTGCGTTGTCTCGATGGGAGGACAAGTGGAAGGGGAGAGCGGAGGAGGAGATTCAGAGTGAGGCTAAGAGGAGAAGGGATGCTTGATGCTGTCCGGTAATAGTGAAGTATGCTGATCTGTTAGCTAACTATAGATGGGTTTGATTTGCTGATTTATCTTACTGGTCGACAAGAGTGTCCTGCAGCGAAGGATGAGTATATAATGCCGGCAGTTGTGACACAGTAGACCAATGATATAGTGGCCGTAATCTACTAAGATAAGCAAACTAATATAGAGGCCTAGTCAAGGCAAGAACTTGATAGATATATGTGTCTTGCCAGTCTAGAGTCACAGTACGATAGTTACTTACGGAATTACACATTCGCCCATGAAGCGCGGAAAGCCTGCTTTAATATAACAAAGAAAACACTAAGTCGGGTCCTGGTATTTACAGAGCGTAGGAAACATTGAGAGATCAGTGGAGGATGCGGGATATCTAGGGAGGACATGGTTGTAACGGATGCTGATTATGTTGGGTCAGTATCTATGGCGTATACATAAATACTAACGGTGTTAACATATACGTATATTCCCTGTCATAGTTTAAGAATATTTCTGTTAGAAAGAGTGCATTACGCTTGCGCCTTGGTATGATGTATCTCCTTAATACACACCCTTGGACCCTTTAGTTTAGTAACTATACCTTCATCACTCCTGTAGTCATGTCACCTACGGTAGTGGGACTTTTCTCCCAAGTTATTAGTAGTATTAGATACTTCAAAGCCACTGCTAAAGTTAAACTCTCCCCAGAATAGTAGCTATAGGTCTCTTGTACTTTATGACTGTCATGATCAGGGCTGGTCTGTATATATACCAAGAGCCCATACATATCACTCTAGCTTATCATCAGAGACACAAGCAGGACATTATTAATATTGTGCAGTGCCCCTAGAGACCATCAGTGAGCCTTCTCATGACAGCTCTCCACAAGTACACTATGCATATGCACCGCAATTAGTACACACATATGAGACAAAGTCGAGATTCTCGATGTGGCGCTATGGAAGCATATTGGTGCAGAAACATTGTTCCAGGATCCACGGAGTGATTGTGGATGACCGCATACTTTCAGTCCCAAATGGGGATAGAGTTGAGTAAACTGAACCTCTAAAATCGATTCCAACCCTCATTGAACTCCCGTGGTTCGGGTTCGGTCCGTAACGTAGAGATTTGCACGGATGCCGGTTTCCCTACCCCCAACCCGATTCGGATTCGGTGAGAACCATTGGTTGCAGTGCTTTCAGTTTTGGGTAATGATATTTTGCTTACTTATTACTAGTTGTATGGCTTCCTGGGATATTTTGATATTGCTAGATAGCCTACTATCTAGTCTATCTAAATACGAACTATCGATTCAAAATGCCTAGTGGTTGCTGAGATATAAGGGAAAATCATCTCTATCACTGTCAGGGGTTTGGTATGAAAATGGTGGGGATACAACGCCTGTTAAAAGGGCTCTTGGCCTTGCCGGCCTTTTACAAGTCCCCCGGGCATTCCGAATTGACCCACGCCCACGGCCAACCCTACAAGCAGTCCGGAGTGGTAGTGCTGTCTCCGGCTTTCTCGGCTTTCCAAGTTGCTGTCGGTCCGCAAGTTTTTAGCCACCTTTTATAGAGTATCTTGAACCCTGCATTTCCAAATCTTTCCTTCTATCACTACAGAGTGGGCAATATTTCTCAAATCAGCTCCGTTCTCACTCCCCTTGCTGAAGCCTTGAAAATTCATTGTCCAACTGGCCATCTCTGTGCCCTCGTCGAAAATTAGTTACCACTATTCTCTTTCAACTGTGCCAATTCTGTGAAATGGCCCGTATCCTGATAACCGGTTCTACGGATGGCTTCGGCCTTGAGGCTGCCCGTCAGCTGGTTCAGCGGAATCACACCGTCTATCTTCATGCGCGTAACCAAGAGCGCGCAGAGGATGCCAAGGCAAAATGCCCTGGCGCTGCTGGCGTGCTGATTGCAGACTTGACGAGCATGGCAGAGACGCGCAAACTGGCTGAGGAGGCAAACACAATTGGTACCTTTGACGCCGTCATTCTTAATGCCGGACTGCTTTATGGCCCCTTCCGCAAGACGCCAGATACTGGCGTGCCGGCTATGGTCTTCGTCAACGTGGCCGCACCTTATATTCTCTCTTGTCTCCTCAAGCAACCCAAGCGCCTTATCTTTATTGCTTCCACCCTACACAAGCAAGCCAACACGAGCGTGAAGGATATTTTCTGGTTCGAGCGTGGGGAAAGGGAATTCCAGGATTTCCCAGCATACTGCGACTCGAAGCTTCATGTTATGCTTCTTGCGAATGCAGTGGCAAGGCGGTTTAAGGGCACTTCAGTCACGGCTGTCCATCCTGGATGGGTTGCTACCAAGCTTGGAGGTCAAGGTGCTACCGACAAGCTGGAGGATGGTGTCGAGACATACGTCATGCTGGCCGAAGGCGATTATGATCAAAGTCTCACCGGTGTCTATTTTGAGCCCAAGAAGAAGATCGGTGAATCTCTTGAAGTGACAAGGGACGAAAATCTGCAGGAGGTCGTCGTCAAAGCCTGCAAGGATCTCACCGGTCTTCAGCTACCTTAGTGGCTTATGTTTGGCATATCGGCACCATTCATGGTTGGCGTGCATCTTCTGGAACACGTATACGATTATTCTAGAGCTCGTCGAGATTCCCAATACCTAGGCCCGGGCTCTCACCGAACTAACATCAATGATCTCCTGCATGGAGGCTGATGTCCCAATCTCGGACTTGTTTGTCCGTTGTCTCAGAATAAGTTTGCCCTGTTGCAACATAGCCTTTGCCGTGGCGCATGGCGCTTCCGAATAACGTGTAGTTTAATACGGAGGTCTCCAAAATATTCTCGCCGTAAATTACTAGTCTTCTTAATCAGACAGGTCCTCTCCAGGCATTAGCGGAGCGTCGACTCCAGCATGGCGTCCCGTTGCTATCATATCACGCTTACAAATTAGACTTATAACAAACTGGAACAACAGCAGTGCATGGTCTGCCAGTTATTCTAGCTCTAGTATTCGGACATTCAAGCTGAGCAAGGAGAGAACCGGCACATATGAACCCTTCAGCATAACGACGAGCAGCTTCTGGCAAGGGTAGAGCGCTCCCACAACCATAACAACCCTTTCTGAGAAATATCATTGGCATCTGACGCTGATGGTTCCAGGTCTTTGTGAATTTTTAGAGTAACAATACTGTTTGGTGTCAATTTTCTGGCTACAGATATCTTATGACTCGGAGTGCAAGAGGTCAGCATTGTGACTCGGCCAAGAATCTTCCACTGGCAGTTTCTCTATATATCCTTTACTTCTAGGCCCCATGTCATACTACAGTCATCTCTCATTTCCATTTTGTAATCAAGAATTCGCACATACAACATCAGATAAGCTGCATATGTCCAGACTTGCCTGATATACTGCAACACATATATAGCAATTGGGATGCAGCAAAGGGTACGACCCCTAATAGGATTCTAATTGTACTGTAGTAATATATACATTGCGTGGGACGATAGTGCTGGGGTAATCAGCAGCTTCATAAAACACTAGGTAGATACAGATTGTGAAATATTCTTAAATTATGAAAGGGAATATACATACATGTTCTGGTTATACTTTTCTGCTACCATTCTTTGCAAATCTAAATTCATGATTTAGGTTACGCTTTACTTCAAAATGTAGGTAGTTTCATAGAACACAGGGATAACATCACCTTGGCCCAGCATACGCATATTGTGAAGATGCATACCTAACTAGTCTATCTATACACAATATTAACTGCAGAGTTTACTAAGCTTTAGCTTCACAAAGGATTTTTACCTGTATAGCCTTTGGTAAATAGTTACACCTAGCTGATTGATATATTTACTGCGGCATAGTGCTCATCCATTGATCCTAGTCAAAGAGATCATACTTAAACACACTCACTTTATTTTCCTTGTATGTGCCATTGGATGTGCTATCTATCAGTTCTACCTTTAACAATTGGTTAGATATAGAACACTCATGCTTTCACCTGGTCTACATTCAGACAGGGACAGATGAGTTGGCTAAAATAATACCTTGTCAAAGTGAAGTCGGCTCAAGAGAAAGCTTGGGCGAGTCAGTGAAGATGTCTTGGAACTGCAGGGACAAAATGTAAGATATAGTAGACTTATGAGCCATGCAGCAGATCCAGCTAGCTGTCTAACCAGCTTAACTGCTGAATCAGTTTAATGATATTGGGTGCTCTTGCGACCCGTACTGCCGCAGTGTCTACAGAGGAAGAGCATGGTGATAGAGTATCTTCTGCTTATAGTGCTAATCCTTCTTACCAAGCACTAAAATCGTCTGAAACAGGAGGTTCAATTAAAGCTCTACAATGCACTATGATTGTCATTCGACGACCAGGAGAGCGTATCACCAATCTCATATCAATATTTTTGGTCTATAAGTGCACCCCCCGCTCCTCCTATTGCATGTTCTCTAGTAGATGGTATAAATGTTTACTACTCCACCTATAAGTTAACCTTATCTAGCCTCAGTCGCGTCTCTGTCTCTTGAGGCGGTTTTCTTCCGAACTTGTATAGTCCTGCACGGATACCTCGGTTAACCTGGCTCACAGGATCTCAAGCACACTCCTCATGTGCGATACGTGGAATTCTTCTTTTCTGGATATTATATGAATTGTCACTCGCGTACGAGCTAACGAAGGAAGGGCTAACTATTAGAATATAGAAATAGCAAGACAGAGCTAAAGAAAACATGTATATTTAACAAGGTCAGGCCAAGTGCCCTGCTACAGAGGGACTGTGCTGATAAGTACCGACTTCTCCTCACGGATGCAACCTCATCTCACAGGGATCGCCGCTTTCGTCCAGCCATCCATCTTCCCCTCATCTAGGTGCTCTCCAACGAATGATTGATCATTTCTGCAGAGGATAATGCGGAGAAATAGCGTGGGGGTTACATCTTCAAGGATCCGTGTCACCATGTTATCTGCTTATCTTAACATCGCGCGGCTGATGATACTCTGCCTTTGGGCAAGCAAAATGATAAGCGATGATTCAATCGTGCTGATATATATCTGCCCTTGCATGTTATTTCCTTGATTGATAACCCTCCGAAGAGTCGGTGTGCCCCTTACGTCGAGTGGTGTATATCTTCCACCATCCGTCTTAACTTTCACCATCGATAGGACCATGGCGTCGAATATAATGTCCGACACAACTCGAGACGATACAAAAACATCCACTGCAAATGAGTCCATTCATGAGAACGGCGACAATTTGAAGAATTATGGCTCTGCGCCCGGAGTGGTGGAGGATGTTGTGCGAGTAGTCGATCACAAGGCCGAACGGGCTCTCTGTCGCCGGTTGGACCTGCGATTACTTCCTGTTCTCGCCGTGATGTGTGAGTTTTTGCCCAGTGGAAGGCAAATCATGATACTGATTGATCAGATCTCTTCAATGCGCTAGACAAGGGAAACCTGGGAAATGCAGAGACAGATGGAATGAGCAAGGGTAAGTCCACATTGCCCGTCAAGAGATCGAACTAATGACTTGTATAGATCTCAACTTCAAACCCAACGAGTACAACCTGCTGCTGTCCATCTTCTTTATTCCATACGTGATTTTCGCGCCTCCCGGTGCGATGCTCGGTAAACGCTACAGTCCGGCCCGCGTCCTGCCCATCCTCATGTTCTGCTTTGGCTCTTTCACCCTGCTCTCGGCGTCAACCAAGAACTTTGGGGGCATTTTCGCTCTTCGCTGGTTCCTGGGCATGTGTGAAGCCCCCTTCTTCCCACTCGTCATCTACTACCTGACCACGTTCTACCGACGCGGCGAGCTCGCCCGCCGGCTGGCCATCTTCTATGCCGCCTCCAACATCGCCAACGCCTTCTCGGGCCTGATCGCCTTTGGCGTCTTCCAGATCGAAGGCTCCTCCATCCCCAACTGGCGATACCTCTTTATCGTCGAAGGCGGTGCCACTGTGCTCTTCTCCATCTTCGCCTTCTGGTACCTCCCGCGCAGCGTCGCCGAAGCCAAATTCCTCTCCGAAGATGAAAAGGCCCTCGCCTTTCACCGCATTCAGGTTGACTCCAGCGCCATTGTCAACGACAAGTTCCGATTCCGCGATGCCCTTGTGATCTTCAAGCATCCCACCACCTACGCCTTCCTCTGCATCGAAATCTGCCTCGGCGTTCCCATCCAGGGCGTCGCGCTCTTTCTTCCGCAAATCGTCCAGCGCCTGGGCTACTCTACCGTCAAAACGAATCTCTACACCGTCGCCCCCAACGTCACGGGCGCCATCATGCTCCTCCTTCTGGCATTCTCTTCCGACGCCGCACGCCTCCGCTCCCCATTCATCGTCCTGGGATTTCTGTTAACATTCACCGGCTTCATCATCTACGCCTCCATCGACGACGTCCAGGCGCAGATCCGCCTCGCCTACTTCGCCACCTTCATGATGACCTGGGGCACGTCCGCGCCGTCCGTCCTGCTGAGCACCTGGTACAACAACAACGTCGCGGACGAAGGGCGCCGCGTGCTGCTGACGAGTATCGGGGTGCCGCTGGCGAATCTCATGGGGCTGGTGAGTAGCAATGTGTTCCGCGCGCGGGATAAGCCCAAGTACATGCCTGCGTTGGTGACTGTTGCGGCGTTTGGAGCCACGGGGGCGTGTCTGGCTGCGTTGCTGGGGTGTTATATGTGGTTTGATAATAAGCGGAGGGACCGGAGGGATGGGGTGCGTTTGCGGGCGCAGGAGGTGCCGACGGAGAGGTTGAGGGATGGGCCGAAGGCAAGGGACTTTCGGTGGTTTTTGTGATGACCAAAGGCTATGAGATAACTTAACTTAGCTAGTCCACTAGCTAAGAAGTAGAAGAGTCTAGAGCAGCTAACTATATTAGCATGGGAGGAAAAGCTTGGTGCTATTAAAAGAAAGGTAATAGCAGATAAGCTATCTATATGCTCTTTAATACTTAAAAGAATACTTGGAGTCTATAATGTGAAGAGACACTTCAAGACATTATATCTGCAGGATTATAAGTATAATTCCTATGACCTATCACTATAGCATGAGATGCACCTATAGTTGCATGCGTATAAGGTACATCAGCTTCATACCTGAACAGATAGATGCACTTATAGACATAATGTCGCTGCGGCCTTCCCGGACGCCTGAAAGGCTCCGGAATGCCATTAAGGATCGAGGTTGGATCATGTGGCGTAGAAAAAGTGGGAATACAAGAGACATGTAATCCTTTTACTACTGTGATTTTATATCTTTTATATTGGCAGATATATGGCCTACATATACAAGAATTTACTGGACAGCTCTACCCTCCCACAAGGCCCGCGGCGACAAGCCCTCCCGATTTAAGACATGGCGGTAAACATCCTCGCCGCCGTCCATATCTCTTAACAACTGCATTGCGCGGGGGTCGACATTCAAGGTCGCCGCCAGGTAGTGCAGGGCCGTGTTCCCATCGACATCCTGCGCGCGGACATCAATGCCGGCATCGACCAGGACGCGCAGTGTCTCCAACTGGGCCTCCTGCTCGGCGGGCGTCAATGGTGTCCTCGCGCGGGGCCGCAGCGGGTTGAGCCGGGACCGCGGTTGTGGCTGCAAATGCAAGGGACTGGGCCTGGGATGCGGTAACCAGGCGGCATCGAGAGTTCTGGCGCAATGAATGCTCCGGCCGACGTCGGGGTTTGTGTCGTCGATGGCCTCGGATGTCAGGGGCAGCGAGGCGATGTGAAGCAGCGTCTGTCCGAGGGCAGTGGCGCCGCAGACGGGAGCGGCAGGGCGAGCCAGGACAGGAGGGTCGGGCTGTGACGCGCGACAGCGAAATGGAGCGGGTGGACTTCGAAGATAGGGGTGCGGACGTGAGGATCGAAATCGGGGTGGTCCCGCAGCTCGGTGATACATTCTCGAACTTTGGAGTCGTCTGGATCACAGCAGGCCAGGGCGTTAGGAGAGCGGGGGAAGGGCCAGTGTCGGCGCCGCGGCTAGCGGTCGGTAGTTTGGGGAGTAGTGGTGTTGATTGAGAAGTTTGTGGAGCATGGCGCGGTGGCCCGCGGAGATGGCTTCGTGGACGGGTGACGAGGTCGACATCGACGATGGGGTTGCCTCCTGGCTCGACCGTTCGTCGTCGACGCCTTCACTAGAAGGCTGAGTCCGAGTCCAGGCGGATTCATCCGCTCCGGCGTCGCGGATCAGGTCGAACATTTGCTCTTGGCCGCACGCAGCGGCGACTTCGAGAGCCGTCAAGGCCTTGGTGGAGCGGAATCGTTGGCCCGGCAGATTTGGCTCGGTCCAGAAACGAGGAAAGCCGGAGTGGCGCTCGTCCAGTCGGTTCTGGCCCTCGTTGTTATTCCCGTTCACGCGTGCCCGGGCTTGATCCATGTACTGTTGGCCGTGGAAGGCGACGATCGCGTAGATCCCCGGCCGCCACACGCCGTTGTCGTTGAGGAGATGCTCGAAATGAAAGTGGAACACCACATAGTTATCTTGCTCGATCTCCTGGTTAGCTGCGCTCAGCGCCGTCGGTATGGAATCATACCCCAGCTGGGCTCGGGATCATCGTCCGAGGAGGGATACGCCTCTGCGTCTTCGGCTAGGTTCCTCAACACAGCAACTTGGTCCCATTATCGAGGAACAGCCGGTCTGGGAGAATGCCACGACGCTTTTTGGTTCCCGCCGTCGGGCAGCGTAAGACGCAGAGCTCGCTCCGTGCCGCCTCAGCGTCCGAGATGCCCTACACGCCGTACTAGCTAGATCTAATAAAAATACATTGTTTTGGTTGATTTGGATAGCTTCAGATATATAAATTCATTAACATCAGACGGGGTTGTCTGGCTGGCCCGGGTATCCAGCTCGTCTGGGAATTACATTATGATGATACGATGGATTTCCTGCGGCTGTTGAATTGCGTCGGAGATGACCCCCACTCGTATCTGCGGTGTAACGTCTACTTAGATGGAGTTACATGCAGTCATATGAATCCTCCTCTAGACAATGAGCATCTTACCCCGGATCTGCAGCTTTATACTTTTACACGGCAGTAGTGTGGGGTACGATTTGCGAACAACATGACAATGTCACCCAAGATGTCCTATGCTTGAATCATTGTTAAACGGTCATCGAAGAGATGTTTACAGAAGAGATAGAAGTACTTCTACTACAGAGCTATATGAAACAATGCTGAATATTAACGAGAATATGAGGATAAAAATAGACAACACTAACCCTATCTGCTCTAGTCTTTTGACTGTTAAGACAGCTGAGTCAGGCATTATCTGTCATTAGTTAACTTATCCCCCTATCAGCCATGGCTTAAGTCTGATGCACGGGACAATGAAAGACACAAAGATCCGCTTGGCGAAAACCTCCTACGTGCCAATTCGCCCGCGGAACGGATGTACGACTTGCAAGTGCGATTCCTAGGATGACCCCTGTTGCTCAGCCGACACTGACCATCCCAGAACCTGTAAAGTGAAATTCGGGGAGGGAAGGCCCAACTGTATCCGATGCAGCAGTACAGGACCCAAATGCGAATAGAGTAGCCCAGCTCCATCACGTCATGCCTCAACATCAGAATCTAGTATGGTCCCGGTCCTAGACCGCCCGCTTTCGCTCGTACCGAGTGGTGTATGGCGGGAGCGACGGGCCTCGCACATTATTCCCAACACGTGCGTCATTCATTGCCGGGGACTTGACATCGACTTTTGGGGCGGCGTTGTCTCCCAGGTATGTCGAAGTGACCCTGCGGTGTGAGACGCCGTCAACGCCAGCAGCGCCCTCTTTGAGAACTCGGAACCCTGCTTCGATCCTGTCTGGCTGAGGCGAAATGACCAGGGAAGTGTTCATATCAATATAGCATTGATTAGCTGAGTCTTGTTCATCTGCATAGAAACGCTGCAGAGGCAAGTGGAAGACGCGCTACGACTGTACCAGCAGGGAGTCAGTCTTATCTTCGAGCTGCGGGCAGGTGGGACTAGGTTGGGCTCTCGACCAGACTCGGCTCTTTTGGGAGACACGATCTTCCCTATTTTCCTACCACTGTGCACAATTGCGCTGAGTATTTCAGGCGTTCCTGTGAGTGGCCTACTTGATGAAATGCGCTGTCTTATCGGAAACACATCCCCCTCTCTCAGGTCGGCGCGTCTCGCAATGGCCGCTCTGGCGGCAGAGGGCATGATCTTTCAGCGCACTGTTGAGGGTAACGGTCACGGAGGCCCTATTCCCCCAGCATTCACGAACAAACAAGAAGATATCCAGAACCGGCTGGCAGAGTAGCACCGCGCCTACACCAACTTAGTTAACTTGTCTGATCCGTCACAGCTTCCTAGCAGCGTGACTTCTCTCTTGCTTTCCTTCCACGCTGCCGCATCAATCGTTGCCGCCGTTTGCACCGAGCAGCTGGAGACCGCATACGACGCCTATATGCCCCAATTCCGGCTGGTAGTTGAACAGTCCGCTGTACATCTCGAAGCGTCGGCTGGCCCGAATGGAAGACAACCGCCATTCACCTTTTGAAATGGGAGCTGGTCTCTCGTTGTTTCTGACGGCATTCAAGTGCCGTGACCCGTGGCTGCGTCGAAGAGCCTAGGAATTATTGGAAAAGGCACCTACAGTGCAGGCGCCGTGGAAGTGTCCACCGGGTGCAACATTGGCGGAAGCTTTTATAAAATTGGAAGAAACCGGAGGTGAAAGCACTATGCACGAGGAGTTAACTCGGATGCGTACCATTTCCGAAGGACAATACTCGGGGAGTGAGAGATCCACGGCTACTGTGTTTTCCGGCCGCGAGATGATCCCGGGCCATTAGGTGATCTAGACATCTCCAAGTGGAATCGGGGTCCTGATCAGATCTTCTTGAAGTTTTCTCGGAATCGAGTTGATGACAAGACAAAGACGTGGCGAATGGTCCATGACATTGTCCCGATTGACTATTGGCATGTCTCTATGATGCCATGTCAAAATTTGCCAGATGGGGTTTACTATCATTCATGATATCTGGACAACATAATAACAACCTTCTCGCTAAACGCATCAGAGGATACCTGTCCAGCAAGTCTGTCCTCATTATGACACCTTCCCACTGACTCGTCAAGGATCCCTCGGGACCTTCACTCTAGCCTGCCCAGCCAGCATCTCCATATTCTTCAACCTCACACCCCGCATATACTCCTTCTGCTCGTACGTCATGTCCTTTTCCGTCTGGTCATCGCGGAAGCCGTTCGTGAAGACGTAATGGATAGAGTAGCCGATCAGGACTGAAACCACGCAGCCGACGATAACAATAAGGATGATTGCTTCTTTGGAGAGTTCCGCCATTTTGACTGCGCTGTATCATTAGCATCTTGGATCGAGCAGATACAATAGCATTTCCTCACCTGAATCAACTGCTGTTTCGACCTTGTTCAAGACGCATCAACGCAACGAGACTCGCGGGAGGGAACCCCTTATATCCCTTCCCCGTCCTGCCATCGTATCAACCAACAGTGGCAGTCAGCATGTGTAAGCGCTAAGTTACTCGCTATTCTGTTTGATATCCATGCGTCTACTCTATTTTTGTCGGGGTTGTATACAAGCTACGGCCTGATTGGGTCTAGTGTAGACGGCAGTGATGTCATAGCCGAACAGGCCAATCAGATGGTGAAACCTGATTATGTCAGTACACTTTCCGAGATGGGAGATTATGCTGTTCATGGCTGGACACAGCTCAGACTCCAGAGGAAAAGGAAGAGTCTGATAATCCCTCGGGGATATAGTCCTGAGGTCGTATTTACCAGCTCCTGCTCCTCTTTTTGAGACCCGTGCCCCGAGCTTGAGGATTGCGTGCGAGGGTTACATCCATGGTTGGTTAAGATGAGCTGAAAAATATATTATCTGCTAGCGGCTAGCCAAAGGTCCTTGAGCTCATTATGATTTTAGTTTTGGCCTTGTATCCAGGTTCACTGGTTCACTGTGATAGAGTCCTTGTTGAGAGGGCAAAGAAGCCATTGCTACGAGGGTTCATATCTAAGAACTAGGGCTTCTATCGGTACACCTTGAAAAGGTCCTTAACTGACGGAGGACTCGTACACTGTCTATTAATCCTAGCCGAGTTTATTTCACCTTTCAACCTAAGAAAGAGACCATTGCCGTGATCTCTCTATAGATCGTGCGATCAAATCTATTTCTGCCACCCCGAAGTGCTGATCCCCTCCTATTGCCAACTCCAAACAGCAATCAAGCAAAATTCCACAGCCGGTTGTCACAGCCGAGAACACATACAATCCATGGGTCCCATTCGCAAAGCTTCTGAGTCAAGACACCATTGGCCACGGACATGGTTCCTGATTCGGTAGACAGGTTCTCGGACGTCAGCTCCGTTCAGCTACACCAAAATGTGACTTAAGGCTCGGTTATAGGACCTCGCCACGTGGAAATATATGGCATGGGTGCTATGAGTGGTCAAAATTCAGGACGTTGCGGATTTGGATCGGAGTAGTCAGTGGGCTGTCTCGGTCATAAAAGATAGATCGGGGCTTAACCATGGAATCGTATGGGACGGCCCACCAGAGAACCCTCAAACAGCAAAGCCCGCAAGCCAGGCAAACGGCTACTGGTGGCGAATCCAAAAATGGTCCAGTTCAAACATGGTACAGGGTTCAGATATTCCACAGAAAGTATTGCCATAATCCGTGCAAAAACCTAATTCCTCCCAAGGCCGAGGACCTTGAGTCCGGGAGTATTCAAAAGCGCCCTTCCCTCTAGTGACTTTAGCATGCTCAGTAGCTCCAGTTTGCGCAGCGATCTTGCAAATCCTTGAGTCTAGCGCAGTTATTCTGTTCGATTGATTACGTTTGCACCACCGTCATGGTGGACGAAAGTGCCGCGGTCCGTGGAGTGGCGGCCGCTTTTCTGACGGTGGCGAGCATCGCGGTCATCCTGCGATGCTATGTGCGATTGTGCATTGTCAAGGCGTTTGGCTGGGATGATACAGTCATGATCTTCTCTATGGTATTCTTCATTTTTTGAGAGTTTGGGTGAAATCAATGCTGACTTTTCAGTTATTCTATGTCATGTTTTCCGGATGCATGATCGGAGGTTCTCTCTGGGGAACAGGAAAGCATCTCGTCGATTTGACCCCAGAGCATAGAGCACGCGCTATGGAGGTTTGTACTGCCTTCAATGTCTCAGACTCAGACCTCGCTGACGTCTTTAGTACTGGTTCCTCTGCGACATTGGCTACGCCATCTCGTCCATTCTCTGCAAGATATCCGTCGCCATCTTCTTGCTGCGCGTCATGGTTCGTCCGTCTCATAGGCGGATTATGTACGCAGTCACCGCGCTCACGGTCATCGTTGGCGTCATCTTTTTCGTCTACATAATGATCCAATGCTCGCCGGTATCCTATTTCTGGACACGGATGCTCGGCGATACCTCCGGCAAATGCGGATATGTCGACGCGATCATCATCATGCTGTACCTTTTCAGCGTGTCTTCTGCGATTTTCGACCTGACTGTTGGCCTGCTGCCTATCTTGCTCGTGCGCAATCTGCAGATGAACAAGCAGACTAAGATTGCAGTGGCGGGTCTCCTGGGCATGGCGTGCATGTAAGTCTCTCGCGCCTTCGACGATGCCTGTTGCCTTCCAAGACGAGTGCTAATATATTTTCAGAGCAAGCGTTGCCATTATAATCCGGATTCCATTCGTCCAAACCATCCGCGATCAAGATTTCCTCTGTGAGTCATCCTCATCTATCCCATTTGACCATCTCTAACAGAATACAGATGCAACCGTCCAGGTGAGCTTAAGGCAGTCATTCTGGAAGAAAACAAGAATACTAACAATATAGATCGCAATCTGGTCCAACATCGAAACCGGCCTTGCCATCACAGCCGGCAGTCTCGCCACCCTCCGCCCTCTCTTCCGCATCCTCCACAGTCGCAATGGCTCCTCTTACCGCATCTTCGATTCCTCCGGCCCCAGAGCAGGAAGCGCCAGCACCAGTTTTCCCTGGGTGACCTTGAAAGCAACACCTCGCAGTCTCTCCACGATCCGACCAATAGCAACCCCCAGGACGTCCGTCATGGAACCACGACCTCGGTGGCGAGAAATGATGCTGCGGAGTTCATGACTGAGAGCACGGAGCAGCTGAATGGAAAGTCACCCTCGGTGCCTACGCGGTCTTTGTCTAAGATTGGTGTACATCGGACGTTTCAGGTTTCGACATCCCAGGTGGGCTGAGTGCCTGAGTGCAGAGGGTTTATCTCACTGAAACAACTGCGCTTTGCACAGGGTTTCTCCTGTCTCCGCCAGGGTTGATCTGGTGAGTCTGGCGGGGTATCAGCTCCTGCCCTTCGCTTGGCTGTTGGAGTCTCTCAAGCCAGCCTAACGACTTGACACAGGATAGGTCGTTAACCAACATATAGCAGGCGGAGGAGTGCTGGAGTCCTCGCATTAACAGAAGCCATTCGATCGTTCAAGACATGTCAATTGGATTTAATAGATACACAGAAACATGACTACCAGAGACTCTCCATCTCCACCACAGCTGCGAGTCCTCCAGCTTCCGACTGATTCCACCATTGCAACCAAAGAAGCACACCGCATGACCGAAGGGGCCTCTACTACTATCAGACTATTCAATACCCCCAAAATATCGAGGGAATCGAGGATGTCGTTTTTCGGCCCGGGAATGTCGTGAGGGATGACTTTGCCTGCGGCTATATCGAGCAGGCCTTTTGTGCGGATGGAATCCAGGCCTTGCGGCTGGGTGTTGATGTTGAGGAGTGTGATTTCTCCATCGATGGCGGATAGGGACTGGGTGATTGGATGGTGGGAGGCGCGATTCAGCCAGAAAATGAGGCGGGTGTCCTTGTCGGCGGCTTTGACGTTGATGGCCGCTTGGTACTGCTTACTGCTGCTGCTGCTGCTGCTGGTGGTGGTGCCGTCGGTGAAGGACAGGTAGATGTGCGGCGACTTGGGGTCTTGTTTTTCGGTCTTCCCGTGTAGCGTGTTGGGTGGGCGACCCAGACGCCGTACTTTGGGATTGTCATCTTTGTTCAATATGGAATGTAGTGTGATGTACTGGTAGAAGATAGGATGGGGTTAACGGGTTTTAAGTACTCCGCAAGCAATGGAGTCGAATGTGTGACGCGCAAGCTTCCGTGCTAGGGATGCGTAATAGATCAGCCAGAATAACCTGGAGATAGTCCACGTGCTAAGGAAATGGAGGCATCTATTGGGATGAGCTGATATTCAGCTCTGTCCGGCACTTGTCAGCCTGCAGATCGGCTGTCCTCCTGCCCGTGCGCAGGCAACGTCATGGCGTCTTACTAGCCTGTTGCTTAGCAGGCTTAGCTATGCTATGCTACACCACTAGGACATTGTCATTGTAATGCGATAATTGGCCATTGATCACTTTGAGACTTGAACATCTTGTTTTCACTGATTGACTTGATTAATCGGGTTCTGACGTGCTGATGAAGATCAACATCTCAATGCAGACCAGTGAGCATTCCACCACTTCAGCTGATCCTTTCTATAGGTATCATCTTCCACATAGCTCCCACTACGATTGACGCTGCCCACGGTGCGGAAGACGATATTCTGCGGTTTCGACAGTTCATATTCTGGCCAGTATGGGACACCGTCCACCGCGTGCCCGTTCGGATCCAGGTCATGCACGAAAGAGGCCCAAGACCGGGACATGAACTCCGATAGCTGATGATAGGACGGATACGGTCCGATATAGTTGGACAGATTCCGAGACGGATTGTTAAACACAAAGATGAGCTCTGCGTAGTGCGTGCTGTAAACCGGCGGTACCGTGGCAATCAGCTCCAGAATCCCATTCCAGGGCGGCTGGTCGAACCGATAACTGTACACCGGCCTCTGTCGATGTTGGTCTTTGGCATGGTTCTTCCCGGCATAGTACTCCACCAGCCCGCGTCGCCCAGCATGCACGAATATGTCGCCCGCGATGGCAGCCCCTCGCTTGTACATCCAGCCCTGACTGGCGAACCGCTCAGAACCAGTACCGTACGGACAACCCTGCGCAGGATCATCAGGATAAAGCGCCAGCAGTTCCTCAACTTCATCGTCGCTCAACCCGCCGCCGTTCAGCGTATGGATATACGCAGCAACATCAGCAGTGGTATTCAGCGTCCCCCTCGGCCCCCAAAAACTCGCCGTCCCCTCATCCGTATTCGCCCCAACCAGCACCGCGACGTCTGCAACCTTACCCAGCGCAAGCGTCTCACTCGGCTTGCGCGTGATAAACTCCCCGTCAATAACAGGCGTGTATATCTGCGGCTTAAACGCCTCAAAGAGCACCTCATACGGCACCGTCCGCAAACACGCCAAGGTATCGCTCGCACCCTTACACCCCACCGTCTCCGTAACATTATCATACATCGCCTGGAACCCGTCCTCAGCGACAATAAGCTCTTTATCCTGAAGCGCCGGCCCCAGCATCGTCCCACTATCCATGATCGCCGCGCGGAACAGACCCTCATTCTCCCCGTCGAATCCCACAAGGTGGTACCCCACGCTGAACGCCCCGGCACTCTCACCCCAGATAGCAACTTTCTCTGCGTCCCCGCCAAAAGCCGCGATATTCTCGCGGATCCACCTCAGGGCAAGCCGCTGGTCATACAGCCCGATGTTTGCCGCCCGCGCCGCGAGCACCTCCCTCGACGCGAGGAACCCCCACCCCGCGACGCGGTAGTTGATGCTCACGCCGATGATGGGCTTGCCGATTGCGGCGGACTGCTGGACGATATACGACATGTTGTATCTGGGGTCGGCGACGCCGCCGGCTGTGAAGCCGCCGCCGTAGATCCTGTACTGGTCAGCCTCAACTCCAGCTGAGAAAGGAATAAACGCACCAGACTAGCACGGGGAGTGGCTTCGCCGGGGAAGCAGTGTCCGGAACGATAATGTTGAGGTACAGGCAGTCCTCGCTCAACGGGCCAATGCCGACTTCGAATCCGGCGTAGCCGGGACAGTTGGCTGGTTGCGACGTTGCAGGGTACGCTTTGTACCGCTTATTGTAGGGAACGGGGTGCCGTAGTCGGAGGTCGTCGACCGGCGGCTGGGCGAATGGGACACCCAGGAAGGCATTCTGGGAGAATGAAGGCAGACGCACGCCGCAGAGTGTTCCGTTTTTGGTTCTGGCTCTAGGCGAATCTTGAGGGCAATGGCCTGCAAGCGACGGGGCTGCCAGAGCCGCGAGGGCTAGGGTTCGGAGGGCGTTCACTACCAGATGCATCCTGCTGGTCCAGGGTAGGCTATAGTTTTTACGACATTTAATCTTTCGGGGTTGCAGAGATATATGCAGTGAAGGGAGGCGTCCAGTCGGCCGGACACTTTCCGGTACTTCCTCCGTGCGAAGGAGCCGTTCAATCATTAGACCGCAGAACCTAAGTTGGTGCGGGGTAGTTAGTGTAAAGTGCAAGCTGATATAACGCTGAAAAGTTAATTGAAGTGGTATGTGTGCTCGGTATTACAGTCAGCCTTGTGTGCAGGCAGAAATCAAGGATGAGGATATACTTCCGTCCGTCGCATATGCCCCTCGTATGGTGCCCTTGAGCCCTTGAGCAGTGTTTTCCCAGCAGTATTTGAGTTGTTCAAGAATGCAAACATTTCTCTCAATCAACTAAAGAAGCATAAGGAACCGGTCTAATGTTAATAGCCTATACTAACGAGCCTGGTAATCATGTATGCATCAAGGCCTATCAGCACTGCCGCACTTGAGGTTCCTTGCCATTCTCAATTTTATAAACTTCCACCCTTGATTGGAACCAGGCTTCTTTACCAGTCTGGCCATGTATCTGACCAAATGTCATTATTCAATTATGCTAGTGTTTGGTATCCTAATGTACATGATGCTTACCATTCGTGGAAATAGTTCTACTAAACGCTCGCTGTGCGTACCATCGTTCAATCGCAATAATTCGGACAATGTTGTCCCCGTAGTCAATTTCTGTCGATCTTCTTCGAGTAGATGATGGGTTCAGTTGCTATTCCATTCTTTCGTAGGAAGGAAATGCCACGGAACGATCAATCGCTCAGGCAAGGCACATCCACCCAGTAATGCCTTCTTATTGTCGCTTAGAAGTCTCAGAGGTTGGTACATACTTACCTTCCATCCCCTTCTTGATGCCAAGGATTCTCCTCGGGCGTCGTCGCGGGAATGTCCACTAAGTGGTTATTTTTCCCTGCTTTATATCCACTTAAGCAATGGCTGTGCGTATCAAGCTTGGATACAGAGATTGTAGAGTCGAGTCGCCTAATTGTCCTAGGACGATAGCGAACGTTTACTGGCCAGGTATCAAGTATAAGGCTAGTTTATGGGTCAACATTGCGATCGCCTATGCAGGGTCCACCCATGACCAGCATGGGTCCCTTGTGGGTGTAGGGCTGGTGTGCTGATATTAGGTAGAGTCCTAAGGTTGGTCCCCGGAACAGTCTCCAGGGTCAATATCTCTTGTGAAATCTCAACATCTTACCATTTGCCAGTATCTTTATATTGCCATATAATTATCTTCTAGGCTTCTATCCGCTCCCAGTTTGCGCAAGTATCATTATCGGACAGTCGGGTAGCTCCGCCTCTAGTACTATTCCACCGTAAATACTAGTAACTAGTTCCTGAGTACAATCCAGGGCGGCAGGGCCCACACAAGCATGGGACATTTTAAGGAAATATCAAGGTATTATGGGTCAGAAGAGAAGCGGGAGGCTCAATGAAGTTGCCTGATATCCGTAGCTCATAGATATTTTCGTCCAGTCACTCTCCTACACGTACCAACTATTCAACTAACGGACAACATCATGCCCACCACATCAGATACACTCCTCCCAGCACCTGCTATGCAGGCATTATCAGTATCGGGCGATGACCTCCCAGTCTCACCTCTTTGCCCAATAGTCGATTCCTACCCCGGAGACCCAATCGCCCAATATCTCATAAACCCATTTGCTCGACACATCTTCAAGTAAGTCAGGCACCTAGATTGCTCTGCTCTTCACTAAGAATGAACCAGAACTTTGCTGGCAATTTACGCCTTTCTGATACTCTCGTATCAAGTATGTGGTCTGTGGAATGAGGAGCCAGTTTGCGACCGGAGGGTCAACCATCTCATGTACGCGGTTGTTCTTGGGATTTCCGCGTTGATGGTATACACCCATTACCTGAGGAAGCGGCTTGAGAGGCAGCAACGGGTATCAGCATCAGGAGAGGGTAAGACCGTTAAGGGAGAACCTTGAAGGCTATTACCGCAGGTCGCATGGCTGGTTTGTCCTTGAGAGGAAAGATTTTTGAACTGATCAATGCATATATGAGATTGAAGTTGGATGGCTACCGACGCTTGTTTGATATCATCCACAAAACCACCAGTACGTGTTTTCTTGCGCAAGAGGTTATCTGTCCATTTGATATGACACTTTTGTAGAGACCTCAATGCTACCATGAATGCTGTTCCTTGTAGCGCATCTGAAGTCCAGCGCAGTGTCACAGGACAGCCTAGCCGAGTATGCACTTAGGAATGGCTTTTTGTTTCGTACTAAGGTGCATGGCTACAATGAAGCAATATGGATCACAAGCTTGTCGTTGGCCAAGAGTGCACTAGGTAATATATGCGATGTCAAATACACTTATAGGCTCAAAAAGAATATACGCAGATTTAGAGAGTATCTGCAATCACTGACTACATAACCTTTGTCGACAACCATCCAAAGACAGTCTTCCGATCTCGCTCCAATTGCCTGGCACTTTGATGGTAATCCGGTGATAAATACAGGATTTACTCTCCGTGCAAGTATAGACGCAGTCAGGTGCAAGTATGTCCGAATGACTGTCCTGTGTCCAACTAACACGCAGAATTGGTCTGCGTAAGCAGAGCCAGCTTCCACGGAAGAGAGTTATAATCACCCGACGCCGTCGGACTCAGACCTTGGTAGAGGTAGCGGAGCTTGCACGGGCTGATAGTCATGGTTTGGTCTACCTGCGAGCGCACCATCTCGCCATGGCTGATGCTCTTGGTCCAGGAAGTTCCCGAGAAGACCACATTATTCCAACGCGCGAAGGGATTGGCTTCAGTGTTCGCAAGTCCAGTCCATGTACCCGTGAGAGACGGTGCTGTCCATGACCGGAAGTACCGATTCCCATCGCTCCCGATGGCTTCAACGATGAGAAGGTACTGATTTCCCACGCGGTATACATTGGAAGCTTCGAAGAGATTGTTGGGATTCGAGTCAGAGAGTGCAATGACGGTGTTGCCCATGCCGTTGGGAAAGTTGCTCAGTGTGGTCTGGGAGCGGTAGAGGTGGCCGTTGTCATCAGAAGAGAAGAGGTAGCAATTGGAGGAGTCGCAGATAACCCACATATCCACCCAGTAGCCATTCCCGATATTCTGAGTGATGATGCTAGGAACGCTGCTAAAGAAGTTCTTGGGAGCACTCCACCCAGCAGGATTGCTAATATCCTTGTTTGTGGAGTAGGCAGCATTCCCATTCTGGAAGATCAGGTACCACGCCTGCTGCGGCTGGAAGTAGAAGACCTGGGGGCAGCGCGGTATCCTGTCCCAATGCCACTCTGGTCGAGATAGAAGAAGGGTGCATTCCCCGCTTGGTTGAAGTCGGTGAAATTGAAGTACACCAGATTATAGCCTGATGCCTGAGCAGTGCTAGCGAAAACATGATATGTGCCGTCAACCTCTATGATAGAGGGGTCCTTGATTCCCGCGAGGTTGCGGCCGTCGTTCTTGGGACCAACCAGAGCATTGGTCGAGCTCCATTTGAAACTGGTGGGCAGGCTTCCTGTAGCGCCGGATGTGCTTGTCGAGGTTGTGCGTGTAGCGGTGGTTGTCATGGTCGTGCTGGGCATGCAGTTGCCAGAAAGGCATTGATAGTACCAGGCGTTGATAGAGCTGCAGCATGCACCAGCCACACATTGGGTCGAGCCCGTCCAACCATTCCCACCACCTCGTGTTTAATTAGTGATAGTCCATCCCTTAAGAAGGATAGGATATGACGTACATTGGGCATACAGCGGTTGCTGAGCCTGGACGGCCACTGCCAGTCCGAGGAGTGTGGCCCCTATAGCTCTCATCGCGGATCCCTATGAAGGCAGTAAATTTGATATCAACCTGAGGTCTTGCTTGATGAATGATACTCCAGACGCCCTGAAGTATCGAAGTGATGGCCTGTTTTAAAGCACCAAAAGGCCCCTTCGGCATAGGCGACGATCAACAGGTGCCGAGAATATGAAGCAAGAAGATGCACTCCACCGGAGAATCGCTAAATCAATGCAATGCTTTGAGCCACAGTAATCTATATTTCCTCGTTTAGGTACTTTGCGGATGCTGCAGAGTCTGGATATTAGCCGATAGTCGAACATCTCGGGATGTATATTTTGGCTAAAATCAACCCACCACCGGGATCCTCAGCAATGATTTGCCCTTGGAGACCCCGCATAATCTTCAGTAGCACCCTTCTCGCAGATATCTCAATCTGAATGGTCCATCCGAGCGGCATTTGAGGTATACTCCGCTAAGCATGCGCAGGGCCCGGCATTTTGCGGGGAACTCTGACTCCTCCTTGGAAAAGATCTACTAAGTGCTCGGGTCAACGTGGCTAACCAACCTACATCAGCTATCAGTGGTTCATATACCCTTCTGCTATAGTCTGCATAAGCAACACAAGGGCTGTGGAAGTTCCAACAATCTCGTAGACTCTGGGATTCATCAAATGGATTGAAACGGAGTTTGGCCCTTTCTCATTTCTATCCGGCGTCAGTATCCAAGCAGACAAGGACTATAGTCAAATAGCCAGGGCTGAAGTTACATTGGTCTGAAGATGTCAATCTCCTGGTTTAAAATGGGCGATTGGAATACTCACGCCGTGGGCCCTCCCTTTCCCCAGACTCTAAAATGAGGGGGCCAGGCACCACTTACGGTTTTCAGTGGATTGAGTGGAGATTAATTCGGCTAAGAAGCTAGGCGATTATCCGTGCACCGCCTGTCTGCATACTGAGGTCTGGAAGGCGATGCAATGTCCATCCATACAGACTACTCGGGAAAACGGTCCGTCAGTCTCGGAGACTCCACAGGTTGACAATGGGCTGGAAAAGCTGGAATCTCAAGCGAGACTTCACCGAATGATGGTTTACTGGTATGATCTGCTATCATTGCTGATTTGGTGCATACTCCGTACCTAGCGTCTTCCTTCTCCCGCTCGACATCCTTTACTTCTGTCAACAATCCCGGCCACATATGCAAACGACTTTGCTGATCATCGAACAATATGGTACTCAGAATGTCTAGCATGCATCGTTAATAGCAGGGATCTCGGTAAATAGAGATTCCTTCGCAAGTGGAGCTGAACCGAGATCCTTGTCGTAGCAGAAGATGCTCCAGACGATCTATAAAAGCGGACAGCGGGCCTATGAAGTGACTCACAAGACACAATCGCAGGCTCAGAGTTAGTTGCAAGATGAAAGGAATTGTATGCGCGTTTTTCCTCATGACCGCCGCATTAGGCGCAAATTTCAATCAGCCGGTCTTGTGGGAGGACCTGGCTGATCTCGACATTTTCCGAGTGAATGACACTTTCTACTATTCCGCATCAACAATGCATTACTCTCCCGGTGCTCCTATCCTACAGTCGTACGATCTAGTCAACTGGGAATTCGTCGGCCATTCAGTGCCTACATTGGACTGGGGCTCTATCTATAACCTCGATGGGGGACAGGCCTACGTCAAAGGTATCTGGGCTTCGACACTCAGATATCGTAAGAGCAATGGCTTGTGGTACTGGATTGGGTGCGTCCAATTTAGCACTACATACATCTACACTGCGCCTTCGGTGACAGGCCCGTGGACTAAGAGTGGTGTTATCAACACCTGTTACTATGATGCCGGCTTGCTCATTGATGATGACGATACAATGTATGTGGCGTACGGAGGCACTACCATCTCCGTCGCCCAGCTCTCTTCCAACGGGCTCAGTCAGGTCAAGACGCAACAAGTGTTCAAATCCACCATCGGAGCCATTGAGGGCTCGCGGTTCTATAAAATCAATGGCGAATACTACATTTTCAACACGCTCCCCGCCAACGCCGAATATGTCCTCAAGGCAAGCAGCCCATGGGGCCCATATACACAGAAACTACTCTTGAAGGACATCGCAACTCCGATTACCGGAGGTGGTGTGCCCCATCAGGTACGCACCCTGCTATATAATCAAGAGACGACTGAACTAACGGAATATAGGGCGGCATTGTCGATACCCCTGCAGGAAACTGGTATTACATGGCCTTTGTCGACAGCTACCCCGGAGGCAGAGTCCCGGTTCTCGCTCCGATTACCTGGGGCTCCGATGGGTTCCCGGCAATAACTACAGTGAACGGGGGCTGGGGAACCCAGTACCCATATCCTGTGACTCCACGTCCCCTGTCCTCCCCTACAGGAAAAGACACATTCCAGGGCACCACGCTGGGCCCTCAATGGGAATGGAACCATAACCCAGACCCCAGCTACTACAGCGTAAACAACGGCCTGACCCTAAAGACCGCCACCGTGACTTCCAACCCCTACGCAGCCCGAAACACCCTCACGCACCGGATCCTAGGCCCAGACTCCACCGCAACAATCGAGCTGACAATCAACAACATGAAACAGGGAGACCGGAGCGGCCTCGCCATGCTCCGCGACTCCTCCGCATACGTCGCCGTCATCAACAACAGCGGCGTCTTCCGCGTAAGCATGGTCGCCGGACTCACAATGGACGCCAACTGGAACACCCTCTCAACGGGCACCGAAGTGGCGGGCGTCAACCTCTCCGGTAACCCTTCCAAGATCTGGCTGCGCGCATACGCCAACATCCAGCCCGGCAGCGGCAGGACAGCGTCATTCTACTACAGCACCGATGGCTCCAGCTTCCACTCGATTGGAACACCGTACACGCTGAATAATACCTGGCAGTTCTTCATGGGTTATCGGTATGGTATCTTCAACTATGCTACTGTGTCGCTTGGTGGAAGTGTGCTGGTTAGTTCTTTTGAGATGGAGCGCGGCGCTCCGTCGTCTGGCGCGACCACTACAGCTTCGCAGCCAAGTACCACCACCACTCCTCCGGCTGCGGGGCCTACTCAATCCAAATGGGGTCAGTGTGGTGGTAGCGGCTGGACAGGGCCTACCGCTTGTGCGAGCGGATCGACATGCTCGTCAGCGAATCCGTGGTATTCGCAATGTTTGTAGTGAGCCGCACAGTAGCAGGCATAGTAGGTCTAGTGTGTAGAACAGCAATGGGTGTTGAAGATGGCTTTGCATGCTACACATAGCTTTCAGAGATCATCTACTTACCTACTTACCACACTTTCCACGCAGTAATTCTCTATCAATATGAAAGGAGCTTTACCTGGACGTTTCCAGCGGTACATGTCTCTCGAATGGTATCGACTTGCGCATCGAGTCTGTCGCCTTCCATGAAGTTATAAAGTCTTTACTATCAGGATGATGCGCTCCCTCCCTATTTGTGTAACATTTATTCGTCAGTAAGATGACCCAATGCCATAACGAAATATCAAAATAGCATGTATGAAAACCTCAGAAACCTCAATTATAATCACAAAGACGCCCAACTTAAGCAAAAGGATGTCTTCATTTCGGCGAGTGAAAGGTATACTCATCATTGAAATAGATTGCAGGGAAACTGGGAAAGGGGAGTATCATACCTGATCTTCTAATATACGGAAGGTCGATATTGAAGTTGTTGTCCTTGTCTGTTGTGCCCATGATGGGTTTTTGCTGGGTTTATATAGCTGTAGTAGGTTACTCTATAGTATATACTAAACTTATGCAGTTCACACTGTGTTGCTCAATTTTCTCTATCCATTACGAAAAAGTACATGAGTTGTCTCAGACCACAGTTCGATGTACCCCTGCCATGACTCTATGGGCCATGGATGACATGCCTGCCCTCGTATAGTCAGATGGTGCTGAGTTGTCAGTCCTAAACATTTGACTCAATCCCTCTTTTCATAGCGAGTTAATTAGATTACAGGTTGCTGTACTTATGGGTGGAACCACACAGGGTGAGTCACCTCGTATATTGCTCCCTCCCGATACCGAATTAGGGCATTGATCGGTCAGAGAGTGAGTCAAGTGAGTCACCTCGTAACCAGCAAATAACTACATCGAAGCAAAAGATTGATACTAGCTGTCAAATGAGGCAGCGGGCCGAGTAGATCAGCGCCAAGGTAGTGGAGTGGCTTACTATATTATTGCAGCTCATAGCCAGTCGATAAAGGAAAGCAACCCAGGTAACGTATATGATATATGCCATAGATGACAATAACGTTAATACATTTGATATTCTACAGCAAGGTCCAAGTGATAATCTACTCCAGCATATTTAGTAGAGTGCTCTGATTATAAGTTATAAATGATTGCGCCAGGAGACGTCGGGTCCATTGAAATATACATTCGGGAACGGCTTCAACGATGTCAGGTGGAGGGAGCAATCTAGGAAGTCCCACTGTGAGGAGAATGACGACTGTCGGAGTCCAGAATGGTATTGCTTCGCTTCAATGGAACTCGGATTCCTCGCGTCTCATCCTTATCATCCGTCGTGCTCTTGTCGAGGTGCTCATAGGTGACATTCAACGCGGTTGATGACCATATGTTAAGGCTGGTTCTTCCTTGAATTAATGAGGCCAGAGGTCGCGAGGTTATTCTGCTTCTCGCCACCAGCAAAGACTCGAGCTAAAGTTATAGAGTAAGGTCTTTGCTGTCGTCCTCCTTTAGTAGACATGGATGCATTTGTAAAACTAAGCCTTGTGGCAAAAAGCCGATGAGGAAAGGCAACAAAGAAGATCTTAATCCCTCTGCCCCTGGCAAAAAGTAGTGCAACATGTGACATGATTTCTGAATGTGTCCACCAAAACATTAGATTCCTACCTGTTTTCTATTACCACCCTATCAATCTTTAGACAAAATAAAAAAGGATAGAGCTATAGGTAACAGGCTGACTGCACTTACCCTAACTAAAAATTTAGGGAATCCTCTTACTACTGTAGGCTGTAGCTATATAATTAGGCCTCTTAGAATCTACTATCTTCTGCATATAGAAATGCCTAATTATAAAAGAATGTAGTTACTGCTTAGAAGATATATTAATCTATTAAAGAATAATCTCTTATAGATAGACCTTATTTAGCTACTGTATCTTGTTAGTTATGAAATGATCAAACCAGGAGTATGCAGCTAGACTACAACAGGTCACATGTGATGTGTTATGCATATTGTTCACATCCCTAGAATTCTTAACACAGCTTCTCCTTGTCACTTCACGCCTATTGATACTTGCCATCATTGAAGAAGGTAAATTTCACACAACATGGGATCTATCACAGAACCTGATCATCTTCCGTCAATCAGCTACGCTGATCTTCGACACGAGGATACAGGGATCAGAGATAGAGCGGCTGAAGCTTTCACGCAAGCCCTCCGGGACTACGGGGCATGCCGAATACGAGATCATGGAATCCCGCAGGATAGACTTGACATGTGCTTTGAGAAGGTGAGTGCCATACCACGCCAGAACACATTCGTCAGGTTGCTGTATTGATGAATTGAACTCCGTCAGTGCCGGCAGTTCTTCGAACGAGAGCCTGGAGAAAAGGCAGCCGATTGCGCCAGGTCTGGAGTAGCCAGCAGAGTGCGATTCGTCCCGTACGGAAGTGAAAAGACGCGTGGGGAACCACACTTGGAAGAGGTTCTGCAGCTCCGAGATGGGATCTATAATATGGGCGGGAATTGGTCCCTTGAGGCACGAGAGCTTATCTGCGCATCGGAAAACTTGCATACCACATGTAGTGTCATTCATTGCACACTGCTTGAGTGTCTGTCGTCCTCTCTGCATCTGACTCGATCTTTAGCCTCTATCCACCACAAAGAGAACTCGTTCTTCGCGCCCACCTACTTCGCCCCGTGCTCTCATGATGAAGACATCCTCCGCGTCCCTGTCCACATCGACCCCACGACGATGCTGTTCAATTTCCCGGACTCGCATGGCGGCCTCAAAGTTGCGGACCTGAGAGACAGGGCTGGAAATCTCTCTGCTGTAGAGGTGCAAAACACAGCGACGTTTATTCCGACGGGCTGTCAGCCCGGGGAATTCGTTGTCCTAGCGGGTAATCTTTTAAGGAGGCTGGCTGGAGGTATAAAACATGCGGTGCATTACATCGAGCGGCCGCTGGAGTCTTCCGGGTTTCATTTGAATTACTGGACAGTACCGGATATGGATACTCCTTGTGACTTTGGCGGCAAACGAGAGACTGTGGAAAAGTATTTGGTCAGGGTATTTCCATCAACATTTGGTCATTCCTAGTGCATTTCTGGGTTGCTGTGAAGACAAGTTGACCAAGCTCCCTCGGGTATAAGTACTTATAACCACCTAACAAAATATAGATATTACCTATTTCGGAAGTTATACAGACCTTACCTATATAGCATGTTGAGGGGGCTGTGTTATGCTGGCTTAGTCAGCCCACTGCTTAATGAGCTAGCCCCTATCCTACATTCTTACTGCTGGTTAGGCTTCCTAAGTAGAGAATCCAACCACCTCCAGCATATCAGGAAGCGTCAGCAGCGCTGTGGCCTAGTCTAGATTGTCATCACGCTATCATTCCCTCTTTCTGTAGTCTCGTCTTTTCTTTTCTCACTTGTAAATATTTCTATTAAAACAAAAAGGACCCAAAGAAACAAATATAGGATAGAATCTTCATCATGACGACGGCAGCAGTGTTCGGCTGCACAGGAGCAGTGGGCTCTCAGATTCTCGCTACCCTCCTCGCCATAGACTCATTCTCATCCGTCAAAACAGTCTCACGGAGACTTCCGAATGTCCAGTCACCCAAGCTCGAAGCCATGCAAGAAGGCGACACTTCCAGATGGGCCGGCATGATCTCCTCCTTCTCACCCAAGCCATCAGTCGTCTTCAACGCTGTCGGCACCACAAGAGCCGCAGCCGGTGGACTCCAGAATCAGTGGAAGATCGACCACGACTTGTGTATCGAGAACGCCCGGGCAGCAAAGGAGGCAGGAGTCAAGACGTACGTGTTCATTTCGGGTGCAGGCATTCGAGGATTTCTCGCTCGCTACCTGCCCTTTTCGAAGATGAAGATTGGCGTGGAAGATGCCATCAAGGAACTTGGCTTTGAGCATGCTATTATCCTGCGGCCTGGTATGATTATCGGGAGGGAGAATCCCAAATCTGCGCTCTTGGAGAACATCGTGGGAAATATGAATAAGCTGGGACAAGGTGTCCAGGATAGCTTAGGTATGACCAGCCTGATCTGTGCTGACTGTTTTGATACTGTGAAACTGACTCTTGTGTGCAGGTCAAGATCAGACTGTCATTGCCAGAGCAGCTGTAGCAGCTGCCCGTATGGCCGACGAGGGGAAGGCCCCGTCGAAATATTGGGTTGTGGAGATGGGTGATATTGTCAAGCTGGGCAGAGATGAGTGGAAGGAGTAGCTCAATATGTATATAAGTGGCCATTTAAGTAGCGCTGCTGTGGAACAGTACAGTGAACCTGTCAATCATCCTGACCATTACCGCTGCTATTGGTAAAAAATCCGTATTAGAGGATTACCAATCCTCCAGTGGAGCGATTCTATCTCGCAATTTGATTAGCAGTTGCCAAACGAATCGCCCGCTTTCATCCACATCTATGGTTCTTTTGCCCGTGAAGTAAAGAAAGTAGTCCAGGCCACCTTTTGTGGGAATACGTTCATGTAGAATACATGGCACGGGCTCACGACTAGCACAATTACACGCCCAGGTACACCTACTCAGGACTTTGCATGAGCAGTGAAGGTGGTCACAACAGTCAGTGGCACCTATCGTGAACCGCCTTACATATACTGCCTGTAAACTGACACTGTCAATGTGCGAGAACTCAGCCCGTGTTTTCATCCAGTGATCTTATACAGATTGACGAATGTTCCGCCTTGCAATGACGAAATGTATCCGCGGTTACGGTTGTCCAGGGCAGGTTACTCTGGGATTGGGGATAGGTTCCCGGGGGACATGCATAGAGTTAACACCAGACTATATAAAGATGAAAGACATCCAGACCTTATCTACTGTTATTTTACCATCTGTTATTTCCCATATTTCAAGTAGCAATCAAGCTCACATCCCCATGAACCAATTCCACCTCACCAATTAATGAGCGGCTATCGGACTTGTACCAGCCATTATGAGATAGCGCCTGCGAGCAAATCCATTTAGCTCCAAGGCGCCACTTGCGAGTTTGTGGTTGGACTGAATGAGGAGAAACGCTGCGCTTCAGGTTTCATCTGCGACTCTCCGGCGGCTATTCCTTCTGATGCTCATGAGTGGCCGGAAATGGGACACTATGCGCTCTGTGGTAGATTATTATTTCTAAAGATGCTGTCGAGCCCTCGCTAGATTTTATTACTAGGATATCTCTGCAGAAATGCATTATCAGGCCTGGTGAGCCGAGTCAATCCAGTTGTCTGACTCCATACGCACAAGGCTGAGATCTAGAGAACATAGTATAAGGTACAGCCACTTCAGCAACGCCTTCCAGCCTTGCCCGTTCTTGATTATATATAAGAGAGAAAGCGCCTTAAAAGTCACTACACCTTAAAGCGAGAGCGAAACTAAATGCAGGAGAAGCGGAGGAAGTGTCAGTATGGCAGCAACACAACCCCTCATCCAGAACGCATTCCAGGCAGCGGTGCACGAATTCAAAACAAATCTTAACAACGATCAGCTCTACACCAAGCTGCTTGCAGTCACATCCATTGACGAAGTCTACGACCTGACCGACAAACTTCAGGCCGACCAGGGCAGAAAAGGGCATCTCCGCCATCTAGCCAAGATCGAGCCTTTCCTCAACCGGCTCCGAGAATATACTGGCGTCATTGACACTTTTGTGCAGGTATATCCGGAAATCATGGGGTTGATATGGGGTCCGATTAAGCTGCTACTGCAGTGGAGTAGTGCCCTGACGAAGTCGTTTGATGCGATTGTGAACACGACAGCGGACATTGGATTGTTGCTACCGGAGTTCCAGGAGGTTGTCGTCTTGTTCTCGGGAAATGATAGGATCTATGATGTGCTGGTTTTGTTTTTCAAGGATATCCTCGACTTTTATCAGATTGGGTTGAAGTTCTTTTCCATGCCGCGTATGTATGGCTGATACGTGGCATATGTCTGGTGTGTGCTCTGGAGCTGACTATGATCTTGCTTGATGCAGGCTGAAAATACTTTTTCGAGGCTTTGTGGCCGCGGAAGAAGGAGCACATTAATCTGGTGAAGACTCACATTGAACGGCACGCTCTGCTGATGCGAAACGAAGTGAGGCTGGAGCATATTCGAGAGGAGCATGACACTCGCTTGAAGGCGTTTGAGCATTTCAAAAATGCTGAGAAATCTCACCGATTGCAGCAATTCTACGCTATCAAAGCGGACATGAGTCCGAGGATGTATGATGATAAACTCAACTGGTTCCATAGCCGTGTCTGTGAAGGTACAGGGACTTGGCTGTTTAAAGAGGACGTGGTAAAGGATTGGTTGGATGTCAGTAATGGTTCTTCAAAAGTCGTCTGGCTTCAAGGAATTCCGGGCGCAGGTTCGTGAGCCTCCTCTCCATGTCGGCCCTGAATAACAAAGACCACCTCTAGGAAAGACGTTTCTTGCTGGTGCCGTGGTAGACAAGGCGTATACCATCGGTCATACTGCTTTCGCCTTTCTTAGTCATGCCTTCAGCAGCAGTACTTCGGCTCTAGGTGTTCTACACTCGCTTCTATTCCAGCTGGCCTCTCATCACGAGGACCTCCAAGATGTACTCTGTCACTCAACCATTGAACAAATCAAAAGCAATGTTACCGTGGCGGCGGATACACTCAAGACGGTTCTGGATTGCGCCGGCCAGGTCTTTCTCATTATCGATGGCTTAGACGAGATCGACGAGGTTGAGCGTGGAGTGCTTTTGAAGCAACTCCTGCATCTATCTCATGAATGCCATGAGACCCGCATTTTCATCAGCAGTAGACTAGAGGAAGATATCGCGGCAATTCTCGAGGCCAGATCGGAAATGATTCGGGTTGACGGGAAAAATGAGGAAAGCATCCAAGTCTTTGTCGACTATCAGCTGAAGCAGATTTTCCAGAGTAGACGGTTTCCTCCTCAACTCCAGGATGAAATAAAGCGCTCATTGGCACCGCTTGCACCCAAAGCCAAAGGTAGGAGATGCTTTTCTCGGCGCGATCTTGCGGCTCACGCAACTACTTAGGGATGTTCCTGTATGCGAAAATCGTCTTGAGTGGTATTGAGCTGATAGACGATGTGGCTGAAATTTGCGAAGATTTGAGCATTCTGCCAGAAGATCTGGATGATGCGTAGGGATATCTGGGATCAAAATTAGACGATGAACTGAGCTGTTACAGGTATTCCCGAGTACTTGTACGAATCAACAAACTGCGACCACCGTCAGCCCGCGACAAGGCCAGGAGAATACTGGCCTGGGTGGGTTGCTCGCCGACACCACTAACCGTCCAGGAGGTCGAGCAAGCACTGACGATCAAACCTGGAAGCCTTGAATTGGAGAAGAAAGTGTTCGCCAGTCCAAACCTTAACCGACTCTGCGGACCCATTATCGAAATAAGTGATGGATATATTCAATTTGTACACTTCACAGTCAAGGAGTATGTATCGTGAGGTCTGGCTGGAATATATCTGGCTAACAGAGAGCAGATACTTGTTCAGTCCCGGCATAGACGGACATATTAGTCTTACCCATGCGACCCTCGATCTTGCCATCTGCTGCACTACTTTTCTCAGTCAAAGTCATTACGAGGTCGATACTTTGCCCGATGATGATGGTTTCACCAGCCTCCTACTGGATGGGAGCTATAGATTGCATCACTTCGCAGTAAATGGCTGGTATGAGCTGGTCAAAAAGTACTTGCAGTTGACAAAGAACAAGCCACTGCCACTAGGCCTTGTGCACTGCCTAAGGACGCTGATGGTTAAACGCAGCAACGAGGAGTTTGCAGCAGAGCGCGATACCTTTTTCAAACCTGCGTACTTGCAGCCTATCAAAACAGAGTATCCGGATCTGTATCACTTTCTTATTAGAATAGCCCAATTTCATGAGAGATGCTCACAAACTTGGTATCATGTCAACGAAGGTATACCACTAACTCAAACCTTCGGGCAGAGGACTGACTTTGATAGGGGACAGATGGAACAGGTTTGATCCACTGTCAATATTCCGTGTATCGGCGAAGATATACCGAGAGCTGGACTCCAAGCTGTGCTCTTCCAGTTATCATCAACCAAACTGCCACTGCGACTCCATTGAGCGAAACTTCGGCAAACGTCCGTTCAAATGCGGGTTCTTGAACTGTTCTTTTCAACAGCATGGCTTCGAATCAAAAGCGCAACGAGCAAAACATGAAAAAGAGCATACTCGCCCTTGGAAATGCAGCGTCTCCGGGTGCGAGTATGAAAATATAGGATTTCTATCACGCAGCATGAGAGACCAACACCTGGAAAAGGCTCATAAAGACAAGACACCACCAAGGGATCTCTCCGCCGACACAATCGAACAGGATGAGGTGCAGGCACTGGTGCTCGATTTGGTCAGAGAGGATGAAGTGGAGATGGTTGAGCGTCTCCTGCCGCGCGTTGACGATCTCTATCGATTTTCATCTCTGTTAGGCAAGACGGTAGGCGAACTCGGGTCTTTGCCAATGGCGCAGATGATCACGCGGGTCTGCGAGGAGGGGGAGAAGCACAGGGCTGTGGATCAATTTTATCACGGAGCTATAAAGACCGGTAACGTCAAGTTTATTGATTGGCTTATCAACACGAATCAGATGCCGGAATATAGAGATGAGGCGGCGTCTATTACTGCTGCCTTCGTGAAGAGCGACTCTGAGGACATGTGGAGACTCTGCGAGCAGTTCATGGCGGCTCTCTCGCGTGTTGACGACACGGACCGAAGGATGTCCGATGTTTGCCTTGAAGAGCCGGTCATAAATGCTACCTGCAGGGTCGCGAATCGAGAAAAGATGTTACTTTCCCTTTGGGAATCCGTGGGGGCAATTAAGAAGCTCAAGGCTGCTAAGCTTTCATATGCCTTGGGGGTTGTTGCAAGAACGACGTGCTCTATTCCACTCGGGAGAGCGCTTCTCCAATACGGAGCTGATGTCAATGGACAGAAGGGTAAATTAGCGGTTTCGCCCCTTCAATTTGCTGCGCGGAAGTCGTCGATTGAAAATGCAGAGTTCATGAGATTCCTCCTCTCTGTTGGCGCCGATCCGGAACATGTATCCCGCTCGCGAAAACCTTCCGACGAGGTAGGCGCCAAGGAAATTGTCCGGTGGCTTGGGATGACATGGAATGAACTTGTCGAACAGACGAGAGATTGTAGGATGGGCGCCTCCGCTGCCCCTCCAGATCCTTCAGTACGGCCATGACCTTGGCGAGCTGCCTAGGGCATTCAGCTGAGGGGCAGGCGGTGTTGCGACGCTATTCCGCTCGTCATTATGGAACACTTGCTCGTTAATCAATGTGTTGAAAACAAAGAGCATCTGCTGCCAATATGCTCAAAGAAATGCACCAAAAAGGCTACATAACAAATCATCATGGGATGATCCATAGGCAGTACACTGCAGTAGATGTAATTAAAACGACACTTAGGCTGTTTGAGAATCAAGACTAAGACAAACTTAATGAGAGCCAGACCGGGTTATCCTTGCAGAAGTTCTGCAGCCCAACCAGACCGCTCCAGCTCTGTAAGGTTGTGAAGACCTTGCTGATCCGAGTCGTTCCTATAAAAATGTGGCGGTACCCCGTCCAGTATCTCTTCCCCTCTCTTCATCCATTCAACCAATTCCATCCTCTCATCCGTGGGAAAAATTGACAACCACCTCCAAGCCATCATGTCTACAAACCCAGGCCAAGTCTCCCCCCTTGCGGGAATAACCCGCTACATCACCACCCACAACCCCTCCGGACAAGCCATCATCCACTCGGAGCAGCCCGTCACCTGGGGCTCCTACGAGGACGGCGCGCTAGGCATGGGGTCGCCTACACGACCTCCGAATTCCCCGCCAACCTAAACAACGAGACCGACATCAAAACTCACGAGCAACTCATGCAGAAGAATGCACTGGGCCTGGTGAACCCTGGCGGGACGGTGTGTCGGTTTGTCGATTTCGGGCCCGGTGGAGAGCCGTTCATGCATCGCACGCAGAGCCTGGACTACGGGATTGTGCTGCAGGGGGAGATTGAGATGATTCTGGATTCTGGGGAGAAGAGGATGTTGAAGCCGGGGGACATTGCTGTGCAGCGGGGAACGAAGCATGCGTGGAGGAATCCGAGTGAGGTGGAGTGGTCGCGGATGGTCTTTATATTGCAGGACATTCAGCCGATAGTGATCGGGGGGTTGTGCTTGGGGAGGATATCGGTGGGTCGGGGGAGATCAAGCCTAGTCAAGGTGATTGACCGGTGTGTCATGTCTTTTTCTAGATATAATCTGAGATATAGTACATGATATACGATGAATGACTACTGGTCCTTCACCTTGATCACGACCTTTCCGAAATGCGCTCCGCTTGCCAGGAACTTGAACGCCTCCTTGGACTCCTCGAAGGGGAATACCCGGTTGACAACAGGGTGGATCTGGTGCTTCTCATAGAACCGCACCATCTCCTCGAAGCGGTCCTTCGGACCGTTAATGATGCCCTTGATCGTCAGGTTTTTGCGCAGCGTGAGCACGTTCATGTTGAGAGTGTCATTCGGATTCTGCTGCTTTCCGGATGTGTAGCCAATGCAGTCGATCAATCCACCAAAGGCGACGCAGTCAAGGGTCTTGCTCAGTGTCTCCGAGCCGCCGGTCTCGAGGATGATGTCCGCGCCGTGGCTGTCTGTCACCCGCATCACCTGCTCGTTCCAGTTGGGGTTCGTGCGGTAGTTGATGGTATAGTCGGCGCCCAGCTTCTTCGCTCGCTCCAGCTTCTCGTCGGACGAGGACGTAATGATCACTGGGAAAGGTCAATCGCATGTCACAAGAATGTATAGGCATTACGACACAAACCTTTCGCCCCAGATGCCTTCGCAATCTGCAAACCAGCAATCGACACCCCGCCCGTCCCAAGCAGCAAAACATACTCGCCCTCTCCTCCGTTCTGTCCCATCGGCCGCATGCCATTAATTGACATCCACGCCGTCACGCTCGCAATGGGAAGCGTACTAGCCTCCTCGTGCGTCATGTAACCGGGGGCCCGAACCAGAGCCTGCTCAGCGAACACACGATGTGTCGCCAACACACCATCCAGCGGCAAGCCCAGACCGCGTGCTAATTCCTTCTCGGTCACTTGCCCAGTCTGGTGATCCGGGAGGAAGGTCGATAGGACGCGATCGCCGGCTTTCCAGGTCGTTACGCCTTCGCCCACCTGAGTGACCACACCGCTCATGTCGCTGCAAGGGACGACGACAGTTTCGACTCCCTGGGTTGCTTTGTGGTGGGTGTACTCGCCCATTACGACTAAGACCAGAATAAATATTCGAAGTTCGGTACATTGAATCGAGGCTACTGACCTTCGGTATCGCGATAATTCAAAGAAACAGCATAGATTTCCACGAGGACTTCCCCGTGGCCGGGTGCGGGCATGGGGCCTCGGCCTGCTGCAGGCTGTCAAGGCCTTTCAGGTTGCTCCTCCATTGCTTGATAGATGGTGACATTTTAATGATTTGAAGCTCGACCTTTGATGTTCTCCAGGAAGGTTCAAAAGCTCAAAATTTATGCAATAACTAGATGGCCAGAATTAATAATGCTGAAAAATGCGTCACTGTGGAGTCGCCCCGCAGTTGGAGAATCTCGGCGATTTTCCTTTTCTCAGCGGTGGAACATTGTCCCATGGCTGTTGACATGTTGATATCGATGGCCTATGTGATCCAGAAAGATAGATCGAGGGCGTATTAGACATTGGAGAATGCAGAAGATGCAGTCGTGATGCACGAGGTTGTGTGGGGTGGTTTTACCCCAATGAGGGGTCGATGATCGGCTTGGAGAACTTTTCCCGTTCGGAAGTAGGAGCCTCGGTCTGGGAGATGCAGAGCACATACTATGTAGATCAGACTCAGGGTTGACAACTGAGAGATAGTGGCCTCCTATCGCGGTTATGCCGAATTTTATCGGCCCCTGTGACTGCCTGAATGCTTGACCGGCGAGCAGCTTGTTGAAGTTTCTTCCGCAGAAGTCGCGAGCTTAGTATGGTCATGGTCAACAGAATATTTCCCTGTGTATCGCGGACTTGCTCTTAATGTGTATTAGGGATACGCCTTCAGCAACCCCGTATGGTATACGATGTATTGATGCGGAACAGCACCTCCCCGAAGCGATCGATGTCAAAGGTACCGTTTCTTTGTCAGTGCGAAGACCTAAGGTAAAAACCTCACTTATTTCCCCGGTACGTTGTCCATAACCTCTTCGTCTCCAACACCCAACGGACTCGATGTAGGTCGTAGACCGGTCCACTCATACAACAAACGCCAGCAATCCAAGCAACAGCTGGCTGTCACTGTGGTGGAGTACACTTACACCGTCGGCGCAATATGCACTACGTAAAGGAGTCTAGTCATCAAGTGCAACAGCTTGTATGATCTGTCTAGAGATTATCTACTCCGTAGTTGATGAACGACAATCTGAGAAGCTCTTGACCGTAGTACTGGTGAATCGCGGCCGTCTTGCGGTCCGGAGGGTCTCCTGCCGCTGATATGTCTCTGCGAACAATAGCAAAAGAATTAAGGAACAGTCCTGAACACAGTCGACTTCATATGTTGTACCACATGTGAGTTGCAAGGTAGTGGAATACATACGTCCTCAACATATATATTCCCTGGTAGATTGGCTCTGGATCCACACCAAAGCAGCTCACTCAGGAGATAATCCAAGAGTCCAAGCTTTGCTCCTCGTCCCAGTTGTAGCTTTTCTGATCCTTCCATCTATTAGACACGCGTCATCCCCGCTGAGGTGAGAAATCTTCTCATCAAGCAGAAGAATATCTATCGATGGTTGTCTCAGGCATCCACGAAACAACGCATCCACACATGGATATGCAAGTCTCCACCCCTCGGCCCTGGCCCCTTATCTCCGGCCCACATGCACGTCATGGCAGAGGCATAAACAACTATAAACAACCATGAATCTCTTCCTCCTTTGATCTTCTAGACATAGACAATCACAACCATCACATCATGAACCCCCACCTAAACCCCAAACAATCGCCCACCGCGGCAAAACCAAACACCCCACCGTCACAAACCCCGCTCCTCCCAGTACCCCGAAAACACCCTCGAGAGCTTCCGCGCCGCCGCCGCCGCCGGCTGCGACGCCATCGAGACGGACCTCCGCGTCTCCCGCGACGGGGTCGTCGTGCTCTGCCATGACCGCTCGCTAGAGCGGGTCTACGGCGTGAAGCGGTTCGTGGACGAATATACCTGGGAGGAGTTGCGGGCTCTCAAGACCACACAGGCGCCGCACGTGCGGATGCCGCGCTTAGTAGATTTCCTGGCGCTGCTTTGTGAGCCTGGGTGGGAGGGGATTTGGGTGGTGTTGGATATCAAGGTATATACTACTCTACTCTAGTCTACCCTAATTCTACTCTGGTTTGGGAAAGATAGGATACTGACAGAAATAGCTGGGTAATCTCCCCGAGCGGATCATCCCGCTTCTTGCGGAGGCGTTTGAGTCCGTCGCGCCGGCTACGCCGTGGTCGAAACGGCTCGTCCTCGGGTGCTGGTCTGCTGCGTTCTTCCCACTGTGTGAGACCTACTTGCCTGGTTTCGAGACCGCGTTGATCTGCTTCGATCTGTGGTATGCGGCGCGGGTGCTGCGGGAGAGTCCGGCGTCGGTCAATGTCAACCAGAAGGTGTTGATGGGGATGGGGAGGGGGTTTCTGGAGGAAGCGCGGGCCGCGGGGCGGCGGGTGTTTGTGTGGACGGTGAACGAGCCGAGTTTGATGCGGTGGTCGATTGAGCGGGGGGTTGATGGGATTATTACGGATGATCCGGGACGGTGTCGGGCGATGGTGAAAGGTGTTCCGGCGGGGACTCGAGACGAGAGAGTCACTGTTTCGCAGAGGGCTCAGGCGTGGGCTGTGTCGCTTCTGGTGGTCATGTTTGGGTGGCTTTTTCGACGGAAGTTTCTGTATAAGCTGGAGAAGCGGGATAAGAGCGAGTAAATAGATTTCACATTAATCATTAACGTCCTATTCACATGGCCGACCGCAATTCCAAGTATAGTACACCAAGTATGCACAAGCAAGCAAGAGCAGACCTTCTGAAGCGACAGTGGGGATATATAGCGTATGAACAAGAAATGTAAAGAATTGAGGTCAAAGCAAGGGTATATAGCGGTCCAGACCAGATGAAGAACGAGTGAAATAAATCCAAATATGTAGACCACGAAGAGCGCGAAAAGTTCAATCAACGCTGCCACCAGTTCATCAGGACAATTGAACAAAATGATAGAAATCATGTCATCATTAACCGGGTCGTCCGCCTCTCCGGGAATCGTCGGGCGCCCGCTGGGGAGGCCCACGCGGTACATCCAACATCCCGGAAGGACGACGAGAGCCAGGACCAGGACCCGGGCCGAAGCCAGGTCCATGACCAGGGCCAGGGCCAGGGCGGCGGGGATACCCAGGAGGCATCGGGGGTAGTTCGGGGGACGAGCGGCCAAGGGCGAGGATGGCAAGGTTGGCCGGCGCATGCGATTGGGCGACATGGATGCAGCTGCGCGGCGAGCGTCGCGTTCGCAGTACACCAGACCGTTCCATTCAAAGTACTCGCCCTTTACGGGAATCCCGCAGGTCCGGCAGGTCAAACAGTCGGGGTGGAACTTCTTGTGATCCGCCGGCCCCGGGCCGCTTCTCTCGTTCGTCTCGAGATACTGGCCTTCGATACCCTTGTTGCATGCACTGCAAAGGGACCCGTTCAGTTCATGATAGTGCTGTGCACAGTATGGGTGGTCATTCAGCACGTAGAAATCGGCCGTCTCGAATGGCGATCGGCAATGACAGCAGACGAAGCATTCGCGGTGGTACCGCCCAGTCAGGCGGCCATCCTTGGACGAGACAGACTTTCCTAGAATTGCCTCACCGCATCCCCTACAACGCCCTTTGGGACGAGGTGGCGGTCGAACGGGAGGCTCTGTCGCCGATCGAGTGATCGTGGGCCGTTCCGGGGGCTCGTTTCGAGGATCGTGAGATTCTTGTCGTACGAGAGGTATGCGAGGTTCGCGAGGCTGTGGAGGAAGGCTTGGTGCCTTGTCTACCACCAAGGACAAACTACCTTGATTGATGGCCGGGTCTGTCGGGGAGTCGGGACTGAGAAGTGAAGCAGGAATTCGCGGGGGTTCAAGATCAACGGGACTTTCCGTCTGCTCGGTTTCGGGCAACACTGGTTGCCGATTGCCACTGGCCTGCTGCTCTTTGACGACTCCCAGTCGGCTCGTCTCCGACGGCTTTCTTCTTGACAGGCTTGCTTCGGAGGGAAGACTGGAGATTGAGGTTCCGCTCCGTGTTTCAGAGGGCGACGATTCGGAAGAAGAAGAGGTCGAATTTTCCGTCGCATGATCGGGGAAATCGAGACCTAGAGCACGAGCAAACTTGGAAACTGATGTATTGCTTTCACTGCTCGAATCTGTGCCTTTCCTCGGCACATCCTTTGGCTCAGATTGCGAGACACTGGGTGGTTCAATGTCTGACACGGAGGGTCGGAAAGCTTTGTATGACACGTTGGCGGAGGAGGCAGACGACGATCGTGCTTCATTAGGATCAAGCCAATCAGCAGGTAAGCCAAACGAACTTTGCGATGGGCTTCGGAAGAAGAGCTCAGCGGAGCCTCGTGTGCTGCTAAGCCGGTCGGAATTCGTATGAGACGATACACGCAATGGATCAGGAAATGATTTCTCGGCGGTTGCTACTCCGAAATCGAACCCGCTGAAGCTGCCGCCCTTTCCGTCATGCTTCTGGTTTTCCGTCCCAGCTGATTGCTCCGCTGAGGATGAATGCTCGATCAAAGGTTCTAGATGATGGGCGCGGCCGGATGATGCCTCTTCCGTAAATTGATGTGACTCTTGAGCAATGCTGCCGAATGAGGGTCGCCGACTGGACATGGCAGTCGATCGCTTGGAGTTGTTCTCGCCATACCGGCTACTCCCGGCGGATGTTCCGTAACTACTCCTGCTGTCAATCGAGTCCCCATGTCTATGGGAGATCGCTTGAGCGCGAGGCGCATCATGCTGTTTCGTCAAAGGCGGGGGTGAACGTCCTCTCTCGTATCCTGACATGCGCGCACTCTGCGGAGGCAGCGAAGCCTCTCTATCCATCGCATGCGCGAATTGCGGCGAGGGCACTGGCGGTGCAGTTTGGGCTATCTGCAACAGCGACAGCGAAGCATTTCGTTTCTTGGACATCGATCGTGGCAGGGGGAAAGCCGGCAAATTGCCAACTGGTTTGATCACATCAGGCGAATCGGGCTCATCCAGAAGGGGAGAGATGCGACTTCTTTGCTGCAAATACGGCGACCGTTGTCCTGTTGATACTGAGAGCGGAGACGGGGTCAGAGAGTCCTTTTCACTCTTCGATAGATCTTCATTGGGGTGTAAGTACGACCGATCTAGTCGATCCAATCACATTAGTCCACGTCTATTGATAGGAAAGGATGAGCTCGATGTGCATCATAACATACTCGCTAATGATGGATCGATGCGCGGTGGAGGCCCCGGTCGTCCCAGCCTGGGTCCAGACGGGTTCCTCAGGTGTGTTGAGGCTGTCGCAGAGTCGGACTTTGGTGGAGGCGATGGAGGCGGCGGAGATGGAGATGCTGGACAGAGTCAGTCACGCTGGCATATGTTGATATATTTCAGTCGAGCAACTACCTGGCGCAGGTTTGCAGACGTGATCTCCCATCTGCGAGATCTCGACCCTCATCCCGCAATTGGAGCATTTGATGGTGGGCAACAGGGCCCCGTCCATCAATCCCGCCATATCGACCGACAAGAGGTCTACAGGATATACGAATCACTGATATTGTTCGTTCATTGAATTGATAACAAGCACAAAGGTGAATGAATTTCTCAGATTAAGCAGTAGCCGTCATCTGTCGGTTTGCTCGGTCTACCACTGGTTACCATCCACGTAAGGATCCCTGCTCGTTCTGCATCAAAGACTGAATCCTGCAGTTAAAGTGGTCAACCAGTCCAGGAATAGCGCAACAATCAATGTTCGAGATGCATAGAAGTAGGTATATGTCAAACTGCAAGGAGTGGAGGAAGAGGAAAATGGATGATAATAATAGTCCAATTGCTGTTTGGAGCCGTGTTTCTGTCGAGTGGGACCAACCGCGACTGATGGCCCTCGTGTGACGATCCAGGACTTTAGTGTGCTTTCTTTTTCGACGGCGCGGCCCCAATCAGGAGTAGTTCAGGATGACACGCGTTCTTGAATTGGTCTTAGTCTTATTCTGCTCTATTTTTCTCGCGGCAGAAGAAGGCTGTTGGCGGATCAAAGCGAAATAATCGAACCTACGAGATGTTGGCTTGCCTGAGGCGTCGAGGTCTGATTGGGTGATGATATTTTTTTCTGTTTACGCCCCTTTTCCCGTTGACCACACGCAAATATTGGCCACTGTTGGATGCTTCTAACCTTCTATGATGATTCTTTCAGACAGACTTGGATCTCAGATCAATCTGGTCTTCTAGATATCTGGATATCTGATAATTGAGAGCACTATCAGGTACTGGGGATACTCATGATTGTGCCTCTCAGAAAGGTCCATGGTCCAGGATGACAACCCCCTGAACCAAGAACCACCGAAACTGCCGATCGTTCGTCAGGGGCAACTGTTCACTCTACTATCAATCCATTGGCTGTCAATACATCAGCCCTGTTCCTCCCTCGGATCAAAACTCTGAGGTCGTATCCATAATCCAACCCTGATGGTGCACGAGCCTCTCATTAGCCTGTGTATTCTTGCTGCCAATGTTGATATGATCACAGTGCTCTCTGATTGCTGAATCCTTCGTCTAGGGACTCAAGATTACTTGCAGGTGTCTCTAGGTTTGTTCGGACGGCTTTCGTTTGCGTTCAGGTCATGGCTTACTTTGCTGCAAAGAAGTGGAGCTGAATATTGCCTCGAGGCAAGGGGCGCAAACTTAACCGGCCACAGTAGCTGCACTGAGCCGTCACGGCTTGGGACATCGAATGAGGAGTCAATCCGCGGGACATCAATGGAGACTTGCAAGTCGGTTGATGATGACTACAGATTCGAGCATATCATCACACTCAGGCTTCTCGAAGGCCAAATTGCGCATTTCTGAAGGATCAAGTGATCTAGAGTATTGTTTTCTTTGGTGTCGAATACTCCGGACGATTGAATTCAAAACACGGGGTGTACCATGGTTGCGGGAAGATCACTTGCTGACCTCGTGAGCTCAAATATGGAGCAAACTGTTCATGAGTCTTCCTTCGATTGAAGGAACGATATTCTGGCATTTCTTTATGCTAACAGATCGCAAGAATGCAGATCGTGATGGCTCTTTCAGTTCAATAATGAGCTCACAATGTCTATTGCGCCGGCATCTGATAGACTTGGACGATTACCAGCTCCCACTTATGAACTCGAGGCTCAGGAGTTGGGAACTGACTTCGCCCTTGGCAACTCGGCGCATTGAAAATAGCACATACAAATTCTCTTTCATTCCATACACGGCATTGCCTGACCTTGTGGTTATATGATTACGGCCTCGTTAGCAGAATAGCTGCGAGCACCAGATTGTCTACCTGTGGTTCGCGTCGTATTTTTTTACAACGTTTATGACTACGGATCAAGCGATGTAGTCTCCCGGCGTACTGATTGCACTACTGGACGTCAGGCCCGCATAAATAATTATGAGCTGAGGATGAGGCCATCGTGTTGGATGTAACCATGGAACGTCCAGCCGAGCTTCCCGCCTCCTGCACACCGCAACATTCCAGCAGCTGCAAGCACCAGGAGGCCGTACCAGTCCACTGACATCCGTACGCGAATTCGAATCCCTGATAGATAGATATTTCTCGTCTATATATCAGCATTAAATCAACCCTTTGAGCTTTGCTTACTTTTATTGAAATATCCAATTGTTCAATGTGCGAGACGGCAGGTATGCCCCCAGGAGGCCGAGCCTAGGCGCCCAAGCCCCTAGGCAGGCACTTAGGGTCTCCGTAGACCGCCAATTCCAAAGCGGAGCATCACTGCAGCAGTAAACTGTTTTCGTCGACTCGGTCCACTCTGTTCGCAAGCGATGCAAGCGCAGACCACAGGTTGTCCTTTACTCCTGAATCGGGTCCGATGCGCTGTCTCAGTTGCATTCTCAATCTAGGCACGTTCCATGTGCTCAATTGCCGGTTGTCAGGTGTCGTTATCGGTGGTCTGTAGGAGAGTAGTACTACGAGTATCAAAAGATATGAAACATGACTCATGAAGTTGTCCAAAGGCGACAGCAAAGATTGAGGTTGACGGAATAATAGCGGCCGACCTGCATTCTTGGAACCTCGGTGTATCTATCTAGTGCTTCTAGCGATGAACAAAGTGTGCTCAGCATGCAGGCAGCAGCTTTGGGAGCTTTATCAACTTCCAGAGGCAATTAAGGAGCAGAATTCTGAAGGATTATACAAAGCAAAGTGTTGCTTCAATCTGTAGAAGGCAAATGGTAGGCCAATGGACAGCATTAATGGAGGGGTACGGAGTACCTGGAGGGGCATGAGACGCAGTATCTGTGCTTCTACTGATACCTAGTCACACCGCAACTGACAATTCACTACCGTCGATTCCTGTTTTCGTTATCGCTAACAAGTCACTACTGGCAACTCGGACCTAATTGGGGGGTAGAACCTTGGGGAATAATACTGAGATGGAGAGAGTGGGTTGCGGAGCAATGCGGGAGACATCGTGACTAAGGAGTATCGTGGTCCGCTTTAAATATCCTGCCGTTTTCCCTCCTCTCCCCCTTGGTCTTTCTTCTCTCTCCCTCAACACATCGTACATCAGCTTCTGTTCCCAGTCCAAGAATTTTCCTGGTTCTAAGCTTTCTGATCACACTCTCCGAGGCGTGATCGCTTAAAAACCGTCAAAATTTTCGGCACACTTCTCAACTCGTAAGTACTGCGTCATGCCCGGAACCTTTCCCCGTCTCCAGGTCAGGAAGCTCAATTTGAGCCTTCCTTCCTCGACTTGCGAGTGAATAACATCACAATTGATCCGAGCTGACATACTTTGTCTCTAGGCGTCACCACCCGTTCAACGGCCGGCGCTCATCCTCTCGTGGTGGAGCACCGGATAGTTCACTATACATCCAATAAATCACTCGAGCTTTTCAGCAACTTTTAACGCAATGGCTCCCCACGCAAACTCGGATGCTGCTGCCAATGGCGCCGTGAACGGGTCGGCTCGTACCACCACCGCTCCTCTTTTCACCGTCAACTCGCCCAACGTTGAGTACACTGACAACGAGATCAAGAGTCAGTATGCTTACCACACCACTGACATCACTCGCACCGCCGAGGGTAAGATGGTCGCCACTCCCAAGGTGACCAACTACCAGTTCAAGGTTGACCGCAAGGTCGGCAAGGTTGGTATGATGATGGTCGGTTGGGGTGGAAATAACGGTTCCACGGTGACTGCTGGTATCCTTGCCAATCGCCGCCACCTCGTCTGGGAGACCCGCGAAGGCGAGCGCGCTTCCAACTACTACGGCTCCGTTGTCATGAGCTCCACCGTCAAGCTTGGTACTGATTGCAAGACGGGTGAGGAGATCAACATTCCGTTCCATGACATGCTCCCGATGGTCCACCCCAATGATCTGGTCATTGGCGGTTGGGACATCAGCAGCATGAACCTTGCCGATGCCATGGATCGGGCGCAGGTTCTTGAGCCAACCCTCAAGCAGCTGGTTCGTAAGGAGATGGCCGAGATGAAGCCCTTGCCCAGTATCTACTACCCCGACTTCATTGCTGCCAATCAGGAAGACCGTGCAGACAATGTCCTCGAGGGCGACAAGGCCTGCTGGGCTCACGTCGAGCGTATCCAGAAGGACATGCGGTGAGTGCAACCACTGATCCAATAGTGGAAGATGCTAATAAAGCCAATAGTGACTTCAAGGCTCAGAACGGCCTGGACAAGGTCATTGTCATGTGGACTGCCAACACCGAGCGCTACGCTGACATCATCCCCGGCGTCAATGACACTGCAGACAACCTGCTGAACGCTATCAAGGCCGGCCACCAGGAGGTTTCTCCCTCTACCGTTTTTGCGGTGGCTTGTATCTTGGACAACGTTCCCTTCATCAACGGATCGCCCCAGAACACTTTCGTCCCCGGTGCCATCCAGCTTGCTGAGAAACACGGAGCCTTCATTGGTGGTGACGACTTCAAGTCCGGCCAAACCAAGATGAAGTCAGCTCTGGTTGACTTTTTGATCAACGCGGGTATCAAGCTCACCTCGATAGCCAGCTACAACCACCTGGGTAACAACGACGGCAAGAACTTGAGCTCTCAGAAGCAGTTCCGTTCCAAGGAGATCTCCAAGTCCAATGTCGTTGATGACATGGTCGCGGCAAACCACCTCCTCTACAAGGAGGGCGAACACCCCGACCACACTGTTGTCATCAAGTACATGCCCGCTGTCGGTGACAACAAGCGTGCTCTGGATGAGTACTACGCCGAGATCTTCATGGGTGGCCACCAGACCATCAGTTTGTTCAACATCTGCGAGGACTCTCTGCTTGCTTCCCCTCTGATCATCGACCTGGTTGTCATTGCCGAGATGATGACTCGTATCACCTGGAAGTCGGCCGATGACGCCGACTACAAGGGATTCCACAGTGTTCTCAGTGTGCTGAGCTACATGCTCAAGGTATGTATCCTTGGTTATCTTCTGCGCATAGACCATAGACTAATGGATTACAGGCTCCTCTGACTCCTCCTGGCACCCCTGTCGTCAATGCTCTGGCCAAGCAGCGCTCTGCTCTGACCAACATCTTCCGGGCCTGTGTTGGTCTCCAGCCTGATTCTGAGATGACCCTGGAGCACAAGCTCTTCTAGGAGAAGTCCTTCCACGATCATGCTATCGCATCTGCCTATTAATAGTTTATCAGTAGCCAACTATAGCCACTCATTATTATGAATCAATTATCGTACTTACTGTTCGGTCACCATACTGTAGTTTATCATTGCGTATCAAGTCATTTTTATTCATCGAACTCTTTGCTCGCGGTTGAACCGAATGAAATGTAGTTTAGATATCGACTCATCCATAGTAATATATGTCTCAACTCAATACACCTTATAGTCCAAGTGATCAGTGCCGATGCTACTTGGCCCTACCAATGTCGCTATAGGCATTCAAAGCCGGCTGCCCCCCAAGATGCGCGTAAAGCACAGTCTTCCCTGCGAACTCGCCCTTCTTCGCCAAATCAATCAACCCCGCGAAGCTCTTCCCTTCATACACAGGGTCCGTGATAAACGCATCCTTACTCGCCGCATACTCCATAGCCTTGATGGTCCCCTCTCCAGGCACCCCATAAACCCCCTCATGGTAGTTCTCATCAAGAACCACATCCTCCTCGGTGATATCGTCCTCCTTCAATCCAATCTTAACAGCTGTACTCTTCGCAATCCGCAGCACCTGCGCCCTCGTCTCCGCCGGCCTCGCCGACGCATCAATCCCAATAACCCTCCTCTTTTTGCTGCTTTGCTCCATCCGCTCCAGCAACTTAAACCCAGCAATCATCCCCGCAAACGTACTCCCCGTCACGGCACACACCACCACCACATCGAAGAACACCCCCATCTCGCGCTCCTGCATCGCCACCTCAAACGCCCACCGCGCGAACCCCAGCCCGCCGAGCGGATGGTCTGACGCCCCGGCAGGGATATAGTACGCGCGCTCGCCGCGCGCCTCACACTCGGCCATCAGCTGCTTCAAACTCTCTTTATGCTCGATCCCAAAGCCCGCAGGGTGAAGCCGCACATCCGCGCCCATCAGCCGCGATAGCTGGATATTGCCTACTCTGTCATAATGCGCGTCCTTCCACTCAACCCAGTGCTCCTGAACGAGGCGGGGGGTGAGGCCTGCGTGTGCGGCGGCGGCGGCGACCTGGCGGGTATGGTTGGATTGGACGCCGCCGATGGAGACGAGGGTCGTGGCGTTCTGGGCGAGGGCGTCGGCGAGGAGGTACTCGAGTTTGCGGGTTTTGTTGCCGCCGTAGGCGAGGGCGGAGTTGAGGTCCTCGCGTTTGGCGTAGATGGTGGTGTGCAGGTCTGCGGAGGTGTTGGGGAGAGGGTGGATGGGGAGGGGCCAAGGGTGAGGGTGTAGCGGGGGATGGAGGCGAAGGGTTCTGGGAGGGGATTTCAATGGTCATTTTTGCTTTGCTTTTTGTTGCTTTTGGCTGGTGGTTGGTGGTGTAGAGGTGGAAAGAGTAGCAGTAGCTGTCCCTCTTATACTGTGGGCCAGCATCTCAAGTGCCTCATGTCGCTGAGACGGCGCGTGTTGTAACTGGTATGCTTATCAGCATGCATCGTCAGTCATTCTCCGATGGATTCGCGGATCGGACGTTGTCCGCTTGATAGGAAGATGCCCTTGGGAGTTTCGGAGTAGTCATGGAATTCCGATGCGGGGTCGAGGTGATGGTTATCTTTGTGGTGGGGAAGTTGCGCGTCTCTGTTAGACGAAGATCTATCTAGCGTATTCAAAGTTGGTTGCAGAGGGGTAGTCGTGGATCAAGGATCAGCAAGGTCCTCGGTCACTGACGGATATACACTGTGGTGAGGACCTTGCGAGCATTAGGAGACGTACAAGTAGTCGCTTGGTACACCGTTCTATCTACTGCGAATTGCTCAAACTTATACACATTCAATTGCAATAGAGAAATGGTATATTGATACGCCATAGATCGTCAGCTCGTCTGTATCTGATTTTACACATGGAGAAAAAAAAGAACCCCCCTCTACGACATGTCGACAACGCAGCGGATGCAGTCACCCTGCTTCATCTGCTCAAAGGCAGTGTTGATCTTGGAGAGAGGCTCGCGGTGGGTGATGAACTCGTCCACCTTGAGCTGGCCGTTCAGGTAGTCGTCGACCAGAGCGGGCAGCTGTGTACGACCTTTGATGCCACCGAAAGCGCATCCTTTCCATACACGGCCAGTAACGAGTTGGAATGCTATTGATCGTGAGTAAATCGCCACTAAATGATTGGACACACACTTACGTCTGGTAGAAATCTCCTGGCCAGCAGCAGCAACACCGATGACGATACTCTCGCCCCATCCCTTGTGGCAGGCTTCCAGGGCGGCGCGCATAACACCGACGTTGCCTGTGCAGTCGAAGGTGTAGTCACAACCACCATCGGTCATCTCAATGAGCTGCTCCTGGATGGTCTTGCCGTTGAGCTTGGTGGGGTTGACAAAGTCGGTGGCACCGAACTTGCGAGCCCACGCCTCCTTGCTGTCGTTGACATCGACGGCAATGATCTTGCCCGCCTTGTTCTTGACAGCACCCTGGATGACGGAAAGACCGACACAGCCAGCACCAAAGACAGCCACATTCGAACCCTCCTCAACCTTGGCAGTGACAACCGCCGCACCGTAGCCGGTGGTGATACCACAACCGAGCAGGCAGGACCGGTCAGTAGGAATCTTGGGTGTGACAGCGACAACGGAGATATCAGCAACAACGGTGTACTGGGAGAAGGTGGAGGTGCCCATGAAATGCAACAGGTCCTTGCCGCGGGCCTTGAACCGCGAAGTACCGTCCGGCATCACACCCTTGCCCTGTGTGGCACGGATCTTGCCGCAGAGGTTGGTCTTGCCGGACTTGCAGAACTTGCACTCACGGCATTCGGGCGTGCTTCATACCGGCGTTAGCTGGATATTCCTCGGCAGGTTCACCGCGGGGAACGTACTAAAGAGCAATGACATAGTCACCGGGCTTCACCGAGGTGACACCCTCTCCTACTGACTCGACAATACCAGCACCCTCGTGTCCGAGAATGACGGGGAAAGCACCCTCGGGGTCCTTTCCAGACAGTGTGTAGGCATCTGAAGCCGATTAGCCGTGGCACCTTTTCTGGAAGCTCTTCCCAACCTAGAGATACCAACCTGTGTGGCAAACACCAGTGTGCAGAACCTTGATACGGACTTCGTGAGCCTTAGGAGGCGCAACCTCGACATCCTCAATCGAGAGAGGCTCGCCAGCGCCCCATGCAACGGCAGCCTACAGTTCCCAGTGTTTTTAGCTTGTGTGCGCGGATGGATCGCAGTATAACCTAGCCAAGCTGGATTCCGGAAGGGTGCAGTAGCATCAATGGTCGTACCTTGCAAGTGATGGTCTAAATGTCCAGTCAGCAACCACTTCTCACGAGAAGGTAATCAATTTTGATGATATAGTGCCGATATCGACTCACCTTTCCAACAGTGTCGGCCATGATGTTAACAGGTTCGGAGTTCGGATGGTACGGGAACTCTGCGGAAGAGGAGCGCAGGGAAGGTGAGGTAAAGAAATGTCTTTATGGAGGAAGAACGATAAGCGCGCGAGCCTGATTATAAAGAACCAATGCTCGAGACGAGTCGATCGGGAAGTGGACCTTTGGTCTTCTGAGGAGGTCAAAATTCGGCGAGGGGGAGGGGATGACGGTGGGGTGAGGGGTAGCAGCGATGCTTAGAACAGACGCCGACGGGAAACTCTCGGGTTGGGCAATCTCATCTTCTGGGTTATGACTCCTCGTCCTTTGAGATTTGGATCATGACAGGTGGATCCTTAGTAATAATAAAAGTAGTAACAAGTCAGAACTGCATATAATCCCCTCATGTCTCCGCATTCTCCAATTGATATGGTGATGCTCTGGTGCCGCAGTTGATCCAGCTTCATTGTCCGGATAGACTGTTCATTACTATGATGCAGTCAACTTCTAGGGAATATGAGCTGTAGAGCCAGCTCAGCAACACTCTATACCATAAAACCCGGTTGTCAACTGAGCAATATTATCCTGGCTCGACCACCTCTATACACCAGATACCAAGCTCGAGGCCGAGTTCGGCCTGCTCTCTCAACCAGGATGAGCTATCAATGACCAAAGTGTCGAAAAGGGTAATGTTTTCCGGGCGACATTTGGTCCGTGTCCCCGCCAAGACCATCCACCAGCTACGAGCCCGTGAGGCAGGATAGCTCCAGGAGATCCCAACAGAATGCTTCGTTTTATCGTTCAATTGAATTGATAATCTCACAGCGAATCGACCAATAAGTTTCGATCGTCGGGCTACACTAGATTGTGATCACCCAAATTGGAGATTTTTCCCAGCCTTATCCTTGTATCAGGCTTGCTTGTCTCTGATAAGAAAGCTTCAACTGCGTCATACTGAGTTACATATTTCCTAGACAGATACCCATGAAGGTGGATCGTCTAAAATGACTCCGAGTTTTGCGGCTTCAGTGCCTTCATTTTTCTGCATTGGACAATGTGACGGGCCATCAACCCATCAAGGGCTACCGTCTCATGAGTCACGAAAGTAGGAATATGCTATATGGTACATGTTACACAGATCAAAGCAAACCCAAGAGGATACCTCCCACTATAGCCCCTTCACGGCGGATTCTTCTCCGCTTTCATGCAGGAACCAGCCCAAATGCCCATTTATTGAGCCGAAGACGATCATGCCCCAGGGCTGTGAAATAGATCCCAACGCATTCTATACACCATACGAAGAGAAGAGACAAGACCAGAGGTAAATTACCGGCCAGGCATTTGTCCACCCTGCATCATAGCAGCGTTCTGCTCCTGGAAGCGCTCGTTCAAGCGGCCAGAAGCCTTCATATATTTGTCCACACAGCGCATGACACAACCTTCTTCACGGGAGATGAGGGACTTGGTGGTAAAGTCGTTGACGCAGTTGTCGAAGCAGCGCTGGACGAGCTTGGAGTACATCTGTATGGCGGAAAACAGTCAGAGGCAGGTCTCGACGGCCAATGGGTCGAAGATATTGGACACTGGGTAGGCCACGTTGGGCGGCCGGATCAAGGCGACAGATAAGAACATACAGTCATAAACTCCTTCAGTTGCTTCCTTTCCATGCGAGAAGCGAGCTCTCGCTGTTCCGCGGCTGTAAGTCTGATGTCCCATGTTAGTTTGGCACACGATCGCAAGTCGGGCCTACTGAAGACTCCGTAGGCAAAAAGGACTTACCCGTCCATTATGATGTGATCTAGATGTGGCTTGAAAGACAAAGCAAAAGAGAAACGTTGGATGATGATGTTTCGATCAAGCACAATAATATTTGCTGAGCCGGCACTTGATAACCTTCGCGGCTGCGGAAGCTACTGTTTTACAATCACGTGATGCTTGATGAGCTCATGTGACCTTCATCACCTGTCTCTACCTTAAGAGTTTGTGCGGTCCATCTACCCCTGGATGCCTCTGGATGATGAGGATGATGCATCATTGTGCAGATTTTAGGCTTGTGAATCTAAAAGTTCACAGTCAAGCTATTAGTACACCAATTTTGTGAGCTCTTATTGAGAATCGCGCTCCTACCGCCGTTATACAACGGAAGAAAGCTCATCCACACCCGAAGTGTCACCAACTGGCTTCACTCTACAACTACTGAGACTAACCCCTTTAGGATAGCCGAGCGGCCAACTTAAAAAAAGAACGCTGCCACCAGCCAGAAGTTGGGCTCCATAATGTGAAATTGTGGCATGGACAGAACCATGGTCATCAGCCTTGCAACATTGCCAACCCCACCAGGGTCACCACCCAACATACCTTCTCTGGAAGTGATCATAGCTAGCTAATTAATGGGATGAATGCTCTCTTACTCTGGCTTGGATTATCTATGGATTTAACGGCCAGTTTCCATTAGGAAGTTTTTTGCCGTTGCTAAGAGTTTCTGATGCCCCTTCTATCCACAGTTGCATATGTGGCATACTGGCATTAGCTTCTGCTTGGTTTTGGTGGATCAGTGGCTTCACACAGCACCTATCTGAATTTATCCGTAGATTATATTGGCTGTATCGCGGCAGACTCCGACTGGTATGCAATATCTGTCTTCAGTATAGTTCAATTAGCATATATATTGAGCTTACATCTGTGGCGTGTACTCCCCCTGTTAGTCTTGGAACAGTGTGGTATACCAGTTACCTAGTCTACGGAGTAAGGAAGAGCCTGTTCTGCTCATCGTCATTATATCATTCTTAGTTACGGAGGACAGTGGTGTGCCTTTCTTTGTATGTATTTGGGACCTGCCGACTAGGTCATCGGCCCCCAAAGGTCTCGACTGCTTGGGGGAGGTGACTCTCTTATTACTTTTCCCCTTCGAGAAGACCTAGTCCGTACTCGGTACCTTACTATCTACCACCTTTGGTCTAGTGCTACCTTTTACTTAGTCGAAACTAGCCGTACCTGCTAGTCACTCCTGTGGGCGGGGAATCGTCAGCGTTCCATCGACTTTCTCGATAGTCTAGACAACTAAGACAAGCAGGACTGCAGGACTCCAAAACTTCGAGAGCTGCTGGTTCCTTGGTTCTGGGTCTTTTCACTACTCATGTAGCAATAAGCAATCATTACATAGCGCCCTGTAAGGTACCTGTCTAGTTATTTTGTATGTCCTCCGTAGATGGTAGTCGATCACTCGTCAAGAAAATTATCCTTCTAACCTTACCTCAGCGGTCATGGTCATAGTCGTCGATGTGTAAGGTAATAATAATAATAATATAATAATAATAATAAATCGGTTCAGCCCATCAACGCCCCTCATTCTCCTCCATCGCCATCTCCTTCGTGGTGTTTCCGCCAATCCTTTCTCTACTCCTCCTCTCTCTCAGGCGTCCTAACTGATTATTGAATAAAAAACCCACCCCTGTCTCCATTTAGTCTTCGCTCCCTTGAACTGAGACCTTCTCTAAGGGATTGGTTATTCCCCTCCCTTCCCACAGTTCCCTGGAGGAGCCTGAAGCCACTGTCAGCCTGAAGAGAGTAACCGTCCCTTGTGCCTCTCCAATCTAATCACCCTTTCTTCCATCCACCGTACCCTTTGACCCCTCCGACTTTGACCACTTTTTTTCCCACCCTCTTCCTCCTTCTTTCCCCGTACTCCCGTCCTCGCCATTTCAGCTCCGTCTCATCGCCACTCGGTCGCATTTATCATCGAGGCGCCCACGGGACTTATCGAGCTGGATTTCCCCGCATTATTAACTGACCGTCTCCTTCGTCGATCCGCTGTGGGCGTTGCGGACGGCGCGCGGCTCTTTTCTCCCGCTGGCTTGACTAGTACCCGGGCTATTTTGGGATCACAGTCCCAGCCTCGGGGATCCTGCGAAAACACGAGGGCGGTGACGAAGGACTCGGTTTTATCACCTACCCCAGAGTTACTCTTTCGAATAAGAGACCCTATAGATCTCCCGCCAACTCACATTTCTCGAACACTCTCGACATCATGGTGACAGGCAAGTCGCAGCCTGGCACTGAGCCGGTCCACCCCCTCCCACCCTCTGCGAACCATGACGGAATCGCGACCTCTCCACCATCAAAGCGAGACCTGGCATCTTGGTGGAGGCAGTTTAAACGTAACACGAGGAAAGAGGATGTCAAAGGTACGCTATTTGGAAGAAAAAAGCCCTTGTCTGTTGGAAGCGCCGGTTTCTGAGTTGCCTCTGATGGGCGACCTCGGTTGCGAACCAGCGCTCCTGGTCCATGCGACACCTTTCCTGCAGTTCGACAAACTTGACAGCTAGCCCTGTTTTTGTTATGCTTGCTACATCTATTCTGCGTGCAATTACCACGAGCGTATCCAGAAAGCTGCTGTGCTTGGTGCTTGGGTTATTTCTGAGACCTGTTTCTTATGTGAGGCTAATCCGCCTTTTCTCAACAGAAAAACCTCAGGGTATCTTCGGTGTTCCCCTCAACGTCAGCATCAAATATGCGAATGTCGCGATCTCCCTCACGAACGATAACGGCGAAAGCTTCATCTATGGTTATGTACCCATCGTCGTCGCCAAGTGTGGTGTCTACTTGAAGGAAAAAGGTACGAACAATCGATCTTCTTCTTTGCTCAGGCCAACGGCCTACTGACAGCGGTTTTATTTCTAGCAACGGACGTTGAAGGCATTTTCCGTTTGAATGGATCTGCGAAACGTATCAAGGACCTGCAAGAGATCTTTGATTCGCCGGAGCGATATGGGAAAGGGCTGGATTGGACCGGATACACTGTGCACGATGCTGCAAATGTCCTGCGTCGCTACCTTAACCAACTCCCCGAGCCGATCGTCCCTTTGGACTTTTACGAGCGGTTTCGCGAGCCGCTACGTGCGTACCAGAGGCAGGTCCAGGAAAATGGACCCTCGGCTGATTCGGATGCGTTTGATCACGCAAAGGCTGTCGCGGCCTACCAGCAACTAATTAGGGAACTTCCCCCACTGAACAAACAGCTGCTTCTCTACATCCTTGATCTCCTCGCCGTCTTCGCGTCCAAGTCTGACCAGAATCGAATGACTTCGGCTAACCTCTCCGCCATTTTTCAACCTGGACTACTGTCTCACCCACAGCACGATATGTCGCCAGATGAGTACAAGCTGAGTCAGGATGTTTTGATTTTCCTGATCGAAAACCAGGACCACTTCCTTTTCGGAATGAATGGTACTGCCGCAGATGAACAGACCCTGAAGGAGGTCGAGGGCGGTACTGCTCGCCGAACGACGACGAATTCCAATATTAGACGCTCAGTATCCAGCGCGAGCGGCGGCGCGGATAGCTTCCGCAAGTACGAGAATCTGCGTAGGAACGTCTCCGTGTCCTCGAAGCATTCGCGTCATTCAAACAACTCTCCTGGACCGGTGACACCAACCTCCTTGAGTGGTGTTGGAGTCCATCGGAGCAACACATTGCCATCTAAAATGTCACCAATATCTTCCGCGAGGTATGGCAGGGTTCAGGAATCGACCAGCGTTCAACCGTCTGGGCTCAACCCTTCTGTCCAGAACTCCCGGTCATCCAGCCGCGCCCCGACGTCGCGGGAAGAAACTAGCCAAACGACGCCGGCGCCTCCTTCAGGATCCAACGCCGAGTCTGGCACCACATACATTCACTCATCCACCCATGGCCCCATGGCAAAAGTCGCCGAAGCTCGCGCGCCCATCGCCGAGAAGCCTGCCATTCAAGACCCTCTACCGACCCTGGTGTCCTCCCCTCCGCCGCCCGTCGTGACTCCAACCAAAGAGCGAAAGTTGTCTACTTTCTTCACCAAGTCCCCTCCGCAGAACGGTGAGCTGAAGGAACCCCGTCAGCCAAATCGCCTGAAGAAGAAGCGGATTCCAGACAGTGCCAGCGAGAGTGCCCACAGCTCTTCTCTGTCGCTACAGGCGGCGCCAGGTGAATCTGTTGTGAGCGTCGTTCCCTCGGCTGCACGGGCACACGAAGCAGATGGTGAAGCCGGAGGGGCGACCCCTAGACCTCCAAACACGACAAATCCCGGAGATGATACCACCATTAACGCCGCTGAAGAGAAACCAGGCGTCCAGAATGACTTGCAGAATGCAGACAATTCGCTGAGACCGCATGGTTCGCGCACACCCTCCATGAACTCTCGCTCCTCATTCACAGATCATTCGGATCTCGATCAGACAGACGAGAAAGCGGATCGCCGGGAGCACCGACGGAGTTGGAGGTTCCATCGGTCGTCTAAGCGCAGCAACGAACAAATCGGACTCGGTCTTGCATCGCCACCACTTTCCGCATCAAATCCCAGCGCTGAGCGCAGCACGACCTCAGTTGGCAGTTGGCACCAATCCAGCAAGAGCTCGCCGTCGGATATGCAACAGTTCGCCAGCGACCCATCCCAGCAACCTTTGAGCCTGGACGCTGAGATAAACAATAGCGCAGCTCCAAAGGAAAGCACGGAGCCCGAGAAGCGGAGCCTCTTTGGAAAATTCAAAGCCAAGGTTGCGCAGGTCCGGGATGGCGTGAGGGATGAACGAGACCGTACAAGAAGCCCGGCGCAACCGGATTCTGAGAGACCCGTGTCCAACCATACCATGTCCCCTGCTGGCAAGGACAGAATCAGCAGTGGACCTGCGCCAATTGAGGTACCAAAGGAGAGCAGAGAAGAGCAAACGCGCTCGCCAGTGTCCCCAATTATGTCCAGCTCCGGCCTGCCCCCGGCGATCCCGGAGGAACCCCGCACTCCGGAGAGTCCTGTCATGCCGCGTACCGATCCGGACTTGGACAAGGAAGCAACCGCCGCTGTCCCTGCTGATCCTAGCAACCCATCGCACACTGAAGCTCTTGCTGCCGCGCAGCCTGAACAGAACATAGAACCTCTTCTAAATTAGATGCCCTCGTCAGGCTCGGCATGCTATTGCCCTGAGCGCCCCGAAACGATCTGCGGGGCGAGCCACGGCTCGCCCTATGTCACTTTTTGGAATGTAACGCAGCCAGATGCCTTTTTTGCAATGTCTTTCAGTCCTTTGGTATGCTCGGAAGTGGGCCGGTATTCGATTGTTCTCGTGTATTTTTCTTTATGCTTGTCGAACTTCTAGCTATAAGTTCGCTTGCACGAATTTGTTTTCGTCTCGACTCTACACCTTCTTTTGATTTGCTGGCTATGTCCAGGTGCCTATCTAGAGCAGCGGTGTTCAAGCTTTTTGCTGTCTGTTTGTTCTCGAGGCCAACGCAATGAGTGGGACTGTATATCGCGTCTCTGTTCGGTGGGCGTGTCCCATTCATACCCCTGATCCCCTTTCTATTACGCCGTTTCATGCGTCACGATTCATGTTTTCCCGTATTTCCTTTCGCCCTCGCTACGGGGTAGTTAGCTTTGCTTCTGGTGTTACCTCTCATTCGTGTGGGTATAGGATGGAAAAACAAAACACATAGAGCACTTTTCGACGCTTGGATCGCTTCCTGTGAGCATTATGTAGTCAGTAGTGTCATTTGCGCCCATGAATGAGGACGACGTGGGTCATTATCAAGAGTATTCAAATGACTGTGGTCTATGCCTGAAAATGAAGGCGGCATATTGACACCTAACAATCAAGGCAACCACCCCATAGCTCATGGGACGAGCCAATCAGGAGTCAGGGGATCCGGCCCAGCCGCCGAACTCTCCCAAATAATTCAGCATCGTCTGCAACTACCTCAAGTTTCAACACTCGCTCGTTCTCAACATCGTCCTCGCACACTCCGTTGAATAGTCCACAAGGGCGCTCCTGCGCCCATTACTCCCCTCATCATGACTTCAGCGCCACCCTCCCCTCTCCGCGCAGCCAATGCCGCTTCCTCCACGCCAGTCCCCCTCCGACCATGAAACCCTCCGCTCCGCCCGTGAATATCCTCCCAACGCAACTCGCCCGAACATACTCCTTCGTCCATCCCGCCGCACTGCTGGCCATCCTGGCCGTCCGGTTCCAGGCGCTGGTCGCTGATCCCGTCGCGGAAATGCTGAATACGCTCCCCTTCTTGGCCCTGCTGCAGGTGACATACGTGATGGTGTGCCTGCCGCCCGCCGGGTCGGTGCTGTCCTCGCCGCCGGCGTCTCCGGTAGGCGAGGGAGATGATAAGGACAAGGAGAAAGAGAAGAGGAAACTCCCGGTTCGAGCGGGGAAGCTCGGCAAGAGGAAGAACCAGGCGCATGCGGCCGGTTTGTCGGCGAAATTGACGGTACGCTCCTCCTCTTTCAACAAACATAATTCGATCATGGGTCAATTTAACGCTTGTGCTGGTGCCGATGCTAACGGTTGTGGTTATGGTGACAGCCCGCCCTCCTCTCCCTAACCCTCACCTTCCTCCTCGCCACCCCCGTCCTCGCCATCCTCCTCGTTCTCTTCGGTGCCCCCTAACAACACACAACGCCGAGACGGTCCTCTGCGCCGCGCACATGGCGCTCCTGGCCTCGACGGCGCTGATCTACGTACATGGTGTCGACGGCGCCGTGTGGCGCGAGGTGTGGGCGTTTGCGCGCCCGGCTGATGCCGTCTGGGGCGGTGCGCTGGGGACGGCTCTCGGGGCATGGTTTGGGGCTGTGCCGATTCCGTTGGATTGGTGAGTTTTCCTTCTTTTGATCCTGGGTTGGGATTGTGTTGATGCTGATGATGGATTAGGGATCGTCCGTGGCAGGCTTTTCCGATTACTATCCTGACGGGTGCGTATATCGGGTTTGCTGTCGGATCGGTCGTCTCTCGGTCGTCGTGGTTGTTTGGGAAATGGCTTGAATTTATGCCGGAGCAGGATGATCAGGATAAGAAGACGGAGTGAGGTGGGTTGAATGAGCTGAGTTGAGGCATAGCATTTAGCGTCTGTAGTCGGTTTTATGGTTCTTGTAGATAGTGCGTAGTCATAGTCTTGATTTGGAGTTTAAGTTTACTTCCGGAGCCTGTGTATGTCCTTCGATCTATTGATATCTATATATGGAAGGGGTTATAGATCAAGTGAATGGTGGTATCATAGGACAGACTTTCATCATGGAGTTGAGTAGGACAGTAATTGATATCAAGAAGGTCATGACGGGGCCTCACAACGGCCAATGCGATCAAGAGCACTTGTTCAACAATTTGGATCAGTCATGAAAGAAAGAGATTTGAGAGAGCTCCAACTTAGTAAATCCGACGCCATGGAAGGGTATCAATGGCGCAATGAGAAGAAATGAAAGAGGTGGAAGGATTGATGGATGTTTTTCAAGAGGCTCATCGCCTCCGCCGTGTTAACGTGAGGATAAGTGAGACCTCCACATTGTAAGGCCCCGAAAGCCAGCCGGACGACCATTGGCGGCTGGGCGATGTCATATCATACGAGCAACCTCGATGCGCCGGTTACACTGCCACTTCGACCGTCCGAACACATCGTCCCTGGAAGAGCCTCCAGGACTCTCCACATCGGATTCACTCTCGTACGGCGAGCCGATCTTTTCCGAGCAGGTCACGGAGTCTGTTGGACAGCGAGCCAATGCTTTCCTCATACGATCAAGCTCCTGCGACTCTCGGCTGCGGATTGGGTACATCGTGCCCACGGATATCGAGTTGTTAGCGAGCCGCTGCAGTTGCTCGACGTCTTCCTTGAGACTGGTAACCTGCGTCTCCAGGTTTCTTCGCGCGGTCTGCTCTCTTCTCAGGAGCATGACCAGTGCACTGTATTGCTCGACTGAGATCCCGCTGAAGTCGCTTAATGAGGTCGAAGATGGCGTTTGCAAAGTCCGCGATGGCTGCACGTTGCTAGGTCGTATTGTAGCGGTGCTGATTGGCCGACCGTCCGGCGTGAATTCGTCGCTCTTCAGCTCCCCGGTGCCGGCGGACTGGGGATGAGCCGATGACTTGTTGCGGACATGCCGTCTGCTCTTGGTGGGGGTAGAGACTTTATTTTCTCTCGGGGCCTCGGCCGGCGAAGTCTCAGCGCGGACATTCTGCAATCGAGCAATGGCAAACTCAAGGTCGATTAACTTGACCTCTAGGGTTGTGAGTCTCTGTTCGAGAGAGATATCTTCGCTGTGCTGCATGCTGTTTACAAGATCTCCAATGTTCGGCGTTATGCTGTCCCGTTCCTCCTGCTTCTGAGGCCCTTCAACGGGGCGCTCGCTGGGGGTTTCGGATGTGCTGGCAACTGTTGTTCTTGTAGGAGGCCGTTCGGATATTTCGCTATCTGAGGCCATATCAAAAGCTGATGAATTGACGTAGGTTGTTTCAGTGCTGCGTCGTCTCCACTGGATAGGGGACATCCGGTGATCTCGTGCCATCGCGCGAAGTGCATCAGCACTTCGTGATCGCCTCTTTACTCGAAGGTCCTCGCGGCGTAGCAGGTCTGTCTGGTCGCTATTCGCATGAGAGCTCCTGTCCCGGCTCCATCTTGCGCTATCCGTATTAAAAACTGTCTCCATCGCGTTTCGGGCGTCTTCGGACATGATCAAGCTCGGCAGTGTAGCTCGCCGGCGACAAGAAAGTGCCGGTGCAAAACTATGAGAGCTAGCTTCGGGCACCCGCAAGCCGCCACCTTCCCGTTGAAGAGGGCTGCTCGAGCTTGGCGTCTGTGACTTCGGACTCTGGAGCTCTAAGAAGGAAATCTCGGTCATGTCCTTGTTTGACCGAGGCGTTTGCGAGTCTGGGGTAGGGGAATCCGAGACGGTGTCGTCGAGATCATCAGTATCACTCCGCCTTTTGCGGGTGAAGATCTTTCGCATGACCGTCTTCAGAGTGCTTCCTGTTCGCCGATGCGTATTGGACCCTCTTGTCAATGTGTCTTGGGCATGGTGCCGGGGCGCTGCTCCTTGGGAATTTCCGCGCAATGCGCTCGGTAAAATAGGAGACCTCGAGCCGCGCAGAGGTCCACGGGGACTCAATACCATTTGGTGGGATGTGACCTGTGGTAAAGCGGTGCCCTCATACGACTCCTGTGCTAGAGTAGAGTGACGGCGAAGTTGCACTGAGCTCCTTTCCGTACTGAAGCTGGAGCCCGCCATCTTCATTCAAATGCTTCATGTATAGTATATTCAGCCAAAGCGCGACTGAGATCGGCGACTGTAGGGATTTGATATACGCTTTGTTATTAAACCTGGGTATTCAGAGGGTATCTGTCAAACTGGACTTTGCCAATCAGATGAGTATAGCTTAAAGCTTATTTGAAGCGACTGTGTGGGAAGATATCGACTGAGAACATATGGGGTATCTCGAATATAGGGAATCAATGGGTCGAAAACAAGGAGAGTGTGCCTGGAAGCAAGAGGGGCAGTTAGCAAAGTATTCCGCATAACAAGATCAAAGCTAGCGCAGGGAGCCGGTGGAGGGGTTTTATCGAGATTGATTCTTACGTTAGAGTTGTATCAAGAATGTGTAAGCAGTTGGTTTGATATCTTAAGAGGCCATGCTCGAGCCACAACGAGAGACAAGAAATGCAGATGAGATGATGTCAAGCTTCCCATGAATCGAAGATCGCAATAAGAGAGGGAGGTGACCAGAAGATCAAATGAGCGACAATGAAGCTACCAGGGTGGTAGGTGACCGTGGTTGAGATGGCCTTGTCAGACGTCGGTATCTCCACACAATCCGAAGGACAACCGGGGGGTAGCTGCGCACGGGATCAGATAGCATCGGAACGATATAGCCTAATTGAGATAATCGTGGACAACGGAATGCAACGAAAGACACGACGCTTGTTCTGGATGCATGACCGATGCGTTTGACCTAAATCGGGAACAAGAACACGGGCTGCAGCAGCGGACTGGAGTCAGGCTGAGTGACAGGGGGACGTTCGACAGGGGTTCGACCGAAGAAGTGTCAGAGTATCAGACACACACTACTGAAGTGAGCAAAAGAATGGCCAGACCAAGAATGGTGAGACCGGTACGTTGTTCAAGGAGGAAGTCTCTGAGAGAATGGAAGCTAAGCAGGCAACAAAGTAGGCGGGTTGTATGGAGACACGGAGTCAAGATTCAAACTACTAATTCCTGACAGCATCATCGTCGGACACACACCATCAAGGACTAGCCAAAGAGAACGGCGGGTTGGTAAGACTATTCGGGCCTTGACGACCAAGTGGGCCAACAAAAAGAACGGATGTTTGGGCGGCGGCTGTTAGTGCCGCGTCGGTGCGTTCAAGGCAGTTTCAGTTCTGTCAGGGGGTGGGAAGTCGCTTGAATCTCAATCCCGGTCAAAGTTGAGGATCGTAGCCTTCTGGATTATTCTGGTCTGAAACTCCTCGTGGTCTGTGCTGCGAATCATCTGGGTGCAAGATAGATAAATGTTGTCAGTGAAGGTCGCTATCATCCTTGTAGTGAACGCTCATTGGGGCCAAATACTTGGACATCAAACAAGCCGCAAAGTCAACGAGAACCTGTAATGACAAGATGGCGTACTTCCAAGGTTAATAGTGAGTGGAACATGAGCTCGGAGTTTGAACGTCAGTCTGTAAGACGGTAACTGTGAGACGGTGAGAGGTGCTGAGACACGCCAAGTGGGTGCTCGGATTTGGAATTCCCTCCTAGGTACCCGCGGGTTGACTTGAATAATGGATAATAATAATGAAAGATATACGATTTTCATGTCCAGAATCTCGAATAATGACACCGTTTGACACGGCTTATCCGCAGAATGAGCGCATGCGCTAGAGAGTAGGGACTGTAGGAAGTGGGCTAAGGAGGCGTCTAGCTGATAAAGAATTAGTGCCATGTGCTTCTTGGAGTCTGGGCTCTCCAGTGAATGCATAGTAGCACATGGTATCTACCGCTCTGGCAAAAGCAATTAATGACCTCAGTAGCATTAACAACGTATTTCTACGACCTAACGTAGGATGCTTAGCGGGCAGTAGACTGGACTCGCCCTCAACCGTTCTAGCTGTGATAATTCCCTCCCTCGTCAGTCCGTCGTCATGTACACAGACATACGAACGTGACTTGAAGACCTAGAGTCTTTCAAAACCCTCGTATTTAGTCGGACTATTCCGGCCAGTCAAATAGTACCGATCTAGGCGGATCTCGAAAATATAACAGCCATAGGTTGCGGGGAATGCTGCGCTCAGACGCACAAGGATCTGCGGTTTGACGATTGATTGCATCAGTTATTGCAGGGTCTTGACAAACAACGAGACCGTGCGGCATCAGTGTACGGCTAGCAGTAGAAGAAGCGTCCCTCAGAGCGTGGTCCAACGGGACCGGTTTGTTGGGAGCAAGCGGCTGTTTACACTCGTCTTTCAGGACACTACGCGGCTTGGTGTCGATAACCTGATTATCGCGACGGCTTGCCTCGAGATGACTGTCTACCATCTTCGAGACTCGTCTTCCTTTACAATAGTTCCCCTGTATCTGGGTAGCGTAGATCCGCATGTTCTTCGAGAAATGCCATCCATCGCTTGAGAAAGGCACTTCCTCTGCAAGGCAAACATTTCACGTTAGCAGGCTGCCAACACTCGTCCACAAAGCTGACGGACGTGAATGCGATTTCTTGAAAACAAGTTACTGATGATTGCGGCGCACTCACTTGCTGATTGTCTCCGAATCACCACATATGCATAGATGCCGTTTGGGACGAGTCATGGCCACTAAATGACACAGAATGCATGCAGATTAGCAACAAGTAAAAAGATGGGAAGGCAAGTCCAATCAACAATGAGAGGAAGGAGGAAACACCGAGACATACCGTTCAAACGCCGCTTCTCCCCCAAAAATCCCACTTCGTGCTCGGAATTACTACGAACAAGACTAACCACCACGGCCTCCTTCTCGCGGCCTTGGAAACCATCCACACTTCCGAGCTCGAGACCAGGATACTTTTCTCGGAGCATGGAAGAAAGCAGGGCAAGCTGACCGTTGTACGGAGTAATGCAGGCGATGTCTTCAGGCTTTACGCCGGCCTGTATGAGGTTTTGCACGTGCTTTGCGACGACCAAAGCTTCCATTTCGTTGCTCTTGCTTTCGCCAAGCAATGCTTCCTTTTTCCCTACGTCGTCATCTTCAGTCTTCTCGGGAAAGTCGCCGCCTTGTGTGTCCCAGAATACGACTGGCTCTCTCGTATCATCAGTCTCCTCAACGTCATAAGGTAAATCCTTAAGGAGACGTGACTTCACGGCCTCAGCGGCAATAAGCTTAGATTCGTACAGCTCGTTGGATGGGAACTGCATAATCTTTTCATGCATCCGATACTGTGTGGTTAGCATCCTCTTGATACCGGGTCCATGCAATGAAAGAAGTCGGTCAAACAACGTTGTCTCCAGAGAAAAGTCGCCATTGATTTCTGCAGAACTGGCTGAAGCGTCTTTCGTGTCTGATTTCCCTTTCTTCTTTGCGTTCTTCGATTTTTCAACGGAAGACTTGACGGTAGGGGGAAGCTGCAGGTGGTCTCCCGCAAGGACCACTTTAGACGCTGGCAATAAGGGGATCCAGCACTGAGCCTCCAGAGCTTGACTGGCCTCGTCGATAACAACTACGTCAAACTTCTGATTCTTCAGTTGGTGACCGCCAGCCCCATGGAGCGTAGCAAGAACAACATTGCTTTCGCGAACCAAGTTGTCCACACATTTTGACTCCCGCTCGCGAAACTCACGACGGAGTTCTTTCAGATCATCATAGATTGCCCGCCTCTCCCGACCGGTCCTGGTTTTGCGAATACTAGCTTGTTTTTCATCAATCTCCTTCCTCACATCTTTGACGATCGCTGCCGCTTCCGAAGTATGAGTGAGCACTTCTAGGGAATGCTCAAGCACTGACGGCAGCAAACGAGCGGGATGGCCTATGCGTACCACTGGTGCTTTGTTGGGAGCTAGTCTTTCCACGATATTGTCGACGGAGATATTGGACGGTCCGCAAACCAGTACGCGGAGTTTTCGTTTGACCATTTGAAGAATCAGCTCAATCAAAGTGTGAGTCTTGCCTGTCCCGGGAGGCCCGTGGATGAGAGCCACATCCCTGGACGCCAAAGCAAACCGTATAGCTTCTTTCTGCGAATCGTTTAGAGTTGGATCAACGAACTCAACGGGGCCAATGGCGTCATAATCTGGTTGCATTGGAGACGTATGGCCAAAGGCAACTCGCATAAAGTGCGAGTATTCTGAGTCCGTCATTTTAGCCATTTTCTCCATGGTTTGATTCATACTAGAAGGAGTAAGTCATTAATTCCCCAAGCTCAGTTTCAGCAAGGGCCACGGGGGAGGCAGCCCACATACCGTCGGTACGTCACGTCGTTTGCAAGTTTTATGCTGCCGTCGACCATTAGCATAAGTCGGATACGATCAGCTTGCTACCCTTAGTATAGAAGGCAGTGCCGGAGGTCAATGAGCCATGTTGCTTTGAGCGATAGAAAACATACAGCCATAGTTTCTTTCCCCAGAGCTCCTCAATTGCCTCATCGTCCTCCTTGGATCGGCCACCACCCCTTTTTGTCCAAACGCAATCCATATACTTCGCTCTCCAACTCTTGTAACAACCCCTTCCGGGCCCTTAGATGCTTCGACTGCATCTTTCCCACCAGCTTTTCCCTTATCCTTCGAAAGCTTTTTGCTCCCCGACCCACTTGTGTCGTTCACGCGGACAATATCCCCGACTCGGATTCCGTGCGCACCAAGCCTCGGTTCTCCGTCAGCTCCAGCTTTGTCATCGTCGCCCTTGTTAGTCGTAGATTTGCTCGAGGATACAGCTGCATCGGCAGTGAACTCGCCGACAACGCGCCCGCCCAGTCCGGTTCGGCATTGCGATAACACAATTCCCGTCAGCGCGTAGCCTGTTGCTTGTAGAGTTCGACGCGTCGAAGGTGAGACTGAGGCGGCGGTGCTGGCTAGTGAGGAGGAGGAAATTTCAGCTTCGTGCTCTTGAAGAAGTAACTGCAATTGCGCTTGTGCGAAGTGGGGTATCGAGATCGGTTCAGGAGACATAGTGGGAAGGTAGAACTTGAATTCCTAGGACGTCATGAGATAGAAGCTTTCACAAGAACACCAGAGCATTACTGAAATGTTGAACGTACGCGAGTTTTGCGGTAATGGCACCTGTGGTGAGGTATCAACCGATCTCCCCTTGGGAGCTTTGGAAGTGGTCGGAGATAAGATCTAGATATGTCCGTAGCTGGCGCCTTGTCACGTGAATGCGATGAAGCTGGGATCTGGCTTAATCATTGTTGTATAACTCCCATTATGTACGTTGCCCATCCTCACATATGCAAGGCACTAACGTACTATGGATGACCGGTATTTGTTCTTGTGATACTGGTAATGGGTCCAAGGCGAAGGCTTGGAGGCTGTATTTGGGATGGTATCGGTCCTACAGGGGCCTCGATCATTGTATAATGAGCGCAAGCCAACCTTACTCAGGGGAGCTTCAGGCAGCACATATCGCTTCTTTAAGTGAGACGCTGATTTCCGCCGTGCTTCCGATCCATCTACCAGCAATGACTTCTGTACAAGACATCCATATTTGACAGTCTCTATGCGTGCTGTGCAGACAAGCTGCAAGTGTTGGATCACATATCCTTGGTGCGTCCTCCTGTTATTTCGGGGTTCTTCCATGATGGGCTGGATCCTGCCTTCAAATACCTTTCCCAAGTTGGAGTTACCTGCAATGATCAGCATGCTGCCGGGCGCCTAGAGACTCCAACCATGGATACACGTTTTGAACCCCCTGCAGTCCCTCCTGGCCGAGGGTCAGTATCGTGTACTTCGTACATGACGAAGGCCATGCTCAATGGCCTTGTGAAGGTGCAGGTCTGCAGGGGCAAAGAGCAGTCGTAGCATCCATCCACGGGTCTTTTGTTATTTTACAGCGACCAACATATTTGAATAATAGGACAAGTGCGCCCGGATTATGACCTTACTCAAGAAACTTATATGCCTATGTACGTCGAAAACGGTATCATCGATGGATAAGATTACATTAAGAGCATTCGAAATCACATACCTGGCCCTGAGCTTAATGTAGAAAGGGCTGGGCAGCAGAAGCTACCAGAGCATGGCATTATCGCTTGCTGGTTTGGTCAGCTTGGTGATAGAATAATCACATATACTGACTAGCTGGAAATCCAATATCAAGGTACATAAGCGCCTGGCATAGAAGGTATCAGTAATTCTCAGAAGCAGCTATTTTTGAATGACCAGGAAGAGATGTGGTCATTTAAGCATGAATAGACCCCTGTTTCTGGTTATATATAACGCGTTTGTACTTCACGCCCAATAAGTGTGCAGTACGCATATTAAGAGAGATATTAAGCTTATTATAGAGAAGAATAGTAACAATACTGTAATCAAAAGTCATATTAAAATATAAAGATAAGTATAGATAGTGCTTGTGATATTGCATTGAGCCATCGGCCTTGATTTTTACAATAATTCCACTGATTTAGAAACAATGAATAAGGCGCATTAAGGCTAGCCTTCCTAGGTGGTCTCCGTTGACAGCTGGGGCTACCCACACCACGTGACAAGATCTTCAACACCTTAGTAAACCATACAATTGCTCGTTCAGCGAGTAAAAAGAAGATATATGCAAAAATAATGCCTGCTGATTCAAGGTCGACAATTTATTAGTATTACCTGACTAATGATCCAGGCTCTTCTACTACGTTGTGGCTTGTTCTTCGAGGATGACGGTACCATCTTCAGACTCTGGTCCGGCTCTTGAAGCTCTTTGTCAGGCCTTATCTCATGCTGATAAAGCTTAACCCTATCCAAAGTATGCTCAATGACGCCACAACCCGAGGATATATATATAGCCATGCTCAAGTTCAGACAACCTTTTTGTTCCTTCCTCAAAAACCACAATCCATTCAAGAGTAATATCTTTGATCAGCATTGATACAATTCATTGAGTCCTCGCTTCATTCACCAACCAACCGTTCGCTGCTATAGCCGAAGTCCCAGCTACAGCATCTGAAGACTCGGGGACACCAATAATATCATCATGTCAAAACCTCTCAGCCACATCAAGATCGCACTCCGTCGCTCTAGTGAGCGCGGCTACGCCGAGCACGGCGGCTGGCTGAAAACATACCACACCTTCAGCTTCGCCGACTACTTCGACCACCGCTTCCTCAACTTTGGTTGCCTGAGAGTGCTGAACGAAGACCGCGTCGCTGCACGAAATGGCTTCCCCCTACACCCTCATCGGGATGCAGAGATCTTCAGCTACATCCTCAGTGGCGAGCTGACACACCGGGACAGCATGATCAAGAAGGGAGCAGAAGGCGCGCAGGGCAAGCAATTCTACCGTATGCGGAGAGGTGATGTGCAATTCACGACTGGGGGAACTGGTAAGTACCTGCTTCTGATGCATTATGACGTTGCGAGGGGTAGATGCTAACCCGACTATCAGGAATTGCGCATTCTGAACAGAACGAATCGAGCAAACCCGTGCATTTCCTTCAGATCTGGGTCCTGCCCTGGAAGTACGGACTGAAACCGCAGTATCACACGATGTCCTTCAGCGAAGAAGCGAAACGGAAGTCCTTCGTTCCGATCCTGTCGCCGTTGGCGGCAGGGCCAGACGCGACGCCCGCAGAGGAAGAGGCTGCTCGTCCCAAAATTCCAGACACGATTCCTATCCACGCCGACTTTCTCATGGGAGCTGGAATTATCGCGCCGGACACAACGTTCAAATGGAGCGTTGGCGCAGGAGATGTGGTCAGCTCGAAGAAGAAGAGGAATGTATATATCCATCTGCCCATGACGAAACAAGGCAAAGCGAAGATCAGGCTAGATGGAAGGGAAGACGCTGTGTTAGAAGAAGGCGATGGTGCATTTGTTACTGGAGTGAACGCTGGGGATATGCTTGCAGTGGAAAGTATTGGGGAGGCTGAGGCTGAGGTGGTGGTGCTGGACAGTAATTAAGGTGTTTGTAGTGATAATGAACGATAGAACTTTCGTTTTGTTTGAAAGCTGGCTCAAGAATTATCGCTTCCAGAAAGTGTCATCGCTTCTTTTATTTCATTTCAGTCTTCTTGACTCACCTCATTTCTGCTTGCACACAAATTTTCAGAGGAAAAACATGTTTGTTACACCTCAAATTTGGATTTTTGTTTACACATGAGTTCATCGATATGATTAAGTATGAGATCGTGACCACAAGACTCAATTTTTCTTCACTTTGAAATTAAATCAATAAAACGTCTCTAACCTCACTGGCCTGGATACATTCGCTCAAATGGCAGTAAGGACGATAAAATATGACCAAAGTAAGGACAATTTTCTGAGCTTTCGAGATTCTCCTCCTAACATTGAGTAGGCCCATTCAACGAATCGAAGACCACCCGTCAAGAAAGACAGCGCCGTTCCTTAATGTCCGTTTTCGACAAATGGAAATTTGAAGTCCAAAGGCCTCCTTGCAACCGCACGCCCCATGACAAGTCGCTCCGCAGTCACCTCATAGGATTGATCATCTTCGAGAAAGACACGAAACTCCCGAAGTCCACGCAGATCCTGAAAAGCTTCGAGTAGCTTCCTCACGTACTTGTTTCGATGTGGGGCTGCATTGCGCCAACTAGATGATCTGGTACCCAAGTCCACGATTGTGAGAGAGAGGCGCGAAAGTTCAAAATGCTCTCGTATGAAGCGACGTAATACTGACCAAGACACCATGGCAGAGTCTTCGTGTGGCTTATGGCTAGGCTTCGCGGGGTGTCGATGCATCGCCGGGAATTTGAAAACCAGATGGCGAATCAACATGAAAGACGAGGTTGGAATACTGTTCATGAAGCCCATCATGAGATCAGGGTCTTCCTCCACAAAGGCGAAGCGGCTCATGGTAAAAAAGATCCGGCGCGCATCTTCATAGAATGCCCGGCTAACAAGGAAGTACCTTACAGGCGACGAAAAACAAGAGCAGGTGGTCGAGTACGCCGTCTGACGGGCACGACAGAAGCACGCCGCCTGGAGCGGAGAGCAGGTGCCGCAGCATGTGAGCGGGCGAGACTCATTTACGCGCAGAGACTTGCGATCTATGAACGATACGATGCCTGGTATCCGGCCCCGGGTGGCAGGTAGGGGTCCAACTGGTTCACCAACAGGAATTCAAGTATTATCAGCTGCACTTCTTTGGGCAGATCAAAGTACGGAAAGGTAAGACTTTCCCCGAGATTGCCAGTCAATCTCAGGGCATTTCTCTTAACGACGGGACGTATATCCTCCTCCGGGTTGTGACTGAAATGAAAAGCACACTGAGAGAGGGCAGGGAACGGGTCCATGGCAGACATTATCTTGAGGGCCACTGCCATGTCCTTGACTCTGCACTTGAGACTGAAATACCTGAGATTAACCATTTCCAGAGCGGCATAACGGCAAAAACGAGACCACAGCCGCAGAAGATTGCGCTGAGCGCCAGGTTTGATGAAACGATTGTCCCAGGTACGCATTTCGACATGCAAATATCTCACGTCTTCTGCGGCCCAATCGACGGCGTTAAAGAAGCAATCCCAGTCGTTCAAATTGGTAAGTATGAAACTAAAGCGGTTGTGCGACCAGAAAAGGGCGCCCAGGTCCTCCCGGAACTCGCGAGAAACCATGAGCACCTCTGTCGGCAGTCGTGGATGATCACAGAGTCGACCAGCACAGGTGGACCAAATCCCACGTGTATGGAAGAGATTACGCGTGGCGCACGTGTGATCAGCAGCCTGTTTGACTCTGTGTGCCTCAGCCGTTATTTCGATCAAACAAGGCCGTACTAGTCCTATGTACTCCAGAATCCGAAGCTTGACTTTTTCTGGAAGTTGACACAGTGACTTGCCACCCTTCTTCGAACTGGACATGCTTGTGGTGTCTTTCTCTCGATCTGCGCCCTTGGAATTAGACGCTTGGTCTTCAGATGATGATTTGACCGTGCTCAACGACTCGAATAATGCAAAGAAGGACTCTTCATCGGGGTCGAGCCGTCCCACCAGGGATCCGTTGCGATGACGCTGAAGGAGTGACTCGTCTGCAGAGGTCAGAAGTTGACCTAGGAAGGCAGCAGCCTCCGAGTGAAGTGCAGACTAGGACTTACCCATGACGGTCGGCAGGTTGAAGGAGGCTCCGCGTCTCGAAGACCAGGGAGTGTAAGATTAATTATCAGCCGTCATGGAGACAATGGGCTGAGATAGGCCGGTTAAGGAGGTCACACAAGAGCACCGAGAAGCGGCAGATGCTCTCTATGAACACAATGGATAAAATGGAAGGATGCTAACTGAAGTGATTCCTTTTGGCCGAACATGTAAACACTGCACCCGGTAACGGGACGCACTATCACGGGGCCGATCTAGGCTCGCATTCAATGCCTGGGGCATTCACTACCAGGGCACTTCACAACCCCTCTACCTTGACTTTTGCCCCTCCAGACACGGAGTCATCATCCTTCAGAACTTCATCCTTGACTTTCGCTCCTGTTGTCTTCTTTGAGAGAAGTCCTCTGACTTCGCTCTTGCACAACTTGGTCCCAGCAAGATCGCACTCACCGCACCTCCGGCCAACAGGTAGGCAAACTGTCTGTCCTAAGCCCACAAGCAGCTTGTTAATTTCATGCCATTTATCCCTAGGGAGCCAGGACTCTAATGCCATGCGTGTCTCCTCAGGTGTCTTGGTTTTGTGCCAACCCCAAAGATTCGTGATACGGTGAACATGCACATCAACTCCAATTCCTTCGTCCTTCCCCCAGGCAGCACTCATGCAGAGATATGCCATCTTTGGCCCCACGCCGGGCAACTTCATGAGCTCCTCGGCGGTCGATGGTATATCTGAATTGTACTGATCTCGGAGTATCTCAGCTGCTGCCTTGATATATTTGGTCTTGTTGTTATGGAAGCCGACTGTCCTGATTAGCTCGTTCAGTCTCTCAGGAGAGACTGCCAGGATGTTCTCGAGATTCAAAGTGCTATCTCTCAAAGGCTGTGACGACTTGAGGTCAATATCTTCTTGCTCTTCTTTCTTGACTATGGGATCTTCTGCTGGGGCTTTTCCATCCCCCAGCTCGGTGTGTAACCGCTGCATAGCCACAGCTGTCACTGTGTCCTTGGTCTGGGACGACAACATCAATGCAATAAGGGTCTGAAATCGTTTGTCTCTGGGAGACGATGATCGCCAATAGAGTTCCGCGCAGCCCATGGTATCCACAGGAGCCGTCGGGTTGTTCTCCCGCATTTTCTTGACCATGGAATAGATGGTCTCCCAGTTCGATGGCGGTTCTATCTTGATTGAACCATCATCGCCCTTGATCTTGCGGGCTGGTGCACGACGTGATTTTGGCTTCGCAGACTCCACCTTGACAGCCTCGCGTTTTGTGACGGTCTTACCGGGCGCTCGTGTCGTGCTCTTGGTGGACAGGCTGCTAGGGCTACTCTTTCTCTTTTTCAGAGGGGGTTCCAAGATATCCTCGATGTCCACAGTATCAGCTGATGAGAGCGACGAAGTATCGTCACCGTCACTTTGCTGGGACTGTGCTCCCGTTATCGTAGGCGCAGTCTCAGTATGGCCATTTGCGCCAGCATTGAAGGCAAAGCGCTGAAGGACGTTTGCCCTTGACGAACTACGCGTTTGGCGTCGCGTAGGAGGCGAGAGAGCCTGCAGAAGACTTGTCGTCTCTTTGGAAGTGCGCGAAGTACGCATGGTTGATTGTCTAGTTTTGTAGATGAAGTTGATTATGTTATCTCGCGGATATAAGAGCTTCATATGATATTGTTGAAGATCCCCATACAAAGGGGCGAAATTTTAGCAGTTGGTGCTTAGCTGCTTACACATGGTTTCCCCGACCACGGAAGCCCAGACCGCGGAACTCTTCAGTGACATGGGGAAGACCCACAGCCACTGCCAGTTGAACCTCGGTGCAAGTATCCCATCGACGTTTTGGGCGAATAATCACCTCAAGAGCTGCTTCAAACTCCTTACCCTCTCCTTCATTTATATTCTAGAATCACGGTCGGGAGCCACATCCTACCCGAAGCAGGCACTTCAAACCCCCGACCTCGTTGATCATCGATTGCGCCCGCAGCTCCCACATTCCTTGAACCGCCTGCTATGGCGTCAAGCTCGACGACCCAGCGCCTCCTTCGCGAACTGAAAGACTACACCAAATCTCCGAACGAGGCCTTGCTCCATCTCGGCCCAGTAGACGAAGATGACCTCTTACACTGGGAAGCAGTCCTGAAAGGCGTCAAAGGCACACCGTACGAAGGTGAGTTAATCAAATCAGCCGCTGGTCGCCGTCCCCCGACCGACACTATCTCACCCTCCCACTCCAACAACGGCATACCTTCCCTTCCACATAACTTTATCTTAATATCTACCTCCGCAATGCTAACGCATATGGATATCTCAGGCGGTCTCTGGGGCCTCAAAATCGCCATCCCGCCGAACTACCCCCTCGCGCCGCCCAACATCCGCTTCACCACTCGCATCTCCCACCCCAATATCTCCTTCACGACGGGCGAGATATGCCTCACGCTCCTGACGACTGAGCACTGGAGCCCTGTCTACACACTCTCGACGACGTTAACCGCCATCCACCAGTTGCTCACGGACCCGCGGCCGGATTCGCCGCTGAACGTCGATGTGGCGGCGCTGCTGCGCGACGGGGACATACCAGCGTGGGAGAGTATCGTCCGATATTGGACTGAGGAGGAGAGATGGCAGGGGCAGGGGACTGTTAGTCGGTGATTGGAACGCGAAGGGAACGATGAGGGGAGAACACGACATTTCTTGATCATTTTACGAAGAGCGGTAAAGATATCTGTTACGTATATACATCTACATACCCGACGGATCTGGAGTTGCATATAGCTTTTTTTCTTTCGACGGCTGTCTACATGTGGAGAGAGACCGGAAGTGGCTTCCTCGAGGAGCTGTAATTATTTCACTGGTATCAGCTATCGAAGTAGATGAAGCACCCATATTCAGACGCAACTGCTTTGCAAATATGCACGTTTATGGACAAGACAGAACCACCATGGCCTGGCAATGATAAGGAGAGACATGATACGCTAAAAAAGCAAAGGTATTAACAAGAATAACCCGCTGATATAACCATCTGGACCAGATATTCGAAAAGAGAGACAACAGTCGGACGCCGGAGACCATGCAAAGGATCGTAAAAGGTCGGAGTCATGTCATGAGTAAATATTAAACAAGGAATAAACGCCATCAGATGCAATAAAACGCAAACTGTGAGCACAACCATAAAACCAGGATATTCGGACGTAATAGGATGATATAGGGTTCGAGGTGACACTGCCAACTTGTCCGGCTGTCTAGAGAGCCATGGCCACGGCGGCCGCGCCTCCAAGCATGATGAGCAGCTCCTTCTGGAGCCCGGTGATGGATGCGGCACTGCCGGTTTGCAGACCGGGGCCGGTCCGGTTGTCGTGGCGCCTGTGGCGCCTGGGTTGGAGCTGTCATCCGTGGGGTAGACGACCGTCACGGCCGTGACGGTGCTCTGCTGGCCATTGGGGAGGGTGGTGGTACTCTTGTACGTCGATGTGTAAGGGGTACGGGTGGTAGTATGCTTGCTGGTGGTTTGACCCTCGCTTGTGGAGGAGGCAGTTGTCAGAGTTGTGCGGGTTTCTGAGCTGGTAGTCGACGTGGTGGTAGTAGCTGTGGTGGGGGCAGGGGTGTCATGAGTAGTTGACGTTGTGGTCTCGCTTGTACTGGTTGTAGTAGTAGGCTGCGTCTCGGTAGTGGTAGGAGGGGGTTGGATGGGGTGGAAGTCGTCGTATGTGACTCGGGGGTGGTAGTCGTTTCCGAAGTGGTCTGCTGAGTAGTAGTCGTAGGCGGCTGGGTCGTAGTTGCAGGAGGGTTGGGCGAGGACGTGGTGGCGTTACTGCCGATATCTCTTGCGAGATTCAGATGTGCTGCCAGTGACCGATCCTCTCTCTGGATGACATCAATGGCGTCTCTGTCAGTGGGGAAAACACCATGGCGAAATCGGTCGATGAGATGCAGAGCTCTGTGAATCGAGTTTTCGTTGATATTGTTCAGGTTCTCAGAGAAGGTATCCTCGTTAGGAATCGGCACTGGCTCGGACTGCTCGGGAGCTGGAGCTGCGATAGCTGACGATGCAACCAGAGAGACAAAAAGCAGGCGAATTAACGGAGTCATGATGATTAAGGTACGGACTGAGGGACCTCGCAATTGGTAACGGAAGGGGAGAGGATTGAGATTGAATAAAGTGCAGAAGATCGCCTGATTCAGCAGTAGGCTGAGATAATGCGAGGAGATGCGATGCTGTGGGACAATTGATTATCAACTGCTAGGATTAGCAACCGGTAGGCGTCAGGTAAGTTGCTTGACGAATAGCAGTTGCAGCAAGTCGGACGCCAATTTGCAATGAAAAGAGAATTATATGCAAGAAGAGAAGATGAAGAGCCCCCAGAAGGCGTCCGGGTCCTTTTGTTTGTTCCCGGTTTGGATGCAGGATACGTAACTGTAGAAAAAAACTAGACTAGTGAAGGCCTAAGCCTAGTAGCTACTTAGTGACTCCAAAAGTCGTTTGTTTCGGTTTCGCATTCAGTCGAACATAGAATAGCCGACCAATCAGGACGGTGCGCCTTGGTACTATCAGTGGATCAGCCATGGAACCCGAGGAGAACTCGGACTTTTTACCACCAAAAAAAGACATCAGCAAAACAAAGGCTGATACCTAGCAGTAATAATAGACTAGAAGGTGGCAATGCTACTCAGTACAACTTGCTTCTTATCCGACAAAACACTGCAATTCATTCCTTGCATATACACCTGACTAAAAGAATAAGTAACCTCCGTTGCTGTCAATAGTACGTATCGGCTTCTGATAACAGCCTTATGACTCAGCATTTGTCCATCTACCCAAGTTGTTGAATAATATTGCTCTTGTTTACTATTTTCATGTCTCAAAGTGGACTTGGTAATTGAACAACAATGGATACTAGAGACTAATGAAACCAGGGAAAAGAGGAGGGGGGAAAGGCCCAACACATGCAGTTCCAAGTGAGGGAGTCGGCCTAATCCGTAACACAAGGTTTCTGTCCGATTCGGTTTCGGATGCGACATCATCACCGAGCCTCTCACAGCCAATCAAACAGGACACAAGCATGAGATCAGGATTACGCAAGAATTGATCGATAGTTAGCCATTGTTGGCGTTTCTACTCCGTAAATACTCTGACGCGACCGCATTTATTGGGACGGAGTGCGGCTAAGAAGGCATTAGTATCCATCAGAAGCTAAGTGGAATAAAAAAAAGCCAGGCCAGGAAAAACAACAGCAAAGCATCCCTGGATCATGTAATGTTGAACCTGAATCGCATGGTTACTGAACCGGATAAGGAGCTTGTCTGCCTGATGCCGCATCGGGACGAGTTGTGACTTGCGTGGTTCCAACAGAATCCCGATCTGCTATTTTTTCGGCAGTGGCTTGCCTGGGTGGGGTTACACCATCAATGATATGATTGGTCCTTACTGAACTGAGAATCGCCAGTTGTTTTCAGGATTCAGGCTAGTGGAATTATTGCTTTACCCATCATTATTATTGCTACACTGTTGGATTAGCCCAAGTCCATCTTTGTACCTCTGCAGTTCGCAGGCCATCAGCACAAGCAAATTAGTGAAACTCGGTACTTTTGTTGTTTGACAAGATCGTGCTTCGGTATTATGCAGAATGCCATGACATCCCTCTCTCTTTATGGTAGATGCACCCATAACCCGCCATACGGGGCCACAAATTGGTTCTCTCTCCAAATAGTCTGAGACACCGGCACTATTTTTGCCAAAACGTATTACTTTCTATAAATATCCCTAATTAAGTCTAGGACTGAAATCTGGCAGCACTACTCCGTATGACGAGGTTGATTCAATCGACGAGAGCATTCTAGTCTGACTGTTGAGATAATCGACTTTGATTCAGGTAGCAACCTGCCTTAGTACGAACAACAGTATGCAGCTGGTAATTCTAAGGTTCTTGATTTTGCTAGACTTTCGGATTGATTGGTCTAACAATAGAATGTGACTTGACAAAAAGAAACTATGGAAAGCGGACAGACATAGAACGGCTTCAAGGACAAAGCCAGTAATATGTGCTGTCACTGCCAATCGTCAATACAGGAGCATGTTGTCCGGGAATCTCGAAACACAGCAAAACCAGACACTCTATGAACCATTTCTCACAATCGAAATACGGTTATTGTTGACAATGCCCACCCAGGCACCCCATCCGACAACCCTGCCATAGATGGCATCGGCAATCTCCCTCAGGGTCGCCCTGTCGCTCAGCCTGCTTCGATCAATCGGTGCACTCAGAGCGATGAGCTCGAAGAAATAACGATGGGGACCATCTTCCGGGATTGACTTGGGCGGAAGATACACAGTATTGCGTCTGTTCTTCCCGTACTTGAATCCGTCTTCGAGCATATACGAGTCATTGTGGGTTCTGCTCACTTGGAAGTCGTCATGCTGGAGTCCGGTGAAAACGCGTGGGATTCCGTAATATAGCCCGTGGATGACCGAATGGGGAAGAGGAGCATCAGGGTCCTCGGCCACAAGGAGGTATTCTCGGATATTTCCGGCGGGAGAAGGCCATTCCAGAGCTGGAAAGAATCCTGCTCCCTCTTCCATATGGTCAACATTCAGAGGCGAGCCCGATGGGCCAATCTCGGAACAACTGAGAGGAATCGTGGGGTACGGGAAGTTGACAAAAGCTGGCCCGCTTGTGAATAGCTTCTCATATTGGGCCTTGACGCTGACCACCAGCATAAGGCAGCTGAATGCGGGACCTATAAGATGCATCTGCGAGTAACTGTCAGAAGTTTTCCGTCCGCCAGGGCAATTCGACGACATGCCTTTATCGATTGTTATCTTTCAAATGCCAAGTTCGTGAAAGGATGACTTTGGAAGGATAAGCTGTAAAGCAGTTTGTCTTTCAAATCAGAAGTAGTGTTGCAGTGATTGAGGAACAATTCCAGTCCTTTGTTGGGGGGAGTTATAGAGGACATTTTGCAACAGTAGCTACGGAAAGAGCAGAATCACCTGCATATGGAAGCTGCGTCGAGCAGCAGCACGAACACTCGCTGGCGCTTTCTCTCCATGAACGCCTGACCGGATGTCCTTTCGACTCAACAATCGCGGTTCGTCTAAAGTGGCAGACTGGAGTGTTGTCTGAGGAGCAGGGGAACTCGTTAGTATCTACGTATTCTGTTAGTTTGGAGTAGTTCGATGCGGGTTGTTGATCGTGTTCGGCTATCGCAGGATCGGAGCCACCCCAGACGTGCGGGGATCAGTGTGGATCCTTGTCCATCTGATGTTGAAGCTTGCCGAGGCAACACCTCGACAGCTCCAGATTCTCATATGATGTTACATTCACAGATATGCTATAAACCATGCACCATGAAAAGAGCTTGCTGAGGTATCCCTCTAATTATCAGCCTACATTCTCACTACGTCCCTCCCACTCACCACAAGCTTCCCGGAGTCGCTTCTATTTACCAACGAACTATTACCCTCAAAAGCTTCCAGATGGAAAGCACGTGGAAAGACATTGTCGCCTCGTATCCTCCGCAGGCAATCGAATTTGTGGGCACAGTCCTGGTTCAAGTCATCTCCTTTTGGCTTCCATCTCTCTGCTACCTTTCCTTAGACGCCTTGTTCCCGTCCTTCTCTCAAAGACACAAATTGCAACCAGCACCCAGACAGCCTACCCGACATGATATCTGGCAATGCTTCGTGGTAGTGGTGCAGAACTCGATGCTGTCCATGGGCCTGCATCTCTTCCAAATTTTTGTTCTCAAACGGGGGACTTCAGCATTTCGAATTCAAGCGTCGTTGCCACCCCTGGCCGAATTCCTTCGTGACTTCATCCTGAGTATTCTTCTGAGAGAGGCGCTCTTCTATTACAGTCACCGTTTTCTTCACAGTCCATTCTTCTACGCCAGAATCCATAAGCGGCATCATAAATTCACAGCACCCATCGCACTGGCAGCGCAGTATGCCCACCCCATCGAACACATTGTGGCCAATACGCTTCCAATTACTTTGCCACCGCAAATTCTGGGGAGTCATATCCTTACCTTCTGGGCCTTCCTGGCTTACGAGCTCGTCAACACCGCGACAGTACATAGTGGGTACGATTTCTTCAAAAACAAGGCGAAAATGCACGACTTGCATCATGAAAAGTTCAACTTGAACTACGGGTCCATCGGCCTTTTAGATTGGCTGCATGGGACTAATAAGCTTGAAAAGAAACGGAAGGAATAGTGATAATCGAGCCATGTATATATTTGTTGAGGTTGCGACAAAAGGTCAAAATGTTTGTCTATCTCAGCAGTTTGTGCTTCGGCAAGTCGCCAAATCATCATTCATGCGACACCAGTCGTCAAAACTCTTGCATAACTTAATATTAATCATGAAGGCTTGATATGTTCATTCTTCAGTGTCTCCCTCCTATATCCTGGCTGCCAGTTTACCAGTGTCCTGCAGCACGTACCCACTACGCATTGCCTTGCTCCTAGCGCACTCTCCGTGCTGTGGTGTCACATATCGCACTTCAGCCACCGGTTTGTAATCAGATCCCGACATTTTGGCAACTTCTTCATCGAAACCACGTTCGTCGGTCTTTCCATCGGCTCGACGGACCAAGTCGTAGGCCCTCCGGGAGGCTCAGACTCGGCGCATCCAGCAGGATCAGTTCGTTTGTTGAGAAGCAGTCGTGTAGCTCGTAGACGACGATATCGGCAGGCATCACCCCTGCCTCGGTCATCGCCGTTTGGGCTGCCTGCTGTGTCATACCATAGCTGATCAGCAAGTGGGGACGCTTTGATACGCATTGGCTATCTCAATGACAAGATAGATTGGAATACTTCATGAAAAGTGTTGTTGCAATACACGATGATAATATTACCTGATAGGGGTATTGCGATCGATGTTTGACTATGTTGGCAGCTTGATACTCATTGCCCTGCATTTATCAACTCAAGTTTTTGCAGACTTGAAATAGTGCTTTTGACACAGGAAAGCAGTGGACATGATGTGCCTTAACAACGGTGCCACTACTTCCGTCTTAATTATCTGAGATACATTTTCCACGACTCTGCAAAAGCTCCCACTTAGAAAAAGACTTGATACCTGAAGACCATCCATTAAGTGTGTTAACATCCAAATGTTGAAAATCCCCGCCGCAGTCCGCAGGCAAATCAGCCGTAGTGAAATGAAGTTGTCCCTTTGTAGGAACTCATACGTAGCAGGATGCACCGGTGCCTCAGTAGTCTGAAAGATCCTAAGCTTATCAATGCTATTCAATTTACTAGAGCCGTTGTTGACCCCAGTGCACATGGACGATGTATTGCTTAACTGCAGCTATTAGCATCTGGCTGTCGATGGCTGGGAGAAATCAGGATACATAGACCTTATTTGAGGCTGTCATAAAATTTCCGATCAAGATAAAAAAGATAAAAATCAATGGAGAAAGTCCGAATACCTCTAGCGGGGAATGAACTTGTGATTGAGAGAAAAAAAATCTTTTCTAGGAACGGTTTTTGTTTAAGCAGTCTTTGTTCCCCTAGCCCACATAGCCCTTAAGCTAGTAGAACTGCATCCAATAAAAATATAACCCAATCATCGCTAAAGTCTGATGCATTTACTCTGATGAGATCGAACTCGCGATCAAGAGGGGAAAAAATCCTGCCTGGAATGGGCTTTTGTTTAAGCAGTCTTTGTCTCCCAGCCTAACCTCTGGTCAACTTACACCAGCCTAATAGCAAAAATACCTTGAGTAAGTTAAGTTAGTTTAAGTTAACAAGGCGTCAAAGGGTGGAAAGTAGTGATAAGAGTTACCTATCTCCTAGAGATGGTCCAGATGGATGAGCAGTCCATCTTATAGACCATGCACTGAGATGCCAAGCCTTAGCTACACACTTTTCCTAAATAGGAACACTATACTGCTTCTAGTAATTCACTGTCACTGGAGACTACGGAGTAGTCCACACGGACTTTCCAGTTGCCGGAGCTATATATCTCTGGGTTGAGGGACACCACAGCTTTCCCCCAACAGTCCAGTCTTCATATGTAGTCTAACCAGTAATATAGATTTAAGAGACTTAGATGAATCACTCTAATACTAAGCGCGAAAATCGCCTGTAAGTAAGAGAGATAGCCGATTGAGTCCTTTTGACTAAGGAATTCTCGAAGACGGGGCTAGCCTTTACTGGTGGGATCCCTGAACATTGCCGGCAGGTCTAGACCAGCCAGGACAAGCCAGGCTGCCACAATACTCCATCTGCTCTTAAATTAGGTACCAGATGGATCATATTCACCATAAGACACTCCGTATTCATAGTGCTTCGTTCCACTTAAGAGAATGACATTAAGAGTTTCAGAATGAAATAGTAGCCAAGAGACCAATAGCGATTTACATACATAGGCGTTTTATTATGATTGTCGAGTGAGCGGGAGAGAAAGCGGCAGTACTATACTCCATGAAACCCGAACTTAACCTCAAATTCATGTTACCTCTCCAGAGAGGATCAAGTCTGATATTTCAAGAACACTTTTAAATATCCAGGTACTCTGTACATTTGTTCGCGTGCTGACATGAAACATGCTCACCTGTCCTACCAATTCCTTGGAATGTGGTTGTCTTCCCCCACCCAATCACAGAGGCGGAGTCCAGATTCTTCTAGGCGGCTGGTGGCGCCCATGGATTGACGTCAAGCTTTGCCTATTTTTGGCCGAAGGATCAAAGGATCCTTCATGCAGCGGCCTTGTTTTTGACTCTTTCTTGAGAATAATGATTGAGATAGACATCAAATGGTATTGAAATGGCTTTGCATCAGAGTTTTCTTTTATTTAGGTTTGCTGTGATATGGGTCAGCAGCTAGTATTGTCATGCAAGTAATCTAGGACCTAGCTAGGTACTTAAGCAAGGACGTCGTTGCACGACCGGACCACGACACAAACGCTGAGACAATGTTTGTATGTGCTGGCAAGTTGAAAGCCTTTCAGAATCTAGTATTGGATTGGAGAGATGGATTGATGCATTTATGATTATGTTATCTCCCTGCCTCTGTTGTAGTGAGCCATTAATGTCAAATCAATACCCGCCGGATTGCTTTCCCGCCTCAGTCGGGACTTCAAGAAAAGGTGGGTTTTAGTCACCACAAGTCGAGGCCACGCATTATTCTCTATCCTACCTCCGATGCACGGAATTTATACAAAATATGATACTGCTCAGAGCATCTTCCTCTTACACAGTCATTAGCACTCCGTAGAATAAAATATAGTGATGGCAGCAAAGTATCGGCACCTGCGACTGCTATCCAGGGTCTCAGGGACTGAGCCCTTATTTCTGAGGCCTGGGGGTCAATAAGCCAAAGCTCCACCCGCCCCTGGCCGATTCCCCACCGCGGCAGCCAGCAGGGTCAATCATCATCAAGCTGCTGTGACTGCTCTTTGGATTATTCTCTTTCGGCGGGAATTGTGTACCGTAGATAAATGGTCACTGGGAATGTTTCAGAATCTCAGCTTAACTCGGATGGAAAGTAGAGAGGTAGTACTCTGGAATTTTCCACCCAATGATAATCTCCATCCGCACAGTCGAATTCATTTCCTTCGTACGGAGTAGTCTGAAGTCTTTCACTCTTGGCCGATCGGATGATCTTTGGGTCTTTTAAGCCCACGATCCACAAGAGTGTCAGACAAGGCCCATTCTCTTTCCCCACATCGCTTGTCAATGGCCACTGAGATGGTCAGAGCTGTCTTCCTTATCAAATCAAGTGCAGAGTGATGACGAGTCCTGTGTGTCTACCTGTGAATGTGGAAGGTTATCCCTGTGTATGTAAAAGTATTACCATCTCCGGTGCTATTCTTATCCGCTGGCACCCCAGACTCTGCGAACGGTACCGTAATTCTATTTGCGTTCCCTGTTTCTCTCAGGGATAGGTCCTGGTTGGTTTTAAGACCCTGCCACCCTTCATGGGTATTCCATCTTTCCCTGCCTCTTTTGTTTCTGTTTCCTGCATATCCCTTCGGTCGTTCATATCCTTCCTTCTTCCTTTCTTTTCTCCAGTCCTTCATACCTCTATTAATCGATATCGTCACTCGCTAGACTATACAATCTTCTCCATTTCTCCTTCGCTGACATTGACTTTGTTAAATCACGGTCTCGCCATTCTCTTCGAGCCGTCTACCTATTCGATTCCCTAACCAATACACATCACTCATAATGAAGGTCTCTGCTGTTACTGCGGCTCTCGCCGTCGGTGCCTCCACCGTTCTGGCAGCTCCCTCCATCAAGGCCCGTGACGACGTCACTCCCATCACCGTGAAGGGTAATGCCTTCTTCAAGGGAGACGAGCGTTTCTATATTCGCGGTGTCGACTACCAGCCCGGTGGCTCTTCCGACCTGGCTGACCCCATCGCTGATGCCAATGGTTGCAAGCGTGATATTGCCAAGTTCAAGGAGCTCGGTCTGAACACCATCCGTGTCTACTCGGTCGACAACTCCAAGAACCACGACGAGTGTATGAATGCCCTGGCTGATGCTGGCATCTACCTGGTGCTCGATGTCAACACTCCCAAGTACTCGATCAACCGCGCCAAGCCCAAGGCGTCGTACAACGATGTCTACCTCCAGTACATCTTCGCTACCGTTGATGCTTTCGCCGGCTACAAGAACACCCTCGCTTTCTTCTCCGGTAACGAGGTTATCAACGATGGCCCTTCTTCCTCTGCTGCTCCCTATGTCAAGGCCGTCACTCGTGATCTGCGTCAGTACATCCGTAGCCGCAACTACCGTGAGATTCCTGTCGGCTACTCTGCTGTAAGTCCCTATGCTACATACAGGTGACTCGTGACCTCTTGTTGACTGGTCCAATTCTAGGCCGATATCGACACCAACCGTCTTCAGATGGCGCAGTATATGAACTGCGGTACCGATGACGAGCGCAGTGACTTCTTCGCTTTCAACGACTACTCCTGGTGTGATCCCTCCTCTTTCACAACCTCGGGCTGGGATCAGAAGGTCAAGAACTTCACTGGCTATGGTCTTCCTCTCTTCCTGTCCGAATACGGCTGCAACACCAACAAGCGTCAATTCCAAGAAGTCGGCTCCCTCTACTCCACGGACATGACTGCTGTCTACTCTGGTGGTCTCGTGTACGAGTACTCTCAGGAGGCCAGCAACTACGGTCTGGTGGAGATTAGCGGCAACGACGTCAAGGAGCTCCCAGATTTCGACGCTCTGAAGACCGCGTTCGAAAAGACCTCTAACCCTTCCGGCGACGGCAACTACAACAAGACTGGTGGTGCCAACCCTTGCCCCGCTAAGGACTCTCCCAACTGGGACGTTGACAGCGATGCTCTGCCTGCCATCCCCGAGCCTGCCAAGAAGTACATGACCGAGGGTGCTGGCAAGGGCCCTGGTTTCGCCGGCTCTGGCAGCCAGGACCGTGGTACCGAGTCTACTGCCACTGCTGAGCCCGGATCTGGCTCTGCCACTGGAAGCAGCAGCAGCAGCAGCGGCACCTCCACCTCTTCCAAGGGCGCTGCAGCTGGCCTGACTGTCCCTAGCCTAACCATGGCTCCCGTTGTCGTCGGTGCGGTTTCTCTCCTGTCCACCGTCTTCGGCGCTGGTCTCGTCCTTTTGTAATTTGCTCTTCTCATACCCTCTTGAACAAATTGTCCTATTGCCATGATTTTGTTGTTCATCTTCAGTTCAGTTCTTTGGGCTCCCGACTGGTCTAAATGGGGGAAATCGTATTCAATTGATGAATCGTCCGTGGTGTTATTTCACTCTCCAGTGAGGAGGACCCGGGAAAATGTACAGTTTAGGTTGGCTTCTCTGGCCTCTTATAGATTAATTGAATGACTCAATTTTCATCTTTTCACCTTGCGGGTCAATGATTTGCAGTGGTCGTCTGGTGCTTGTGCCTTTGGCAGCGACCGACCCACCCACCTTCTATCAAATCACAGAAGACTCGAGAGAGACTAGACGACTGCCACCTTGGCAGTAGGGCTGTTAGTCAAGCCTAGTGTTAACAGGATAAGCTCTCCCCAGGCATCATACTATTCTGACTGATCTCAATAGTAATCCTACATTGTCCGACTACCGACATTTTGCACCGGCAGCACTTTCGAGTTTCGATCTTCTAATATCACCATATTGTCGTTGCGGGTTGTGTCAGCTCCGACACACTCATCTTAGCATCCTGACTCAGTCGACCAATCAACCACAATACTTTAGTGATCCATCCACTTGATAATCAACGTCCCGGGGGGGGCACTGTTTCGATTAGATGGAAATGTGGGCAATATTGGTATCGAGGGTTACCGGCTCAAACGACCGACGTTGAAATATGAAACCAGACTTATCTAGCTCTCCTTAGCGCGTCCCACTCGGTGCAAGTTGACATTTGCCGGCGCTTCTTGGTTTGCTTATTTCCTGCTGGCGCATGCGACATTCGTTCCATCGGAGAAGCAGTCGTGGTTTTGTCGGTTTCTTCTAGTCTAGCCGTTGACGAGCCCACCTGGTTAATTCTTCCAATCCACCGGGTGCCGTCCGTCCTTCATTTCTCGGTCGTTTTCCGTGCGAGGGCTAGTCCGTGCTTGAGACATGGGTGTGTATATGAATGATGTCCTCGCCATGATGGCTGTCCATTCAGCTGATCACTTATCCATTCATTCGCTTCTTTTTTTCTTCTTCCTTTTCCGGCGATTCTAGCCGTCATTCGCTTTTGGGCTGCTGCTGGGTCGGCTATCCCGTTCCTTTCATTCAAAATCAGATTTTGTCTTAGCATACGCTGGTTGTTTGCGGCCTTGCTTTGTTTCTCGTTCTGATCGGCTGAAGAAAAAATGCGTTCCTTTCTTTTCGGTGGCTTGGTAGCCTTCAGCTCGACGCTCGGCGCCTTTGCGGCGAACTACAATTCGTCCGCCTACAGTGACTCGGCATCCGGGATCGACTTTCAGAGATGGTGCGATGAGAGTACCGGATTCTGCTTCGGTCTAGCCCTCCCGGAGACCGTAGGAACGGACTTCGTCGGTCAACTGGTGGTGCCGCTGGACGGCTCGAAAGGATGGGGTGGTGTCAGTCTGGGTGGCTCCATGACCTCAGCTCTTTTGATCGCTGCCTGGCCGAATGGGAACTCGGCTGTCTCGAGTCTGCGCAAGACAACCAACTACGCCAACCCGGAAGTGTACAGCGGAGACGCCAGCCTCACCGAGATCCCCGATGGCACTTCTGTGAACAGCACTCATCTCACTTATACGTTCCTTTGCAGTGGCTGCATCCTCGGACAGCCAGCGACGTTCGACGCCACAGATGAAACGTACTTCCTTGGCTGGGCCCTCAGCAAGACCAGCCCTACCACTCCTGCCTCGGCCTCGGCGGCTCTGACATACCATGCCGCTGGCTTTGGCAGCTTTGAGATGCTCCTCGGCCAGGCCAAGTCCTCCAAGTACTCCACCTGGGCTGCCATGGCCAAGCCGACCAGCGGATCGCCCTCCAGCACTCCTTCCGCGTCTGCATCCGTCTCGGCGTCCCCTAGTCGCAGCCCTGTCGCCAGCGTGACCCCGACGGTTTCAAACTCCACATACGACTACATCGTTGTGGGAGGTGGTGCGGCTGGTATCGTGGCTGCGGAACGCCTGGCAGAGGCAAACAAGCGCGTTCTGCTGATCGAGCGTGGAGTTGCCCCGACAGTCGAGATGGGTGCCTCTGACGCTCTTGCATGGAACAAGACCCTGGCGCCAGTGGACATTCCGGCCTTGAACCAGGCACTGACCAGCCTGGGTGTTGTTGGGGATTACCTGTGCGAAGACACACCCGGCATGGCTGGATGTGTTCTGGGAGGCGGCACTATCGTCAACGCGATGGCGTTGATTTACCCACAGGAAGCCGACTTTGACGACAAGTGGCCTGCCGGCTGGAAGTGGCAAGATGTCAAGAGTGCCGCTGCCCGCTTCTACGAGAGAAACCCCGGAAGCTTGCTCCCGTCCGCTGACGGTCGCCGCTACGACCAGGGCATGTACACAGTGCTGTCTTCCTTTTTGAGCAGTCTCGGATGGAAGTCTGTTGATCAGCACAAGCAGCCCAACGAGAAGCACAAGGCGTTCAGTTACCCGTCCTGGTCGGTCGCCAATGGCATCCGAGCTGGTCCTGTACGCTCCTACCTCCCTTTGGTCCAGAACAAGGACAACTTCACCCTGCGTCTGCAGACCACAGTCCGCCGTCTGATCCGCACTGGCGGCCACGTCACCGGCGTCGAGGTTCAGAACGCCTCCGGCGGTGTTGAGGTCATCCGGATCCGTCCTGGCGGCAAGGTCATCCTCGCGGCCGGTGCTCTATCCACCCCTCGCATCCTCTTCAACTCTGGCATCGGCCCAGCCGAGCAGATCAAGACCGTCCAGAGCGGCAGCACCGGAATCACCCTACCCGCTCAGAAGGACTGGATCAACCTCCCAGTCGGCCACAACCTCAAGGACCACCCCATGTTCACCGTCAAAGTCAACACCGGCGCCAACTTCACAGCCTTCAACACCTCCAGCGTCATCCCCGCCACCAACTCCCTCGCGCAGCGCATGTACGCCAGCGGCTCCGGCATCCTCACCCAGGGCGGCCACCGCCTGCAATTCTGGACCTCGAACGTCGCCTCCGACGGCGTCACCCGCTTCTTCCAGGCCTCCTGCAGCCCCGGCGGCGACGGCATCATCACCATGAAGCTCTACCTCACACACGGCGCCACCTCCTCCGGCGTCCTGGGCATCAACGCCGCCGGCTCCACTACCATCGAAACAGACCCCTTGCTGCAGACACTCGAGGACAAGGAGGCACTCACGTCGTTCCTGCAAGAGCTCCTCGACGACCTCAAGAACGCCTCCTACACCGTCCAGGAGCACACCTCCGCGGCGGACATCATCGCCAAAGTGACCAGCGGCGACCACTTCGTCGGCACAGCCAAGATGGGCACCGATGACGGCCGCCGGAATGGCACCTCCGTCGTGGATACCAACGCTAAGGTCTACGGTACCGATAACTTGGTAGGTTTCTTCTTTTCCCCCGGCATCTTACCAAGTCCACTGCAGTATACTGACAAAAGATTACTAGTACATCGTCGACGCGAGTATCCACCCCGACCTCCCAACCGGCAATACCCAGGCCATCGTCATGATCGCCGCCGAGGCTGCCGTCGCACGCATCCTTGCGCAGGGCAGCGGCCCCGGCTCCTCCAGCATTGTTGTTTCTGCGCCAAGCCAGAATACCGCTATTGCTTCTGCGTCTAGCATTGACAGTGCGGTTCCTGTTCCTGTTCCTGTTCCTACCGGCGGGGCAAGAAACCACTGTCGGGGGCGGAGTCATGACTTCCGCTGCGGCGGCCACCGAAACTGAAACCGAAGCTGCCCCTGCTTCGACGACGGCTGGGGCCGAGGGTGCTGGTGGTGTGGCCACCGTCACGAAGTGGGTGACGTCCGTGGATGTGGTTACTGTTACCAAGCATGTTCTTGTGACTGCTACTACGACTGTTACCGTTTTGCCTACATTGGCGTAGTCCCCCGAAGAAGAAGAACCAGTATGCCTGCACTGCAGTCAACCGATGTACTAGATATATAAACTTGAATGTATTCCGAATATCTTTATATTGTATCTAGTGCAACTCACTCAAATCCGCAATCTATTCCCCATTTCTAGGAATATAACGCTCGCTCATAGTCATGCTCATGGTCACAGTCATGGTCCTGTTATCCCACGGCCAAAAAACCAGGATAGTATAAACACGAATCCCATCCCCCAGAAGCAAAAAATGAAATCATCACATCGTAATCATCATCATCAGCTCATCATCAGATCACATCACACTGATTCGTCTCCCAGCCAGTACTGATCCCCCCATTCAGTCTGCATCATCGCACCCCCGCCCACGCCCACACCCATATCCAGATCGTCCAGCGAGAAGACCCCGTCGCCAGCGTACCCGCCTGCGCCATCCGCGAACAGGAATCCGGCGCCGTGCACGTCGCCGTGCATCAGTGCCATCGAGACCGGGATGTCGGCGACGGACGCGAGGGCGGGGTCGCGAACGAACCGCAGGTTAGCGGGAAGAGCGAGGATGGGGCGCGGTGGTGAATACCGGGAGTGGAACTGGAACAGGGGCTGCTGGGGCGGTGAATCGCGCGCCAGGATGGGAATGGCACTGTGCATGTGCGTCGCCGGATGAGTATCCGGGACTCTGGCTCATACGCATCTGGGTGTCTGTTTCTGTCGAGCTGCGGGAACGCACAGAAAGTCCCCGTCGTGCGGGGACGGCGCCCGCTGCGCTGGGACGACCTGCAAGCGGTGGTGAGATCGCTGCGTGGCTGGCGGCTGGCGTGGCAGAGTCGAGCGAAGGACGGGGCGCGATGGGTTGGAAGGCGCTGTTTGGACGGGAGGGTCTACCGGAAGATTTCTGGAGAAACCGAACCGGAGAAAGGACCATATCAGCGAACGACTGCCTGAGAAGGTATATGCATGGGCAACGACGAATCCCAAAGAAAAAGCAAAATCAAGACGGTGCTTCTCCCCCCTCTTGTCTGGTGACATCTACTTTTGAAGATTGAGACTTGGACTCTGCCTCACGTCTGAGTTTGGTGTGCTCCTCTGGAGCTTGGCATGGGGTGCAGTTGCATACAGAGCAAGTCGAAAAGGGGCGACCCTTTCTGGCGATGCGGATCAATGGTCGATCTGTAATTCGTTATAAGTCTGATTGAAATTGGAGGAGGAGAGGATGGAGGAAATAGATACCATTGTGTTTACAGGTTGTCACACGGTGGCCGCGGACGCAAGCTTCACAAGCCCACTTTTCACCGTCAATGAGCATCCCTTGATGGTATGAAAGGAAGAAGCCATGATGAGGGATGAGGAGGAGGAATTTATACGTGGACTGGCGGAGAGGAGATGAGACAATGCATCATAGGTAGTAAGGTAGTATTGGGGAGGATTAAAAGGGAATAGAGGCTGGAGCTGGAGCTGGAGCTGGAGCTGCCTGCCTCAGGTGTCCGGAGATCGACTTGTCTTGCAGTCACGGGCTGTCGTTCGGCTGCAGGTAAAGCGGTTTCCCACTTAGGTAGGTGACGGAGACCAATTTTTACGATATCATTGAATCCAAGAGGATGTGATTGGTGCGGATGGAGAAATATTCGACACGTTGGTGGCTATCATGAAAGGAGGATCCTCTGAGGAATCAGCAGGAAATTTCCTTTGGATGGATCCTTGTGTGTATAGAGGCTAGAGAGTCACTACTACCGCTGTATATTCTCGAAGACAAAAGACGGAAACCGAATGAATCGAGACTAGCGATGAGGGATTTTCGACCCTCGGCTCCCGCAAATGAAACCCAGGGATTAGGGGTGTTTCTAGTTTCTCCCAGCTATCCCCCAAAGCAGCAAAGCAGAAAGAAGGGAGATGCTAGCTGGTGTAAGCTGGCAATATCAGTTCGTCCTTTGGCAGTGCAAGTGGGAAATACCAGGGAGATGCCAGATTCGTCCTAGCATTGATTAAAACTGGTGGTCCAGCAAATTCCCTCATACATTCGGTGCTTAAGAGTCAAGACTCTTTTTCAGACCGCCCCTCTTCCTAAAGAAAACCAATCTTGCTGCCTGGTGTTACGGATCCTCAAGGTCTTGCGTTAATAATAATAATATTAATGACAAACAACATGATCCGCTAAAGAAGAAAAATTAAGACGAGGACAAGACAATTAGAGCTTGACTGAGACGCTCGGGTCACTATGAGGCTGGAGACACACATTTACAGAGTACAGTATATAGAGCACAGTTACAGAATAGAGTACACGCTTGAGATCAATGACATACATGATTGACTCGCTACGACATAACCGAATAATATTAATTTCCAATCCTTTATCAATCGCAAACCTATCTTTCATATCCGCTCGTAATCAAAATCATATGAATGTGTAGATCAGCTCGCTTGATGGAGGTGGCTGAGCACTGCATACCCGGCAGCAGCACTAAACAATAGCTTCAGCACAAGCCAAATAGAGGCCCGTGGCGCAGTCTAATTGCAGCCGATTTCCATGGTTGATCTTGTATCATTCAGGTGTGATTTACTATGAGGTATTTCCCCCTGATGATACGATCGTAGCTCGACTAATTTCCTGCGCGATTTTCAGATATAGTTCGAGCCTTGTAGGGTCTTGTTTGTATACTCTACGTATGGTTGTCCCGTAGTTATCCCGTAGTATACTAGGTTTCATTAATGCCTTTCGACCGGAGATTTCATATGAAAGTCAAAAGAAAGGACATAATGCTACCCGGTGAAACAAATTTTATCTCACATGTCGCAGCATAGCCGACTTCGCTGCCAATTCCCGTCTTCCCACGCCGCTCCTACGTACAAAGTACGCTGACCAACACATCCACTCTTCTCGGCACTCTTTAGATATGTACCTTAATGGAAGCGATCGCATCATGCAGTTTTAGCCTCCAATAGAATTTTGAGGGGAAACGGCGGCTGAATTAAGGTATCTTCTGCGTGGCTTGTGCACAGTACTTTGATTTCCGACTGCGCTTGCTCGGAAAGGAAGGTCCATTCTTTGTTGACAGCTGGCGGATTCACCCCTGGTCATTGTTGGAGATCATGAGACCGATCGTCCTAGTAGACTCTGCTGCCCATACTATTGCGATCCAATTGCCAAGGTGAGTCAAAAACTAAAGTACGACGGCACGAAGCGTAGACAATCTCATAGGTATCCATTCGCTGCTGATGCCACCAATGCAAAGCTATAGATAAATAATGGTCACAATGAATCCAATCGCCTAACAATAAGCTTAAAACCGCACGATGCCACGTTTACACTTCCTGTATATAGTTCGCAGGTACACTTTTGGTGACCCCTCCCCGTTCGACGTCGGCCCATCCATCCCCGCTGTCCCGGTTGACCAGCACGAACCGGTCGCCTTCCACCATGCTCCATTCCATATCGCTGCGCGCTTCGTAGTCATACAGCGCTTCGACGTATTGCAATTTCTTTGCCCCTCGCCGAGGGGCGACTGCAGGCCCAACCCGCTTGGGCGCCATACTGCCAGCTAACGAGGCAGACGAGTTCGAGTACGTAGAGCCCGGCCGATCTGTGAATCCGGGACTGGCCGTGGGCGCAGGGGATGCTGCCGGTACCACTTCCACGTATGAGGCTGGGACGAGGCCTTCTCGCGATCCAGCGCGAACGCGCATCCATCCGGAGCCATCTAGAAAACCTCAGTTAGGACGATTCACCGTATGTCAACGGCAAACTTACCATCAGGTTCAATAATATCCACGTCGTCCCCTTCCTGCACTGTGATTTCGTCCGCTCCTCCAGCTTGATACGGGTACAACATCTTACCACGCGGCTCGCCTGATTTGGCGGGAGCGGACGGCGACTCACTTGGCGCTGGAGCGCTAACGTACTGTGTCGGAGGTGGTGCGAGAATCCGATTCCTCTTCGGAGCGGCAACGGCGGGTTTGGTCTCGGCAGGCGCGGCAGGCGCCGCAGGCTCTGTTGCACTGGCTGGTTGGCTGGTAACATTTGACAATGATCGGTTTGCGCTCGCCGCATATCCGGAGCTCAAGGAGTTCATCGTATTTTGCCGAGTGAGTGATGGCGCGGCCGATGTTCCGTTCGATGGTGCATTATCGACCGCTGGCATGGCACCGGCTTGCTCTTGTCGCTCTGCCTTGAGCTTCTTCTTCTCCTCCTTGGTCTGTTCGCCAGGACATTCCGCGGGTACCTTCATCTGACATTTGCTGTGGCATGTGTACCCGCAATCCCGACAATCAAAGCCTTTGGCTGACAGTCCCCAAATGCGCTCCCCGCAAAGATCGCAGTTGGTCGGGATCTTAAACGTCTGTGACTTGAAATTGTGATTCTTGGCCCCTAGAGACAAATCGCCGACCACCGACATGATGGTCGACGTCTCAACCTCTGCAGCCAGTCGTTTCCGGTCTGTCTCATGGAGCGCCTCCTGCAAGAAAAATATGGACCGGACAACCTCCACTTCGTTCCGGTTGTCTTTCCCTTGCCGAACATTTTCTCGTACACGCTTGGCGTTGTCAACTTCTCGTCGCTTCTGGTCGGACTCGACTCGCAAGTCCCGGACTTGCGTCTTGCCCTTGCTGAGTAGGTTGCGCAGAAACACTTTGGCTGTCTCATCTGTAACCATCGACTCGTCATCATGCCAGATAGGACTGGGTTCGAATACCATGTTGGCAGGTTCCTGCACTTGGGTGACGTTATGACGAAGAAACATGAGTGAGTCGAGGTGCGGTACGTTTCGAGGAATCTCGTTCAGTAGATGTGACATGTGGTCCATACTCTTGGAGAGAGAAGCTTTCTCTAACTGAGCTGCGAGAGACCATACCGAGTTGAGTTTTGTCACCCGGGTCTCATTCAGGTCTTGCAATCCCTATACACAGTGAGTAATCCACTCCGTAACCCGACGCCAACTACTCACATCCAAAAGCTCTGGCACATATTCATGGAAATATTTCTCCTTCATCTTGTTGGTCACGTTTATGCTGATGAGGTACATGTTCTTCCACACATTAGTAAGACTGGTCAGCCTGGGGATTGAAGGAACGGAGAGGCTCACCTTGATATTGTTCATTTCCAAAATCTGCTGCTGATAGGCAGCTTGCGCCTTCGACTTTCCATGGTCAAACGAACTTTCCATCTTCTTTCTGCGCGCCTCGACCTCCTGGCATGCCCCATCATATTTCCCCTTTGCCTTCTTCAACTCGCCGTACGATGAGTCTCTCTCCTTCTCCAGCTTCGCATGAAAGTCCACATGGCATTTCCTAAGTTCTTCGTACTGCGCCGCCGCTTGCTTGAGAGGCTCCGCCACTTGCGCGACCAACTCCGAGGCGAACTTGTCCCGTTCCGCGGCATGCGATTCGACAGCGGTCAATTGCGTCGTCCAGGTGGTAAGAGAAGCGCTTTCAAGGGAGCCCGGAGTCATTGTAGGATTGTCTCCAACGCTCAGGCTGCTGATTTTCTTCGCCTTGCGATCGTAGTATTTCCGACAGAGGGTAGTGAGTTTGGTGGCGTATTCCTTCTCGATCGCGCTCCGCTCGCGATAAAACTGTTGTATCTCGTCGAGCCATTGTATTCCATTCGACACCTATGGGTGACGTTTAACACCGTTGTTCTTGGTCTTGCGGACAAAATGCGGGGAAGCGACTTCGGTACATACCCAATTGTTCACTGGTTTAAATGCGTCCTATTTCAACAGCAAGTATTAGATAGCCATTCTCAAGTGCGTCGATGGTAAATCTTACCTTTAGCTCCGCTCCAAAATGAGGAGCAACGTCCGCAGTTGCCATCTTTTAGAGGGCTTCTAATGTATCCCGGCGCATAAGACACTGTGTCAGAAAGCCAAACCTGGGTGTAGCGTGTACTAGGTGGCCACGTTTGACCGTTCGCGAGAGAAGCCACAATCCCCCACGTGCTGACGTCCCTTGGCGGTTTGATGCAGCCAGTAAGGTGTCACAAGTCGCTGAGGCTAATAAAAATAGGAAATTTCTGATAAGAAGCGACCAAAAGGCTATTATCATCTCATGTTAACTCCGGCGTTGGCGCGGGCATCGCGGAAGCGGGGATGATGGCTGATGGCTCATGGGCTCATTGGCCTGAGAAGGTCGTAACAATACCAAAGCAGCTGCCTCAGGCATGCCTGCCTCAAAAACCCCCGTTGCCCTGGCGCTGAAGTTACCATCCTGTACCGTCCGGTACCACTACGTAATTTACCTCACCGCCTTCCATTCAGCGCTAGTCAGGAGATTCCCAAAGAGGGAAAGTGTCGTTACACGTTATCGCCTGGTTGGTTTTTTCTACCGTCATTATTGTGCTCCTAAAGCGCAGTCACGGCTTGATACCTTGGGGATTTGAGCTTGAATAGCTATCATCTTGCCATTCGCATCGGTGTCAGTGCGATTTCGGCTCTTGGTCCTTGCACGGTGATAAAGTCCCTCCTTTATTCATCTGATTCTATCCTTACTCTTGTCTATCTTTCATTTACCCCGCTGTTTGCCTCTCCACAGAGCTCTGGGTGTTGCCCGCCTGCTCACAGCTTTCGAAACTGCTGGACCACCTTTTCGTCTCTGGTCTCTAGTCTCTTCAATTTCTCTTGAAGTCACCTATTATGGCCTCAGAGCAGCCAGTCGAAGCCGCCCCAACGGGCGGTTCTCTCGCCGATCGCATCACGGAACCCAATGAATCAAACACTTCCGGTACGAGCGCCATATCATCTCCCTTCGGCGGATCAGATCGAACATACGACTAATCTGTTGCAAGCAGAAACCCCCGCGCCCCCAGCCGATCAGACAGATGGCGCTCCCGCGCAACTTGGTGGCTCCGACCTCCACGAACCGGAGTACAACGTTGAAGTCAAGCTCAGCGATCTGCAAGCCGACCCCAACAACCCACTCTACTCTGTGAAGAACTTTGAGGACCTTGGACTGTAAGGGCGCATGGTTTCCTGTGTTTGTAGTGGTATTTGTAACTAATCTCTTTGCGACCCAACAGCGACCCGCGAATTCTGAAAGGGCTGTCGAGCATGAACTTCCGCAAGCCTTCGAAAATCCAAGAACGCGCCTTGCCTCTACTGTTGAACAACCCTCCCAAGAACTTGGTCGGCCAATCCCAGTCCGGTACCGGAAAGACCGCCGCTTTCGTTCTGAACGCTTTGAGTCGTGTCGACCTGTCGACGGAGCAAATGCAGAAGACCCCTCAGGCACTGATTTTGGCCCCTACGCGAGAGCTTGCCCGTCAGATCCTCGGCGTCGTCCAAGTCATGGGTCAATTCGTTGATGGACTCATCATTGGTGCAGCTGTTCCGACCGATAGAGACAGCCGTCCCAAAAGACTGGAGTGCTCTATTGTGGTTGGCACTCCCGGAACCGTAGGGGACATGATCAAGAGGCGTACTTTTATCCCCAACAAGCTGAAAGTGCTCGTTCTTGACGAGGCCGATAACATGCTCGACCAGCAAGGTCTCGGCGATCAGTGCATCCGTGTTAAAGCGTAAGTTAAAAGCCATACTCTGCATCTACTACCGCCGTTCCAGCTGACTTTACTAGTCTTCTGCCGCGAGATATTCAGGTCGTCCTATTTTCAGCCACTTTCCCAGAACACGTTCATCAATACGCGTCGAAGTTTGCACCTAATGCGAACGAGATTACACTTCAGCACGAAGAATTGACTGTTGAGGGAATCAAGCAGCTCTACCTTGACTGTGTGGATGGAGAGGACAAGTACAAAACCCTTGTTCAACTTTATGGACTGCTTACAGTCGGATCGTCGATTATTTTCGTCCAGGTAAGTAAACCCACTGCACCACGTCCATGAACGACTTGATGCTGATCAGCCCCCAGACTCGTGCAGCAGCTCAAGAAATCGAGAAGCGAATGACGGCTGAAGGACACACTGTTGTATCATTGACTGGTGAGAGGGATCCCTCAGTGCGAGACGCGATCATCGATCAGTTCCGAAGAGGCGAAGCCAAGGTCTTGATCGCGACCAATGTACTTGCCAGAGGAATTGACGTTTCCACTGTCTCTATGGTTATCAACTATGTGAGTTCTCGCTTCGGAACACGATTATTGTGTGTTACGTGTCTAACCCCTCTAGGATATTCCAGAACTCCATCAGCCCAGCGTGCCTGGACGACAGGCAGATTTCCAGACTTACTTGCACCGTATCGGTCGTACGGGTCGTTTCGGTCGTGTCGGTGTCTCTATCTCATTCGTGTCGAACCGCGAGGAATGGGAAATGCTCAACCAGATTCAGACATACTTTAACTGTGAGATTCAGCGCGTTGATACCAAGGACTGGGATGAGGTGGAGGATATTATTAAGAAGACCATCAAAAATTCGCGCGCCAATCCAAAATTCGCCGGCGGGAAGGAATAGAGGACGGCTAGCTCCGGCGCTGTCTATTGTCTGACGAATGAATGGCTTGGGCTATGTTTTACGTGTACACAGTGATGATAGTAAACTTTGATGGCTACAACATATGGAAGGAGAATAATAGATACCATTGACTGTCAACCCCTTGTGGTGTTGTTGAGATGATAGATATCTAAGGTAGCTCTGGGGCCGTAATCAGGCGCCATGGTCAGCGATGCCGTCATAGCGGAACTGTGGGGTCGGATATCTCCGATCCTTCGTAGTAGCTGATAAGGATAAGTCAAGCTTCTGGATTACTGGTCGCAAGTTACTGAACTGTCCGACTGGTTCCTGGGCAATTGGCTATTAGACTAACTCATTGTACAGATATGAAGAAATATCCATGAGTCTAGCGGTGAGAAGCAATCTGCCTGGAAAAGAATGGAAAAGAGGGGTATCTGCCGGGATGCCTGATGATAAGGTGCGGAGAGAACCTGATGAGATAACAAGTCACATGCAGATGCAGGAGGACAGCACTCGTCCTATTCCTCCTTCTCTCGCCATCTCTTGACTCTGCTCTTCCAAAAACTTTATCTTCATCTGCTTCTATCGTCTCTTCTTTACACTGACTTACAACATGGGGGACACATCCACAGCTACCATGCCGGATGCTCCGAGCATCCAGTCCCCTACATCCCCTACATCCCCTACGTTGCCGTCAACTGGTTACAGCAAGCACATTGTGGTACGTATCAACACAACCATGCAATCTAGAACAACGCGGTTTGGACTAAAATGCCCCCTCAGTTGACCACCTACCCCGGCCAAAGCGGCGTAGATCCCGTCCCCCTGGTATGGGGCGCACCCGATGCCAAATCCCGTGGTCCGGTCATCGTCACCCGCGGCGCGGGGATGCTCAAGCGACGGAACGCCATGGGCGCCCACGGCGGCAGCTACAGCATCTACAACGCCCTGGCGATCGCGGCAGGAGACCTGGACGTGAACTTCCGCCCGGACTTCCGGAACAGTGAGCCCACGTTCAACTTCCCCTGGCAGCCTTCGTGGGCGGACAAGACGAAGATCGTCTCCATGGACCCGTTTGGGCATGATGTTGTCAATCAGTTCCGGGAGGAGCTGGAGGCCGGCTGGGATATCCGGCCTACGATGGCTATTACGCGGGCGAATATGAAACTGGCAGAGATCGGGGAGGCTGTGAAGGATGGGCACTTGGATGTTGATGGGTCGATTGTTGTGGACTCTTCGGGGGAGGTGCGCGTTACCAAGGTTGCGGTTGAGCCGGTCTGGTATTTGCCTGGTGTTGCGGATCGGTTTGGGGTTGATGAGGGGACGCTGCGGCGTACGCTGTTTGAGCATACGGGTGGCAGTTATCCGGAGTTGATCACCCGCCCTGATTTGAAGGTTTTCCTTCCCCCCATTGGGGGGTTGACTGTTTACATCTTTGGCCCACCAGAGCGTGTGTCTGATGAAAATGTGAAGCTGGCGCTGCGGATCCACGATGAATGCAATGGAAGTGACGTCTTCCAGTCGGACATTTGCACATGCCGGCCGTATCTGGCGTTCGGGATTCGGGAAGCAATTCGCGAAGCTCAGAACGGGGGCAGTGGGGTTGTTATATATTTCCGGAAGGAGGGTCGTGCTTTGGGTGAAGTGGTCAAATATCTTGTGTACAATGCTCGCAAGCGGGGTGGTGACACGGCCGACAAATATTTCACTCGGACGGAGAACATTGCGGGAGTGCGAGATGTGAGTTACACCATTCATAAGAAGATTGACGTTGTACTAACTCGCGTATAGATGCGCTTTCAAGCCCTCATGCCCGACATCCTTCATTGGCTTGGGATCAAGAAGATCGACCGCATGTTGTCCATGTCGAACATGAAGCACGACGCCATCGTCCAGTCGGGAATCAAGATCCTCGAGCGCGTGCCAATCCCAGAGGACTTGATACCGAGTGACTCGCGCGTTGAGATCGATGCAAAGATCAATGCCGGCTACTTCACGACAGGTAAACAGTATACAATGGAAGAACTGGCGGCCGTAAAGGGACGCGGCTGGGAGAAATGGGAGGATGTCACGGTAAGTAGAGCTCTTTCTGTGGACGAGGTCTTACTAACTCTGTCAAGCATTAACCTGCTATATATTCGTCTATCCACAAGCTCAACCTTGTCTTGAAGAACGATCCGACCAGTTTGATATCGATTGATCTTTTCGGGTATCCCGCTTAACATGGGTTTAGGTGTTCAGGAATGGGTTTAGTACTAGCAGAAATCGCCAGAGAATAAGCGACTGCAAGCGATTAAGGTCATGTAGCTTTCCTGTAAAGTATGCAAGAGGACCTTCTGGTTGTTGTTCAGTCTCTCAAGCTATGATAGCCGCAACCGGCTAACTTACAATATCAGGCCAGCTGCTAATGAAAACCTTGAGAGCGCATTCGTAGATCGTTTCATCCTTCCGTTATTCCTGATAGGACAATCTATGATTATGATATGCATAATATGATGTGCTCTATAATTTCCTAGAGAGGTACTTCGGGTTGCCATCCGACACGGATTCTTTTCCCGATTTCCCCGCTCGTTTCGCTAAATCATACATTCTGTAGCTATGCCGAGTATAAAACCCCCTGCTCTGCCACTCTTTCTGTCACTACGAGCTATATTCCCACCTTGAACTGTCCCCCGTTCAATACCTCAACAATTAGAACGCTACTGCACCATGGGCTCCTCACAACCCCCCACAGTCTCTCCGCAACCCCGCGTCCCCAAACCAGGCGTCTGGTGTCCCGCTGTGACTTTCTTCAACCACACAACCGACACGCTCGACCTCGACTCCCAAAAGAAATACTACGCCTACCTCTCCAGAACCGGCCTCGCGGGCCTCGTCATCCTCGGCACAAACTCCGAAGCCTTCCTCCTCACCCGCGAAGAGCGCGCCCAGCTCATCGCCGCCGCCCGCGAGGCCGTCGGCCCAGATTACCCCCTCATGGCCGGCGTCGGCGCCCACTCCACCAAGCAGACGCTGGAGCTAGCAGCCGACGCGGCGGCCGCGGGCGCGAACTACCTCCTCGTGCTCCCGCCCGCCTACTTCGGAAAGGCGACGACCATGAGCGTCGTGAAGCGGTTCTTCGCGGATGTAGCGGCGCGGGCTCCGCTGCCGGTTATCATCTACAATTTCCCCGGCGTGTGCAACGGGGTTGACATTGACTCTGAGACGATGACTGCGATTGTGCGCGAGTCGGCGGCAGCGAGCCCGAGCGGCGTGTCGAAGGTGGTGGGTGTCAAGCTCACCTGTGCGTCTGTGGGGAAGATCACGCGATTGGCGGCGACGTTCTCGCAGGGCGAATTCGCGGTTTATGGGGGGCAGTCGGATTTCCTGCTTGCGGGTTTGAGTGTTGGGTCGGCGGGGTGCATTGCGGCGTTTGCGAATGTGTTTCCACGTACCGCCGCGCGGGTGTATGAGCTGTACAGGGCTGGGAAGGTGGATGAGGCGATGGCGCTGCAGCAGAAGGCGGCGCTGGCGGAGAGTCCGTGTAAGAGTGGGATTGCAGCGACCAAGTATGCCACGGCGGTGTTTAGTGCCTCTTTGGCGGGGATTGAGGGGGCAGAGGAGAAGCTCAGGCCTCGGACGCCGTATGAGGAGCCGGGTGAAGGGGTGAAGCAGATGGTGCGGGAGGTGATGGCGGAGGTTGCGGAGATTGAGAGAAGTATATAGTTGCGATTACTACGAAGATACTCCGGCCAGGGTCACCACCTTGACTCGTTTCCTTCAATTGCCGGTAGATGAGCAAGTCCAATCGAGGAACCAAGAAACTACCGCGCTTAGTATCTGTCTAGAATGTCAATAGCTTCAGTCCGCAAGGAGTTATTTTGCTGACTGTGGGGAAATTTCTCCGACACGCCTCCGAAATCCGAAAACAGCCCGGGACTGCGGGGGTCAGAGATCAAGCTTAGATGAAAGAATCCCTTTCTGACTTGCCGAACACGAAAAGCCGGATTGCACAATGCAGAGTCGGTGCATGTGTCTACGAGGTTTCACCGACGAGGCCCCGGATTTTGATCTTTTATCTGGCCAAGCTGAATGCCAACACTCGTCGACGTCACTCCCGGGCCGGGGTTGACGGCAAAATATTTCTGGTGTAAGACTTTGCTGCGAGAGCATCTTTGATCGAGTAAAAGATTCTTTGGAATTGGTAAACTTGCGACACTGATTGACTGGTGCAAACAGTATCCAACTCATCCGGAGAGTATTTAGCTATATCTGGAGAGTCGCACAGCAAATCGGGCTACTGGTCGGCACAAAGCCGAAGAATTGGGGCAGCTTCTGTGCAATTCTCCGAGCCGTACCCCGGGGACGCATTCTAGCTTCGGTATGTTTCTCGATTGCATCTAATTTGATCCTGCGTAGCACGTTGACCATGTGGACTGGAGTACCCCGTCTGGGGTCTTTGCGGCTTTTACTAACATCTGGGGTTCAGACCCCCTGCTGTGGACGGTGGGATATAAATACCCCCTCGTCCTCCTATTTTCAGTGAGGAATGTGAAGGCATCAATCTTTCAATCAGACAAGCAAAATGCGTGTCCCTCTCATTCTCTTCGCAGCTGCAACGGCAGCGGCCCAAACAGCCAACTATTCCGGGCCTCTGCGGCCTCAGGTTCACTTCTCCCCTCCTTCTCAGTTCATGAATGACCCCAATGGACTTTTCTATGATCACAAGAGAGAGATTTATCACATGTATTACCAATGTAAGCCCAATTGACCGCTATAGATATGTACATGTGCTAATGCGTCGCAGACAATCCTTCCCAGATTGTTGCAGGTAATCAGCACTGGGGCCACGCAACCAGCAAGGACTTGTACCACTGGACCAACCACCCCATTGCCATCTCCCCTAGCAAGCCGGACGAGTGGATCTATTCCGGCTCGGCTGTGGTAGACAGTAACAACACCTCTGGATTCTTCCCTGACCAGGACGACGGTGTAGTGGCCATCTACACGCTGGCCACTGCGACGCTGCAGACGCAAGACATCGCCTACTCCCGTGACGGCGGGTACACTTTCACCAAGTATGAGAACAACCCGGTCCTCAACATTGGCTCAAGCCAGTTCCGTGACCCGCAGGTTACATGGCATCCCGAGACGCAGAAATGGGTCATGACCATTGCGTATGCGGACGACCGCGTCATTGGGTTCTACACCTCGCCCAATCTCAAGGAATGGACGCATGCCTCCAACTTCACCCAGTCAGGTTTGCCAGGAACGCAGTTCGAATGCCCCAACCTCGTCAAGTTCTCAGTCGACGACCGCGCCGACTCAGAGGACCCCACCAAGTGGGTGCTGTTCATCTCCGTCAACCCTGGCGCGCCACTCGGGGGTTCGGGAACCTACTATGTCGTTGGAACATTCAATGGAACCCACTTCACTTCGGAAACCTCCCGCGAGACCCTCTTTGACTTCGCCAAGGACAACTACGCCTCGCAGTGGTACTCGGGCATCCCTGAGGACGAGCCCCCGCTCTCCATCGGCTGGGCCAGCAACTGGAACTACACCCAGCAGGTGCCCACCGGCCCGCTCGAAGGCTGGAGAAGCTCCATGTCGCTGCCCAAAGTGCACACCCTGACCAAGGTCGACGGCTCCTGGGTCGTCACCAAGGAACCATTCGACGACATGGACTCCGTCCGCGGAAAGCAACTCAAGGGCAAGCGCTCGCGGAACGGCGACGTGACCTTCGACTTCAAAAACGTCAAGTCCAACGCCGTCTCCTTCGACGTCGAGATCAACGGTATCCCGTCCACTGGCGCCACGGGCCAGGTATACTTCAACTTCACTTCTTCAACCTCGGGCGAGTACGTCGATGGCGGTCTCAGACTGGACAACGGCTTCTTCTGGATCAACCGTGCTGGCACCCATCTCTTCACCCAGGCCAACAGCACCGGCTACTGGCCCGTCTTCAACACGACCGTCAAGTCCTTTGACCACGGCGAATTCACCTTCTCTGGTGTCATTGACCGCTCCCTCCTCGAGGTCTCCCTCGCTGAGGGCGTTCAAACTGGAACGATGAGCTTCTACCCAACCCATCCGCTGGATACCCTAACCGTCTCTGGCAGCGATCTGAACAAGAAGACTTCTTTCCGTGCTAAGGCCTGGGGATTGGAGAGCGGCTGGTAGACAATAGGTGTCGCTGAGTCGCGTTTGCAAGTTTGTTCTCGTTTGCAGTGGTGTATATGTGAATCATAAAAAAGTCTAGGCTCTCTTACTCTTAAGTAATGACTTAAGTAATGAATGCAACTAGTTGTGTCCGCGCGTGCTGAAGCGACTTCGATTACTCAAAGGGTTACATCCCATTATCCTTATCACCCAACCACGGACCTCCGCCGGGGTACCCTTTTTGTTTTGTTGATCGCCAAGTGGGGCGGCATGCTGTATCCGTAGCCTGTAGAGAGGTGCTCCGTAGCCTTTGCCTTTCTCCCTTGTTTGTTTGCATGATTGATCTCCCTTTTTGAGCCGTGACCTGAATTCTTGCTGAATGAACGACGGTCTGCAACGAATTGCACAGGTATTCCCAGTCGCACAAATTCAAATCGATCTCGACACATGTCGGGGGATCAGTGACCAGTCGGCCTCGGACATGCAGGTCAGTAAAGTCTAGAAAATTCACCAAGGTCTCAAATTAGATACAGTCAAGAAATCTGTTCATAGCGTCTCAGATCCTGAAGGATTTGAAGGAACTCGTCAAGGTTTACTGCTATATAAAAACCTTTTAGAAACACGGCTTTACTACCTTAAAGAGAGATAGATTCCTTATGTGTAAGCCATATTTACCCTGCTCCATAACCACTAAACATTCAATGACCCTAATTTGGGACGGTAAATTGGTGGTTGATTGAATAGGACCTACTGAGGTTTTCCAGCACTATACTCTGGAGGGCCTTGACCTCATTATGGTCTCAGCTTTTCCTAGATATCTCAAGAGTCAAGACCTTATTGAACTTTTTCGAGACCTGGCTGGACTGTAAACGGAATCAGTCCGCACTGCGATAACCTGCGCAATGCTTGCCAAGTCATGTAAATTGACCGATTGGATCAACACTATCCCTGCAAGGGGAGTGCTTGTCGTTACATTACATGCCAGTAGCGCTAATTGCTAAGAGCAAATCCTGCAATATAGAATGGTTGCATGCACTAGCCGAGATGCAATTAATTAGCACCTCTGTGTTTCGCCTGAATGCTTGTAGTTAGAAGCTGCATGCTTCACCTGCTTCCCCTCACCTTGTACTCACTAGGTGATTAGAGCAGTATCAGGCCTGGGGCGGCACAGACTGGGTATAAGAATGGCTTGTCCGTTCTTTTTTGTTCTCGATTTCTTTTTGTGATTGTAGTCCGACGGTACAGATTACGGAAGGTTGATTGCCAGGATGCGGACTGTCGCTGCTTCGCTGACGCTTGCTGCGTCTTGTCTCTTTGGGTTGGCGTCTGCCCTCATGCCCAGGGCGCCTTTGATTCCTGCGCTGAAAGCGAAAGTTGCCTTGCGCACGGGAAACGCGACATTCGAGCAGTATATTGATCATAATAACCCTGGTCTGGGGACATTTTCCCAGAGATACTGGTATAATCCGGAATATTGGGCTGGTCCTGGCTCTCCTGTGTGTATTTCCCGTTCGGTGTTCGGTTGGTGGCTAGTGCTTGTGGTGTGTCGCTGACTGTGGGAAAAGGTAGTTTTGTTTACACCGGGTGAATCGGACGCTGCGGACTACGATGGATTCCTGACCAACGAGACTATTGTTGGACGCTTTGCTGAAGAGATCGGGGGTGCGGTTATTCTGCTTGAGCGTGAGTTCTTCTGATCGTCAATGATCGAAAGCCTTCGCAAGTGCTCATCGAGTCCCCAGATCGCTACTGGGGAGCCTCATCACCATACCCCAATTTGACAGCTGAGACGCTCCAGTACCTGAATCTGGAGCAGTCGATTGCGGACCTTGTTCACTTTGCAAAGACCGTGAATCTTCCGTTCGACAAGGATCACAGCAGCAACGCTGATAGTGCGGTGAGTAGAGTTGTCAAAATTGACCTCCACGCAATCCGCATGCTGACTGATGTTCCATGAAAGCCATGGGTGATGTCTGGGGGTTCCTACAGCGGTGCGCTAGCCGCGTGGACCGCATCGATTGCCCCAGGGACCTTCTGGGCGTACCATGCCTCGAGTGCGCCTGTGCAGGCCATCTATGACTTCGTACGTGATGGCAAGATGATCTTGAACAAAGCACATTTTAACATACGTAGTGGCAATATTTCGTCCCTGTTGTCGAGGGCATGCCCAAGAACTGCAGCAAGGATGTCAATCGCGTGGTGGAGTATATTGACCATGTCTATGCGTCAAGGGATATCGAGCGCCAGCAGGAAATCAAAGAGATGTTCGGGATGGGAGCCCTCAAGCATTTCGACGATTTTGCAGCGTATGTTGTGTTCGCCTTCTTTGAAAGGTGAATCATGCCTTGGTGCTAATGCGTTTCAGAGCAATTACGAACGGACCATGGCTTTGGCAGGATATGAATTTCGTCTCGGGGTACTCCCGTTTTTATAAGTTTTGCGATGCGGTGGAGGTGAGGCCCTTTTCCAACTCGAGGCTTCGACTGTGCGAATGGTCGTCTCACGCGGTATTAGAATGTCACGCCGGGGGCAAAGTCCGTTCCTGGACCGGAAGGCGTCGGTCTGGAGAAAGCACTGCAAGGCTATGCGTCGTGGTTCAATTCAACGTACTTGCCTGGGTGTAAGTCCCCTGGATACGTACTCGAGCCCCCTCAGAGACTGACCAGAATAGCCTGCGCCAAATACAAATATTGGACCGACAAATACGCTGTTGACTGCTACGACTCATATGACCCT